TTTAAAAGTCTTTATAATTTGCGCTAAAATAAATAATTTTAATAAATTAAAGAATATCTCTTTATATTTATTATTAAAAGTATTTTTATTAATATAATTTAAAGGTTCTTTTAATATTAAAAAAACCTTTAATATATTATATATAGAATTCCAGTGCGTAAAAGTATTTAAAGAAATATTAATAAATATTTATTAAATAGTTTTAAAAATAAGGAATAAATATTAAGTAGAATATAAGTAATTTTATAGCTTTTTAGCAAGGCTTATGCTTATATAGCTTTTTTAATACCCTTAAATAATAAACTATTAATCTTAATATTATATTAAGTTAATATTATTACTTATTTTATATAAGTAATAAGATTTAATAAAAGTTAATATATATAAATATATTATAATATTTAATATATAAAATTACTTATTATTTTTAATAATATTATTTATAAAAAGAGCTGCATTTAAATCCCTTAAATATTCTTTTAGAAATTCTTTAGTTTGGGAATTTAAAGTAAATTCTTTTAAAATATCCTGCGCTATTAAATTAATAATATGCATTATATAATAAATATTGTTTTTAAACTGCTTATTTAATTTAAAATTAAATTCTTCTTTAAAAGCCATTATAAATATATTATTATTTAATGCATTATTTCTTATAAAGCTATAATAAAAAGTTAATTATTTATATTTAAAATATAAAAAGAATTAAATACTTAAAAATGCTATTAAATATTATACTTAAATAATATTTAATAATCTTTTAAAACTCTTTAAAGAGAATTAAGCTAATATATCTTTCTTTTAATTCTTAAAATTTAATTAATTTATAAATTAACTAAAATTTAAAATTAATATAAGAGATTATTACTTTTATATAAGCTATATTAAATTTAAAAGTTTAAATATTAAAATTAAAAGAAGATTTATTATTATTAATAATATTTTCTTTTAAATTTAAATTTAAATAAATTAAATTAAAATTAAAAGTATTATTTAAAATACTTTTAATTTTAAAATGATTTATTTTTAAAGCATCCTTAAAATAAAGTTAAGTTATTTCTTTTTATTAAAAGAAAAGAAATATATATAAATTTAAATATAATAATAAATCTTAAAAAGATTTAAAACTTAAAATATTAAAAGCTAAATTATTTTTAATAATAAAGTTTAAAATCTTTTTATAAGTATTATTTTCTATAAATTTAATTTTAGTTTTCTTTTTTAGAAAAATAAAGAAATTTAAAGGAAAAACTATATTATTAAGCCTTATAATAATTAATTAAATTTTATTTTTTAAAATATTATTTTTTAATAAAAACTTACTTTTACTTTTATTTACCCTTAATATTTTATTATAAGCAATATTTAAGTATTTATGCTTATAATGCCGTTAATAATTAAAGGCTTAAAATGCCTTTAAAGTATTTTATTATAAATAATAGCAATTATTAATTTATTAATTAAAAAACTAAGTAAGTTATTATTATATTTAAAAGAAATATAATATCTTTTTAAAATTATATATTATATATTAATTATATAATTAAGGTGCTTTTAAAGAATATTATTAAATATATTTTTATTATTAATATTAATTTAAAATATAGCTATATGTTATATTTAGCTAATTATAATTTAATATAATATATAATTAAATATAAATAAAATATATAATAATATATTTTACTTATATTAAATTATATTTTAAAAAAATAAATATATAACTTATTTATTATACTTAATTATAAGTTTTCTAAGGTAATTTTCCTTAATAAAAAGTAAGGTTTAAATAAATAATTTATATTTAAAAATATAAATTTTTATTTCTTTAAAAAGGGGTAGTTAATAATTAAAAGAATTATATTTATTATTTTAAGATATTTATAAAGTATCTTTAGAAAAAGAAATATTATTCTTAGTAAAGGCTATACATTTATTTATAAAAGATGAATTTATTAAGGAAGAATTTTTAAGAAATAAGGGGAAAAAAGATATTTTAAATATTTAAAATATTTAAAAATAAAAGAATTCTTAGTGTTAAGGCGTAAATATTAAAGTGTAAGTAATTTTCTTAGTAGTGATAAAATAATAATAAAGGAAAAGAAAAGAGAAAGAGGAAGGAAAAAGAAAGAGGTTTATATATATTAAAGATTAAAAAAAAATGAATAGTTTATTTTCCTGAATTGGTTAGTTTATTCCTTTAAATAGGCTAAATATTTATTTAAAGAAATATATAATATTATCTTTTAAAAATAAATTAAATTATTTTTAAATAATATTAATATATATATAAATATAATTTAATTTAAGGATAGTTTTTATATATTTATTATATATTTATTTAAATATATATAATTTTAAATTAAATAATATATATATTCTTTATAATAAAATCTTGGCTTTTAAAACTATTTAACTTAAATAAATAATTACCTTAAAGGCTAAAAAGCTATTTTTATTTTATTAATTTAAAAAGGTTTAATATAAATATATAATATTTAAATTTATATAATAAATAAGTATTTATAGGGGTAAATAAGCTTAAATAAGCCTTATAATTACTTTTAAAATTAAAGTATTTATAAGGGAAAATAAGCTAAAAAAAGCTTTATAGCTGCTTTTAAAGTTAAAGTATTTATAAGGGCAAATAAGCTTAAATAAGCCTTATGGCTGCTTTTAAAGTTAAAGTATTTACAGGGGTAAATAGGCTTAAATAAGCTTTATAACTACTTTTAAAATTAAAGTATTTATAAAAATATATAAATTTTAATATATATAATAAAAAAGTATTTTTAATATTTTTAAATAATTATATATAAATATAAAAATAACATTATTATAATTAAAAAAAATTCTAGGATTTTTATATAATTTTATAAATATATATTTAATATTTTTATATAAGGTAAATCTTACTTATATTAAAATATTTATTTTTTTAAAGAGATAAGCTATTTTATAAATATTATATATATAATATAAAAAAAAAGAGCAATTTAATTATATATTTTTTATATAGCTAGCTTAAAAACTTATTAAAAAACTAATTGCTTTATATAAGTAGTTACATTAAAGGTAAGGGGGAAAAGAGGGGGTGCAAATATATTATATGCTATATACTATATATTATACATACTTATAAGGAAGCCAAATTATATATATTTTATAATTTTATAATATATATAATATAATAATATATAGCGTTAATAAAATTTATAATAATTACTTATAATAATTATAATAATGCTTATTAATCTTATAATATATAAATGTAATATAAATCCCTTGCTTATAATTATATACTATATAATATGCTAATAGCTAAAGGTTTAAATCATCTTAAAAACAACTTTTTTTAAGTTTTTTATTTATTTATTTAATTCTTTTAATTCTTTTAATATTCTTTTAATATTCTTTTAATATTTTTTAATATTTTTTAATATTTTTTAATATTTCTTAATATTTCTTAATATTTCTTAATATTTCTTAATATTTCTTAATATTTCTTAATATTTCTTAATATTTCTTAATATTTCTTAATATTTCTTAATATTTCTTAATATTTCTTAATATTTCTTAATATTTCTTAATATTTCTTAATATTTCTTAATATTTCTTAATATTTCTTAATATTTCTTAATATTTCTTAATATTTCTTAATATTTCTTAATATTTTTTAATATTTTTTAATATTTTTTAATATTTTTTAATATTTTTTAATATTTTTTAATATTTTTTAATATTTTTTAATATTTTTTAATATTTTTTAATATTTTTTAATATTTTTTAATATTTTTTAATATTTTTTAATATTTTTTAATATTTATTATTATGGGCTGGCCCCAGAGGGGCTGCAGGCTGGCTAGTGCCTTTTCTCATAAGCTGCAAAGCAGCAACCTTTTAACTAGGCCAAAAGGTACGTAATAATTTAAGCTCCCTTAGATTACCTAGCCACATTATATAAGGCTTGGGCTTCCAGCCTAAGCTCATTATATAGCCCCTTCCTTTAAGGCTTCTTCCTTATATAGTAATATAATTACCCCTAAGGCTTACCCGCGATATTGCCTTTTTAAGCCAGGGATCTTCTTTATAAAAGGGGTGCCTGCATTTACTTGCGGCAAACATAACTTAAACCCTTAACCCTAAAGCTTAAATTATTTATTATGGGCTGGCCCTAAAGGGGCTGCAGGCTGGCTAGCGCCTTCTCCCATAAGCTGCAAAGCAGCAACCTTTTAACTAGGCCAAAAGGTACGTAATAATCCAAGCTCCCTTGGATTACCTAGCCACACTATATAAGGCTTGGGCTTCCAGCCCAAGCCCATTACATTTATTAATATTTTTTAATATTTTTTAATATTTTTTAATATTTTTTAATATTTTTTAATATTTTCTTAATATTCTTCTTAGTATTTAATAGGCTTATAATTATTTAAATATTTTTAAAACTTTAATTAATATTAGCCCCGCTTTTTTTCTTAATTTTTTAGTTAATTTAATTAGTTTTTTAATTAATTAATTTAGTTTTAATTAATAAGATTAATTAAAATAAATTAGTTAGTTTTTAAAATTAACTAAATTAATTTAGTTAGTTTTTAAAATTAACTAAACTAATTTAACTAATATCAACCCTGCCTGCTAGATCCAATTAGATAGAGAAGATGCAAGGGCAATCAACATTTGGTATCCCTGTAGAGGTTTACTTTTGACAGGGCGAAGAACAATACCCCTTTTGTTACCTTCTTTCTGACGGCGTCCGCCGTGGAATAAGGGACGATGCTACATACTCGTACGCAACAAGAAGCTTGGAAACACGTCATGTATTGAGCTATCTGTCTATTCAAATACAGTCCAATGCGAGGCTCATCTGTGCTCATGGCGTCAGTTCTTGGAATCAGGCCTCGTCGTAACATCTTCAGATCTCAGTCTTTCGTTTGAAAAAAGAAAACACATTTCCTGACGCTCTTTTGCCCAACCAGTAGTCTATCTTTTCTAAGGTTCCAATGCTTGCGTTTGCTCTCCTGGCTGGGGTTGTATCAGCCCGAGTCTTGAACCTTCCCGGTATTCCAAAGGGATGGGAGCATGTCGGGCCAGCCTCACCGGACGAGCCGATCCAGCTCCGGCTTTCTCTGAGGCAGCAAGGGTCGCCAGCACTGGAGGCGGCCGTCTTGGACCGGTCCACCCCAGGGACGGCCAACTACGGCATACATTTAAGCCGTGGAGAGTTGCAATTTTACACGGCTCCGTCCGAGTGCACAGAGACGAGCGTGATGCAGTGGCTCCGGGAAAAGAACGTCCCCCACTCTATCGAAGCAGACTGGGCCACGATCAGGACAACCGTCGACGTGGCCAACGACGTGTTCAACGCGTCTTTTGGCTGGTTCCGGCGCGAGGGAGGAGGAGCAGGGGATGTCGGCGGGGAGCGCGAGCTCAGGCTGCGCAGTCTCTCGTACAGCATACCCGACCCCGGGCTGCCTCAAGCAACTCCTCCCCGGCAGCTTCGAGTCCGAGACAGCTTACGGCAGGATCGGGTTCGCGTCGTTCATGGGCCAGTCTGCTCGGTATGGGGACCTCGCAGAGTTCATCAGCGAGCTGGCGCCGCACTCTGGTGGCCTGAAATTCTCCTTCACGGAGATCAACGGCGGCGTGCACCTCGAGGATCATCCTTTCGTCCCCTTCGTCCACGAAGTGTCCCATATGCCATATGTACCGCTGTAATTTCTGACACACCTTTTCATAGTGGAAGCGAATCTGGACGTTGCTGTGATGATGGGCTGGGTCCACCCCATCCCCATCCACGAATATATCGTGGGAGGATACGGGTACGCTTCACACTATTCGTCTGAAATCCTCTTTTCCCAGGGACCAGCTGTTAACCGCAGTGTTCATGATAGGGACCAGCAAGCCACGGCAGACAGCCCCTCCACCACCGGAAGCAACGAGCCCTACCTCGAGCTGCCCGAGTACCTGCTGGCCCTCAACGACACCGACCTGCCCACCGTGCTGTCCGTCCCGGACGGCGAGGAGGAGCAGTCCGTCCCCGAGGACTACGCGCACAAGGTGTGTAACCTCTTCATGCAGCTCGGCGCCCGCGGCGTGAGCGTCATCTTCGCCTCGGGTGACTACGGGCCAGGCGACTCGTGCACTAGCAACGACAGCTCGACCTACTTCCAGCCCGTAGTCCCGGCGACATGCCCGTGGATCACCGCAGTCGGCGCCACGGCCAACCGCGATGACATGGTCGGCGCGCCCTTCAGCTCGGGCGGCTTCAGCCTGTAATTCGACCGGCCCAGCTACCAGGACGCCTCCGTCCGGGCATACGTGGAGGGTCTCGGGGGCGCGTACGCGGCCTACTTCACGGTTCTGAGCGGGCATTCCCCGACGCCGCGACCATTGGCGTCAACTATGCCGCCGTCGACCAGGGGGCCCACTACCTCGTCAATGGCACCAGCGCCAGCGCGGCCACGTTCGCGGGCCAGGTGGCGCTGCTCAACGCGGCGCGGCTCAGCTCGAACCTGACGGCGCTGGGGTTCCTCAACCCGCTGCTGTACGAGTACGGCGCGAGCATCTTCAGCGACGTGACGAGGGGCTCCTCGGTGGGCTGCGTGGGGAACGGTGTCTCTGGGGCGCAGGGCGCCAGCTGGCATGCGACGGAGGGCTGGGACCCGGTCACGGGCTTGGGGGTGCTGAACTTCACCAGCTTTCAGGCCATCGTAACCCCTGATGCAGCGAGTGACGTCGGTTCTTACGGCCATGTTGGTCGTGCTTGGGTGTTTTGGTCTCTCGTCCCTTCTTCTAGAAGCAATCCTGTTTACGTTAGACCGCATCTGCTTCTCCTCTCACTTATTTCGTTAAAATCTGCGGGGGTTGTAGGTTGAGTTGACTCTTTCAGAGTTTTTCGCAACTGTAAACTTTTGAATGTCCTCTGATTTGATTCCTTGTGCAGTGCCTGTGTAAAGGAATACCTCTGTGAATGCGGAACTCTCAATCTGCTTTTGGTGCCTTACTGAGTCTAAGACATAATAGCTCCAAACTGAACATGGTTCAGAAAGACGAGCAAGCAAGGCAGTGCCAAATATGGGTCTGCTCGTAGAAAAGATGTCCAGTTATGGGCTTCTTCCGGGTGCGCTCCATCAGAGCCGAAGAGTTCGGTATCGGTGGATCAACTTGACCGGAAGGGACGTCCATGGAGCATGCAGGCTTCTCAAATCGACTCAGTTGAAGATGTAAAAGTTCAGGGCACGCGGAATGTAACTGAATCCAGCTCGCGCTTCTTCGAGCCTGAGGTCGACATCCGCTCGTCTAAGTCGTCTTCTGTTCCTCGTTTGATTCGACTCCTCCGTGACTCCATCGCAATGGCTGCCGGGAGCGTAGAAAAATATGGATTCGGTAAACCAACATTGGATGTACTTTATTTCTTCATCTATGTGTTAATCCCTTTGGTTCTTATCATTGCCAATGGGGGGAATCGGCCCATCACAGGCCATCCTTGATAAGCTCCCACCGCTGCGGCCCACCAAGACAACAGGTGCTCCGCTCCGACGCCGCCCCGGCCCGCGCGGTCGCCTCAACCTCAACCTCGCCCACCAACCCTCTCGCTACCGACCAGGCCTGCCCTACCTGCGCAAAAGCAAATGAACCGCCTGCTTTCCCGCCCCAGCCCACTTCTCCGCTCACACAATCGCGCACCCCTCTTCCACCGAGCCACAGTCAGGATGGACTACTCGAGCGTCCCCACCCCGGAGCGGTGCTACGCCGATTTCTGCCTCGTCCCAGTACGGTTGATCGCCTCCCTCCCCTGTTCCTCGCCGCTGCAGCAGCAATCTTTTAACACCTCGGTACATCGTACACAACTCACCCAGAACTAACCGCCCTCACAGGTCGGCACGGGCGAGCTCTCCGTGGCCAAAGAGGTCGCCGAGGTGCAGAAGCTACTCAAGGCGTCCGGCCTGACGTACACGATGCACTCGGCCGGCACGACGGTCGAGGGCAGCTGGGACGAGGTCATGAGGGTCATCGGCCAGGCTCACTCGGTCGTCCACCAGGTCGGGCCACAGCGGATCCAGACCTCCATGCGGGTCGGGACAAGGTGAGTGTTCTCTTGGGACTGGGGGGGGGGGGGAGAGGTGCGTGAGGGCTGACTTGAAGCACAGGACGGATAAGAAGCAGACTGCTGCTGACAAGGTCAAGCGGGTGGAGGATTTGTTGGCCGAGAAGAAGTAGTTGGTTGCAACCGTCCAAGGTTACGCGGTTGAGATTGGTTCTTAGTCTGGTCGTGTCAAAAAAGGCCCATGGCATGAAATTGCTGCGTGAGATCATGACCACCATGATATCCAAGTCGTACCGCCCAAGTTGTACATTAATTCATATGTGAGACTGAGACGGTCCTGCAAGAGGCGACAGTCAAACAACCCTTCAAAATGTTCCGAAGATTTATAAATACATCGACATTATGCCTATATAGTATGGATAACTTTTGGGTAGATCCGGAATTCATAGGTCAGCCCGACCCATGACACTCAACATCGTACAGCAGTCCTCAGCCGAGACCTGCGCCTAACCCCGAGATGTCATCTTCTTCTGCTGCTTCCTCAGCTCCTTCTCCCGCTCCCTCTCGAGGTACTTCTTCTGGCCCTTGGCGTCCAGCTGCGACAGCTCCTGGTCGCGCTTTGCCTTCCTGGCCTTCTCGCGCTCGAAGTTGCGCTCCTCGCTCTTCTCTTCCAAGTCGGCCCTCTGGATCTGCTTGGCGACGTCCTCACGGACGCTCCTCACCTTCTTGAGAACCTCGGGGCGGAAGTGCGCCTCCTTAACAAGCTGGTCGGCGATACGGATGAAGTGCTGGAAGATCGGCAGAAGCGGCTCATAGTTGTTGTCGGATGGCAGGCGGTACTTGAGGAAGATGCGCTTCCTGGGCGTGGTCTCGTCAAGCCTGTTGAAGGGTCAGCTGCGAACGACACGTTTGTTATGGTCCATCTTAGGCAGAAACTCACGTCTTGGGCTTGTCGACGGGTTGGTCGGAGACAATAAGATACTCAAACAGATCACCAGCAGATTCGGCGGCTTTAGCAAGCTCGTCTGTGAGCAGAACCTTGGTGATCTCGGCGCTCTCGCTCATCACAGTCAACCAGATGGGCAGCTTGGAGTTGTCCTTGGTGAACGTGAGGGAGACGTCGAAGCGCTCATCTCGGACCTGCTTCATACGTTCCTTGTTGACGATAGCCCAGACGAATCCATCATAGGTGCTCTTCGTGTTCTGGGTCTTCAACTCAGCGGCACCGGGAACACCTGGGACTGTTAGGGCCTCCTTGCCGTCGAATGGGTAGATCGCCGCCTCCACAGTATCCTGGGGCGTCGGAAAGCTGTCGAAGAAGAGGCTGAGGGCCCACTCAGCGATCGAGACGAGCGGGTTGAATCGGCGGATCAGGCTGAGCTTCGCATCCATAAAGGCAATGTTCTGACGACCCGTCGCATAGGTAGCGAACTCGAACAGAGACTTCTCCTTGAGCGCCTTCTCAGGCTCAGCAAGGTCAGCCACGAGGAAATCAGTCTCGCCATCGCCGCTGCCGCCGCTGGTTGGGGAGCTGCCGAAACCGACGAGAGCAAACTCGGAAGCCAAGGTCTTGGAGTGCGCCTTGACCCACTTCCTGGCCTTGCTTCGGTTGAGGCGCGATCCAACGACGTGTAGCGTAAAGATGAAGACGATACAAACGAGTATAATTCCCTCGGCGCGGAAGTCGGCCAGAGTATATCGCTCATCGAGACGGTACCATTTCGTATACGGAGGGTTGGTGGCAGCAGGGACGTTGGCCTCCAGCGTCGCACCGCCCAGCGGCGTGGTAAATGCGGGCGAGGGATCTGCGGCCTCTGCAAAGTCGGCGAAGTCTGTCACCAAGGTGGAGGTCAGCGCAGCACAAGCTTGTGTGGAGCCCTGGACGAAGGCTTCAGGAAGTCAATTGAATGCGGGTGCGCATACCTGAGTCAGCAGAAGGAATTGGCGATGCTGAAGACTTGCTGCCTCCCCCGAGGAGATCCTTGAGAAGGTTGGCCATGGCTGGTGTGTCTCGCGACGAGGGCAGTCTGCGAGATGGGTCGTCGGAAAAGAGGCGACGTTGAGGAAAATCCTACGAGCTTCCAAGGTTCCGACGACATTGGGGAAGCTCGGCTTGGCGCAGCACAGCTCCACCTCAAGGTTTGGGGTGAGCCACCAATGGTGTCATCGGCTCGGACCGGGGCTGTCTTACATAATCGGGCCGCCGGACAGTTGCCCTGCCAACACTCTGGAGTCATATTTACTTCGCGTCTCTTCAACTGCAGACCTCATTCATGCATCCAATCCAGCCGGCTCGACTCCACGTGGACCCGTTTCGACGCCTCCAGCACCTACATCCAGTCCTTGCATTCCAAGCCTGCCCACTCGAGAATGTTCAGTAGATGACAGCATGTCGCAAAGAACCTCCGTCCGAACCTATGGCAAACGGGCCAGGAAGCCCCGGCCGGGGAAGGCTTTGGCGGAGCTGGACGTGAACGTCTCCATAAGCACGACCACCTCGAAGAGCACGGAGTCAGATGACACCATCACCAAGATCACGAAGAAGCTCAAAGATGTTACAATCCATGATGGACAGAAGACCAAGTCCTCGGCGAAGCCAAAGGCCGCCCCGCCAGCAGCTGCGCCTTCGCCACAGCCACCACAGACTCCCAGAAGACCCAACCAACCAGACATACCAAGCCTGGCTCCCACACCTCTAGATACCCAGGAGGACTCCAAAATGCTGTCATGGGAGGACGTTTGCCCCTTTGGAGACCGGATCGAGAAGATCGCCGAGGCATCTTATGCGGAAGTCTACCGGATCACAAACGACCGAGGAACCAGCATTATCAAGGTGATACGGCTGGACTCGCCGATAAAGCCGCAGACCAAAGCACAGCAGAAATCTGGACTTGTCGACGAGGAGCCCCACAGTGGAGATGACCTGGCGGGAGAGCTGCACATCTCGGAGCTCCTGGCGGACATTCCAGGGTTTGTCATCTACAAGGAGAGATACACTGTTCAGGGCAAGGCCACGCCAGCCCTATTGGAAACACATCAGACCTTCCACAAGAAGATGAAGCGGAAGGACCCAGATCGCTTGCAATTCTACCCGTCCCCGAGCCGGTACCTGAACGACACCAAGTTCCTCGTTGTCGAGCTGGGTGATGCTGGGACGGCACTCGAGGATCTGGAGATTCTCTCCGTTGATCAGATATGGGACATCTTTCTGCACGTCGCAGTCGCACTCGCGCGGGCCGAGAACCTGGTGAGATTTGAGGTAAGATGGCCTGGTGACTGCCCTGCAAGTTGTGTACCGTACTGACACTCGGGTGCAGCATCGCGATCTGCATGAAGGAAACGTTTGTGTCCGTGAGGTCAGAAGCCCAAAGGCGAAAACAGACAGGTCTCCATGCCGCTTCGGATACTCGGGGCTGGACGTGACTATATTAGACTACGGCCTCTCGCGGGCAGAAGATATCGAAGATGTCTCCGCCCGGCCCATCGCCCAGGACCTGGAGAAAGACCTGAGCCTGTTCATCAGCACCCACGCGGCACAGTGCAAGGTTTACCGACAGATGCGCTCATATCTGCTGAAAGGCGACCGCGTATGCCTACCGCCCAAATCACACAACAAGCCCTACGAGAAGGGTGTCAACGGACGAATATCATGGAAGCAGCATCATGCATACACCAACGTCCTGTGGCTAGCATATCTGTACGAATACCTCGTCAAGAACTTCAAAGGCGGGAAGAAGGAGTTGGCGTTGTTCCGACGAGAGTCACATGAGTTCTGGACACATCTCAACCCTGAAGCGCCACCTGAGATCTTGTCGTTCTCGAGTGCCGAGGACGTGGTCGAGTTCGCAGTGGAGGCAGGCTGGATAGAAGAAGACCAGCTGGTCGGCCCCAATGGCGATACGAGTCTTTCTCAGATCGGGGACGAGAGCATAATAGAAATACGAACGTCCCGGAGAGACGAGGTGAGTCTAAGGAGATCACCAAGGCGGCGTGCTCAGCCTCCTGTGGACTGAGGGTGTAGTCCTTGTTAGGGACTCTCGGTCAAGTTCGAACTGCACGTTCAAATTCTTTTGTCACTCACGATGTACATGAAGCATGATGGCGAAGAGGGGATAAACTCGTTTCGGGTTCTGCACATTGATACCAGCGGCATAGACCATCCAGGAAGCGAATAGTACTAGCTGGGCACAAAGTCCTTCTAAATTAGAAGCCTGAAATTGCGCTAATCTTTTACAAGAGACACGATATTGTATTGAGCTGAGTATGAATTGGTCCGAGACCCCGTGGCCCAGTTGAAAACCGACGAAGTCGCCAGTGTGGCACCGAAGGGACGGGAGTTGACGTGCGTATGGAAGACAACGCGGGATAGCCATCAATTCTGACCACATCTCTACCACACCTAGCTCGTTTTTCTCCCGAAAGTTTTGCACTGGGGAACAGCCATGTCGAACATCAAGTGAGGCAGTGAAGCGCCGCCGGTGGTGCACTACAGACATAGTTAGCCAGGTACATTCGGGGCAAAACGAGACATCACAGGCAGACGACGGCCACATCCAAAGCAACAAGACAATTAAAATTTGGAGCATAGAAACAAGAGTAATGCAGGAACCACTGCGCAAGAGTATTATCTCTATGTACTGCGCTCTATTATCATGCGGTTCTGCGTGGTCGAAGCAGACCTTGAAGAGCCGGCCCACGACTCTTTGCCTGCTGCTTCCCATGGCTCTGTCCCGAGCACCCGGCACGAAATATTAAACCGAGATGCCTTGTGTACCACAGCTCATACCTCCCTTCCGATTACCTGCCTCGCGCTGTGGGCACTGGCCGCAAACACTTCAGCGACTTCGAGAATCAGTCTCCTTCACCTAGCCATAGGTCCTCGACCTGAGCCTTCAGGCATGATGACGACCAGTGCTTGTGGCATCAAACCGCATCATTCCGTACCCATCACATCTACGCCCCGAGAATAACATCGGCCAATAGCATGAGCCCGGCTCGCCCACCGAGTACCAAGGTAAAACTCCTGCCAGGAATGTCAGGATGCCTCCATGTGGCCGTTGTAAAAGGATGACAGACATGAAAGCGGAGTTTCCTGAAGGGTTTCGAAGGGTTACTTTCCTGCTCTGGTCGCCATTATTCAGTTGCTGATGTCCCAATGTGCCATCAGATCACGCGCCCAATCAGCTTTCTCAGTGCCGAATCTGCACTTTTTCTTCTTCAACCCTGGGATGACCTTCCCGTTCCTGTTGAACTCACCCTTTTCCCAAAGTTGTAAACCTTCAGAAATTTCGACGTCGTTCATTTTCGTCAACTTGGTGAGAAAGGCGCCTTTCTCGTGACCGTAATCGAAGTGCCAAAGCACGAAGTGAGCCTGAACACTCGGGAAGGTTTTCTTTTTCCAAGTCGTCCGAGACTTCAGACACCACGTTTCCCATTGCTTCTGGCGCCATCCGGATTGGAACTCACGATCAAATCCGTTCTTCCAACCACCTGCTCGGACGGCTTTGTTATCCGCGAAGACACAGTGCCTTTCTTCATAGTGAAATTCTTCGGCATCGCGTATGTGCCAGAAGTGGCTAAGCCTGACGAGGACTAGGGTCGAGACTCTCTGGCATATAGCAGCGGGCAGCTTCTCGGAGATGTGACGGCACGAAATATCTTGGATACTGGGGAAGTCTTCTCCTAGGATCCCCGAAGCACTGTCGATCGAAAAGTGTGCTGTGCAGTCGTAGTCGGTGATGAAGACATCATGCTCCGGGCTGATGTAGAACGCGCCCGTGGTGGGCCCCGACGCCTCGGCTTTGCGAATAGAATTTGCTCCGAGGACACGCAGCTCGTCTCTCACGAAATCAGACCAGTGATCTTCCAAATCAACGGTGTATTCCTTCTCGTCTCTGTTAATTTTGTCGATGTCATAGTCCCGCTCCTCCGGGTCGTAGTGAGAGCCGAATGACGACTGTACGGCCTGCCGCTGCTCTTCGAATTCGTTCTCGACCCATTCGTCATTGTAACCGTGGACTTTTCCGTCCACAGCCCTTTCCGAGCCTTCGATCCGATTCCAATTCTTCTGCTTGTCCAAATGTTTGACCTGGTCCTGGGTAACTGGGGGAACAGCGTAGATGTCGAGTTTGACGTTGTAGAAGGCTTGAGCACACGTTCGAGACTCGTAATTGACAATCAGAAGAGGGCTGATGAGCTGTTTGAATGGAACGACTCGGCCTTCGTCGATAATGATTCGTCGACTGGGACGCGCTTCGATCATGACCTGCTCCCAGATCTTGAGCCGCAGCTCCTTGGGAAGGTTGGGGAACTGGTGGAATGTGTTCGCTATGGTAGTGTTGGTCTTTTGGGGCTCAGCAAACGTTCACAGAATCACCAACGGGGTCGAAGGGTGTTGAGCGCTCACCTGCGATGTGATCTGGTCGCTTTTCGTCAAGATGACAAGCTCGCGCTTTGCGGGGCTGCCATCACCGATGGGCACCTCCATGATTCTGAGGTTGAGATGCGAAAATGTGCGGTATGAGTGGTTGACTTGTTTTGTGTCTGCTCCTCAGAAGCAATTGGTCGCTGCTCGTTTTGTGCGGCGGGGGAGCTGGAGCAGTCGAGGGAAGGTGGAGGCGGCGTTTGTGGTTGTCGCCTCCAGGAAGAGCTTTTAAGATGGTGGGGGAAAAGGAAAACGGTCGGAAGTCTGGTCTCGACTGTCCAGGCCTACGGGGTGGCAGGGCTTGGGTGCGTCGAGATCTGACCCGCCGCCGCCTGGGGAAATCAAACAAACGTACTCTGTGCGGTTGCCTAGGCTTAAACTAGCGTACCACCTGTGCAGTTTGTCGAAATCTTTGCTTTCGGAGGTACTTCGATTTACTTTAATCTGAAGTTGGACGAATCCTCCTCTGCAAACTTTTGTTCGATGTGCGTTCGACTTGCTGCTTGGGGTTTCCCACAAGCAGCGGCCATGGAAAATAGAGATGTGATTCACTACTGTGGAGACTGTGATTCACATATACTGGATTGGTTTTCAGAGTCCCAATTTGGGATGACATACATGGCTGGTTTACCTGGGTGACTCGGTTCCTGTTCTGCTTGTGCCACACTGGGATCGATGGCTGTCCCCAGAGCAGGATCGTCTGGAGGTATGGTGCGCCGTTTGAGGACGGAACCCCCGAAATTCAGCTTAATGGAGGATCTCAATTACTTGTACTTGTATTTTCCAGTATCAAGTATCTTTGTCCCTGGTCTTCTAATTCTGCTCTCTTTGCACAACTAGAAGTTTTCACCAAGACGTTTGTGTAGCATTGCGACATTGTGCCCCAGTACTGTCGTTGAAGGAAAGACTTCCCACCTTATTCCTACAGCTTGGGGAAACTTTTCAAAGGTCCAAGAGCTGCGTTTACCGTGCCGATCACCCGGAACAAAGTCACGTACTATTTATTCCAAGGAATTGAGTGTGGTCTTTGCGGATGCAATCTAAGATACCAGAGTCCTCATCAAGATGTTCACAAATATCCAAAGCCTCATTTACAGTCAAATACATATTATTAAATTCCAAAACACAGCTAGTAGTATCCTGTGTCCACAGATATGCTTCTGGTGCTTTATTACCATTAGATGTGTTCTCAGGTTGGTCCTCGAGTCCGCCGTTGGCTTTACACTCTAATCCAGAGATAGCCACAGCTTCAACATCTTGGGGTAGTTCGGGGTGCCCAAGCCAGTCTGTGTTTGACAAGACTCCTGTTAGTATCAGGGCCACACCATCAAGCACTGATAATCGTAGGATCACTCACCACCGGATCCCAGCCTGGCGCAGCTGAGAAGCCCTCGGTACCACACCCCTGGTTGGTGCCCTCAGTGATATCATTGAACACGTCTGGGTTGGCATAGGCAACAGGATTGATGAAACCAATGCTGCTCTTCCCAGCTGCCAGACGCTCCTGGTTGATAAGAGTGAGGATGGAGCCGAGAGTCGGCGAGCTGGCCGAGGTGCCGTAGACAAGAGAGAATTCGCCATCGATTGCGATCACGTAGTTGGCACTAGAATGAGTAGCACGCTCAGATCAGCCTGCGGTGTTATGGCCATGAATGAAAGGGAGACATTGAAAAAGACTTGGGGTTATCGGAGAGCTCACCCGTTCGCGCTGATGTCCGGGAAAGCACGCGTTTGCTGGCTGTTGTTGAACCTGTCCGCACCGTATGGAGGCGGATAATCAGCAAACCACTCATGAACCGCATCGGCCTGGTAGTCCGGAAGGGGGAAGACGTTAGAGAAGCCTCCACCCGAGTAGATGACCGTCTCGCACGCCTCCTCGGGCTGAACACCCGTTGCCAGGTCTGCCGTGATGGAGGCATTCGGTTTGACCTGCGTGGCACCGACGCTCGTGACGTACGGGCATGCTCCAGGGAAAGAAGGATTGAAGCGCCCGCTAGTGCCGTTGTTGTACGTTGCGTTGATGCCCGGGCCGTCGATGCACTGGCCGCCGTTGCCGGCGACGCCATAGTCTCCAGAGCTGTACAGGACGCTGATGCCCATCATGCCGAGCTTCGCGTACTCGTTGCACTGCCGCATCTCATAGAACGGCGTAAGGTCGTGCTCATTGTAACCATACGAGGTGGAAATCACCTTGGTCGCCGCGAAGCCGCCACAGTTCTCGGGTCCCTTGTAGCCCATTGGCAGGACATCGGGATAGATACCGTCCTGGGTAGGATCGTCTCCGCCTTCGTATGTACAGTAGGATCCGTCGATAGCATCGAGGAAATTGTTGAACGAGGCGCCCTCCACAAGGTCGCCGACTTGGTAAAGGGTCACCTCCTGTGGGTACACGAGTGCGATCGCGTACTCTAGATCCAGGTCACTTTCGCCATTGAAGTTGAAGCTCATGTTTGTCTGCTGGACCACACCGCCATCGATGCTGTCGAGTATAGGCCGTACGCCCACAGCCTTGCGGCTAAAGTTTGCAAAGAACAAGTCTAGGTCAGACGGCACGTAGGCCTGTGGTGTGTACTCGACGATACCATAGCTGTTCCCAGGAACTGCCTTGCGGTTGGCAGGGAATTGGTACAATGCACGCAGGCAGTCTGGGGTGATGAACTCGTCGCAAGTCGAGAGGTCGGACATGCTCTTGTGGTGGCTACCGATGCGGTAGCCCCCCTTGGGAAGAGATCCGGATCCAGGCGCACCGAGGCCCTTGTACAGGCCCGGGATTTTCTCGCGCTTCGTCATGTCACGCCTTCCTGTGTCATGATGAGACTGAGGTCGAGGCTTGACATCGAAGTGTACGGTGGGGTAGACCATATCGATGTGTTCTTTGAGAGAGGATGGGATACTGTATTCCGTGCAGGCCACATGCGGTTGTCCGCTCTCATGCTCATAAACGTAGTACTTCGTATTCAGCAGTTGTTCGGCCTCGTCGGCTGTGGCATTGAACTCAAGCCAAGCCAAGCTTTGGGTATGCTTGATGCGGTCTGCCGCTACTCCCGCAGAAGTGAGCCAAGACTTCACGGAATCGACCGTCTCGTCGCTATCCAAATCTCAGAATCAGTCCGGCAGGCGAAGGGCTAGATGGGCAGTTCGTGATGTACCTCGGAGCAAATGCTTCTGCAACCTCTTTTGCAGACCAATGCTGGCCGTACTTCTTGGATTGTGGGTGCGACACCTCTGAGAGCCATTCCGACACCATGTCCAAGTTTCTTTGCTTCAAGCCAATGCGCATGGGCAGCACTGCTCGTCGGTCCAGAGCATCACGTCTCGTCCACCCATCTGGTATCTCGGACCTCCTCTCATGTAGCGAGTGAGAAGCACCAGTGAGCGCATAGGCTGCTGCTGAAGCAGCGCAGCTTGCGAGGATGAGCTTAGGATAGAGCATCGTCTCAAGCAACAAGAATGAAAAAGACGACTTACAGTCGGTCAACGAGTGACTTGACTTAGTCCCAAGTGTGAGACTTCCGGTGCGGACGGCGAAGTAGAAATACCTCGTGCAGGCACATCTCTCATGCATCCATTACCTTATTTCCTGGTGTTATTTGCTCCCCTCGTCTGCCTGCAAGGCATCATGGATCTTAGTTCCCCCCTCTCTCCCCTGCAGCGTGCTCAGAGATAAGAATGCACGCGCTTCTTGTGATGAACGCGTTTCCCCACAGTCCCTATTGAGACGCTGAGGATGCACCTGGTTTGATAGCGAGGTAGCATCGGCCAACCGTTCCATGTTAGCACGACGCCTCGACCCCGTTAGCGGTAGATCATATTGAACTCTAGGACGCAGACGGCAGGTCAATGCTTGGATGAACCTGTCGTCTATGTCATGAATTGGTTTTCCACATTAGCGTCCCCTACGTCTCTGCCGCTTTGCCGTAAGCCTGGCCATCCTGCCTAAATGACTTGGCAATGCTTAACAGAAAGCTTGTCCTCATATCTCCACTTGAACCCTAACGATCCTTCTGAGCTGGCCATAGTTACTCATTGTTTCCCAAGTCAACGTTGTAGTTATATCGGATCAGCCATTTGTCGATAGTTGAGATTTGACAAGCACTCTGCGAGCAACGCTGCTAGACCTTGGGCGGCTATCAGGTGCTTCTCTTTCATGGCAGAGGAACAAATCCGGGATCCAAAGCATCCCGGGAATAATAAAATTATAATTCCCGCTGAACGCAGCCAGGATTTACAAGTGGCGTCGCCAAGGTGGTCTCAAGAAGTTCCTTGCCGAGCTTGCGTAGTACACACCACGTGGGCCTGCTGTCGAATTAATTTAAGGTGCTTTAGGTTACCTCACTTGGACGGTAGCGAACTCGCCGCACAGCACGCGCTTCTCCTGGGAGATGTGCACGTGGACATGTGCTTGTCCGACAATTTACTAATACCGCATTCGGAACGAAACGCCCAAAGCCCCAGGAGATTAGGATTCACTGATGACTGACGGTAAGCCAATTTCCAACGTTTGTGCTAAGAACCAATCCGTCCATACCTAATAGGTACTCGGCGATTTAAATAAGACGGCCCATATATAGGTTTGTGCTTGAAAGAGTGTCAATTTTAGAACGGCATGCAAAAATTAATGCCGTCAAGGGTTTGATTGCCTGGAGACACAGTGGTTGTCATTTGCCACAAATGATCAAGACTGCTTGATCTTAAGAGAAGGAAAAAGCTATAAATCAACCAGATGAAGAAATAGTAGCACACATATAAAGTCTTTGAACAAAGTACCATAGACCGTGAATCGCCCCTGACTACTTTACTGATCTATCCAAGAAAGAATCCAACAGAATGAGAAGCCTCGTAAGATAGTCGGTCATTCCGCCTCTCTCCCGCACACCTCGAGGTCGACAAATGCGAGATATTCTGGAAGCTTCTTGCGCCCCTAATGTGGGCGATTTCCTCATTAGTGGGCATAATACACTACACAGATATCCTCCGAAGGCCTTCGGATCCTGACCGGTTGCTGACGCCAATGCTCACACAGGAATATCACAAGCGCCCTGAGACGCGGTGCTGTGTGCTGTCAGAAACGGGTGCCAAGTCGGCATGAACACTAATCATTCCTGACTCTGTCAGTTGAGCAACATGTACACGCGCAGGTCGCTCTCTGTTTCTCAGGTGTTAGAGTTTCGGAGGTGAGGCGAGCAGTGCGTGTTCGTCCTATAGGGAGATACAGACCATGAGCTCTTTCTCACACTTCAAGATAATTTTCCACATTCACAGACGCGAAATCTCAACAAAAGTAGCATGGATTCCTCCCTGATTTCACAGTTGGATTCTCCCCTCCGATCTCTCTCCACTACAGTAGCAACTATTGTAATACCTTGTTTCAACTTTTCCGCTTACCTCTACCTTGATTTCCATTCCATTCTCTCTTTACTTATTCCCGAAAGAAAAACATATTCAAGGCATTGAAAAACAACAATAAAAAGGTGTTTGAAGTCTAATAGGTAGAGTGTTATATAGTAAAGGGCAGGATCAATAGGACGCTGGTAAGGGATTTATAACAGTTGTTGCTGTCTACCTTTGTACTCTACTGCTAATTTCTCACTGATATGATTCGAACTGTATGCTAGGTTCCTCACGAACAACGAACAACAATAAGTAAGCAAAGCATCGTTCGCTGCAGTGGGAACTACGATATACATGCCGGACGTTCTTTTTCCAAATCAAGAAAATCGTGGCTTCGGGCGATATCACACTGTTCATCCACAAGGCGAAATTTATTTCTGGGCTGTCTGTTCCGCCGCTGCGATTATGATCTGTGCCCGGGCAGAACTCTATCTTGGAGGCAGTCATCCATTCCTGTGGTCATACTCACCCGTGGATGTTCGGCATAATCTAGCTCCCCCTTTGATATACAACCACTCGTGCATCTGCGAAACACTTTGACCCATTTAGTCTTTGCCACGAAATTTGCTATAAAGAACAGCACTCACTCTTGCAAGCGAATCATGTAGAGTGAAGCAACATTCTGGTCACCTAAACCAACCAGCATGCCGGCCACCTCTCCGGGCGAGCAGGCCAGAGGAACCAGGTGACGGTTCTGAACGCCCGTCCCGCTGGTGAAGCAAGTGCTGTGCCAAGTCACATGCTTCGAGTCATCACCTCTCCCTTTCATACACTGATCTCAAGGCGTCACGTTGACCTTTTCCACGTTATATATGTTCTACACAGGACGGTGCTTCCGTCCCAAAAGCGCTCTGATGAATTCGGTGGGATCGAGAGACACACAAACCAGCTCGGTTTTGTGGACAGGGGGGCATATGGAAGAGGCTGACCCTGGCGGTTACACTGATTTCGTCTCGTCCCATGTTTTCAGATGTTATCCGATGTCATGAACGGGGAGCCGCACGGGATCAACCTAGCACTCGGGGAACAGGCAGTGTTCAGGCCGAAACAAAGGGTGCACCATGTCCCCTTGTGCTCACAGCCAGGACAGGGTCTGATTTGCCTATAGCACTCAAGGCATCCCGGCACGAGTTTTGGGAGGGAAAGAGGAGGCTACTAAAGGGGTGCATTTGGAATCGGTGAGAGTGCCGTCATGCAGGGCTTACGAGGCTCCCGATGGCATGCTTTTCTTTCAGCGACATGCCCCTGTGGGAGGAATCCAATGGGCCAAGAAAGACGCTAGCGTTTGGAATCTTCCGAGTGGGAGACACATTATGCCGTACGCCAACAACGTTCCGCCAACCATCAGTGACTTTCCGGGTGTACTCGGCGTCTTCCGAGTCTTGAGGGAGGTCGCGTGCACGAACAAAAGAGCTTAAGCTTAAGCTTGTGTGGGCTTGGCAAGCTTCAGTTGACCCCCAGCCTTGGCGGCTAGCTGATATAGCCAAGCTAACCACGTAACCCGCTTCGATTTCACTGAACTCTTTCCTTTTTTTTTTTTTTTTTTTTTTTTTTTTTTCACCTCAGCAGCTGTGAACAAATCTTTGCCCTGACAAGCTGCTCAAGTCCGTTAATTCTGTGGCGAATCCCCAGATTGTCAGTAAATTTCCCAGGCTTCCTATCAGAAACTTCATTTGCTGCTATCGCTACTCTTCTGACACTGGCCACCCTTGCGGCTTTCCAACGGTGACAAACAAAACGTCTTTAGCCGCCTTCGTGGTTCATGTCCACGCGTCACCAAATGATTGAATCATGTGATTCCGTGTGGCCTGATGTGATCCGTGTCACAGGAAGCTCTTCCGCCAACCTCTAAGACCTTTGGCATGGCACTGTTTCGAATATCGAATTCTCCAGGCACGCAATCCCGCCCATCCCTGAACCCGGGGCCCCATGTTTCTGAGCAGGCTGCCTGTAAACAAGTACTTTGCGCCTAGGAACTGATCCATCAACTTACTGGGTTAGTCTTCGAATCTCTCACAGTAGCCGTCGTACATGTCTCTATCCGATGTGTCAACCAAGCCAAGACTTAAGATCTTCAGGTCTCAAGACCATGTCACGGACGAATTACATCTCTTCGCCTCCTAACTACTGGCTAGGTGGCCTGACGGAAGATTTGCAGGTGGAAACGAAAGGTCAGCAACATGAGACGAGAGGCCATTTGGTACCGTGGTGGAAACGAAATAAAGCTCTCCATTGACAGTGAATACGCCAACCTTCCCATACGGATGCGCAAGAAAAGGGTATCCTCTGATACGGACTATCGCCTTGGTCGCTCAATCACACGTCCAAACGCGCGTAAAATTCTCCTCGGATCGAAACCCGCCGTCAGTCTGCAAGATGGCTGCGACACCGCATGGGTCTAGCCTGCAATATTCAGGCACATAGTGACATCAAATCATATGGGATGCTTCTAGGCGTTCGACCGATCTTCGCTTTCTCTAACGGTATATATTTATGCATCGGTCTGTCTTAATATCCTTTTCTGTCTATCATTTTCGATGGTTGACCCTTTGATATCACCCGCGGACATGCCAGTAACACCCGCCTGTCGTTTCCGTTTCCAAGACACCCTCCTTTGCCTCGAACAGAACACAAGATGTGCAGACCAACGTTATGGCTCGTGGTCGTGGCCTTCGCGACCCTAGGGTCTTCTGTATGCCCCATGATGGATGGCAACAGCGACCCAGCCACACTCCGCGCGAGACAAGCTCAGTCAGCGCCCCCGGGAGGGAACGCGGAATTCCTAGACCAGTTCTCGATAGACGACACGGGCGCCTTCCTGACCTCGGATGCCGGTGGGCCCATAGAAGACCAGGCAAGCTTAAGGGCTGGTGCTCGAGGACCCACGGTCCTGGAAGATTTCATGCTCCGCCAAAAGATCATGCACTTTGATCACGAGAGGGTAGGCAAAGCTCAAGCCGGTGGAGAGACGGCTCTCGATATCTGATTCTCAGTTTTAGGTACCCGAACGAGCTGTGCACGCCCGTGGTGCCGGTGCATTCGGTACATTCACATCTAATGGCGACTGGAGTAATATTACCTCTGCTTCATTTCTCAGCGCGCAAGGAAAGCGCACCTCGACGTTTGTGCGCTTCTCTACGGTGGCTGGTTCAAGGGGCAGTGCGGACCTGGCCAGGGACGTACACGGATTTGCCACTCGATTGTAAGTCTCGGCATCAACGATTGACATGTGCAAGAGGCTGACATCAGTATCCAGCTACACAGACGAGGGCAATTTCGGTGAGAATATCAGCACACTGAACGACTCGGTATCTCCCACTAACAGCTCTCAGACATTGTTGGCAACAACGTCCCGGTCTTCTTCATCCAGGACGCTATTCAGTTCCCAGATCTCGTCCACTCCGTGAAGCCGAGTCCGGATAACGAAATTCCTCAAGCTGCTACCGCTCATGACTCTGCGTGGGATTTCTTCAGTTCTCAGCCGTCTACCCTCCACACCCTGATGTGGGCCATGTCCGGTTTCGGCATCGTCCGCTCTTACCGTCACATGGTGAGTCTCTCAGAGGTGTAGTTATCTTTTTGTGCTTAAAGAGATGTTGACCAGTCTTCAGGATGGCTTTGGAGTCCACACTTTCCGAATGGTCACCGATGATGGCACTTCCAGACTTATCAAGTGGCACTGGAAGTCAAAGCAGGGCAAGGCAAGCTTCCTCTGGGAAGAGGCTCAGGTCTTAAATGGGAAGAACGCCGACTTCCACCGCCTCGACCTCTGGAATGCGATCGCGTCCGGAAATGGGCCTGAGTGGGACCTCGCTGTCCAGATCGTGGACGAAAGCCAAGCCGAGGCCTTTGGCTTCGATATGCTTGACCCTACAAAGATCCTTCCCGAGGAACTGGCACCTCTCCAGGTATTGGGCACGATGAAGCTGGATGTAAACCCAACCAACTATTTTGCCGAAGTGGAGCAAGTCATGTTCCAGCCCGGGCACATCGTTCGGGGCATTGACTTCACCGAGGATCCTCTCCTACAAGGTAAGCTATACACACTTTGGCCACACGCATAAACAACTGCTGACAACAGCCAGGCCGTATCTTCTCTTACCTCGATACTCAGCTCAACCGTCATGGTAACGCTAATTTCGAGCAACTTTCCCATCAACAGGCCCCGGACACGAGTGAACAACAACAACCGAGACGGGGCAGGTCAGAATTTCGTCCACAAGAACATCTTCCCCTATACCCCAAGTGCGCTGAGCGGAGGAATCCCCATGCAGGCCAATGCAACCCAGGGACGGGGTTTCATGACATCTCCACAGAGACAAGTCGGCGGCAACCTCGTGCGGGCCCTGTCTCCGAGCTTCAACGACCACTGGAGCCAGCCTCGCCTGTTCCTGAACTCGCTCACGCCCCCGGAGCAGCAAATTCTCGTCAACGCGATCCGCTTCGAAACGAGCAACGTCAAGTCCCCCGTCGTGCGCCAGAACATCGTCACGCAGCTCAACCGGATCTCCAACGACCTCGCTGGGCGTGTCGCCACCGCCCTTGCCATCCCAAAACCAGCACCGGAGCCGACGTTCTACCACGACAACAAGACGACCGGGCTAAACATCTTTGGCGTGCCACTCCCCACGATCGCCACCCTGACCGTCGGGATCTTGGCGAGCACCGCGAACCCAGCCTCAGTGCAGCAGGCGACAGCCATCCAGCAGCGCCTATCTCAGAACGGCGTCGTGGCCACCATCGTCGGTGAGTCCCTCACCCAAGGGATAGCAGCGACGTACTCGCAGTCCGACGCCTCAGGCTTCGACGGCATCGTGGTGGCAGAGGGTGCCGAGGGCCTCTTCCAGCCCTTCCTGCAGAACACATTGTTCCCGCTCGGTCGGCCCAGCCAGATGCTTATCGACGGCTACCGGTGGGGCAAGCCCGTCGGCGCCGTCGGCACGGGCTCGGCCGCGCTGGCTATGGCGGGCATCCCGACCACCCCGGGCGTCATTACCAATGTCGCGGACGTGGAGACGTTGGCCACGCAGATGGAGGATGGCCTCAGGACGTTCAGATTCTTGGACCGTTTCCCGCTGGACACGTCTACCGCGCAGGCCAACAACGCTCCCTCTGGGAGTACGGCGTCTGGGGCGACGCTTGCCCAGGCTGTGACTGCGGGCGGGTCCCGGCGCGTTGTCAGCTCGGCTGGTGTGTTTGTCGGTTTCGTGGTGGTCGTGTCTGCCTGGGTGTCCCCTGCTCTGTGAGACGTCCCAGGCGGACAGTTCCCAAGGATTTGAGCTTATTTCTGCTGCACATAACGGGCCGGGGAAAACGACTTCTGGTCGGGCTGATACCCTCTACAAATTTGAATTTCCGGGTGCTTTCTTCTGCTTGTTCGGTCTGCCATACCTTGGCAACCAGATACTTTCACATACGTAGAACAGAACAGGGTGTGTTATAAAAGGAGTCAAAGCGTTCCTACAAGGGGCCAAAACCATGGGAAAGGGCCTTGGCATCTAATGCCCGAAGCAGCGGGCCGAGGAGTTGATTCAAGCCCATAATTCTGCAAATCGGATGATTGGCTGTTTCAAAGCTCGCAGCGAACATGTTCATGCTCAGGCTGTGGATGCGTGGAGCCACTGTACTTGGCTGGGCTGGGCGACGTGTGGTCAGATGATGAGCTAGGACAGGAAGGTTTCCGAGACAGCAAGATGACACGCAGGATCGCAAAGATGATTTAATGCCTCGCATGGTATGACCTGATATTGGCTCTTCTGTTTGGCTCTTCTCTCCGTGTCCTCGGGCTTTTGTGGGTCCTGGCAGCTGTCTCTTTGTCTTGAGTGCGAGGCCTGTTCCATGGAAGCGCCCCGGGCCAGGGACAAGGTCTGGAGCAAGGTATGCTTATCTCCGAAGCATCTCAATAGTTACATGTCATTAAGCATATCTCTAGTTTCATAAGTTCGGGCGAAGGCTCCGGGTTTGTATCCTTGCTTTGAAGTCTTGAGCCACGCATAAAGGTTTCCGCTGGCAGGATGCCTCTCGGAACTTGCGACTGAACTCCTAACAGCCGCCACGTAGACGATCGCACTTAGGACCGCCAGAGCAACAAGACAAACGATGCACAACATACTTGCACCGCAGGAGGCCATTATCACGTGTAGACGGCCGCATAACGGGCCGCATTGTCCTAGGGGCAGGGGTCGAGGGACAAGTGAGATGAGGAACTTGTTGAAGAGGGGACACATCTCTCGGTCATCGAAGGGGCGAAGAAGACTTGGACTCTTCAAAGCCGTGCTTGCCATGTGACACGACCTCCATGTATGCCTCCGTCTCTTGATCCGAGAAAACCACACAAACCATTTCATCGACCGAGCGAAGAAGGGACGAAGCCAGAAAGGCAAGCCGAGTGGGTGGTGCGTCCTAAGCTTGGAGTACCTGGGTCGGGGCTTTGAGGTTCCCGAGGTCACTACTGGGGCCTACCGTGTTCTAGCGTGGGGGTACGAGACGGTGGACCGCGGGACGCGCCCCGGAGGTTCTTTCCACACGCATTAATATCACAGGCTGGTATCCGCATGTTCCAGATGGACCAACTGTTGTGCGTACTTAATTCCGAGCCTCTCAAAGGACATGCGCGTAGAGTGGTGGGATGAGACGGAGCAGCTCACGTAGAAATTAGAACGCTCACACTAGCCCCTGAGCTGACAAATCCACCATAGATGACTCCTTAAAATGAGAAGGTGGTAGATTTTGTGGGACTCAGCTGTATTTATCAATTTTACATACGATGACTGAAAACAGCATGACCTTCAAGAAATATAGTTCGAGGTCAGTTGCCGAAGATAGTCTCAAGTAGCCCAGAGTGGTCCTACAAACGCCACCAGCCGCTTGGTCAACGAAGGCAGCCAAATGGAGTAGGTTCATTCAACATCAGAAAGCCCCGGACTCTTTATGCTCTTGAAGGAGTGCAGCGATAATGGACGAGTGTTACCATCATGGATTGGTGCCAACTAAATTCTCCAACATATTTGTGTTCGTGAACGCTTTCTCTTAGAGATCTCCGTCTCATCCTGATGAGACCGAGTAACTGATCTGAGTGGTCTTCAGTATAGATCCGTCTTCCTTCCGGTGACCACGGTCTGGGAGTATCTCCTCGTCCGAATCATTAGGCAACGAGCCTCTGCTGATGTGCGTTTGGACCATCCGGTCACCCCTCATATCATTGAGGTCGATACCACTCTGGTCGTCATGACTCCCAGAGCTTTCGTTCTGATCGTTGGTCCGAATCCATTCTTGCTGGTGCTTGGTATATCGCCGAGTTGCGTTGAAGGTGCTACTAGCCGCTGTCGTTGATTTCCCCACTCTTCCGCGGACCAAAGGCCATAGGGCGGGGATGGAAGCGGCAATGATGGCCAGGTTCACCTCGATTGCTGAAAATGTGAATGTGATGCTGTAGTTGATATCGGGGTCGGGGTCGGTGGTGTTGTACATTCCCATTTGAATATGCCGTTTCCCCAGACGACATGTCTCACGCCACTTTTGACGCCGGAGAAGCGGAGGATGAACAGCAGAACGGAGATTTTGACGATGGACAATATGGGCATGTAGATGACTCCCATGGCGTATGTCCAGATAAAACCCCGTTTGTAGTCTGAGTCCAATGGTACATTCCAGTAGTGGATACCGATGTACATTGTTCTCATAGCTGGTGAGCGGTTGTATCTTTAGTGAACTATTGCTCCCTGACATTTGCAGGGTGCAGGCCAATCCGGGGGGACCCAACCCTGCAAGGAAGACTCACCGAAGATCGCAGTGACTGCGAGGCCAATGGCTAGGATCATAGCCACAATAACAAGTCCACCATCTATAGATGGTATCATGTTAGTCTAGAGCCAGGAGTGTGTCCACGACAATGGAAGGTCTCAAGTTTACACAGGCAACAAAAACTGAGTGAACTTACCCCAGCCGAAGTTCTTTGTAATCAGTCTCGCGTAGACTCTCAGTGAGACTGTTATCAATGATAGTAGCGGAAATAGTACTTCCAAAGCTATACCAGCCTTCTGTAGAGAAGATGTCGGGAGATCTGATGTCGAGGTCATGGCGGATCTGAGCAAACGGCGTGGTCCGCGATGGGGCCTGAGGAGGCTTGAGTGGATGAGATCTTCGCGGATGGGTAGCCAACCCGACCATGGGATACCACCAAAAGGTATTTTTAGATAGTCTCTCGGAAATCCTGGCACGTGTGAGAAACTTGGAAAACGAGGACCATGTCTGGACAATGAGTCCCTGATATGAAGCATGGCCGCCCTGGAGGACACTGCTTCCTTGCTACCATTGTGCAGCCGATTCTCCATGCCTCTGCTTCATGTGGCTTTCTGCTGGTACTCCACCGTAGGAAAAGGATTTCAACAAGCCTGCTGCCATTTCACCACACCGGTCGGCCTCGGTCCCGACGTGGCATCAAGGCCCATGAGAGACCCACAAAATAGACAGTATCTCGTGGCGTGCGAGGATAATCCAGAAGCGCAGGCATATTTCTAAGGACCGCTCCGGCGAGACTGTTCCGATGCATGTATTCTCTTCAATTAAACGGAAACATCGACCCTGGATAGTCCTGATCCCTATAGGCACCAAGAAATTTCCTGCTTCGCCCTGCCCCCTCTCCTTGCGGATAGGAAAACAGTCTTCTGGCATGAGAAAGTAGGCTCAAGCTGAATCCCGAGTACTAATTGAAGGAGCCTTGATTAAATCATGAGAGCAGGAGAGTCTCGTAGTGGTGGCTTGATTGACCGTGCAGCTCTGTGAGGACATCTTCAAGGTCCTCCAGCACTTGAGCGTTTGGGCAACCGAGGTTCGGAGTGTGAAAAGTCCGGACGTGTCCCTGACTTGATGCGATGAGGCATGTAGACTGACAGGTCAATATGCGTGCCAGGGTTCCTGTATACAACTCCTCACGTCCTTACGCCACAGTAATTTACACCGGCAGGGGTGTCGGGGCGTCCAGTGGCCACGTCTTTTTACCGCCGTGACCGCCAGCGGAAATATGAACGGAAGGATCGAATGCTTGAGAGCACTTGGAACATGGAAAATTCGACCCTCCCACGCCTCCCCAGCAATGCCAGAACTTCCCCTGAGCCACGCTTGTGCAGCTGCAGCTGTTTTCTGGGCAGTCCAGAGCGTGGTGGGCACATGGCGTTGCCGTAGGATTCGGCATCCAAGTGGGCCTCAACTTCGACCGCAAGCAGGAAATACATGGCGTGTGACAAGGCCTGCAGCAGCCACTGCTGGCAGCATAGCCACTACCATAAAGTCTTGTCTTTTGCTCCTGAGCTGGCCATGGAATTGTTACCCTTCCATGCCAGGCATCAAATGCTTTGCTCCCCAACACTTGATGGTTGACAACATGTCGACTCGAAGTTCGCTATGGCAATTAATACTCAGCAGATCAGATGTCGTGCCAGTAAAGTTAGCATTGTGGAGCGCAAACCCACATCGGATGATCCTCAGTGTGCACCGTTGACTCCATAACCACTACGACCACGGGCCGTTCCCCGTTCCCTTCCGAGCTTCCGGGCCTGCTCTTATTGTTATGGATCTTTGTGTGAACTTGAACAGTTGCCTTCAAATATGGCTGAATAGATGTTGCATCGAGAGACGTCAATCTTGCGCTCAATTTACCCTAACATGGCCCAAAATATATGTAAGATATATGCAGCTTATGCTAACACGGCTTCTCTTCATTCCCCTAATTTTATGTAACTGTGCTGTCGAATAGCGGAGCCTGGTGCTGCATGCGGTGTGTCGCGTACAATTTCGAACCAACAACTTCCTCGGTCCACCCTCCAGCCCAGGCCGACAGCAACGGGCTTGCCACATTCGTCTTCGCGTTCTCGGTATCGAATGATTGGTGAGATATACAGTGGGCCAGATCTAGACCCTGTATTCGGGAATTACGATCAAGAGAGATACAATATCTTCCAGTTGCCGGATTATGGATCTTTTACTATTGCTTTCTCTCCATCTCTTCGAGCCAGACAGGAGCGAGGCGTAACGGCATCTCAAGCGGGCCCATCAAGTCGCCATGCCTCGATATACGATTCTCGTTGCTGCTCAGCTGGCGGCAGCAGCACTTGCGCAAGGCACAGGGCTCGATGCAGCAGATTCAAGTAAGGGAGCCACATGATGTCTGAGCCTACACTTTCGCACCTATCCTGCATCTGTCTGACCATAACTCATTAGCATTGAGTCCGGCTGTGCAGGATGTGGCAGATACCGCCGCATGAGGAGTTGGTTACTTTTCCTATGAGAAGTCCCAGCTCACGCCAGAGGTCATCAGCAACCTGACATCTTACCTGGAGGCGCAAAAAGACGGCGATGCCAGCGCTGCCATGTTCGATTTCGCCAACGCCAGTGACGCCTCTCTGAAGAAGCGGGACAGAGGTTGCAAGGCATACCCTGGCAGTGCCTCATGGCCGTCAAAAATTGTCTGGCGGCTGTTTGATCTCTTGCTGGGGGGTTCTCTCATCGAGGGCATTCCAGCTGCCGCGGTCTGCTACCAGGACTGGCCGCAGTACGATCAGGCCAAGTGCGCTGACCTGAGTGTCACTTGGACCGACCCAGCCTGGCGGTAAGCCCTCAAACCCTACGATGTCTTTGGCCCGACGAAGATCCCTAACACGAGCGTTAACAGCGCTGCGCAACCCACAGAGGTCGACTGGCCGGTGTTCGAGGGCATGTCGTGCCTCCCACCAGATCTCGGCGACTTTCTCTCCCGACCAAACTCCACGTGCGAGCTCGGCTGCATGCCAGCCTACGTCGTGAATGCCACAAATGGTCTGTGTCCTGCTACTACAGGGTTGGTAAAATGCAAGGAATCCCCTCACTGACTCCTCCCCTACAAGTTGCCCAGATCCAGCTCGCGGTGAACTTTGCCCGAAACCTCAACATCCGTCTCAACATCAAGAACTCAGGCCACGATTTCAATGCAAAGAGCACGTCCGGCGGGTCTCTGTCGGTCTGGACCCTGCACCTGCAGGACATCGAGTTCCTGGGCTCCGGTTACCAGTCTGCGTCTGGGGCCAAGGACCCGGCATTCAAGGTCGGCGCTGGCATCACCACGAAGCAGCTCTACGATGCCGCCCACGAGCGGGGCTTGATGGTAGTCGGGCCCATTGCCCGGGTAAGTGGACTTGGAAAATCCGGACGGAGCCGGTGATGTTGTGACTGACACCTGATTTCAGACCGTTGGACTTGCTGGAGGGTATACCGCTGGGGGAGGAAACGGTCCATTAATTAACAAGTACGGCGTTGCAGCCGACCAGGTGCTCTCGATGGAGGTCGTTCGTAAGTTACAGCCTTCAAGGATTCATTCATCATTTTCGTAGGGAGACCTTTGCTGACTTGAAATTATGCAGTGCCGGACGGGTCATTCGTATCAGCTGATGCGAAGACCAACTCTGAGTTGTTCTTCGCTTTGCGTGGTGGTGTAGGTCTTAATTCCCTCTTGTGATCTTCCGTCCACCATGTCCTCATCCGCGGAATCCCAGACCTTCCGAACCCGTGACAATGTTAACAATCAGGACAGGGTGGAAGCACTTGGGGCATAGTCACGAGCCTTGTTCTCCGTGCTTACGAGGACACCACTATTTCCACTCTCAGTTATACCTTCGGGTCTGGGGTCGAAGAAGAAACATTCTGGGCCGGAGTTGATGCTTTGTGGTAAGTCTTGCAATCTCCTTCTCGTCGAAGCTGGGTGCTCACCAAATTGTTTCTTGCAGGCAGCAGTTCACGACATGGCCCGAGGCTGGTATTTGGAGCTACTTCAGCTTTGCCTGCGAGGATGTTGCCAACTGCACGTTCTCCATGGCGCCCCAGGTCGCCCCAGGACTAAGCAAATCCGAGCTCGAAGACCACAACGCAGCTTTCTTCGCGAACCTCTCGTCGCTGGGCGTTTCTGTGGATGATGTCTCCTACAACGAATACTCAGGGTTCATGGAGATGTTCGAAGAGCAATTCCTCGACACAACAAACACCGCCGGCTACTGGTACTTCCACAGCACATCGCGGTTCTTCCCAGAGCGAAACTGGCAGAGCCCGGAAAAATTCGCGGCGCAGTCGGCCGCCATCCGCAATACGACACAGAGCCGCGGCAGCTTCACCGGGTACAACTCCAGGCCGGGGGTCAACTCGGCTGTGTGCCAGGATAACGCCGTTAACCCGGCGTGGCGGGAGGCGCTGGTGTTCGGCATGGGCAACGTCGTGTACGGCTACAATGACACAGTCGAGGAGATGGCCGCGGCCAACAAGCAGATGGTGGATGCGTACGCGGTGTGGCGCGACGTGAGCGACGGTACGTACCTGAACGAGGCCGACATCAACGAGCCTGACTGGCAGCAGTCCTTTTACGGCAACAACTACGACCGCCTTTACGACCTGAAGCAAAAGGTAGACCCGTGGGGTGTGCTTTATGCCACTGGGGCAGTGGGCTCGGAGGACTGGTACGTGACGGACCAGATTGAGTATTTCCCCATGGCGAATGGACGCCTGTGTCCCGTTGGATCGTGAGTTGTTTCGAGAGTGGGGAATTAATTTGGATGTATATACTTTTGAAACCCTGCATTGAACGGTAGGCGGGATATCAAGACCTGTGATCTGGTATCAACTAATAGAGATGGAAGGGATACTCGATCCTCTGAACGTCTTCTGAGCCATGCTAGTGATGAGGCTATCCCATAAATTGGCCAACAAGATGGCCTGTTTTTTCCTTCCATCACACCAACAATTAGACACGATCTCATCGCATGTAGCCGCTCCTCTATCCATTTCTCAAGTGATCATGGTAGTCATTGACCTCGCTCACTTCCGTCAGCATTACCGAAGAGTGAGTCTTATGGCTCGCAACCGGGTTAGTGCGGCCGATGTTGAGCAAGAACGACCTCATCCCCGTCACCTCGGCCGCAGGAATCTCCGGTAGATCCTTGTTGCATATTTCTTGGTACGGGCCATGCGATTTGCTGCTTTCGCCGGCAGGAGTTTTCGTCCCACCTTGGCTGCGACTTGCCACGCTGAACCACAACTTGGTGACAAACAAAATGGTCTTCTCCATGCTGCTCCTGAAAAGCACAAAGACGACAGGCATGCAGCTAGCTGCGATGCCAATGTTTATCTCGGCAACACTGGTGAGCTGGTTAGCGGGATGCTTTTCCATGTACGAAGCCGGGAACGGGGCAGATCCAGGGCTTACTTCATTGCAAACATAGGCATTGATACCCAACTATCATTCCCTCTTTTTGTGATGGCGAGTTGAAGGCGGTAGACAGCACCGACCAGAGAAAAAATGACAGCTCTACGTGAAGTTAGTGCCGGGGAAAAAATGGTCCCTAGGTGCAAGCACATGTGACGAAGGTGTTATCACTTACGTGGATCCAGTAATGAAAATTGCAGAGATTCCAATCTTGCGCTTGGTGGGCATGTTCAGGTCCCAGATGAAAAAGAAGGGTACAACCAGAATGTATACATCAATGATGAGCCCAATGACGCTACAGGTCGCAGTGAGTGGTGGAGATAACCTCAAAGCTCGCTCAGCGTCTGTTGCAGGGAGTTGAGCAGCATAGTCGACAGAACGCGGGACAACGCCCACGATGAAAGCAATAGCCATGCTAACGTAGAACACAACGGTGCACGTGATACTTGAGAAGATTAATATGTTGGCCAGGCGTACAGGGCTGAATATGCGCCTGTACAAGACCAATATCGCCGTCTTTGCTGAGAGTGCCGAAATCTGGTATAGGATCCATTGCAATGATCCGAGCTAGGTTACAGCGTGTTTAGTGTCAAGCTTTATGACGCGTAATAATACCCAGACAGGAGTCACTCATACCAGAGCGGTTTTGACAGTGATCTCGCATAGCGGCGCATTCCGCGTGTGAGGACCGGACGAGTTCCCGAACACTATTATAGTCAGCCCTCGATGTATTGTAAATAAGCAGCCGGGCACGATAACCCACTATCAAACATAATACCGATCTGGGAAATCATAGTTGCCTATAGCTTGTAGTAGAACTCATTAATTCCAAAGTCTCATCAAATATCTACCCATCAAGACTGACCGCTGCTAAGATGCAGAGATCTACACTGGTAAGCTTCTGAAATTTCAAACTAAATTCAACAAGGTGTATGACACCACTTACAATCATCCCAGCCAGGACTATGTGTAATCGAAAAGCGGGTATATAAGCGTAGAGCTAAGAAGATCATCATTACTGGTGAAGTTATGTAAATGAAGATCTTGGGTAAATAAGCTGACGAGGATGGGTCCGCAAAGCTGGGAGCAACGCCCTGAGGAGGGATCCCAGTCGGAATTCGACAGAGGTCAACTTCAGCCATGATGAATGCAGTTGTGTCATGGAACACTTGGTGATATTAAAGAAGATACGAGAGTTGGCTTTGTCAATTGCAAGCACGGGAAGAAATGATAGGTTTACCAAATGCTAAATTTCTTGAGGTTCAAGAGACAGTCAAGAGATCTGACGAGAGGAAATATGAAAAGGCTCCAACTGGCCTGACAGGATGATTCATCCGAGACCATGGTAGTATGGCGCAGCGAAGATGCCCTTTGAGTGTGTAGACTTGCTTTTTCAAAGGCAGACATACGAGCTTCTGTACCTTCTGCAAGACATTGTGCCCGGAAGGTCTTCTTGATCAAGGTGCGAACACGCCAGCGTCTTCCAAGCCGCCACATTGTTAAGCTTTCTCATCAAGTAGATATGGAATATACAGTAACTATCGACCAAGCCATGGGCGGCATGAATCGTGTAATGCATCTATTTGCTAGCAACCTTGCCCAGTCAGTCGGCGGCTAATGCTGTCGCAGGTGGCCAGCCGCAGAGTGGCTCTGCCTTCGCAGGACAGGAAACCAAGGATAATTATTGTGGCACCACACCAGAGTCTCGGGATTCCAGCTCATGGCGTTGAGTAAGCGGCATGTCTCAGTTCTATCGCTATTCTATCGCTCGGGCGAGATCAACTTCCTGGTGCATTGTGTTGTCCAGTAGCGTAAGCTGCACATGTAACCAGAATACAGGGGCCAAGTTAGGCAATTGGGGGGGGGGGTTTGAACATAGCTCCAGGGGCAAGTGGCTACCCGTACCTAGGTAGTGTGGGGGTTCAGTAACCGGCGAATCGGGGCCGTGTCAAAGCCAGGACCTCAGGACCTGTGATGTCGCCGGCTGACCCGCCACCTGCAGGCGTATTCAGCAACACATGACGGCTTCCCTGAGACTTCATTCCGGGATAGGTACTGTGTTGACACGAAGGCTGGCCATAGTCAGCTGGTCTATGAGTCGCCCCGCTCTGTGAAGGGAGGCCTGAGGCGCACGAAGAAGCCCAGGGGTCGGGACACCGACGTCACGACTCAGCCCGGGCCGTCCCATCGCGCAGTCAACTCCCTCTTCCATCCCACCAACACCAGATGCCTCAGAACACGGCCGCCGAGGCAGCACCAGCGTCGCCTCCCTCCACTCTCGCCGGTCTACTCAACTCCATCAGGATGGATCGCCTCAAGGGCATGCTATACCGCCGCGGGGGCGCAAAGGACGACCGCGACGCCGACCCAGACGAGTATGCGCCGTTGCGAGACTCGGGCGACGATGCCTCGGAGAGTGGAGACATATCTGACGACGGCGAGCTGTTCGATACCACCGAGGTGCCCTTCTCATGGTTCGAGTACGCCATCTTCGCCATGGTCGGCGTTGCTATGCTATGGGCTTGGTGAGCACATGCCTCTGTCGCATCCTCCTCAGCACCAAGACCATGACCAGACCACTGACCATGACGCCCTTTCCAATACAGGAACATGTTCCTCGCCGCCTCGCCCTACTTTGCCTCTCGCTTCTCCGACGACCCCTGGGCCACGGAGAACTTCCAGTCGGCCATCCTCTCCGTCTCGACCCTGACCAACCTGGGCTCCATGCTCGCCCTGACCAACATGCAGCGCTCCGCCAACTACCCGAACCGCATCAAGCTCGCCCTGCTCATCAACACCGCCGCCTTCGCCCTTCTGACCCTCTCCACCTCCATATTCACTGCCGTGTCCGCCCGCTGGTACCTGTCCTTCCTCCTGGTGGACGTGTGCTTTGCCGCCCTGGCCACGGGCCTCTTCCAGAACGGCGCCTTCGCCTTCGCCGCGAGCTTCGGCCGCCCGGAGTACACCCAGGCCATCATGGCCGGCCAGGGCGTCGCCGGCGTGCTGCCGGCCCTGGCGCAGATAGTGAGCGTGCTGGCCGTGCCGCCGACCCAGGGCACCACCGGCGACGACGACAGCGGTGGTGACACCGTCTCCGACCCTGTGGGCTCTGCCGCCTTCATCTACTTCCTGACCGCCGTGCTCGTCTCCCTCTGCACCCTGCTGGCCTTCCTGCCCCTGGTGCGCCGGCACGACCGCCTCGTCGAGTCCCGCATGGCCGCCTCGCACCCGGACCTGGCCGCCAGCATGCTGTCGACCCACTCGCACGCCGACATCCAGGAGGCCGAGCAGGCCGCCCGCAGGGTCGTCGGCATGCGCGCCCTGTTCCGCAAGCTGCACTGGCTGGCCGGGTCCGTGTTCATGTGCTTCGCCGTCGCCATGTTCTTCCCCGTCTTCACGGCCAAGATCCCGTCCACCCACGACGGCGGGAGCAGGCTGTTCGACGCAGAGGTCTTCATCCCGCTCGCCTTCTTCGCCTGGAACCTGGGCGACCTCCTCGGGCGCATAGCCACGGTGGGGCGGTGGAACGCCGCCGTGCGCACGCGCGCGCCCGCCGTGCTCTTCACCGTCTCTGTCGCGCGCGCCGGCTTCCTCCCGCTGTACCTGCTGTGCAACATCCGCGGCCGCGGCGCCGTCGTCCCCAGCGACCTGTTCTACCTGGCCGTCGTGCAGTTCCCCTTCGGCCTGACCAACGGATGGCTCGCGTCCAACAGCATGATGGGCGCGGCCGAGTGGGTCGACGAGGACGAGAGGGAGGCCGCTGGGGGGTTCATGGGCCTGAGCCTTGTGGCTGGGCTGGCTGTGGGTAGTCTGCTTAGCTTTACGGCCGCTGGGATCTAGAACCCCGTTTTCTTTTATTCCTTTCTTTCAGAGTTTTCTTTTGGGTGTCTCTTTGACCTTTCACTTTTATATCCTTCCGGGTAGGTCTGACAATGAGGAGTTGGCACGGGGCACGCGTCTTGCATGGGAATGGCGTTGTATGACTGACTTGCTTGGATCGGTGCTATGTTGGCGCTCTGGTACGGAACAGTTTGCGTAGGGGTTGTGTGAAAGCAGCAGCATTATTTGGTATTTGGCATGGCATTCAAGAGAGCCAGTGGGCAGGGGTGTGTAAGGCCTCTCAAATATTGCAACGGTCTTTCTGGGGTAGTGGACCGTGTGGGAACAATGTTCACCAATCAATATAACATGAATCTGAAATCAGTGCATACCATCCCGGCACTGCAATCAGATCTATCCTGGTCTTGATCCTCGGTCTCAGCTGACAAGCCCACGGGTGCAAGTGCTTGAGTACATACAGTACAGCCTCGTGTGCAAGTTCCATCTTCCCGCTCTCCAACGTCCGTTGATCAACAAAGACACTCGGTCATATTCACCTAGTACAATCTATCTTACTATTACAATCTATTTCAACGCCCTCATAATAGACTCAGCAGAGCAAACCTACAACATGTCCTTCCTCCACCCCTTATTCGCAAGCTCCTCAATCTCAGGCACCTCAACCGGCCCCCTCACACCCTCGTCACTCAGCGCCTCCACAGCCGCCTGCGCAACGACATCGACCTTGAGCGGCTTCGCCCCCGCGGCGCCCATGAACCCGTCCAGCACCCCCCGCGTCAGCCCGTTGAACAGCGCGCCCACGCCCGTCATGGCGGCCATGGGGATGGTGAAGGGCCGGCTGCTGTCGTACAGGAACGGCGGGCGCAGGAAGATGCCGCGCATCCGGGGGAACCCGCTGGCGATCAGCGACTCGGCCTCGCGCTTGGTGTCGATGTACCGCCGCGGCAGCACGGGGGCGCCACCTGCCGCGCTGACGTACAGGAAGGCCGGGGCCGGGGCGGCGGACGCGTCACCGCCTGCGCCGTCGGCGGCGGCGCGCGCCACCAGGACCGCCGAGTCGCGGTTCATGTTCTCGTACGTGAGCTGCTTCTCGTTCTCGGGCGGCTTGTAGTTGCTGCTTTTGCTGTCGCCGCCGTCGCGCTCCAGGGGGTTCGGGCTGCTCCGGGTCGAGTCGAAGGCCTTGCGCAGCCCTGCGATGGGCGACTCCTTGCCGGACACGACGCCCTTGTAGTCTGCCTCGAGGAGGATGCCCATGGAGTGGACGATGTAGTCTGCGCCCTTGAGAAGTGGGGCGTATGCTGTGGGCTGGAAGATGTCTGCCGACTCCCATGAGACCTTGTGTGCCCATGATGGGGGCGTTAAGGAGGCTGTGACGGCGGACCATTTTGGCTCGCCAGAGCGGCTGGAGAAAGATGAGTTAGCAAGTCTAGTTGTGTGGTGTGGTGTCATGATAGAGCAGGGTGGTGTTTACCTGATGGATGTGACATCCCAACCCCTTGCTACTGCGAACTTGCAGATCCGCGAGCCCAGGAAGCCGTTGCCGCCGCAGACAACTATCTTTTTGGCTGCTGATTTGGACATGGCGGGTCTGATGTGTTTGGTATGTCTGGAGATTTACTTTTGGGAATGGATAAATGGCGGACAGGAGCGGAGTGACAGAGATTTAGACTATGTGAAGAATGGGTGCAGGAGTGGGCTGTGCTGTGAGACTCCGCGTCGGAGGAACCATTAGCACGTATTATGCGAGGGCGTCAGAGAGGTCGGTCACACGAGCAGATATGAGTGGAACAATTTGTCAATTGACACGATCTTGAAGTGGCTTGCAGCTCGAAAGTTGCTCGTGGTTGTGTCTGCAGCAAAACCCCAGTCCGCGATACTGCCAAAGTGGGCTGATGTTGCAAGTGCGGTTGAGAATGTGTATGAGAGCTCTCTAAGCTCAAAGTGGTGATGAAATCATCGACCCTGGCTGCTCTGGTGGAAGCTCTAGGAGCTTGGGGCAGGGGTTCCCTGCAGCCCCATCGCTCGGTGCCGATCGGCCAAAAAAGTAGGAGGAACACGGCGGCTGCTTTGGCTGAACCCATCGTCAATACAATATGGTCTTTGGGAGAGTGCTTGAAGAGTACAGTGTCTGGACTACTCCATACATGACTAAGCGCATATGTATTCTCATAGATAAACACCATGTTTCGAGGACAATTGATGCTTCATCAAGGTCCCAATCGTCATCGTAACTGCTTGGTCCATGCCACGGTGAGTGCCCCGGTCTGGCAGCGGGTCGTGTTGTGTCAGTACATGCGTTTTTGCGGTGGAGCACGCAGCGTGGCTCTTGTCCTTTGTCCAGATCGCGAGGTCGCGCCAGAAACACTTCATCTGTAAACTTCCTTCTCAGAAAACACTCCCTCAAACGATCCTGCCCTCTTTTGCCCTCCAGGTCCAAACACTGACCTGCGCCTGCCCCGATCCGTCACTAGACGCCCTAGGCTGGAAGTTGCAACCGTTTTGGTCACACAAGCGCTGCAGCCAGCGCTTAGTCATCGACACACGCCTGCCGTGCCGCCCACCCTCACCCAAAAGAGACCGCGCCCGCCCGCCGCAGCGAGACGAAGGAGATGTCCCGACACGCAGCTCGCAAGTCACTCCACAACCTCGACTCCATCATGGCGCCCGCAAATAGCGCCGGCAAGCGTGTCAAGGGAAAGCAGGTTTACCGGCCCTTCATCTACGGCACCACCGCCCGCCCCTTCGACCCGGACAAGAACCCCAAGCCGCCTGGAACCCCCGAGGATCACACCCATAGCTGGTCCGTCTTCGTCAAGGGCATCGACGACGTCGACATCACCTATTGGCTCAAACGCGTCCAGTTCAAGCTCCACGAGAGTATCCCAAACCATGTGCGCATGATCGACGGCCAGAAGGGCGAGCCCTTCGCCGTCCACGAGACCGGCTGGGGCGAGTTCGAGATTACAATCAAGATGTACTACGCCCCCGAGAGCAGCGAGAAGGCCCAGACGCTCTACCACCACCTGCGCCTGCACGCCTACGGGTCCGAGTCCGAGAAGAACGCCATGATAGCCAACGGCGAGGTGCCCGCGTGGGTCTACGAGGAGCAGGTGTTCAACGAGCCCTATGAGGCGTTCTACGACATCCTGACCTCGGGCGCAATGCCGCCCAGCGACCCCGCGGCCACCGCGAAGAACAAGACCGGCGGCAAGGGCGGCAAGGGAGGGGCCAAGGAGGCCAACCCCACCCCCAAGCGCAGCGAGGGCGGCGTGCTCCAGCGCAGCGCCATGATCCCCATGCACACGCGGCCCGGCCAGCCCTTCAGCGCCGAGGCCGAGAAGCTCGAGATCAAGAAGCTGGTCGACGCCCAGGCCGAGGTCGAGAGGCTCGTCGAGCAGATGCGGACCGAGAACAAGGAGAAGGAGGAGCTGCTGAGGTCGCTCAAGGAGGAGGCGAAGTAGTCGGGCCCTTCCTCGACACCTGCCGCTCCTGCTGTCCCAGTCTTCACAGACGCGGATATCCCAGAGCTTCCACGCAGCAATGAGACCCTACTGTCTCCGTCTGTCCCAGACGAAGACATCTCAGACCTCTTGGGAAACCAGCAAGAAGACCGACCAGAAAACCATTCGTCACACGCAGAAGGCCAACAGAATCCTTATTCCGACTCATTTGTAGACAGGGAAGACGTACCACCCATCCTGAGAGATGAAATAGTAATTCAACCAGAAAACGCTACGTCTCCGTCTTCCCCAAACACCCCAGACCTCCCAGAGAACCTACCGCAAAACGCTCTGCCTCCCGCAGATATATCAAGTATCTCAGACCTGCAAGGCGCCTCAGGCCTACCAGTGCTCCTAAGCGCACCAGATCCTCCAGATCCAACAGCGAGTCGAGCTCACTCACAGCCACTGCAAGAAGTCGAATCACTGGAATCCGAACAGGCATCGCATATCCCAACATCATCAAATGTCCAAGACTCTTCAAGACTGTCAGACACCTCCGACCAATCTTCAGATGTTCCTGAAGCACCAGACTTCCCAGCACAACACCAGCAGACTACTGGGCAACAGCTGATGACCGGACAACCCGAGAGTAGCGGTCAACTAGGGACGAATGGGCAGCAAGAGGGAACGGATGGCAATATAGCGCCCAATGGACATCAGCAGGCTACCGGGGATGACATGGGAGAGCATGGGGATAGCTGGGCCGACATGCCCCGTGAGTGCTTGGTCTGCTTTGCAGAGCTCGCGAACATGAAGTCTCTCAAACGGCACTGGACCGACTATCACCCGTACAAAGATCAGTACAAGTGTCTGGGTTGTGGTGCAAGTTTCAACCGTTATAACGACGCCAGGAGGCACAGGAAACACAACTGCCCGGGCGCCGACATCGAAAAGACTTTCCTTCTTCACTCAAAGATCATTGATTGAGCGAGAAGTGGGGAGGAAAAGTGACCGTATTTGCTTAGAAATGCCTGGCACGAAGCTGGAGGTGGTCAGTGTCCGTTGGCGGTCGTCGAGCGTGTTGCACCGGGATCCTGGTGGCTGGCGGGATGAGCTCTAGGTAGCTGCGTCGGTTATGCGAAGAGAGGCTCTGGTGGAGTGTGTTGGCTTTACCTGGCTGCAAAGTTCTTCTTCTTCCTTTCTATACTCGGGCTTGGTTTGCGAGCTCTCTTTTTTTTTTTTTTTTTTTTTTTTTTTTTTTTTTTTTTTTTTTTTTTTTTTTTGCGGACTACGGCTATTGCATTGATACCCCCTTGTGTGGGCCTGTGTTCATGTTGAACCAGGTCCCGGTCTTTCTTCTTTCACGCACCGCATGGTTCAGGGGACAGAAAAGAATGGAATGGCGTTAGAAGGTATTGTACGTCGATGCATGTTTGAAAAGCAGGAAAATTGCCGGTAGAGCTGATTGTTGGGCTCAGCATGGCTCGAGCTCTAGAACAGTCAAATAGACCAACATGAATGAGATTCATCAGTCGTGTGAATTCGTTGAGTGCCGCTAAGCATGAGTAATGGCCGAAGATGTCTTGCTTGCACAATTGGAATTGGTTTGAGAGCCTGTCCTGTTGGCACACCAAAGGTTGATCGGGGAGCCATACAGCCATGACCTCCCAAATAAGCCCAAGGCCTGTCTACATGAACACGGAGGAGAAAATGCTGCTGGTTGGTTGTCTGAAGACTGAGATGTTTTTGTATTTATCTGTTTGTCTGATTGTAGAGTAGAGGTGGGAGTGTGTTTCTAATTCTATTACGAATACAGAACGTCCCAAACCTTGGCCAGCAACACTGCGGCACGATCGATGGATCTCTCCTTTCTCTCCTCCTCCCCTTTCTTCCTTCAACCCCATCTTACACTCGCCCGCCGTACGAGGATACACGGGGGCAGGCGATGCTTGCTTGCATAGTACAATGCACAGCCCTTCCGGGGCTTCTGTGCCTGGGGGCTTCGGAGCCCGTTCTCGAGTGACAAAGGAAAAGAATATATCGTGGAGAGCGATTGTGCAGGTGGGGTGGGTGAAGATGGTCATGGCCGTCTGTTTGCTTCCGATTCCTTCGTTCGCCTCTCTTTTGGTATCCGGCCATGCCCCATGCTGTTCATTCCACCCGTGTGATATCTCAAGGTCTGAGCGAAAGAAAGAAGAATAAAAAAAACATCAAATTCCCTCCCTGATCTTTTAGATGTGCCGCTCGCGGCTCCGTAACGCCTTGCAGGGTTGACTCATAATAGGATTACCAGTCTTTATGGTGAACCCGGGGTATAACGCCATGTGTGAGGAAATGATAAAAAGGAAAAAATGATAACATAGGGGCCTGTGGCCCCTAGAAAATCGAGGTCTCATCTCTATTGAGCCTCGTATGCTGGCGGAGGCACATCCTCGCGCTCTTCCCAAAAGGCAGGATTCCTCCTCTTCTCGTCGTACACTCTCCTGGCGATCTCGCCGGCCATCTTGTTGATCCAGGCCTGTTCCAAGATTACAGAAGGAGTCTCTGAAGGCGGGCCTCTCCGTGGTGAGAAGGCGAATGATGCCTTCTCCTCGCTTGAGACCTGTGGGGCTTGTTGCGACTGAACTTGGGTTGTGGATTCGGCCTGCTTCTGCTTTTGTGGCGAGTAAGTTTCCGGTGCCTCCGTGCTGTAAAGCTCTGGCTTCAGTGGTGGCCGCATCGGTCCATCGTTCGCACTGCCGTCGTTGAATCGGACCTTGGTGGGCGTCAACGGGACGTAGTCTTCGGGCTCCTCCGGAATAATCGAGCCCATCAGAGGTTCTGACAAGGGTCCTTCGACCGATGCCGTGTCTGTGGCACTTTCGCTTGCATCGCTCACTTCAACGCTGACAGGCGCGCTCTCAGACTGCTTCCGCCTGAGGTTCACAACCCGGGTCTTCTTCTTGCGGCCGGCGTGCGACCTCGAATTTCGCCCGGCTCCGAGCGAGAGACCAGTGGTTGCTGTGTTGAGGCTAACCAACGAAGGTCGGGATGGTGGCATGTAGCCCTGCTCCATACTGCTGGTATCCGAGAACGTGTACGTCGTCGAAGTGCCGTGGAAAGAATGTGCCTTGGTCAAACTAGGGGTTGCTAGCGGCGGTGTGACACTCTCTGGCTTCTCCTGCGAGCCAGCCCAGGCACGGAAGACAACGTCACGCAAAGACGGGGTGAACAGCGACATGGTCCTATTGCAATCGCTGAGTGACGCAAGCCTGATGAGGTTCTTCTGTGAGAACAGGGTCTGGATCTCGGGACTGTTGTCAAGCGACAGGTTCTGTATCTCGCTAGGATCCAGCAAGTTGCCATGGGCGTCGACGGCGTCCTGCGGTGGGCTCGCAAAGGGGTCGACGGCAGGCTCGCTCGTTTCTGGGGTCTCATCCTCATCTCTGGGGATCTGGTCTGGGCACCACAGACGCAATGACAGCCGGTGGATGATGGCGGGGAGCTCATCCATCATCAGGTCGCGAAGCTTCCCCTCGATGGTCTTCTGGAGGTAGTCCCTAACAAACTGGATGGAATCGAAGGTCGAGGAGACCTTGAGCGACTCGAGGGGGTCATTGCGAAAGACGATGGTGAGTCCCTTCTGCTTCGAGAAGACCAGGATGATGAAGGCCGACAGCTTGATGTCGGACAGGGTCAGCGACAACGGGATGGTCAGGCCCGATGCGGCAGCCAAGGGCTGTGGAGACGTGAAGTCGGGCTTCGAATGCAAGTATGTGTTCAGGGGGTTCGCCTGTTTGTTGATGTGTTAGTCTTGTTATTACTCGCAACGTCTGGGTGGGATCCGTGGGCTAGACGCGCATCCTTGCACGGCAATGTCGTTCGTCAATGCAAGGTGGGTGGGGCGAAAAATCCCCGACCTTGGAAGGAGTCATCGAAGGAAAAAAGCGGGAAACAACTGAGTTGCAGAGGACCGCGCTCCCCAGTGAGGCACCGCTCCAGCCGTCGCGCACAGTTCCTCGAACTCAAAGCTGGTGGCGGGTTGCTCCAATGTCCCTGCGACAGCCGTCCCGTATAATCCCAATCCTCGGCCCGTAGTATATAGCAAATGTGCTATAGCCAAGCTGACACTCGTCAAGCGTGTTTGATGGCCTCCAATCGTCGAACATCCAATTGTTTCATCGTGCAGCACAAAAAAAAAAAAAAAAAAAAAAAGAAGAGACTGCTCGGCCTGCAGGTGAAAGGGCGTCGGAGCGACCAGCCCTGTTGTGTTTGCCGTTGGGGAAGTCGAAAACAGATCCATCACGTACCTGAACTCTTGTCCGGAGGGTCAGGAAGGCGTCGCCGCTGTAGCACATCTTGAAGATGCCGCGGAAGCGGTCCTCTGCCAGGTCGCCGATCTCGAGGATCTCCAGCTCTGGCGGCACGGAGCCGAGGTTGAGCTCTGTGACGAGGATATCATCGACGATTATTGGAGGCTTGGGCGTCTTGTTGAGTGCTGTCGTGAGCAGGTCTCGGGCGCGCTCGTAGAAGTCCTCGTCAGCCGTGAGAGGCGACCAGTTGAAGTTGAAAGCCATGGCGCGGGCGTGCGGGTGTGGCAGGCTCAGAGGTCGGTCGTCATGGCAGGAGGTGGATGATATCACTACCCCGTCGGATCGTTCGTGTTGGTCGCGTGATTTGGGGGTGGGTTAGATGAGTGGTGGAGCGGCGCTCATCGGTTCGGGGAGGGAAGGTGGTGATGGCGATGGAAAGCAAATCGCTATTGGTATGGGAGATGGGCGAGGAGTTGTTTGTGGTGGTGGTATGGAGTGTGGTGTTGGATGTGGTAGGGTGCGGTATGTCCGCAAGATAATAGGCCGGTAGGTAGCAAAGCAGCGCAGAGTAAGCAAAGGTGAATTTTTGCAGGCGGAGCGGAAATGACGAAAAGCGCGGCAACTCGGAAGCCAAAAAACGGACGAGCTCCTCCCTGCGCCCGCATGCAAATGTTTGGTTGGTGAAATTTGGATGGGCGAGTCGCAGGCTGATCCGTGCACCCCGGGCAGGTGGAGAATTGGGGGTTGCTCTGTTTTTTTCTCCTCTCTGCGTCCTCAGGCAAGTGGACTCTTTGCTAGTGATTTTCGAGGGTGAGCGCGTCTCTTGTTCATGCGAGGCACCCGATAACAGCCCGATGCCGCATGACAGGGTCACCACGGGCCACCGACTGGCGCGTGCCACAACAATATGACCCCTTGAACGGGCACTCACTCACGCGAGCAGGGAGGCAGCAGGGAGACAACAGGGAAACAAGCTGCAGGTTTCGGGAAGCGAGGGGATGAGAAGGCTCCTCAAGGGCAGGCAGAGTGGATGCTGGTTATGCTGGCAGGCGCTGGCTGGTGGTCCTCTTGTGGTTTGAGTGGCCTGCGTTGACCGGATCCCACACACTCAAGATGGAGAACGAGGGGGTTATTTACGTGGACGAAGAGGAGACAACACCGCTCATCAACAAGCAGTCAGACAGTGAGGACTGATGCCATACCCCACAGCATGCCCAGTGAGTAATGTACTCACTGCAAGATGCCCAAGAGGTCGGGATATGGGGATGCGACGCCCATGCCCGTTGAAACGCGGGGAGCGAGGATTTTGCGGAGAAGAGTGGTGTGACGCGAACAGCCAGCGTCTGCCAGTCTAGCCATTTCCAACCGCCCCAGTTGCCAATCTTGGCCTGTCTTGGGCCATGGTGCCTTGACAGTTCCCTCTTGGGGACGGGCAGGGCTGGCAGACTGCGCAAACATCACCAGATCTCCCACTCCTCCGGGCTGCTGCGAACCTTATAAGCCGACAGGCGGGTGGAGCGATGGGCTGTCAGCGGCTGTCAGCGGCTGTCAGCATGGGACGATGTACGATAGCTTCATCCAGGCCTCCGCCGACAGCTCCAGCATTTCCCGAAATAGCAGAAAGCATCCAGGAGGTCAAATGGGGCCGTGTCAAGGGCCCCCTATAGGTCCATAGGTCCGTCCAGAATTGTGTGGTCCCATGCTGCCGGTCCTCATCCCTCCTCCCCGAACACAGCCTTCCTCTTCACGAGCCAATGTCACGGAAGGCAGGCACCCAGCCAGCCAGCCAGCCAGCCAGCTGCCGGCAAGCCCAGCCAGAACAGGGTGCACAGACACACAGACAGGCAGGTCGCACACAGACAATAAACTGCCCGGGCCATTCGGGGCGACAGCCTAGGAGCCCACTCCCCGGAGCCTAGGCCCAAGCCCAAAACAAACCCAAGCTCCCAAGGGGACCTGCAGCTGCAGCAGCCAGATGCCACCACAGATGCAGCACATGCAGCCAGCCCAAAGTGGTTTCGTCTCGGATGATTGGCCTTGGACCATTCCTCCATTAGTTCCAGACCGTTTCCACATGCGGCATCCGATCCGCATCTCGTCCAAATCCTAAAAAGAGAGCGACACCTTCTCTGCACCATACAAAGAGATGCGACGGGCCAGTGACGAGAGCTGAACGCTGGGAGAGAGGTACGTATAGGGAGGACGGGCCAGGCGGGAGGTAGAGGGTGACAGAGAAGGAGCGTGAGAGTAAGAGTGAGTGAGAGTGAGAAAGAAGAAAAAGAGACTTATGTCATGGCAGGCCCCCTTGTGTGTGATGGAATGGCCCCCATGGTGTGGACACATCCACATCGTCCATCCTGCCGTGCACACTCTCACACTCACTATGAGTCTGTCATTTTCCGGTCTCCATCTCTCGCTCTCTGTTTGACGGGCAGGGCCACCGCAGGTGACGCACTCTGGCACCTACCACACGCAGAAAAGAGAGCACCGCCGCCGTCCCTTTTTTTTTTTAATCCCTCTCGTTTCGATGCCTTGGCCCTCGCCTTAGCCCTCGCCTTAGCCATGCTGTCCACGCGGACATATCCACAGCCAACATCCTGACAAGTCTGCCCTCGTGTTCAGTGTTCCGTGTTCCGCTGCCGTCAAGCGCCGTGCACACTGTGGCGGGTACAGTACCAATCGCCGCACTGACGACTGATTCAGCCGTCCCAGATCAAGATCCAACAAGGGCCCCAAGGGCCCAAGGCCGGCGGCTTGGGTGTGCGGGCGTCGTGGGCGTGGGCTGGGCGTGCATAGGTGTGGGCATAGGTGTGGATGAATTGAGGACGGCGACATACAGTACCTTGGCTACTCACCCTGACTACTTACTTGCCTACCTAGTAGCACTTACTCACAGCCTACCTACCTTACATGACTTTACATTACATGACACTACACTATGACCATGCCGTCATGAGCCCGGCGCACTATTGAAACAATAAAAAGCTGGCCAAAAGTCAGTCGTTGGGGCCTGTCAGTCCCTGACTAAACTCCCGTCCTCGTCAATGCACCTCACGCTTGCATTGCCTCGACCCTTTGCTCCCCGTCGTTGCGGGCCCCAGATGTGATCCACGGAAACCGCTTCCCTCTTTACTCCTTCGAGCCCCCCTTCCCTTCGCTTCGCCTTCGGACGACGGCCACGGCACGGGTGACGGCAACCATTACGCTCGCTCTCCTCGCTCGGTCGCCGCTTGTGAAGTAGCGACTTCATGCATCCTTGACGGCGCGCCCCTCGTCCCTTACACACACATTCTCTCTCTGCCTCCTGCTCCTGCTGCTGCCCGGTGTCTACCTGCCTTGGCCCCCCTTTCTGGAACTGTTTCCAACTGTAATGTGTAATTTGAACACCACACTTCATGGCATTGGGGAAGTGGATCCAGCATCCTGACAATCAACGGACCGACGCGGCGACTACACACAGGACCGACACCAACATGGAGATTGTGCCCTCATCAGCAGTGTGCACCTTTGTCGGCGAAGGAGCCGCGAACGTTGTCTTTGAGCTCTCGGGTGTGGAAGACCACCCGGACCTGAACGGTACATCACACACCTCCAAACCTTACTCGAGGTCTTAAGTTGGAGCTTCCCGGGCTAACGAGATTCCAGGCCAGCTGCTCCGGTTGCCAAAGGACGAGTCGACCGGCCCGTCATATGCCGAGCTCCAGGAGTACTGGGAGAACAAGGTTTCGCCTCTCTTCGAGCCGTACGAGCTCGTGCAGCAGAGGCTCGTCCAGCTACCCCAAGACCCGGGAATTCTTCGACCGTCTCAACGCCCAACTCGAACAGATCGAGGGAAAGGGCACCCGCCGCCATGACTTCGCCGGCCACAGGTTCGTGCCCCAAGGCATGAGCACCGGCATGCTGGTCGAGGACATGCGGCCCAGGGCACCATCAAGGCCATCGTCATCCGGGGCCAAGGGCGGCCAGGGGGGAGAGGGCGGCGACGGCCAGCAGGACGACGACGACCTCTTCACGCTGCACGAGATCAAGCCCAAGTGGCTGCACCAGTCGCCCCGGGCCCCCGAGGGCGCCGAGCAGTGCCGCAACTGCGCGCGCGAGGTGCAGCGCAACCTCAAGAACTCGACGCGCAACCCGGTCTTCTGCCCGCTCAACCTGGTCAAGGCCACCGACTTCCCCCGGAACCAGAACGTCGCGGGGGACATCCGGCGCGCCCTCGGCCTCTCGGCCGCGCAGTCCGACAACCTGCAGGCCTGGCTGCGCGGGTCCACGCTGCTGCGCCGCCTGCGCGCCGCCCAGTGGGACCTCGACCACGCGGACGAGAAGGTGGTCCCCGACCCCGCCTCTGCCTCCGCGTCTGCGTCCGCCTCCGGCCCGTCCTCGTCGGCTAGTGGTGACGACGACGGCGACGACAACATCGCAAAGTACTGCCTGGCCATGACGCTGCGCGACTGCAGCCTGTTCCTGCGGATCCCGCGGCGGCCTGGCGCCACGGCAAGCGACGTCACCGCCAAGCTGGCCGACCTGGACAGAAAGAACTACGTCTCGAAGCACGAGTACTGGGAAGGGATGGAGAACGGACTGCACGAGAGGAACCTGTACTGGAGGTCGGGCGGCGACGGCGTCTCGGCCGCGCTGACCGACTGCCAGCTGCCCTTCTACAAGGCCGGCGCCAAGAACCTGCCGCCCGAGGTGCGGGAGTACTACCGGCTCTGATCGGGGTGGAGGTTCACCCTTGCTGAGGGACGTTGGATTGGTCTGTTGTATTATTGAGAGGGGTGGTTGGTTGATTCATAGACTTGGTGCCAATCGGCTCTGTATGACTACTGCTATTGCTCTGGTATTGGTCATGATACTGGTTCTGGGTGGTTCCAACTGAGGTCGCCGGAAGAGCATATACTGGCGAGGCGTTCATAAGATGCGCTGCTTTTTTTTTGGGGACAGAAGTTACGCAGCATTGCCTCACGGCTTGTTTACTGATGCTGAGGGATGAGTATATCTCATCGGTTTGTCTAGAGTTCATTGGCATTGGTTTTCCCCCACGACTTGTCCGATACAACGTTCGTCGTCCCATGACCAGAGCCGCCGTGAACCTTGTATTACCACTGTCTATAGGAGTTCGTCTCACTACCCGCCTCATGCCACGGGGATGGAAGTATTGCCCCGCGGGCTCCGTGTCCGGCAGTGGTGATTCATGCATAGGGAAGAGGTGCGGAACTCGAAACCTCCAGCCATTGGGGGGGGGGGGCGGTGGTGGACACATCGGCCTCGTCTTGCTGTGGAGGATTCTGTGGGAATGACACTGCAGGTGGCTGAGTCCCAAAATATTATGATGAGAATAGGAGGAGACAATATTCTGCAAATACGACGTTACCATTTGCACTTTACTCCCTTCTCGAGGTGTGAATTACCTCTCTAACAAACGGCAGTGGTACTGACCCTGCGTCCTGGATAAAGTCCCTTGTGATGGAGATCTAGTTTGGAGGCTTCACTTTGTAGCCCGTATGTTTAATGTGACAATCTCATCCTGGAAGGCCTTGTTGGTATTCGATATGTATTCATCGCGACCAAAGCACCTGGCCAGACCTAATAACAGCGCTGTAACCCGACTGATGCAAGACGCCAACCTGATAAAAAGTTTTCCCCGAAAAAGAAAAACAAAACGCAAACCCCTCAGATCATGGTGCCCCGCTCGAAGCTGTCCCTGATCTCGGCCGTGTACTTGTTGTAGAAGCGCGACAGCTTCTGGTTGAACTGCTTGTTCTTGTCGTTGATGTACGTGACGTCTGCGTCGTCGCCGTTGCGGGCCTGGCGCTCCCGCCTCTTTTTGTTGGCGACCTCCTCCGCCTTCTTGAGCTCGCCGACGAGTCGGTCGACGGCCTTCTTGTCGGGCTTGCTGTCCGCGAAGCCGGCGAGGGCGTCGCCGCCGCCGCTGCCGCCGTAGAAGGTGCCGTCCTTGTCGACGGCGACCATCTCGCCGTCCTCGGTCTCGACCAGCTCCAGCGTCCCGCGGGCGGCGGCCTCGTCGATGGCGCGCATCTTCTCGCGCGTGTAGCGCTCCAGGTCCGGGTCGCCGAGGTTGCGCAGCTGGCGCTTGTAGATCTTGTTGGCCTCGCGGCCGTAGTCGGAGAAGGCATTGTCGTCGCGGTGGCGCTCCTTCTTGGCCACGCGGCGGTCCCACTTCTCCGACTCGTCCACCGTCCAGTCCCACGCCCGCTTGCGCTCGAAGTCGCCGCCGCCGTCCTCGACGTCCGCTTTCAGCAGCTTGTTCGTCGCCACCGCCGACTTGCGCTGGATCGCGGCCAGCTGCGCCGGGTCGTTGGCCAGGCGGTGGGCCTCGGTCTGGGCGGCGGAGAGGTTGGACGCCGAGGAGGACTTTGCGCGGGTCTGGAGGGCGCGGAAGCGTGCCATGCGGTCTTGGATCGAGGAGGTGCTGGCGGCCGGGCCGGCCGTGGCGGGGGGTTCTGGCGCATCTTCTGTGCTCGGTTGCTCATCTGCTGGTGCGGGAGGAGGCACCTCTTCTGAAGGCGCCGGTGGAGTTTGCGCCTTCTCGGTTGTTGTTGTGGTTGGTAGTGATGGTGATGTCGGTTTTGGTGACGGCGGCGCTGGCTGCTGCGGGTCGGCAGGTGGTGGTGACGATTCTTCCGCTGTCGAAGTCACTACTTGCCCCTTCTTGCCGCCCTTTGCGGTCTTTGCAGTCTTTCTCTTCTTTGCTGGGGGCATTTTCGATGGCACTTGCGGGGTTGAGGGTCTGATCAGGCAGGCATTGGCAGGGGAGATGGGGTGAAGTGATGGCTTGGAGTGGTAGTTCAGATTGTCTGGGCTGTCTATTCCAAGCCGCCTGCAGGAAACGGTCTAGTGCCTTTTCGGCCGCAGCTTGGGATGCCTGTAGGACTGCCCCGGGCTACGGTTGGTACAGAGTACACGCGACCTCCAACTGCCCCCTGGCTGGGTGAAATTTCATTCTCCAAATATTCAACTCATATGTCACACAACACCACCGGTTTTGCATCTCAGAGCTGGGAGCTTCCACAAGCGGAAACGGTTCACGAGCGACTCACTGCTCCTGGTGTTTTCTTTCTTCCCCTCCATGGATTGGTCGCTCGCTCGATCTCAATAGTGCCGCCAGCACGGGCCATCCTCCCATGAGTCGCGATCTAGCTTTACCCACAGCATGAGGCGGCTCAGGGTCAAGGACCCATCTGGGCTCTGCTGGGCCTGCGGTGGCTCCATCCCGTACACTGCAAGCTCCCAGAAGCGGAGCTTCATTGTCTCAGCCCCCAGAGGCATCGCCGTCAAGCCGTCAAGTGGTAGGCGCAGAAGGCGGAGACGCGTCCTGTTCGAACTGCCGGACGTCGTGCTGGATCTCGACGCCGAGGACAGCCCGTATGTGCGCCCTTTCAACGACCAGGATGCCGCCCAGCAGAGAGCCAAATGGGGATACGACCCTGTTTTCCCTGAGGTCGAGCAGCGTGTTGACAAGCTGAGGACGGACATCCTCAAGGATGGTATAAGCATGCGCCAGTTGTTGGCAGCCCGTCACCACCCATTCAAAATCTCGGATCACGATGTGCTTTCGGTCGCCCTGCTCGGTGGCAACGCGAGTGCTTCACTGGCTGATGGTGAAGCGGTGGATGAAGGAGCCCATCGACGCAATGCCTTGTTGGAACACAGGGACCAGGCGTTGCACGCCAACGGCATACCGGAACGCATCCTGGGCCGTGATGCAAACACCATAATCCATTTCATGCTGCACCGCCAGCGACTAGCGTCTGCCTCACATGAGACTTCTTCGACCAGCAGCAATGGTGATACAAACACTTCGGATACTTTTGATGATGCCTTCCAGCACTGCAAAGGCATTGTGCAGCTCGAGAGGCTGTGTTCGAACAGCCTGTCGTCGGGACCTGAAGCGATCGGCCCTGCTTCCATGGATCACGTTGCACGCCGCTTGGAGGATCTGAAGAATACCAACCCCAAACGTCATACTCAACACGCCCTCAAACTCGTCAACAATTTCACTATGAGACTGCTCTCGGCGAATGCTGATTTGAGCCCATCCTTGTCGCTACTCGGCTTGGTCATGGCAGCCAACCTCGGCCTGCTGCCCGCGATCATGCAGTATCTGCATATTTGCTTGTCACAGGGGTTTATAGGCAAATCTCAAGACAAGCCCGAGATGTTAGGCGAGATAGGACAGGGAATACTCGGGGCATTAGAGCGAGGAGATGGTTCAGCAAGGGGGACTCGTCCAGAGCTCTTCACCTTGTTGACCGGCCGGACTCACGCCGGCTCGGCAGTGCAGCCGGCCTTGTTCGGGTCAAGCGTCAGTAGCAGTGCAGAGGATCCTCACACTCACCACATTTACGTCCAGCTTCTCGGCCAACTGGGTGCCTGCCGGCTGCTGTGGCACTCGTGGAAGAGAGGCGCAAAGAAAAGGATGAGACATTACGAGCCATACTACTACGCAGCCTTTGTTCGCTGCGCCGAGGTGCTACGCGACGCCAAGAGCGTCGCCGGGTTGGACTGTGCGACGGCCACGGGAGACCTGGAAAGGGACGCCGAGCTCGATTTACAGGCTATTGACGCATTGGATGCTCACCATGCCTCTTCGACTTCCTCCGAGGCACCCTACGCCTGGCATTTTGAGGATCCGCTCTCTTGGGACGAGATCAGCAAAGTATTCGAGAGTCCTGGGATACACCAAGCTGTGGCACGGATGAATGATCTAATCACCAGTGCTGATATGGAATGACCCGAGAACTGTAGGAATGCAATCGAGAGTATATTGAATCTCAGTCCTTCATTAGGGGCCGCCGACAGATTTTCACTCCTCGACTGTCCACAAAGCCGCTGGCGTCGTGCAAAGAGAAATTTCTGCTGAGCCACCTCATCGCCTGCGCCACGTCGACAAGCCGGAAGCGTACGGCGGGTGGTTACGCATGTCCAGATCTATGGTTTCAGTAGCCAGGGCGTCGTCGGACAAGCCGAGCAGCTCATCACAAAGACACGTCGAATACAAATACCAATCGTACCAAGCAAGGCGAACAAGGCCATGGATTATGACGTGTACTTGAGAAACTCCAGAAACCCTCCACGTTCAAGGCTAAGAACAGGATGAACATCGTCTTCGATCTAAGCACGAAGCATAATATCGCACTTCACGTTCATAAAATTTCTCGTTAGCGTGGCAGACCCGCGGTGAATCGAGGCTGACATGCCTGTGTGGGCACCTCAACAGTATGTGAGACCTTACTGCTGACGTCTGATAAGTCATATGAAAAAGCGCGCCAAAGCATGGCCCTCGCTCAGCAACAAGCCATCCCAATCGGTTCCCTCCCTCTTGTTACCTAAAAGCCTATATGTCGTTCAGCCCTGCAGGCAAGTGGACCACCGCCTGCTCCCCAGAGCTGCAAGCTGTCGGCCGACTGCCAGGGATCAGCTGCGAGAGCTGTCGCCCGGTGCCAAGCCGACCAGCTGAGACTGGGGACCCCATTGGGTGCGAGCCGGGATCACAACATATGTAGGTCTCACCTGCAAGGTTCCTTGAATTACCAGACGACCACCTTGATGCCGGTGTGTTCGGCAAGCTACAGCTTGTGGCGCGCAGCTTACCATGCAGCTTTCCCCTCTCGATGCCCGCCAACACGAAGCATGGCTTGCTCAAGCTGCCTCTGCACCGCACGTCGGGGACCTATCACGGCGCCAGTGTTGTTCCATCGTCCGCGCCGGCGCCGGCACGCCAAGTTTGTGGCACGATGTGGTTCGACGCAGACCCAGCCATGATTGTCCCATGGGTGGGTGCCTGGTTCCGTTGAGCTGGGTCTGCGGCTGGGCTTTACGTGAGGTCGGCCCTGGACTTTTCCTATTAGTTGCTGAGGTGACTCCGCGTTCTTTAGACTTTTCCCCTTCCCGATGGTCTAGATGAGAGTATCTCACATCATCTGCCGCTCGCTGTTCACACTCATCTCGACCCTGTGTCAACCGTCACCGCCTCCCATCCCGAGTATCTCGCGGGAGCCCTCTCCTTGTCCCACCTGGCGATTACTTATCCCATCCGGTAGTCTGGACGATCCTCTCGCGTTGCCTCACAGCTTGAGGATGCGAAACCTCGAATCCTGCGAGACCGAAGAATGAGAGGTCCATCTCCAAGCTCTTCACAGCTCGTAACCCATGTCGTAACCCGAACTCGGCCGCCGTTCTGGGCCTGTCTCGAGGCTCCTTTGCCAGGATGACGTCCTCCTCGCTGTCTTACCTGGCGGTCCTCGCTTTGTTTGCCCATCGGTCGTGGCAGCAACGAGATCCAGTCCAAAACTTTTGTCGGCGGTTTGGACACCAGTCTACTGTCATAGACGACAAACTATATCTGGATGGAGGTCTGGTTAATTGGAATCCTATTTCAACCAATGCCCAGAACTACTCCAGTGGGTCTGCCTTTCCTTGAAAGCATGGGACGAAATCTCGTACCTGGATGTTTACTTACACTGTACCATTGCCGCTTAGATACTTGGCTGTCGTATCATGACCTGCAGAAGAATGGCGCAAGTGGGATGCCTCAACTGCACGCCAATCTTTCCAAGAACGGCTCCATTCCGGACGTCAATGGCGGTGTCTTGTGGGGAGACGACGTGAACAAAGTGTTCTATCTCTTCGGCGGGGATTTCTACGGCACACCACCCACGCCCTTCAACCTCTACTCGTATGACATACTAAACGATTCGTGGGATAATCTTGGCCCGCCGAGCCAGAGCGGAATCAACCCAATATCGTATGGCGCAGGCGTGGGCATCTCGGAGCTTGGCCTAGGCTTCTACTATGGCGGCTGGCTTTCCAATAACTCAGTCCCCGGGTGGTCCGGCGCACCTATGGCCACGACTGGCTTGGTCAAGTACGATATGGACCAGGGGTCATGGACGAACAATACGGGACCGGACTCGACGCGGAGGGCCGAGGGAACGATGAATTATTTGCCAGCCTCGGACGGCGGGTTATTGATCTACTTTGGGGGAGTCCAGGAACTGGAGAACGGCACGACGACGGGTCAGCCGATGGACGAGGTATTTATCTACGACATTCTGAGCGGGCGGTGGTACACACAACAGACTTCGGGCACGACGCCGCAGATGAGGAGCAGGTTTTGTTCCGGGGTGACGTGGGCGGATGATCAGTCGAGCTATAATATGTGAGTCTCGGAGCGCGCGCACAGGAGGTTTGACAAGGTGTTGACTGATTTAATGCAGATATCTGTATGGTGGCGCTGGTATGCCACCAGATACTTCCGGCTTCGACGACGTGTATATACGTATGCCTGTCTACATTGTCCGCGCTGAGAGCTTTCCAACTGACCCTGACAACAGTAACGATCCCCACATTCACCTGGATAAAACTTTACCCTAATGATGGCAACGTCACCGGCCAGTATCCTCACCACAGTTTGAGCTGCAATGTCGTCAACAAGGGACAGATGCTCGTCATCGGCGGTACCTTCCCGCTGAGTGACGATTGCGACGCGGCACCTCAATGGGGTGCACATAACCTCGTCCTTGGTCAGCAGTCCGATCCGGATGCGAACCCGTGGCAGCTATACTCGCCGAACCTGACGACATACGCCGTCCCGGACGAGATCGTCTCCGTAGTAGGCGGCCAGGCCACAGGAGGGGCGACGAGGACAGCCCCCTCCGGCGGCTTTGACAACCCGGACCTCGACGTCCTCATGACCAAGAGGGCATCCGTAGCAGCCAGGACCCCAACACGCTCCATCCCCGGCGCAACGAGCAGCGCCTCGTCGTCGGGCGGCACGCACCTCAGCACGGGCGCGATTGTGGGCATAGCTGTCGGCGGCGGGGTAGCACTAATCGCCCTGGTCGTCGGACTGTGTGTGTTCATCCGGAGGCACCGGAGATTCCGGTACGGTGCCACGGGAGGCCAACACGGCGGGCCCAAGTCCAGCGCAGGAGGCAGCAGCAGCCCATACACCTTTGGGCCGGGTACCACGCCGTGGAGCCCGAACAGCGCCTACAGCGGCGCCGCCGCCGCCGGGGGCGCACATACGCCTAGCAGCTACGGGGCTCCTCCGAGTCCTTTCGCGAGGAGGCCTAGCAACCTAAACGTCCAGCAGGGTCCCGCGGAGCTGGCGGCGCCCGTGCCGGACGGGCACGGGGACTACGAGATATCGTATGCGGGTGGTGCTGGCGGGGGCATCGGCCCGGCGGGGGAGTTCGGGGAGCAGCGGCGGTCGCTCAGGACGTCCCACCGGAGCGTGAGCTCGTCGGGGGTGGTTCCGCCGTACTACGGCGACCAGCCCAAGTTCGACGACTCGGGTCGGCCGTGGTACCCGCAGGTCAGCAGGATGGACGACGGGCCGTTCCCGAGCCCGCGGTCGCTGTCTACCGGCCACAGCCCCAACGGCGGGTACAGCCCCGCGCAGGAGATGATGGACCAGCCGAGGTGGCCGCTGGGCGTGACGGGCCCGCCGCCGCCGCCGTCATCGAGAGGCGGCGAGGCGGATGCGGAGTGGGATGGGGTCGACGGGAGGCCGCCGCGCGAGGGGAGGGGCAGTGGGAGGCATGAGACGTTTTATCATCCCTAATCTACTTCTGGCGTTGTGTCTCTTGAGAAGGACCGAAAGATCGGCGTCTATACTTGGATGGGTTCCGTGGCGAAATACATTTGTCATCTGCCGGATCTCCTCCGGTCTTAGGGTGCTCGAGAGGCCGCAAGTCTTGCCGATGCAAGGGGTTGGAGGACATGGAATACGTGCGTATCCAATGTGGCTTTGATGTGTTCACCTTGGTGCCTGTGATGGCATCCTGACGACGGGATGGATTTTTGCCTTGCAACTTTCCTGCCCCCACGCTTTGTCGCCCAGTCGCTTAGACTTGACATTTCCTTCTCTTCCCCGTCTGACCGCTCTATCATCCAATATACACGGGTATCATCACGCACAAACTCCGTCAGAAGAAGCAGACGCCACGGCATCATCCAGAGACGTGACCACACAGCCCCAACAGAGGCCAGCAACCGGACGCGGCCCCCGGACCGCAATGTGACATCTCGTATGCATGGGAGAAAATGTGACATAACGGCCGAGACCACCGGCCGCAGAAACACGGCAACGGCCTATAGCCCAGACCCCGGGCCACCGTCGCGTGCCGTTACAGTTTAGCCATCCAGGTTCCTCCACCCCTCGCGCCTCCCGTGCCGTGTCTCCGGCAGATGGGAGGGACTCAACGGTCTCGGGTTCGGAGTGGCGAGGCGAAGGGTCTCACTTCCTTCCTTTCTTCTCCTCCTCCTTTGAGCTCCCTCGTCAATTCCAAGCGATGGGCTGAGTCAATTCCCCACCCAGGCCTGCTCAAGGAAGGCGGTAGGCGGCAGGCGGTAGGCGGCATGCGTCACGCAGGCGAGAGAACCCTGATGGTATCGCTGTCACCTCATACTTTTTTTCCTGGCCTTCATTCATTCTTTTTTTTCCCCGCAGACCGTTCCTGTCACGGGCCTGTCAAAGGCGCGGGCGGCATTGCTTGTTCGCGCCCTCGCCAAGGGGACTGTGCGGCTGTAGAACCTTTGTGGGCTCGCCGCATGAGACGGCCAAGCGAGTGATGGTGATGGGCCTGCCGGGTGCCTACGAGCCAGCCACACATGTCCCCCAGCCGCAATGTTCACCGATGACGCTTCACGAGGGATTTGATGATTCATGGGGCCAGAGGAGATGGATAATGTGCCCGCGCGGGATTCGGCTCTCGTGAGTGCGCGAGGGCGGGCTGCTGCTGTGCACAGGGAGCAGTTGACAAGGCTCCGCCGTCATCCTGACGTCCTGGCAGCAGACAGATGACAGACATACAGGGCAGACGGGATGGGCCCCCGGTCTGCCCGTAATATACGCATCTATACTCGCAACAGGTGCAGGCAAGGGGGTTTCTTCACCGTGTTTGAGGCCGCCTACACCGGTCAATATCGCGCAATCGTCAACCCGTCGGGAAGAAAGACACAAAAGAGAGAAGGCAGGAATTGCCTCAGTCCCGCCGGCCCGCCCGGTGTTCTCCCGACGCATGTCGAGTGAAGATCAAATACAGGGACGCAACGGGCGACCTGCAGGTCCAGTAGATCCAAGGCTGCGTCCCCTCCCTTCCCCTCCTCGCCTCCCGGTAATGTCCATCAGACAGATCCCCGGGGACTGGACCCTGGGATTTGGCCTCCTTTGGCCTCCCGTTATCTGCCCACCCCACGCCCTACCAGAGAAACAGCTCTGCTTCCATCCGTCTGCCAATACCGGTTTGCGCGGGCTGTCCCATGGTCCATGGACACGGCCAGGCAGGGGTGGGCGATCAGGCGGGCATACGCACAACCTGCCAGCCAGCCACGGCTACCCGCATGCACACTTCCAGAATGGGTCGGATCGGGTTCCGTGCCTGCTGATTGGCCTTGTGATCGAGCAAGTAGGAGGGAGGGGAGGGCAAAGCACTTGGATGGGCGAGCCGTGGTCCCCTCCCCTCCCTCTCGACAAGAATAGCATTGGGTTGGACAGGAGCAGGGAGGGTGTGATTTATGAGTTGGGCCAAGCGTGTGTCGTTGGGCCACGCTTCTCGAACCACGACGGATCGAGGCTCTTGCCCCTCGCGACCCTCCCGCCTGCTTTTCCCCAGGATCCTATTCGGCGTACCTGCAGCTGAGCAGGGCGAGGGCCTGGCAGAGAGTTCTCAAAAGGGATATTGTGCGCTGCGAGGTGGTGTCGGGTGAGACGAGTCCCATGCGAGACATCACACACACGCTATACACACACATGTGCGTACAAACGCACACACCACACACTCACCCACACACATACACACGTGTGGCACGAGTGGCCGTTGGCTGAAGGGTCTGCAAAGCAGGAAGGGGGTGGGAGCCCGGGATGACTTTGCAATTGGTTGCTGCATGGTGTGCTTGGGCGTCAGTAGAAACCGGCCGGAAAATTCAAAGATGCTGTGTTCGGCTGTCAGCCTGTCAATCCGGACATCTAGAACCCTTTTCACCCTGAGGGAAACGGCCCCCAGTAAAAGACCGGGGTGGTGGGCTCTTGTGTCCTGTGCATGTGCACGCGTGTGCGTGTGTGTGAGACGAGAACGAGAGGCCCGCTCGAGGCCCGTTGCGCACGCCCTCGCACCAAGAAGTGACGATGTGCACCGACGGCCGTCGCTCATTTCCTAATCCAAGGCAGAAACAGCGGACCGGGGGGCGTCGAACAGCAAGGACCGTTTCCACACCGTTACTTTTCGTGCTCTGCTTTGCTGGTCGGTCGTGTCAAAAGATTTCGGCCCCCATTCCTTGTCTCCAACATTGGGCCCCTGAGAAGAAGAAAAGAACTTATTTCTCCCACCCCTCCCTGGGGGCCTGGACCTACAAAATGTAGGGTTCAGGTGGAAACGCCTAACGCTCTCGTGGTTCTCTAGACCCCACAGGCGACCACGTCGAGTTGACGATGGCCGGCTTCATGTTCGATTCGCAGGCCACACAGAGAGGGCTGCCGCTAGGGTGAAATTTCAGCCAAGTTACACGTAGGGCGGACGATTTCGCTTGGGCGCCCTTGATGCCTCACGCTGGGGCCTCTCATCTCGTCGAGGCCGCGGCGGAAAGTGACAAGGGGAGGCGACCCCGATAATTCCTGCAAGACACACGCACACGCGCGCACACACAGTGGGGAAAAAAAAAACATTGCAAAAACACAAAACACAAAGAAAAAACATCTGTGAACAAGCAAATGCAGGGGCGATGCAGGTGCAGGAAAAGTACGACGCCAGATTCATCAACCTGAGAGTTCGAGAAGCTGATGAGATTGACACGAGACACATCATCAGCCCGCTGACTCCGTAGATCCCTTCCTACTCTCTGCCCCGTGCCCCATCCCAAAGGGGTCACCAGATTCCCCATTTAAAAGGGTAGTTTGCCCCAGGTGTTCGACCGCTCAGCCCGCCTCCCGTCCTGCCATTGCCCGCACCCCCGGCGGGCTCCATTCTTTTTTTTTTCCTTCTCGCGGCTGTCAGTCACCGGATGGCCATGTGCGCGAGCATGGGCGGTGGCATGACCCTCGCTCACCGGGCGGGCAAATCCCACGATTCATTCTAGGGTAGGCGAAGAAGGGCATGGGTAGCGGTGGGTTCGAGCCTTGGAAGCGGGGCGGGGTTGTGATAATTCACATCCGTGGTGCACAATCCACGGGCGGTAAGGCGCGTGGACTGGGGGGCCTGCGCCGATGAGATCAGAGGGCGGAACTGACACATACCGTACCCGTGCGTGGCACTTTTTAAACTTTGTCTTGTCGTCCCCATCCAGCTGAGAAAAGACGTGTTCTCGAAACATGAACGGTGCCCACCGCCTGGCTTCGCTCCCCGGTGGGGCGGGTGGCCGCCCGCCCCTCCCTTCGAACGGGGTCGGGAAGCCGGTGAAGGCCCCCCGGAACGGCGGCATGTCAGAGAGCGGCTCCGTCCGGAATACCACTCTGCCTCCGGCTTTGGGCACTCTGGGCCTGAGGGCCCGACAGCCCTGGGCTGCACTGTGGATGCCAGTAGGGCGTGGAAACGTGAAATTCTCCATGATGGGCCGCAAGCGAGGACGGTTTTTTTCCTCGGCTCCCTTTTCCGCACCCTTGTGTGGGCATGGCATGACCGAGTATACGGGGGTACAGTGCTGCAAGCGTCCTGTCTGACGGCATGCCAATTCGGGATTTCCGTGTTGAAAACGGTACTGGTTTTCTGGCCGTGGTACTACAGGCCTGCTACCATGTGTGAGCAGTGAGTCGGCTGGCGGACTGAACCGGGTCTATGAAACAAAGGACGATCTTTCGCCCTTGGGGGAAGGAGATTTTGATGATAGTGCTCACAAGTCTGCAAGACTGCATCAGTATCCCAGTAATAACAATAACAGCGCGAGCCGTTAATTGAGATTCCGGGATCGCCCTGCCCGTGCTGCAGTACGCATCCAACTCGCAGAGCAGCAGCCGCTCTGGGCCCGATCGAAACCCGCGAGACATGCATGAGCAGCGCCTCCGTTGCTCCGTGCATATATTGCGTAGGTAGTGTGCTCGACATTGCCAGCCGACACAGGCAGGCAGATGTATCCGTCGCTGCAGGACGCGAAAACAGATGCGGGGAAGCTACAAATTGTCAGACGAGGAGGATCGTGAGACCCCCCACGCTCCCAGAACTAAAATTGTTGCGAAGAGGCAGGTTCAGCGATGATCGGTCAGGCGGAGGCCGACAGGGGACCGACCAGGGCATGCTCGGCATAAGATAGGGCAAGGCTCCCCCGAACGTCCGAGGCGTATGCTTCCGAACTATCCAGAGCCCGTTCATTTCGTGCGCCGTTTTGAAAGCGGTGCCTTGCTTTGCGTTTCGTCGCTTTGCCCTGACAGATAAGGGACCTGGCCTTTGCCTCGAAACGGGTTGGGCCACTGCAGGTTGGGGGGTCCGAAACCAAGAAAACGCGCATGATGTATGATGCAGGAAAAGGGTCCAAATGATGGATGTGAATGGGCGTGGAGGGGTCTTGCCGCTGGACAAGTGGACGCGCAAGCCTTGATGCAGCGTGAACATCTCTCCTCGAATGAGAAAAAAAATGAGGCAGGGCATGGTGTCGGAGCATCGACTTCATGAGCCACGGCGCGGCGTCAATCATGGCGCACCCCTACGAGGGAGGGATGTCTCCATCGAGAACCGCTCATTCTCAACTGCTTGTAGACCACACGTTGTGCAGAGGGAGTGAACGTCAGTCCTGTAAATCCAAGTTTGTCATTTCCTCAGCCCTGTGGTGTTTCTATATTGGGAAGTCGATGTGTTGATGTTTTCCCGTGTCGTGCAAAACAACGCCGATCCCGATCTGTCAAAACCTTGCGGCTCCAGATTTTACGCCGGCCTTCGCAAGGAAGGGCCCTGACCAAAGGCAGCGCTTGTCATCAGGGTTCTCAACTGAGACCGAGAAGAGGGCGAGGGGGTTTGCGCAGGGGGGGGGAGAGCGGTTGTCGGTGGTGTCCTGCCAAGGCCCAAGTCAGGAACAGACTTTGGCCATTGGCACAGTTTCTGGGAGCAAGTTTCCTTTGGAGCGGAGTTAAAGACGCATAGGCTCGTGACTCAAAATGGTCGAGATTCGTCTATGATGGTGAATATGAGGTAATTGTTTCTGGCCTTCTGAGACACGGCTGGGGCTCGGCTGTTATGTGAGAGAAACTCTTTCATTGATCAAGGGTGAGGTCATGCGGTTTGGGCTTGATGATTCGTGATTTCTAGCCCGGTAGCACCATTGTCATCCATTTGGCCTAGGCGCCTGGCTCGAGGCTCCATCCAGGTTCGCATCAATGATAGTCGAGGTACCTGACGCCATCGATGAGGCTCAGTCTGGTACTTGCTTCTGCTCCATAGGGCGTGCAGGGCGTGCAGGGCGTGCAGGGCGTGCAGGCAGGCAGACAGGCAGGCTCAGTGTGGCCTCGTTCCCAGATACATGCGGGACGGTACTGTGCAGTGCATACCGACATACCCCGTATTTTCAGGTCCACCATGTCGTTGCTTTGTTGTGCGTTGTAGTCTACGTACCACAACACTGTACTTGTAGTGTACGTGCAGAACTGTCGAGCCCAGACTCGCAGACTGCCAGATCGGTGCGGCCAGGGGAGCGATCGAAAGTCGAGCCCTTCACCGACAGACGCGACCCCAAAGGACCGGCATTCTGTGCTGTGCGCGCGTGGAGCACTGGAGCTTCTCCCCTTGCCCACCCCATCGCCCCAGGCTTGGCCAGGGGAGCTTGGGGAAAGCATCGCCAGGCACCGGGAGCTGGAGTTGCTCTTAGCTAATGGAGGGCGCCGGAGGCAGCTGCGGCAGCTGGCGCTGAGCAGATTTGCTGCCAGCTGTGCGACGGTTACAGCTCATCATTCGCTGTTGCTGCATGATTCTCGACGATACTGCCACTGTTTGTCATGTCATGCACCGGGAGGTCTTCCGCACGCGAGCCTCGGTGCATGACGAGGGCGGAAGGAGGGGGGTCGCAATATGCATTTGCTGGTAGTGTAGTGTAGTGTACTGTGCAGCACATCGTGCAAGAATACTGCGTACCGCGTACCACATAGCCCATGATGGCACGGTGGCAGGACAAAATAGCTTTGCATCTTCGCTTCTCTGGACCGGCGTAGCGACGAGCGACTGCTTTGCTGGCTCCAGCTGTGCTGTTGCGGGGCCCTCAAGGTTCCAACGCAAGGTTCGTGCTGCGCTCAGCCAGGCAGGCTGGGAGAACGTGGTCCTGGCTACTGGTCGATTGTTACTATTACTCATGAGAACCACGAGAACCACGATCGTCCATGTGATGAAGCACATGTAGCTGCATCTCGTCCTCAGGTTGTTTTGTGCCTGGAGTCCCTGGACCCTGTGGGCTGGCAGGCTGGCTGACTGACTGACTGACTGACTGGCTCGCTGGCTGTTTGACCCGCTCCAGAGGCAGCGAGCGACGAGTAACGAGCAACGTGCAACGTGCAACGTGCAATGTGCAACGTGCCTGGCCTGCCTGCGTGAGAACGAGCCAATCACAGACACGGTCCGGGACATGCAGTATTGGCCGGCGACAAGACTGACTGCCTGTCCATCCTGTCTGGCCCTGTTCCGTAATGGGCCTTTCGATATCGCGTTGCCGGCGCCTTGTCATTACTCGGAACAGGCACGTTCCTGTTCCTGGTCCTGACGAACCTGGAGCAGAATTTTTTTTTTCCTCACGCCCTGAGGGCTTGGGGGCGCTGTGACATTGCAATCTTTGCGCAAACGCGATAGCAGGCCAACGGGCACCTGTTACTCGTGGCGCTGAGTCACACGAGGCAATCGTGATGAAGAATCAAAACACACCAGACAGGAAAAGAGGACACCCAGGGAAAATCTCTGAGATCTAGACTCTGGCGGTTTCCAAGGCCCTAAAACGGTTCCGCTTTCGGCGAGATTGTGTGACGGTAGTGACGGTGGGATGAGATGGATGAATGGACTGGGTTCGTTTCACCGTATCGGAACAGTCGCAGTCCCCAAGGCTCCCGGCCAGAGTGGGGACTGACTGGGACACTGGGACGGGCGGACTGGCGGGCTGGCGACGCTGCAACTGCCAAAACCAAGAAACCCCATGTCTTGGGCAATGGGAAGCGGGCACCTGGCCACCTGCCCCATTCAAGCGAAGGGAAAATGCACGTACCGGCCTACCGTACCAGAGTACATACGAGGGTACCAGGATGCCACGGTGCACGCAAGTACAGCTACCAAAATCCCGCCCAAAGGACAGCAGCAACGTCACGTACCAGTACTCGACATCATGCCTCAGACCGGCGGGCAACGTGCATCTCGTCAGGTCCATCCAGGTCCATTGAGGTTCCATCCACCCACGCCCCAAGCTCCCTGAGCGTCCATTGATTGCTGCGTACTGTACTGTGAGATGCCAGGCCCAGAGGAGGGGGAAGTGGGAGGGGAGGTACATGGTCCCATACCGTATTCTTTACTGTCGCCCAAGTCCCTTGCTGGCCCTTGCCCATGGGCCCTGCCCTTGTTCCTGGGCTGGCGGCAGCAGCACGCAGCAGCAGCAGGGCACGCAAGCAAGCAAGCAGCAAAGTGCAGCAGCAGCTCACCTCATCGTGCAAGAGCGAAATAAAGAGTCACAGGTTCCTGCGAGCCCAGGCAGGCCGCTTCTCCTCGTCCAAGATCACCTTGCATACCAAACACCACACATCACAGATAGTACAGTGCTTGGTACCCCAGTGTTCTGTTCCTCTTCTGCAACTTGACGCAGTGTCTCTCGTTTCAACCGAACCCTCAAGCTGCTTATTATATCCCCAAGGCGCCATCCCGTTCCCGGACTCTCGTTCCTGACAATTGACTTTGACTTCTTGCTCTGCTGCTATTACGTGCTCGCACAGAGAATCCCCCTCATCTCCCGGCAGCCAGAGCAAAGCAGACAGACGGAGTCATCTAAATACTTGGCCTCTCACTTGACCATAGGTTCCTCACAGGACACAAACAACTACAACATCCAACCCGGCCCCATCTCCTCGGCGTCTCTCTGGCAGGACAGCTTCGAGAACACACAAACAACCAACCTCCAGCCGGACCGGACCAAACCAACGGCAAGGAAATCCATTCTCCCACTTGGCGCTGCCATAACTTGCCTTTTGTCTTGGGACACAGGATATAGAATACACAGGACACAGGATATCCAGGATACAGGACCATAATAATCCCACTGGCTTGGACTGCCCCGGAAACTCCGTTGTCTATCAAGGACCTTAGACGGCAACACAGAACCAGCGATCACCCGCTCGCTCGCCCCGTCACAGCTGGCATTGGCATTGGCATCGGCATCGGAACCGTAGCAAAGACTGCCCCAAGTCTCGTGCGTCCGCCCCGGAACCCGTCAGGAGGACAAGACACACATTGCATTGCCGTCATCTCAACGACAACAACACGCCCTCACTGACCGCGGATCCCTACGGTCAGCCACCTTGTACACCTGCCGGGCTCTTTATACTTTGGCACCATTACCGCCGGCCTCGCTCCAGGAAGCGACCGACCGTCGCATCCAAGCAGCTGTAGGGCTCGCCGTACCTCCCCCATCCTGGCACTAGCGGTCACACCTCATCGAGGAGCCGTGTTAGCCCTGCGGAATCCCTGGCAAGCCTGCTACGATCGCCCTCTAGCGGGCAACAACGTCGACTTTGCTGTCAACGCTTGCAAGGCAGGCCGTTGGTCTGGCTCATTAGTCAGTCCCAGACATTCCGAGGACCCAGAAACGGCACGGCACAAATAGCCATCCCACGCTATCTATCGCGCAATTCGACGCGACACTGCTATCAGCGGTTGTGCAAGAGTCAGGAAGACTTGCCATATTCTCCCTTATTATTGTTGTTCTGCCATCATCGTCGCCTTCTCTTCCCTCCTGCACCGCACTCCTCACGTCTATTTGCCACCTGCAAGTCGATACGAGCACAGTCCTGCAAATTCCTGCAAATTCCTGCTCACAGGTCCACCTCGACGCACGCCATCCGTCTACTAGTACCCGTCTTTCCATCACACCCATCTTCAGCCTGCTGCATATAAGGACCGCACCCGCGCACCCCTAGCGCCCACCACCACCCTCTTCGGATTGCCTCGTCTCTGGTCTGTCCGCTGGCAGCCACCCACCAAACCAGCCAACCAAACACCACGGACCAAATTGGGATCCCGTCGAGCGCACAGCAGCGAACCACTGGCCTGTCCCAGATATTGGACCCCGCTGCCCTCCCCACGTCCTGGAAAGGACCCCTTGGTGTGAAAGGGCCAACCAACGAGCAGTGTGGCTCGCTCCCATTAGCATACAAGACCGGCCCATCGCCTCTTCGCAGTCCCAGTCCTACCTGATGCACCACCACCGGAGGAAGTCTGGCCACGGGTCTACAAACACCTCTACCACAGACGTGAGGAAAGCCGTCACCGTCTCCGACCTGTCTACCAGGCACAAGTCTACGCGACCTGCAATGACACGGAGGACAACCCCCCACAAGCTGGGCAAGAACCTTCGGGAGAGGGAGCGAGACATGGACGACGAGTACTGGCTGTCCGTCGAGCACGAAAGAGAGAGTTTCCCGCAGTTCTGGTAAGTTTGACTCGGTTCACCCCGCCGTCGCATCTCGCACCACTCCTGCGCCGGGCGATAGTCTGTTCTCTCCTTTTACGCGCACTTTATTTCCCCCTGACCAAGTCATGGTTGCGAGGTCGCTCGCTCCAACAGGGGCGCAACTTTTGGGGAAGTGGAGGTGAAGGGAACCGGACACCGGCGTGCTGGGCCCCCCGCATTTGCGCTCTGCAGTGGATTTCATGGCTGACTGGGCGATGTTTTTAGTATGACCTGCGAGAAGCAGTTTGTCCCTCAAGATGAGAAGTTCCTATACTGCTCTGAATCGTGAGTGATCTTTTCCCCATGCACAAAGTTATTCCATCCTTACTAACAGGAAAGTAGTTGTCGCGCCAGGGACCACAACAATGTGTCGGTCTCAAGCATGACACCTAGGAGTCACGGTCACAGTGGCCGTTCCAGTCACAACTACCCCTTCTACGCTGCAGGCACACCTGAGCCCAAGGATATCATCCCCAGGGCGTCACCTTCCAGACCCAACTCTCTGCACCTCTCGCCTCCGACGTCGCCCACCTCCACCAGCCATCACACGTCAGCCATCTCCGCGCTTAGGTCGCTGTCCATCCGAGAAACGAGTCCTCCCACACCGCCTGGATCTTACCCCAGCGGCGTCTGGCCTTTCACTTCGCGCAGCACCGCAACGAGCCCCAGCACGTCCTATGGCACGCGTCCTACCTCAATGTACTCTACGTACGACAACTACGGCTACACGATGGCCTCGCCGGGCACGGCGGACCGACCGTTGCCATCTCGCCGTCCTGGCGGGTACTCGCGACCGAAGAGCATCGAGCTTGTGACGCCCATGACCAGCCGGTGATGATCAAGATAAAAAGGGGCACGGACGGCACACGGACACCACCCCCTGGCCACGTTCTCACACACCTCGCGGCTTCGTGCATGTGTTTGCTGGTCATGTGAACACCCAGCACGCAAGAGACGGACCACGTCTTGGCGCTCAGCCGCTCTTTGTGCGTGTTGGAAATGAAAGCTCACATGCAGCTGGGTGGCTGAATCAGCGTGACATGGCCCCTGGACGGGGTGCGTGGTGCAGGAGCAAGCTAGGGCGGGAAGGCGTGCTCTGTCACATTTTCAGCACGTCGTCACTTCAGCCTATTCTGGGAGGAGGCTGCTTACGTCCGACTCGGCGTGATTGCCAATTACGGCCATGCCTCGCTTCCCACCTCGGCGCCGCTGTGGCTGCGGCCCATCGGCTTTTCCATCTTATTTATCGCGGATTTTCTTGCATCGATCTCTCCAACCCATCACATACCCACCAACCCATACGCGGACCTCGAGTGGGAGCTCCGGACGTGCTTACCACGGGCGCTACCACCGTCTCCACCTTTGGGGGGCTGGCTACCCGCACCGGGACTACGGCGATGGGGCACGAGTCATGACCAGGCCGACGACGATGACGGCTAAACACGGCGTGGGGGGTTTTTTCCCATGTTGCTGCCTACCGAAAGGATTTCATGTGATGCGCGCATCGCGGATGGCGTCGGTTTCGATCGATCGATTCTTTATTTTCTAACTGGACCGGCGTCTCAGTTATCAGCATGCCGCACGGACGAGAGAAGGGCATCGGCGCACACAAGTCAGCAGCCGACGATGGCTGATTTATGAATTGATGGTGGTTTTGGAGGAGACGCAAAGTGCAGGCCAGCGCATTGAAAGCGGCTCTGCCTGGGTCTGGGGTTACGTGCACTTTCGCAGGCCTCGGCCCTTCTATGTTTATTTTTCTTCTTCTTCTCTTTTCGTGCGGCATCTTTGAATGGTTTATCCACAGCATTTTCGGGGCGAGGCAGGATTAGGGACGTATTATACCACATATCATCATCATTTACGGGCGCTGGGCTGGATCAGGATGGCGGATTTTGGAAATATCACGCCGTATCTAGGTAGCGAACAAAAGTCTTTTTTCATCACCAACCACCAGAAACATGCCTGCCCTTCTCGTGCCAGCGGCGGGCTGCCTCCCTGACAAACACGCAGTTTTCCAACCTGCGCACCGTCTCCGTCCGTAATACTTCCCCGTCTGATGGCGAAACATGAAAAGCATGTTGTGTGGACCCAGACGCTCGGGTTCTGCGACCAGATCTGAATCGCATTTTCTGTGGGTTCACATTGACCCATCCAATGGGCCCGATCCGCGAGCAGAGGCCGGGTGTTCCTGTTTCTCTCGCTTTCGTCTCCCACAACACCCGGTACGAGGAGGAGGGCAAAACTTTCCCGTGTCAAAACAAACCAGCGAAAAGTTGAAACCGGGAGCCCATCCCGGAGGCGGGCTGATTAGACTTTTTTGCGGTCGCCCCACCCCCTCCCCTCCCCTCCCACCCGCACGGCCGCCCGCCGGTCCCTTGCCCCTCCGCGCCGAACCACACCCGGCTGTTGCGGAAACGGAAAGCGTGTCGACGGCGGGGAGGGGTTTTTTTTGTTTCTTGTTTTAGGTGTCATGCCATGTCATGTCATGATGTGTTGTGTTGTGTGGTTGGCTGGCCAGGTGCTGTATGTTGTGTCAGTCACTCACCCACCGAACAGGTTTATTTTGTGCTCTCTTTAGGTCTAAGTAGACTTAGAACTTAGCTGAATATCCTAAGATTCCACATTCTTGCTGTTGGCGGGCGCATGAAGGGTGAGAAGTATGTGGGGAATTAGTTTATCAAATTCCTGTGGGTTCTCTCTCTTGCTCTTGCTCTGCCTGTGTCTTCTTTCTGCTGCGAACGCATTGGCAATTATGTGTGTACCCTACCTATAGTGCTACAGTCTATGCATGAATGATGTGTATGCTATGTGTGAAGTGACTGAACAGAGCTACCCGTCAGTGGGCAGGTGAGGCTTCCGGGGCTTGGTCCCCTGCCTATCCATCCTTCTGGTCAACTCGATGACTGGCTCTCTTGACTCTCTCTCTGTGTGTCTGTAAGTCTATGTGTGTGAGAGAGAAAGGTGTCTCCCTATAAGATACACTGAAGTTGGATAAACTTCTATAACATAACTTCCTATACATATTGCCCAAGGGGACAAATATGTTGTTATGTAACATGTACTTATAGGCTAAGGTTCTCTAAAGTAACCTGTCATAAGACACTCTTTTGTGGGATGATCTCCTGCTGGTGTGTAGTTGTGTTGAGCGAGTGCCTCACATACTGTGCGTTCTTGTCAACCTGTGTGAGAAGCTTCGTGTCTTGTACTTGATTGGGAGTGTCCATGTGCAATCCTGACACACAAATACCTCGGCGCCTACATGCCTACCTGCACAAATCATCATCATCATCACACGGAAAGCATGCACGTACACAGTTGCATGGAATCAGGGTGCTCTCCCCCCCTTGTTCCTGCAATAGCACCGAGAGTGGGCACGTCAGTCCTGCAGGGTCCTGGGGACCCGGCACACGTCGCCGGGCCAGCATACATTGGCAAGGCTTGCTTTCTTTAGTCCGCCCTCGCGCGCAAGGTTGCGTAGGCTAGAGCGCCGAGGAAGGAGGATGGAAGCGGGAGGGAAAGATAACAAACCGGGAATCGGAGACTGGTCTCAGTCAGGCTATCTGCGTGACTGGTTTCTTTTGGTGGGAGAGGGTGATGATGCGTCGCATTGCATTGCATCATTCTCGCCCGTTCACTCATACACGTCTATCTAGACAATGCTGTGTTTCCCCTCCATCACGGCCCATTCTTCGCTCCTTTGCCACCCAGGATTCTTGCCTTTTGCGTCCCCGGCTGCAGGACCGAGTGCTGCACTGTCACCACCTAACCTGACGTATACGCCCCTTCTTTCATTTTTTCCTCCGTCCAGTCCCCACTCCCGCCCGCCTCCCGCATTGGGGCCGATATGCACCTCTATTATCTTGCATAGATTGGCCGCGGGATGGAGGGGTGGGCCAAGTTCGGGGCGGGCACGATGGCGGGGGATTTACTAGTGGGAGACTGGGGAAGGGGGGGGGGTTTGGTTGGTTGATTAACTTGATATCGAGCCGCCGCAGAGCGTCGCTCCGTTCCTTGGGCATGATTTAAGAGGCTGCCGCGAACGGCCGTGAGGTGGGATAAGCACGGGTTTTTGGGGGGGGGGGGGTGAGTGACTCGTGCCGACACAGATGGGTTCTCGACGGTTTCCCGGATTAGGAAATTTGATCTGGCCTCTTCTTCCTTCCTCCCGAGCACCGCTGCCCACGCATTTTGTGCTCACGCCTGGTCTGCGACTGCGGCGGCAAGCTCCGTCTGGCCTGGTGGCTCCTTGGTTACACCAACATCCTTGGGGACGCAAGTCATGACGGCGCATTCCGTTGCGTTCCCACTGTTGGCCGTTGTCTCGCGCCCCGGCGAGGATCCGCACAGATCGTCACTCTCCTCCTCCTCCTCCTCCTCCTTCAATAACCTGGCAATTTGGCCTCATAGGTCCTCAGGCCGCCAAGCGTGTCATTTCCGAACCTTGATTCTTGCTAGTTTATTAACCTATCCAAGTTTATTTGATTATCCTATGGGCATTTATTCAATTGTCGGTGATTCAACAACAGGTTATTCTGCAACATATTACCCTGTGCCAGGTTATACTACAAGAGAACCTACTATAGAAGATTGTTTGGAAGGAGGTTATTTGAAAGGAGGCCGCCCTTATCGAGGCTATCCCAAACGAGGTTGTCCTAGTAGGAGGTTATCTCATAAGAGAGATCGTCCGTCATATAGGAGGTTATCGCACAGGAGGTCAGGAGGTTGTCCTGTAGGAAGCTATCCTATTTGGGATCAATACAGTCACGGCTGTTGTGTTGCGTGTTGACAGTAATCTTATAGACACCAGTTGACGCGCCCCTCGCCGTCCCTAAATTCATGACTACGTGGGCATGAGCTTAACACAATGAGGGTACGTTCGCCTCGTCGGGCTTGCCACTGTCGTCGTCAGCAGACGGTCCGGCGTGGGTGGTGGGCTCCTGCGGGATTACTTTGGCGGCACTCCGTGTTGGTGGAGAGCCCTTGAGAATGAGATAGCATGAGAGGTGGCCGGGGTGGAAGCTCCTTCCTCGACAAATTGGCTGAGATGGGCTTCCCAATCACGGTTGGTGAGGAATGTGCCGTTGGAAAACGCTGATGGTGGTGCAGCTGTAAGGGAGCATAGCGGCATTGTTGCAGGTTGTCTCTGGTGTATCTATATGTGTGCGCAAGTCTGAAGTTGGTGAGTGGCCTAATTATGACTGTTGGATGATTTTCTGGTGACGGTACTGCCTTCTTGAAGTAAAAGTTGGTACTGCCGACTTGGTCATATCAAGGATTGGACGCCGGTCATAGATGTGTGTCACGTAGGACGGAGTCTAGATGCTGCCGCAAGTTGCCACACCTGTCGATCTCTGCCGTTGAAACTGTCACAAGCGAGCCTAAAGGCAGAGACTTGCAGACAATCTCTGTCAGTAATGATATCCGTTAGTTGTGAAGCTTTAAAGGTTTGCAAATATGGACTGCCGTGCCTTTAGTGAGTGGTCTACCAAGTCCCACTGTTGACGTGACCAACGCCTTGAGGTCTGAGTCTTTAGAGTGTGCCCTGAAGCGTGTCCGTAAGATACTGGGTGCTGTTCTCGCCCCGTGGGAGGGCAGGCCCTGGTACCTTAAGTTACTACCTTGCAATTCTGCGCAAGGTTTGCAAATATAAAAAATGAAAAAAGAAGAAATGCTATGGCAAATATTTACTGCTGTGCATCCTCACCTCACTCGCCCGAGTTTTAGGATTAGTTATAGGATTTCAGTCTAGCCGCAGCAAAAAGTGGCACCTCTACCGATTGCGGTTGCTAATTCCTCTAAGATTTTTCAACGTCATCAAATCTATTCAACAGCCACCCAATACAGTGCTTCGCGCGGTCGACCTTTTTGCCGTATAGACATCACCGCCTTATTCGCCCGTTATTTCAGTATATCAAGTCCACGCTTACTTGCTTTTAAGAGCTACCAGCTTTAGCTGCAGTTGCAACCGCCGCCAGTCCCGCCCTGCAACATGACCGACTACCATTATGATCCTCTTCCTGACGATGGTTGCATAAGAACTGTTGCCATTCACCCTGGAGAATCTCATGAGGACGTTTTGGTCAGCCTGACATGCGCTCGCTTCGACCCCGATCGTCCGCCTCTTTATGAGGCATTGTCATACGTCTGGGGCTCGAACGAGAACCCCCAGCACATTCAGGTGGCCGACAAGTTGTCGGACGCTTCACCTGAAAGTTGTCCTGGCAGTAACTACCACGGCACAGCGAGGCTCCCAGTCACGCAGAACCTAGCGGTCGCTCTGCGCCACCTGCGCCTTCTCGATAGGCCGCGCGTGATGTGGATAGACGCAATCTGCATTAACCAGCAGGACAACGTGGAAAAGGGGCCGCAAGTTGCCAAGATGGGCGACATTTATTCCAAGGCGAGCCGAGTGGTCGTCTGGCTTGGGCCGGCGCAAGACGACAGTCACGCCGCCGTAGAGGTCATGAGGCATCTGGGGTCTCAGATCGAAGTGAACTGGCACGACGATGCCATGAAAAGCGCACCCGGGGCGTCAGACCTGACGTTGAGTGACCGCAGCGTGATTCTCCCGGTCAGGGGGGAGCTATGGCGTCCAATCTTCGACTTGCTGTCCCGGCCATGGTTCGATCGCCTCTGGGTCCGACAGGAGATATACCTCGCTACGTCAGCCGTAGTCCTCTGCGGGGACAAGGAGGTTCCATGGTCGTTCTTTCGGGGTGCATTGTACTGCATTTCGTTCAAGGGTAGGACAGCCCCAATTCCCCAAGACGGTCGATTACATTTTCTGTTGGCCGACCGGCTCAGATTGCTCATGGGGTTGCATTCTCAAGACCCTGTCAGTCTTTATCGCCTGCGTGATCGCTTCGATGAGACACTATGCCAGGACCCTCGAGATCGGATCTTCGCAGTCCGGTCACTAGTTTCGCCAACTAACCGGGCACTTTGGCCCCTCCCGGACTACACCAGGCCTGCGGTCGACATTTACAAGGAGGTCGTGTCGGCATACCTCTCTAGGTTTCTGGATTCACTCGACATTCTTACTCAGTGCGAGTTTCACGAGGGGTCCTCGGTGTTGGGCACCGCCCGTCCCAGCTGGGTACCAGATTGGTCCGTCAAGGCCAGTAGCGGTCGAAAGTGGCAGGGCGGCGGCTGTCGCATAGGGGCTTGGCATGAATTGGCAGGCTCAGGAGTTCTAAGGGTACTCGGCAGACGCAGAGACGTGGTCCAGACGGCCGACCTGATTCCCAATTGGACCGAGTGCCGTGGGGTCCCGGTCACAGAGGCTATCCAGGTATACCGGCGAATCCTCCCGACCATGCAGCCCGACGAGGCATATCCCCACGGCGGCAGCCTGGTCCGAGCCTACGCGCACTCATTGGTCAATGGAAGTATTGCTGAACGTCGCAGCAACAAGAGTGGCGGATGGCCGCTTTCGAAAGCCATATCAGGCCTCGTTGAGAAGCTGGTAATGGGACATCCATTCTCCCCCGGTGAGCTGGACCCCGGGACACCTTTCGCTAGTGGCTTGAATGCACTCGCCAACTTCACGGACAGGCGACTGTTCAAGGGCAACGAAGGCCACATAGGAATGGCGCCGCCGCCGGTGCGAGCGGGAGACGAGGTCTGGGCGATCGTGGGATGTAGCGTGCCAATGCTGCTCAGAAGGGTTGACAAGGATAGGTTCCTTGTAGTATCGGAATGTTACGTAGAGGGGCTCGCGGATGGTGAGGGACTCCTGGGGCCACTTCCACAGGGTATCCGAGGGGTCTGGGCGCCTAACGAGAGAGGGCAATGGATGAGAGGACTCGAGGACGTCAGAACCGGAGAGACCTTCTTCAGGGACCCGCGCATGGAATCCTTAGGCCTCTTCCAAAATACGTCTGAGGAGGAGATCAGAAATCCGCAAAACTCATTCACATATGAGCCCGAGAAGCTGATGCAGCTCATTCCTGGGATGCAACGGATCGATCTTGTGTAAACAGTTGCGTTGTGTCGAGCTCAGGTTTCGCTCCCTGGACATGTTAGGGTCCAGGCGGCAGTTGCCAGGGATATGAGAACTACTGGTCTGAGCCCAATCGCGAGCGCATATTAATTCATCTTGATTTCCCTAGGATACTCTGACCTAGGCGTACCCGCCGGTTGGAAGATATAACGAGCCGACTGTGCGACGGTAATGGGACTCTTAAGCCCAGCTAAGCAAAGCACCAGTGACATGACATGCCGTTGATTAAGGTTGAGTGGAAGGGCCAACTGTGCTCCTGGCTCAACAGGGTGACAGCCCTTAGAAACCCGAGAGTGAGATGAGCAGAGAGCAGAGAGGGAGAGCGGGTCACCACAGCTGGCGTCATACCTGAGGAGGGCACTCCGTCTTCGGCGTCCAGACAGGCCGGGCAGAAACCGCCGGTCGGGCTCCGGCCCTCCCTGCCGTGTAACTCCACAGCAGTGAGTGACCACTCCGAAATTGCCTGATGGCGGTGTGTGCATGCGTGTGTGATCAGCAACAGTGATGATCCTCGGCATGGGAAATCCGAGCGTCGTCATCGCTCCAACTCCGTCACTGACAAATGGCTTGGGACGAGAGAAGAAGAAATTAGATTAGTTCCATGCATTACTGCAGCAAGCAAGCGCGGATGGATCACATGATGTCTCCCGGCGCGGGCGTTGACGTGCAGATCGTCGCCGTCTAGCGCGGCCAGATGCAACGATTGGCCCGGGAAAACGCCCAGAACATTCTTATTTGGCCCCGGCGGGCAGATCAGCGGAACCGCCCCTGATCGTCTGTTCTCGTCGAGCCGCTAACTCATCAGACTCTTTGGAGCCTTTATTCGGGCTTCGGTCTTGCCTGCAGGACATCCCTTGAGCGAAGGCTTCCCGAAAGGCACATTATTCAAGGTGGTGCTACTGTTTCTACTCTAGCATCAGGAAGATGGACTTTTGCACTGGTTCAAGATGTGATCAAATAAACAAGGTTTGATTTATAGACCCGACTATTATGTAGTCGGGTGAGAAGAATAGAATGAGTATATACAAAATTTCTCTCAGAGAAGCCTCCCAGCAACCTCACCACAGAAGGTAGCTAAGCTTGCCGGTCGACCACTGCTCCTTCGTCCCCCACAACTGTCCTATCCAGCTACCAGGACGCCATCGCCGCCAAGGCGAGACGCTTAGCAAGACTTGACGGTGGTGTACTTGCAGTTGTTGGAGGGGCCCTTGGAGACGGACTTGGGCTCGTTGCCGGGGGTGGTGCCCTTGAACTCCTCGCAGACGGCCTTGACCGAGGTGGCGCAGGTGCCCGAGATGGTGGCCGAGTCGCCAAAGTTGGGGTTGATGCCGGTGAGGAGCTTGCCGTTGTAGGCCTTGACGTTCTTGACGACGACGTGGCGCTCGGCGCTCTTCTTGCAGTTGCCGCAGGCGCGGTACAGCTTGCCAAAGTCCATGACGGTGAAGCCGTCGATGGTCACGGTGCCCTTGCCGTTGTGCTGGATCACCTTGTCGTCGGCGGACTGGGCGCCGCCGCCCTTGACGAGAGCGTTGCCGTCGCCCTTGAGGGTGAGGGCGTCTGTGAGAGGCGATACGGGTTAGTTTGAGAGACTCTTTCAACTTCGCGGACGGAGAAATGACTTACCCTCGCAGACGTCAACCCACCAGACGTTCTCGATGGTGCAGGAGCCCTTGCAGTGGACACCCTCGATCTGGTCCTTGCCGATGATGGCGTTCTTGAGGGTGGCGCCGTTCTCGAGGATGAAGACGGCGTCGGAGTTGCCGCCCTCCTTCTGGCCGGTGCAGGAGACGCCGCGGCCGTAGGTCTTGAAGCCACCGTCGAAGGTGCCGGAGATGGCCTTGGGCGACTTGTAGGTGACGCTGCCCTTGGAGGCGGGGACGGGCAGGGAGGCGCGCTTCTCCAGGTCGAAGAAGTTGTTGGGGGTCTGGGCGGCCGGGCCGGCGGCGATGGGGGCCACGAGGGCGAGCATGGAGGCAACAATGGTGAGCTTCATTTTGAAGGAGGTGGGGTTGGTTTTTGCGGTTAGCTTCGAGAGAAAGTAATGCAACTGAATGAATGTGTGTCGTCAAGACTTGGATGCCCCAGGCAAGCGAAAGACTGTGGTTGAGAGAATGAAGGGACTTGATTATCTGTTGTGATGATCTGGACAATATTCCCACGATGGCTACACGCCGGCCAGAGCCTCCTTATATATCCAACGAGCACTGACTCCTTTTCGCATCTCAACACCAGCCCGACGCCGTATCCATCATTTAGGAGAATATGTCAGTACCGGCCCCTATTACACAACAGTGAGAAGGAGCCGGCGCTATTCAGACCCACGCCTGTGCCTTGAAACCAGGTGGCAGCTCGAAAAGGAATCACGGTTCTTGGCATGGAAACATTTTTGTGCGTGTGGCGAGAGCTCTGCGGATACCGTAGGTACTGTAGGTAGAGTGAATCCGCGTATTTTGCTCTAGATCCGACCAGGGGTGAAGGAATAAACGTGCACATTCTCCCCATCTTTCCATTATCGAGCTTTGTTTTTTCAATTTTCGTGGCTCTTCCCGATGCCGAGTTCGAGCTTCGTCTGTTTCAGTTTCAAGTTTTCCCTCCAATGGTGAGCAGCAAGGCGTATGTATGGCTAATACTGCTGTGCCCGTCTGCCTGTTTAGCTCTCGGGAGATCAGCGAGCAGTAAGCTTAACTGTTAAACTTTTGGTCTGGAACTGGAACAGGGTGTTGGGTGCGAGGGCGTGCACCCACCCGCCCATTAAACTAAGGTGCTTGGCTCTCCCGATGCAGCACCAACTCCGAAAACTCAGACTTGGCACAATTACCACAGCACCGGAGCACATTTCACGGGCTCATTACCGCCTCTTCCAATTGCATGGGTTGCCCCTTCTGATGTGGACAGGGTCCCCATCTTGCGAAGGGAGCTGAAGTAGGACATTACTCGCCGGCGCGCATTACTGTCTTTGTCTTCCCTCCGGCACCGAGTACTCCGAGTGGCCGGTCTCTCCACACCTTCTAGAATTGCATCTGCTCGTTCCAGGCCATTCTCGACTCAAAACTGTCGAGACTCTTGGGGCATCATCCTAGTCAAGCGTGAGCGTTTTTGACCCAGGACGTCCTATACGAGAATGTTATATTGAATATAATTGTGGTGGCATTTGGGGGTCTGTAGCTCGAGGGCTCCCAGTTCAGCATCCAATAGTGTCACTTGCAGGAATAGGGTGGCCTGAGCCAGATAGGGAGGAAGCTTTCGTGAAGTGTTGTCTTTACTGGGGCTCAAAATGGGTCTCGGATTTTTTCCACTCGCTACTATTTCTGGCTTCCGTGCCTTTGGTGAGTGCCTAGTAGTCACTTTCATTATTACTCAGCAACACACTTGCGCACAGCGGAGAATATGCGACATGCCACGAGATTAAGTTGCATGTTCTCCTGATCGGAACGATCGGCCGATGAGTGGCAGTACGGTAGTCTACGTGGACACCTCAGAGAGAAAACTCATGCAGTTTGAGTCAGCCAAGGCCCACCACGTGTGCTCTGCTGAATAGGTAGCCGCACTTGTGTAGGGTGACGTCTGCCTGATGCGATACGACCGCAGCGGGCTGGTCCGCCTGCCAAAAAGGTCTCGGAGTGACACCGTCGACGACAGTGCCCCCTTTGGCCCCCTGAGGACCACCGCAGGGCCCGGCGCAATCCACCCACCCACATCTACCCACGCCGCCAGTGCTGGGTTCAGGCAGACGGTGTAGTAAGGCCGAGACCGACGTTGCCACCCCTAGAGAATTCCGGCCGGCAGTCCTGTTGAGCTAGTCGGAGGGCTACCGTTGGACGGCAGAGCCGTTATCGAGTAGCTGGCTTGGGCAGCAACTGCGACGCCAGCATCCGTGGGGGCTAGGGATGCAACGCAGAAGAGCACAATGGGATGTTGTCTGACTCGGCTGGTTCCGTCTGGGATGCACTACATTGGCGGTTGATGCGGTTGGTGAGGCGGCGTGTTGAAGCTATCGGCCGTGTCCATGTACCTTCTGGCGATCACAGACGCGCCGTTTCGTTGCTCTCGGTACGGTGGACCCCGGAAATCGGCGAGCGTACGGAGGGAAGGCGACAGCTAGCCAGCCTTGCGCCGAGATGCGGTGGTCCCAGGTGATACAAGAAGAGGCGTCACAACCACAAACATCGTGAGCAGAAACGAGGCAGGCTTCCAGAAACCTCGTTCCTGTGACTCCGTTCCTCCGAGTTACTCCTCGTCACTCTCTTCGTCCTCAGGAAGCTCTTCGTCCTCAGGAAGCTCTTCGTCCTCAGGAAGCACTTCGTCCTCAGGAAGCACTTCGTCCTCAGGAAACCCTTCGTACCCGAAGAACTCGTCCCACTCAAGGAGGGAGACTGGGTCGTGTGTGGAAAGCGGCATCGTAAGCATTGTCAGGTGGATTTGTTTTGTCATTTGTTGGACTGCCGCGAGCGTCGCGTCTTTCCCTCATGGCGCGTAGCATGGGTAGCGGATCTGTGGACCACAGCCGAAGTTTGCCTAGGAGGATTGGTCTCGCGTAGGCGTACCACTTCTTGCACACGGTGAGGCGTCGGACGTCTTGACGAAAGTTCTCTACGCCGACGAATGCGAAGATGCCCAGGAGAAGCTCTGGGGGCAGGGCGAGGAGCAGGTCGGTGGAGTTTGTCTGTGGGTGCTCGATGATCTCCATGTTGGCGACGCTGTCGTCTGTCCGTTGTGGATAAGCGGTTTCCTATGAAGCGTCCGATTGGGAGGATACTGCAGTCGCTTTTGAGAGAGGCTCCAATTCCTATTGTTGATGTTTCCAGTGAGTCAATGTTGGTTGCCTAGGTGAAGTAAGGAGGAGTCGACTCACCGTTCAACGTCAGTGTGTTGAAGTGGCTGGATCAAGTTTTTTGGCTAGGGCAGGCGAACTGGCATTCCCTTGTCCTATCGCACTCAGGCATCAACTTGCGAAACGCCTTTTGCGGTGAAAATTGTTTGTTTGCTGATAAAGCAAGTAGGAAGGTCCTGGCGCCTTGTACCTGCTTCAAGTAAGTGAAAAACGTGTGGAGGGTATGGGCCAAGTTCCGTCGAGTCATCCCACCTGTTACTGCTGTTTTTCTCTCCTCCACAAACATAGAATTGCTTCACCCACCAGAATCAGATGGTCTTTCTTTGTTAAAAATCAGGGCCCAGTAATACGGTGCTCTTCTGTTTTCATGAAAGTAAGCTTCCTACGCCCACTCAGCATGGAATGGCGTGTGCAAAAGGCGCGCTTCAGGATGGTGTACGCCTCATCACGTGGAGGTTCGAAGTCTGCTCAAGCTGACCATCGAGGCAGCGCTGTGGCATCAGGCGGGTGCAGTAACTACGTAGAGAGAAGACATCGGCCAACAGCACTTTGAGGCTGTAGTGGTTACAGATGACGATGTAGCACCAGCGAGACTCAACTTGTCTGTTACTTGTTCCAATATTGGATAGTAAACATAGTTGTGTTGTTCGACCCATCGCTTCAGAAAAGGTGGCCGATCTTCTCCACAATACATACTTTTCCTTGCTCAGCCTCATCACCATCCGGAAGGATTGTTGGTGCCTCACTAACAGTCTTGGACTACATCACTATTTGCCCAAGCAAATCATCACCGTCAACACTGCCGATCTTGAAGATCTGTTCAAACAGAGACGGAGCCTCAGTCACCCCTCACCATCAAAACCTAATACCCATCTCTTGCGCAATGGAATTGCACCCAAGCCCGCTCTCCAACTGATCCCTCATCTCAGCAATGGAAGACCGTAACGCATTTACGCCCTCAAGCCCTGCAGAAGGCGGCTCAGCAAAAGTGGACGTTATAGAACCGGCGGTGCTTCTATTGTCGGGTCACCAAGTACTAGTCTCCAAAGCGGCACTTGAAGTACCACTCTACAAGATGAGCCGGGACATAGCGTCCATCCCACCGAAGAACTCGTCCATCATCTTCGAGAGGGTGGAAGACGCCCACGTCACCGGAGCCGACAGGAATGGCCCTGAAAAGCAGCAGACTCGGCACATCTTCTACCTCGCGCACCCCCGCAGGAGCAGAATTCCAGACGGACACCCCTGCGTATTACATCACCTCTGTCTCTCAGGAGACAACGCTGGGGAATATCGGCCTCCGCTCCACAGAGCCTTTGCTCCAGAGGCCGGGGTTCGAGGCTGTGTTGAGCGCAGAGAGGACCGCGGCGGATAAGCCATTGTTTGATGAAAACACCAAGACTATTCCCAGCATTAGGCCGAAATTGCTGACCGGCCGTTACGCCTGTTTTGACTCTTTATCGGAGCCAGGTTGCTGTTGAAGAGCAAAAGGGAAGTCAACTTACTCTAGATATCACGGTGTCCACGAAAAGGGAAGTAAGGGATGCTCTTGTCGCCACGTGGTGCTTGAAAGTCTGGCATGACACAGCAGAAAGCACACAGGCCAAAAGGGATGGCAAGTCACACCATTCCCCACTTGACAGATCTACGGTTGCCCGTCTTATTACTGACTTGAACTCTTTAGCCATGGAGAGACTGACGCCGGCTGAGGGCCTGCTAGGCGATGGGAGCATGTCGAAGACGGGCAAGAGGGTTGGAGCACTCGGTTCTCTTGCAGGAGCAGGATAACAACTCCCAGGAAGGCCGGCGGGATGTATCGGCAATGGATAGCGTCACATCCATCGAACTTGAATCAGATGCGACAGGACGTCGGGCAGGACTATTTAGAACTGTGTCTAGCCTACGATGCTAGGGCTCGAGGTGAAGCCTTGGCCCAAGTCTTGAGCCAAATGTGAAGAAATGACGGCTTTCCTGGGCCGATTGTGTTGTATCCTATAGGGATGTATCCCATAGCAGACCATCCTATGTTCCGTGGCTTATTATCACAGTACCCTTCAGGGATATCTTGAAGTTTGAATGGAAGGTGGGCAGATGTCTCGTATCTTCAACCAAACAAAAAAATACATCGAGCGCGCCAACCAGATCGTTACAATATCACCTGAACCTGGTCGCGGGCTTCAAGTCTCGTGCACGCGACTAACTATTGCTTTTCTAAACAACTGGTAAAGTCAAGCCGGGCCAGGCTACTGAACACCACATCAGCGCCGGGGAAGATTGATCGATATAGGGGTTCTCTCGGTACATGGACAGGTTTGTAATGCCCCAGAGCGTAGCCAGGGAAGTCTTGCGCAGCACATGTAGCACAGTCCATATCCCAAGTGTTGCCAAGTGCGTCCTGACCAAATGGCGGGATCATACAAACCCACGCAAGGGACAGGTGGCATCCCGGGTTCCAGCGAACGTCTCAGAAACCGAGACATCCCATCTACAGCGCCCAGGTTCTCTTCCCAGTACTCACTTGGTTGACGGCGGAAGAGAGGAAACGAACACAAGAGAGCACACACAGGAGGGACATCCACAGCGGACACAGAAGCAGAAGCAATCAATCATATCAATTCAAGCCTCACAGGTCACCAATCCTATCCTATCCAACCCCATTCCCTTCCACCACCCATTTGTTCCCGTTTTGACCCCCTCCTCCAGGGGCGGCCCCCCTTCCCATCACCCCATAGCATACTATCAAAACCCACCCACACACAGCACACGCCACAAAAAATGCCCGCAAAAAAAAAGGATGGATTTTCACATTTGCCCCTACTCCTACTACTCCCGTGGGGGAATTAAAAAAAAAAAAAAAAAAAAAAAACAGGCACCCCAAAGAGGAACAAGAAGAGAAAAAGCCAAAACAAGAGGCAAAAAGGTCAAGAATGTCTGGGGGAAGTGTTGCCAGGGAATAAGGTAAAGCGGCGAACAGAATTCCCATCGAATCCCAACCTGACCGCCCACGTCCACACCCACGAATAGTCGAGCCCTCTCGTACATGCCTCTTTGGTTGTATGTATGTTTGCTTGTTTTGTTTTGTCGTAATATTGGAATTGCCTGCCATGTATGGTGGGGACACCGTCTCATCATCATCGTGCAATGTGCATTATAACAAATTGGGCAGAGGGAAGAGGATGAGGGTAGATGATTGATTTCGTTGCTCGCAACTTTGTCTCTCTCTCTCTCTCTCTCTCTTTCTCCTTCTCCTCCTTCTTGCCCGCCCATCTCTATCATCACCGCTTTCTAATGCGGCCTCGACGAGGCCATCTCTCCATACCTTCCTCTGTTCTGCGTCGTGTCGTACGCCTGGAGCACGCGTGTCTGCGACTCGTCCGCCTGCGAGAAGGCGTACCCTCTCTGCTTGCGCATGCGTTGTACCTGGCGTACCTTGCGAATCGCCTTTTGGAATTGCTCCATCCTGATTACACATGTCATTAGCAAAGCGCCGCGGTGCCAGGGCAGCCAACAAAGGGAGGGCATACCTGGGCCTGTAGTCCTGGATATTGTACTTCTGGATCTCCTGGATGTGGTGGTAATTCTGGGGCCTGTACATCCGCTTTGCATACTTGTATCCCACATCTCGGAGCAGGCACAGCACCGGCAACACCAATATCTGCAGCCAGAAGACGGGGCTGGAGAATATCCGCGGCACGGTGCCAAAATACTCCTCCGATACGGCCACCATAGGCGCCACGGTGGCGTAGGCCGCAATGAAGGCGATCCAAAAGGCCATCGAACCAGGTATAGCTATTACGTGGTACTTTGTCCAGTTGTTCGTCACCAGTCCGGCTTTGCCCAGCACCGTGAGTAGAACCGCACCGTACATCCCGGTGCCCCACACCCAGTGGCCGGCCGTCTTCCCGTCGCCCTGGATAAGGTCCCATGGCCAGAGGAGCACGCCGAAAATGTAGAGTATGAGTGAGTGGTACACAGCATTAGCGATCCACGCAACGAACACTCTCAGACGGAAGAAACGGTTGCTCTGGCCCAGGTTGTACAGCTGAGGATAACGATCCAGGAGGCGAGCCGACACGAACTGGTCCAGGATGCCCATGGCCAACGGGGGCAAGACAGTGAAGAAGACGTTGTACAAGGAGAGCGTCCAGGACTCGTAGATGATAGCACCGGAGAACACGTTCTGGAATGTGTACTGTTCTTTGTGTCAGCGGGGGAAGGAGCATTTCTTATGCGCGTGAGAGTGCGGGCGGGACTCACCCAGAACTGTGTCAGGTACAGCGTGATGTTCTTATAGAACGAGAACAATATCGTCTTGCTCACTCGGTGGTAGCTCCAGGCGCCGTGCACCAGAAGCAGCTTGCGGAGGAAACGGAACTGCGCTATCGACACATCTGCACTCCGCGCAGCTTGGAGACCTTCCAGACCACTGATGCCTACGCCGATGTGCGCCGCTTGGATCATCGAAACATCGTTGGCACCGTCGCCAATAGCAAGGGTGATGGCCTGCTTTTGATACTTCTTGACCACCTTCACGACGAGCGCTTTCTGCAGGGGCGAGACACGGCAGCAGATGACGGCCTTGCACATGACAGCCAGATCCAGGAATAGCTTCTCCATGTCCTTCTCAAGAGCGTAGGTGAGCGACTTCCCGTCAATAATGAGGGCCAGCGTCTCCGTCTCGATCGTCCCGCCGCCCTGTGTCCTGATGGCTTCGATCTTCTTCTGGAGATTGTCCCTTGTTGCGGCAGCGGACTCCTCGTTGACGATGAGTAGCATCATGTCCTCGCTAAGAAGTTTGCAACTCATACCAATGTTGATGGCAGTCTCCTGCCTGTCGCCTGTCAGGACCCAGACTTTGATGCTTGCCTGTTGGAGAGTATGGATGGTCTCGGGGACACCGTCTTGAAGCCGATCCTCAATAGCGGTCGCCCCCAACAGGTAGAAGTCCTTCTCAATGAGCTCTGCGGCCTTGTCCAGCTCTTCGGCACGGTTTCCGCCCACGGTCGTGGACGCCTTGTCGAAGATGCCATACCACTCTTGGAACTCCTGCTCAGGAATTTCCCGCATGGAAAGACAGAGGGTCCGCAGACCTTCTGAGGCATACTCTTCGAGGTGCTGCAGCGTCGCTTCAACATGCGGATTGTTATCGTTCAGGCGTTCCAAGATGACGGTATCTGCACCCTTGCAATAGCACCGTATCTTGCCATCGGGACACCGGAAGATCGTTGACATCCTCTTTCTCGTCGAGTTGAACTCAAGGACGGCGAGAAGCTCGTACTCGTAACTTTGGCCGCCCGCTTCTATAATGACGGATCGAGGCTTGCGGGCAGTGAATTTGTATCCGAGGACGGCCGCACCCTCGACCAAGGCACCCTCATCGGGCGACGCAGCCTGGTATTTGATGTTGCCAGCGCCGTCGTTCTCCGGGATAACTGTGTGACAGGTGGACAACAGGGCCAGGAAATGTTCGATGACAGGCGCTGTCTCATGTGACGTCGTGTTCTCGCGAAGTCGCTTAAAATCGTGAATGCCAACCTCAACGCCATCCTGGACAGTGGCTCGCCTGTCCTCGGGTACATCTTCCGAGTACATAATCCCGGCAATCGAGCACTGCTTGAACTCCATCATATTGCAGGTCAGCGTGCCCGTCTTGTCCGAGAATACGTACTCGACCATTCCGAGTTCTTCCACCAAGCTGGAGGTTCGACAGTTGGCAGGGGTATCGTTCTTGTCGTAGTACATGTCAAGGTCGTCGTTGATGAGGATTCCATGCCAGTACTTGACCATTTCGACGGTGACGAATAGGGAGATGGGCACGAGCGCAGAGAAGAGGACCCAGTAAGTGACCATATCTTGGGCAAATTGCTTTGCAACCAAGCCAGCTGTTGAGAGAGCGGTCAACTCCAGATATCCAAGAGCGCTGCCCTCAACACTCCTCATGATGAGATCGCCGACTGTACAGACAATGCTGAGGATAAGCAGAGTGCCGACGAGCATCAGCACTAGGAGGTTCATCTGCTTCTCCACCTTGGTTCTCTTGATCGGGGCGGCATTCGCGTTGCGCATGAGCTTCGTTTCGTGGCCAGTGAAAACAACAACGCCGTGGATCCACGGGGTGTTACGGAGCGTCGCGCCACGCAGGAGCAGCTGCTCCGGGTTCAAGGCCAGCTCCTTTTCTCCAGCCCCCGCCTGCATCGTCATCGTCGCTTCGTATGTATATAGACTACTGTTGGGCTGTTCGGACTTGATCTTCCCCCCAAGCCGGCCCAGGTCGCTCGAGCTAACCAAGGCGGCGGTCTCGGGCAGACCCTGCTTGATCTTCAGGTTCGTCTCTCCGTCGAGGTTCGCGGTTTCGATGTAGCAGAGGCCCTCCGGTTCGGAGCTGGCAAGCAGAACGAGATCGGCGGGGAATGGCTCCTCGGACTCGACACGGACGACGTCGCCAACCGCGACGTTGATCCACTTCGTGTCTGTGAATTCGGACCCGCGCAGCACCCTGGCTTTGGACATGTTCAGGGACCTGTCGGCCTGTTTCCTCCGGTAGTCCTCGACTAATTCCTTGCCGGCCGAGATCAAGAGCACGACAATCAGGGGTCCTATGGTAGTGTACTGGTTCGTGGGAGAAAGGTTGGGTATCTGTTGCAGCGCGGAGGTGAAAAGGAAGAAGATGTTTGCGTATTTGGAGAACTGCTCGAAGAGGAACTTGGGCAGGAAGGTGGCGACGTTGTATTTCGCGGTGGAAACATGGTTGTCGACGTACTTGTTCGCTTGGTTCGCGGGGGGGTTGTTGAGGTGGATGATGCGCGGCCCCAGGGTCGAGGGGTCGGGCTTGCCACGGCCGAAACCGAACTTGAAGTTTCCCATGTCGAATCCCTTCTTGCCCGACTTGTGCTGCGCGCCGGCATCTGCGGCGGGCCCGTTCCGTTGCGCGCCGGGCTCGGTGAGCGGAAGATCCATCTCGGAATAGCCCTGACCCATGCCCAGCATGTTCTTCGCCCGGCCTACTATGCCGCCGCCGAGGCCCAGCACGCTGTTCCTGTTCCTCGCAGTACTCCTGCCTTGCGATTGATAGCCCCCCTGTGCGCCGGCACCGCTGCCGTGTTGGTAGTAGTGGGCGCCGTCCTCGGCGTAGTCATCGATGTCGTCGTCGGCGTAGCGCTGGTAGTTACCCAACTCGGAGGTCTGGCTGTACTGCCTGTTCCCCCCGTCGGCGTAGGGGCCGGCGGGCCTCCCCGAGCCCGGGGGTGACGACAGTTGGGGCGAGGCCAGGGAGGCATGTGATGGTTGGCCGGCGCCGACGAAGTCATCGTAGGAGACGGAGGGCCGGGGTTGCGCGCCATCGTGGTCGTAGGCGTCGGAGGCGAGGAGGTCGTCATCGTTCAGGGCGGAGCGCTGGCCCTGGCTGTAGACGGGCTGGTCGTCAAGGTCGAGCAGCAGGTCGTCGTGCTGCGATGGTCCCCCATAAGGAGGTTTGCCAGCCATGGCAATTGGCGTTTCGGAAGTCAGGAGCGCGCAGAATGACGTTGCGCGGCATCCGGGGAGGAGCGGGGAGGAAGCAGTAGGGAGGGCATCAAAGAGGGCGCGCAGTTGAGGTAATAATGGCGGCCAGTCGTCGTGGTAGTGGTGGTGGTTGTTGCAGCAGTGATGAGGGCGATGGTGACGGTGACGGCGACGGGGCCGTGGTGCTGCGTTGCACCTGGTTGTTGTTGTGATGCGAAGGATAGGAGATAGTCACGGTTTGTGCACAGCGGCAGAATCCCTACAGACAGTCTCTCCCGAGATCAACGTGGGCAAGCTGAGGTGAGGTGAGGGTAAGCCAAGCCAAGGCACAGCAGCCAGCAAATTGTCGTTGATTTCGTTAGGAGGGACGGCACAGCCTTCGTGTCTGGTTGCACCTTCCTTGGCCTGCCGATCCTTGTAAGTAGGTACTCGCGTAAGGCAATGCACAGCAGCTGCAGCGGGCGGGTTGGTCTGCTGCTGGCTGGGAGTGACGACCCAGCCCAGATAAAGTCACTGCCTGAGGTTCCCTGCTGCCCCGTAAACGCACAGCCCTCCTCGATCGCGTCGGATCTCGTTCCTTCTGAGTCTCGGGGGGTGGGAGAGGGGCCGGGAGGGACGGCCAGCAACCTTGACTGCCTTTCTGCTTGCTCCTTTGCTTACTCGCCCGCTATCCCATATTATCCATCTACTACGTTCGGGCAGCCAGCCAATTATTCCTGCATTCATTCAGTTCTCAGGACAAAAGACCCCTCCACCGCGTCGATTAGACAGATACAGATGCGAGCAGGCCCAGCTGTCTGTTTTCCCCCCCTCTGTATCCACGCAGTCAGTGCCCGTATCAGATGCCAGAAAATGCTAAAAACAGCAAGGCGACCCCAAGTTTCCGCCCTTCGTATAATAAATGGTACCCACCACCCGCCGCCCACCGAAAAAGCTGGCGAGATGCAGTGGGTTGTTGGGTTAGGTTAGCCTCATTAGCGTCCAAGGCTGACTTTTACCTTCGCCTCTGTCTCTCTCCATACCCTTAATTAACCTCCAGCAAGATGATATTATCTAGGTACCGAGTACTCGGTCTGCACTCGCTCGGTCAGTCGTTCGGGTACCAAATTGCGTAGGCTGCTCATCATCCACAGACGTCTCCAGTGTCACAGAGAGGGGCTGCTGTCTCAAAAGGAAGGCAAGCATAGCCCCCGTTCTTCCCACCCCCAAAAAGGCTGTCTTGCCATTGCAGTTGGATCCCGTCGCCTCACTGTGTCAGTGGCGAGGGACAGAGAGAACCAACCCCTCAGCCACGTACGCACGTCGTGTTCTGCCACTACTGCCCTTATATAAACGTTTGCCCGGATAGACCGGGTCATATCTACCAAGTACCTACGACTTGACCGCAGCATCTTGTCAACCTTGCATGTGTGGGTCACTGGGTGATTGAATCTTGAGATTGTGTGCCTGCTTGCTTGTGTGCGAGACAGAGAAGAAACAAGCCTGGATCTGTTCCAGCAACTCAAGAGTACCACTACGTGACACGCTCAGCGCAATCGAGATGCTGTCGTGGACCCGCCACTCAAAGGAAACCGAGGTCTGGAGAAGAAGTAGACACAGCACCACCACATGCCAGCCATGCTCTCATCGCTCACTCGCAAGGGAACAAATATCATCCACCAGCGACTCATCGCACAACGAAGGGGGAAAATAAAATACAATCAAAGCTCAAGATTCTCATCAGGCAAGACATGGATTTGATTGGATTTGTTTTATGGAGCAGGCCGTGTCATGAGTGCGCCTCGAAACACAGGCGCAGTAAAGCATAATATCAACAGTAACCGCAGCGCGAAATATATCAGATAAAAGAGGACGGGTGGTTTCCTCACAGCCTCTCGCAAAAGCACGCCAAATAAATGGAGAAATAAACCAGATCATTCCAGAGACTCCCCTGTCTGGAAGGTTCCCACCGCCCCCAACATTGTCCTGTAGAGAAGTCCTTTTTGTATCATTCCCCCGTGGCCACCCTCGCCCGCCACCAGTTTGATTCTGAGCCAGGGAATAATAAAGACGATAAGAACCCCCAGCTGACTGGAAGCAGCCGATATGGTTGTGTGTATATAACAAGTCCGCGTATGTAAGCAGTTTCGAGTCCCCAGTAAGAAGAATAAGAAGGACAATATCCAACGTGTCAAGTGGTATCTTTTTTCCCAAGTATAAAAATCCATAAACCAAGAAAAAACCATAACTTGTTGTCGGTCCCACGGCCCCCGCAGGGACAAAGGTGGAGCTGCGACGAAGCAGGGACATAAAATCAATCATTACATGGCCCGCCAGACGGAGGTAATGCTGTTCACGCCTCCTCTGTGATGCCACCCTCGCCGCCGCCCTCGTCGCGCCACTCTCGGCTCTTCTCTGTCAGCTTCTTGACACCCGTCACGCGGGCCGCCCACAGCGCCTCGATCGGCGTGCGCACCGTGAACGCCCTCTGCGACGAGATGACCCCGATGGCCTGCAGTACCGCCTTGCGGCTGTCGCGCCCGAACACAGCCGGGTGGTTGATCCACTCGAGCGAGGACTCGAGCTCTGCATCGAGCGCCGCGACCGTGGTGGCGTCGATGCCGGCGGCGGTGCCCATGCTGCCCAGGCCGATGCCGTCGTTGGATCGGCTGCGTGGGATAGCCGAGGCTTGGAAGCCGCCGTTCTGGCCAGACGAGGTCGCCGAGGCCGTAGGAGATGGCGTGTGTTTGCGGTCAGGAGTGAGGGCGGCGGTAGGTGAGGCGTCGTTCTGGCCAGTATGTGGTGTAGATGGATTTGACTTGGGTGGCATGCTGGGCACGGGTGGCAGACCGCCCTTGCCCAGGCCCTTGAGGATTGAGCGGGTCTCGTTCAGAAGGGTGTGCGCCCTGTCATGCTGTCCCCTGCTCACCAGAGTGAGCGCTCTTGTGAGCATGTCTGAGGTGAGCAGCTCCATACGACGCTGCACAATATGCGGGTGCGGAGGAATTGGCGGTGTCCCGTTCCATGACTTCTTGTTGGAGCTGGTCGGCAACATTGTGATGGCAAGCAGCGACGGCCGTGGGAGGTGCATGGCAGCCCCGTCCCTCAAAATATCACCCCACGTCAGATCTGCCTGGATCAGTGGAACCTCCTCAACGGAGACAGCCCTTTGGTCCTCTTGCTCGACCGGGCCGCCCAGAGCCTCGAGTCCGGACACGATGCTCTCCCAGGCATCTTGCGGCAGCGTTTCCTGGGTTGAGTTGTCTGGGAGGATGACAAGCTGGACAAGAATGTCTCGCTTGTCGCCAAAGCGTAAGTCGCCCAGAGAAGCTTCTGCATCTCTGCCCGTTGCTCGCTTGGTGATCTGCAATGCGCCGCTGATCTTGTGGAACTTGGCGGGCGACCCCTCGGGCAATTTGAGCTTGAGCTTCACATTCTGGTGCGAGAGTGACTGCATGGAGCCCAAGCAGCCGGCCAGGCACTCGCGAAGCATCATCCAGTCCTTAACGTACGTGTACGATGCCTTTGTCCGAGTGGAAAGCTCAATCATTGTGTCGGGCTTATGTGTCATTCCGAGGCCGAAAGAGTGGATAGTGATTCTAGGACCGTTAGTAACCACAATAAACAGACCATCTTAGTTGTGCAACTTACTTGGCAGCCTCGGCTCTCGATACAACGAAATCAACGCTGTCGGCGTCCGATGTCGATGCGTCGCTGATGAGCATGATGGTAGCCACTGGGTTGTTGTACTTGCGCTGCATCAGGAGATCCATCGCCACGTTGGCCCCTTCGACGACATCGGCGCGATGGCTCTTCTGCCCAACGGGCTTGATTGACGACAAAACGTTGCTCCAGCCGGGCCAGGCCTTTGTGGTCATCCCTACAATAGGCACACCACCGCCACCAGATCCAAAGGTCACCAGGCCCATGCGATCCCTCTCACCCAGGGTGTACACCATGAATCGGAGGGCATCACGAACCAGGTTGATCTTGACACCTTGCATGGAAGACGAAATCGGCACAACCACGACCACGTCGATAGGGACGTGGACCGAGGCCATAAGGGGGCTCCTTTGGAATGTCGTGTAATCTGTCGGCGCGGTGGTGGCAGACCTTGCTCCACCCCACGAGGAAGCGACCGACGAGACCCTTTGCGGCCTGGTAGAATCCCTTCGCCAATCCTCCTCATCTTCTCCCGAAAACTCGCCCCGGTCATAGTCAGGGCTGCGGACGGGCGATGTTTCGACTGCGTTCAGATCCAGCAGAGCTTGCTGCCACAGCTTGAGCTGATTGCGGTTCTCAAAGCGCAGGTGGAACTGGGGTAGCTCCGCAACAGAAAGGCTCAGGGTCAGAATATTCTCATCCATGTTCCCGGCCTCAGAAACCTCGTTCAGGTGCTTCTTGATCAGGATCGAGCCCTTGAGAGTGCATCTCGTGGTCTTGCGGGGCGCGCCGTCTTCCCATTGCGGGGGCGGAGCCGAGCTCTTCTTCTCCTTGACGCAAATGAGCATCTCCGCGAAGAGGAAACACTCCAGTTCCTGCCATGAGAGCTTGTCCTTGCCGACCCGTAAGGTGCCGTACAGCCGCAGTTTCCCAAAGCGGCTGAAGTCCAGTCCATGCCAATTGTCGACCCGATTTCGCAGATTCTCAGTCATCTCCTCCAAAACCTCGGCCGACTCATACGGGTAGAAGCGAGGAGCGCTCTGTGCCGGAGATGGCGGCCTCGCGGGGAAAGAATCCTCGATCCTCTGATGCGGCATTGGTGGAGCGGACTGGATATCATCGGGGTCGGGCCTCCATTTGTTGTCCGGAACCTCGACGGTGACGAGACAGGTGAGAGTCTGTTGCTGCCTTGACCTGTTGATGGTGGGGAACTCGGATCGCACTGTGACGGTTGGTGCCGGGATGGGATTCCTCGCGACAGCTTTCGGGCTAGCCAGGCTTGTTTCCATGGCCTGCAGGTCGTAGTCGTGACGGCGCGGTGGCCCGCTCTGGGTTGTCTCAGGATAGCCACCAGAAGAAGCAACCCCAGTCATCCCAGTAGCCTCGCTGTCGCTGCGCATGTGGCCTACACGTCCTCCTGCGTATCTGTCCGAGTTGTTGTCTCGGAGGCTGCCGCGAGATGGGGTCGGCATAGGGCCCATCGGAGCTTGTCTCGCAGCCGAGCCCCGGCTGGGTGGGCGGCCAGAGTGATCATTCCATTCGACGGGTGCTGGGGCTGGCGTCGGTGCAGGCGCCGGGGCCGGGGCCGCTGCTGGTGTAGGTGTGTTCGTTGACCTCGTGTCGTTGACGGAAACAGATCGGACCATGTTGCTGATTTTCTCTGTTGGCGTACGGTCATACGGTCAGTGGCTCTCCTCACGACGGTTTCACAGAAAGGTGGGGGACGTACCGATATCAAGGACATTGCCACCACGGCTCGTGTCTAGATGAAGGGGCGCATTGCATGTTGGGCAGTACTGCGATTCGAACTCCCGAATGAACTCGTAGAAACATGCCTCGTGTGAAACGTGCGAGCACGAGAATTGTAGTATACGCTCACCGCGAAGGGTATGTTCCAGCGGCTCCTCGCAAACAGCACACTCGGCGCCCACGAAGGTGCGCTCCCTCCGGGTGCGACTCCGGTCGGCATTCATCATGCCAAAGTTGGAGGTTGTATTCGCTCGCAGAGCGCCTTCGCGGGATCCGATTGAGCCAGTCGAGCGGGAGGAACGGTGCGAGGGCGGTCGTAGAGTCCCAGCGGCGATGGAATGGCCTGTGGTCATGGAAAAGGGGGGTTAGCCTTTGAGAGCTGGCCGGATCGCGTCACTGCGGCAGTGGTTGAGGAGCTGGAGGCAGGACCACAGCGCGAACTCGAGCGCACCTTGCCAGGCTGAACGGAGCAAAGGGGTGGTCGAGGCGCGAGCGGTGGGATTCAGACAGGAGCGTGCAGTACGGCAAGCCGCCTGGTGTGGCTGGGGGAAAGGTTTGGGAAACACAGAAAGGCTGAAGCTTAACTCACCCTTTTCCGGGAACGAGGGCCCCGTTGTCTGGGTCGCCAGGAGGCTTGATGGTTGTGTAATTGGGGCCCGTCCTCGCAGCGGAACCAGAGCCAGAGGCAGTGGTAATAGGCTCTGTCCCTCCCCAGGCGGATGCGAAGCCCTTCTTGTCGCGGCCGATTAGACCAAGCTGTTTCAGGCTGGCCAGCTGGGCGTCGGCAATCCGCTGCTCTTTGGCAAAACCCTGCTGTTTCCCTTGTTTCCCTTGGGATCGATTGAACATATGGGCCCCGGGGATGGAGGTATTTGGGCGGAGGCGAAATGGAAGTCGGAGCGGGCGATAGAAAAAGGGCTACGGAGGTGCGTGTGGCCTGTGCCCGTGCCTGAGCCTGTGCCTGGATTGAATGAGCCTAAGCGGCGGCGCCTTGTCCTAGTGGAAATGAGTCGCGCAACAGCGTCCCCAGGTTGGCGCGGCCCTTGTCCAGGGAAGTGGACCTTTGACAGCAGGCGGATCGTTATGGGGTCTGGGCTCGTGCCGTGGGTGGGCTCTGCTGTGGTCTGGGATCCAGGAGGGCCCGAAGCTTTTCAGGAGGAAGGCAGTTTGAGCAGACGGGGGCTTTTGGGGCCTGACCCGGGACGACCCCAGCTGGGCGACGATCTTGTCTGTCAAGCCACGAGCGAGCAACCCTGGCCCGTGGTCCGCGAGTCTGGTCTGGCCTGGGGCTGGGGCTTGGATTTGGATTTGGGACTGCCTCCGGGGGTTAGAGAGGATGGGGAATGGATTGACAGGCGGGCGGGCACGCAGACAGGCAGGTAGACACAGACAAGATGCACCACAGTTGCCGTAGAGAGCAGGGCGCTGGTGGCTTGACTAGCAGGGCGACGTCCTGGGCGAATTGTGGGCTGTCACACAAACTCCTGGAGCCGGGGTGGGAGGCTGTTTCAGAGGGGTCGTATCAACTATGCTGCAGATGGCGAGTTAGGGCGGAGCTTGCAGCTTGCTGGGCGCTCGATGATGGTGATAAGGTTCACCTGAAGCTGGCCGGGTGGATTCTGTGCGCACCTCCAAGCTGACTTTTCCGCTCGACCAGAGCTGGTTGCTTCCGAGGTGGTGCCGTCGGGAGTTTGATGGAGGGAGGGTGGACGGGAGGGAGAGCTTGGGAGACGGTGATGTCAGCTCAGCTCAGCTCAGCTCAGCTCTCCGATGCCCTCTTGAGACTCTGTCTCTGCCGTGGTGTGGGTGTATAAAGAGATATGCAGTGTGCAGTACGCAGTATGCAGTACGCAGTATGCACAACCACAGTGACAGTGACGGCAATAGCGACAGCGACAGCGACAGCAGCCACTCGTCAGTCGACCAGTCAGTCAGTAAGAGCTGGCCGCGCGTGAGCGTGATTGCGATGTTCCGAGGCTGGGTCCCGGTGGTCAAGTCACGGGCAACGGCAGGGCATCGGCGACTAGGCGAGCGGTTTGTGCTAGGCAGATCCTCTAGCTGGATATCATTGTCTCCTGTGTGAGCTTTCCGTCCAGCCGTGCGGGTGTCTGAAAAGATACAACAAAGCCTTGGAAGAGCAAGTTCCTCTGGGAGTGTCTCTGCCCGTCCAACTGTGTGCGCGTGCGTGTGTCTGTCCAGGGGCTGGCCTGGGATGGGATGGGACGGATAGTTTCGTCCTAACTCGCAGAGCACGGTGCCGTACCGGTGGAAAAATACTGGTGTCGCGGTGATCGGTAAGAGGGGCCGTCTCAAGTGGCAGACGGAATAAATGCGGGCACTTTTTGTTGGGTCTGGCTGTTCAAGCAAAGCAGTCAAAGGCGAGCGCGCACAGGATTGGGATCTGGATCTGGATCTGGATGTGGATGTGTAGGGCGACCAGGACTTTGGAAACGCCGGCAGGTTGCGACAAGACACGATACGACACGGGCACAGGATGAATGGGCTGGTTTGGTTGCTGAGGGGCTAGCTGCTTGACCTGGCGTGGGAAACTGGAGAGGAGAGAAGATGGGCTGGGACTGGAGGAGACTGGACGGGGTCTTTTGCAGGGAAGGCAGGAGCGACAGGAGTCGACAGGAGTGAACCCAGCCCTGGCGATGCAAGAGCAAGCTGCAGCACCAACGCCCATTGGCCGGGGGCCTGGTCTGGGACGAGCCTTCTCACTTTCCCGCGTCCAGTAGCGTTGCTCGCCGACGACCATTCCCTTCCTATAGGACGCTGCCTTAAGAGAATGCCCTGTCCTACTGCTCCTCTGCTCACGCCCTTGACCATGCTCCATGCCCATGCCGTGCCACGCCCTCGCCCATGCTCTGCCGTGCCTTGTCCTGCAGCAGATAGACGGATAAACTGCTTAGGCTGGCTCGACGAGACACTCTATCGTGCTGGGGGCCGACGACCATGACCACGATCACGACCACGACCGCAGCTACGGACAGAAATCTACACGCCGTTGACTGCCGAGGAGCAGAACGGCACTAGCCAGCGAGCCCATGTTCTTTCTGCCAGTTGAGAGGTCCCAGACTGGTAATTTCCAGGGTCCGTCGCGATCTAAGACATTGCTGCTCCCTTGTCCCGGGATCGGGGATTCGAGGCCCCCAAGACCTTACCTTCCAAGACTAGCAGGCCGGGAGAAAAGCATCGGTTGCCTATTTCCTCGACGCTTGCACAAAGAGGGCATGCAGACAGCCAACCCGACAGACTGGGTGACTATTCAGTCCTCGTCCCGTGCTATACGTAACGGGCACGTTGAAGACGGCGATCAGGCCACGCGAGGCACTCGGCCTTGCATGATTTTGGCCGACTACTCGAAGTACGTACCAATCAGTACGGTAAAGTATTTGATAGAGAGGAGATGGTCTTTGCGACCAGCCCGATCAACCGAGCAAGCCGCGAACAAAGGAATAATACAGTCTGACAATTACCCACTCATCGCTAACTGAAGCAGGCAATGCTGTACTGTACTTTACTGTACCGTTGCATCGTAGTACTGTGGAGCTACCATCCAAGTGGGTTCGTCAAAAGTTGGCCCAGCACCAGTGCACAAGCGCTACCACACCATCGCATCGTGTGCCTTGGACATTTGCATTTAATCTGCACAACAATGTAGTCTTCTACATGGTCTGGTCTACTGCTAGTTTGCGCCTCCGTCTTCACACGCGCCACGCCAGGAACTTTCCCATGAGCACTTGGCCACCTCTCTTCGCCACGTTCACGAATCAAACAAGCAGGCAGGCAGGCAGTCAGACAAAAACTCCCGCGCGGGAATGCAGGAATGACTGCGTCCTGCGCGGTCATCTCGGGCTCCTCCGCAGCGGCCCTCACCTCCCTCTGCCTGTCAAAACGTGGCCCTCGGCCGAAGTCACTTCTTGGCCGGCACGAGGTACTTTCAACCTTCTGCACAACCACCCCTGCACTTGCACTCTGCACCACCTGCAAGCCTCGTCTCTGTCTGTCACTTTGTCTTCTTTTTTGCATGGATCATGGTCCGTGGCTCTCTACACTCACAGGACACTACAGCTTCACTGCAGCTTGGAAAGGAAAAAAACCGAGTCGAGTCGCAATTCCCCACCGAGGACATGCCTGTCACCTGCAGCTCCCGACCCATCTCGACCGTTGGTACGTCTGGGGACGGCATTTTACTCTGCTACGGTAGACTGCTCCCACGGATTTCGAGGCCTGTCAGTAATACACAGTCACTATGATTATCGCCAGCAACCTTTTCCGCCGGAAAACCCCTCGGGTTCCTGGCAGCATTCCGAAAAGTCTCCAGACGGAGCTCGCAGTCCAACGGTGGTTGGATGCTCCTCCTGCAAGGCACTGCATGCCCTGCAGAACTCCCGTGCAGCGTTGCAGAGAGCAGGATTTCCCTACCCGAATCGACCATCTGGCCCGGCCTGGGTCGCCTCCGGCCTGCCTGCTCGGAGTCAGGGTCCCAATCTTCTCGAGTAATACCGCATAGAAATACGAAACAGCTTCACCGATGCTGTGGTCAATGGTCAATGGCCTGCAGGAAAACCAACTCTTGTGCCATCAGCCATATGCCCCACTGGCATTGAGGGTCATGCATAGGCCAAGAGCCAGACGGGCAGAGACGGGCTAGCGGACACATGCCAGCCTCCCATCAACCAGTCACCACCCTACCAGACTGCGTGGGAAGGCTGGGTGATCGCCACGGTTGAGACGACGGGAAAGGGGGGCCTACGAGGCTTGATTTAGAACGCGGCTAATGTCTCTGCTAGCACCGCACTCCTAACCACCAAGGCACTAGTTACGCGCGATGCTGCCGATCTCATCTCACAACCGTCGCGGCCAGTCCCATAACTGGGGAAGAATCGGAGAGATTAATCGCAGCCCGTCTTAGTACAGTCGCAGCCTCGCCGCGAAATCCAGCCGGGAACACATCACTAGACCAAGCAGCCCGGCCAATGAACAGCTCGCGAGCTCTCGCTGAAAAGGTTTACACTAGACCTCCGGGTGCGTGGCCGCGTCCCACCTTCCCTTGAAAGCTTGCTTGGGAATGCTTGGGTGTTCCCTTGGTCTGGGTCATGCGAGTCGAGATCGAGCACGTGGCAGCAAGACAGAAGAACCCTTCGCTTTCGGGGCCGTCCTCTGCTGGAATGATGCCTTTTGGCTGCCGGCAAGTCGAAGCCGCGCCCCAGGTGATACACCAGCGTCCGGGCCCACCGGCTTCCAAGCCTTGAGCGGCTGCTTGGTATGCCAGGCATGTTTGTAGAAGAGAAGCCTGACAGGTTTCCCGTGGACGGTGCCCTCGCTCTTGGGGATCGATCAGGGGGCCACCCAGCTCCAGCTGCGAATCCAAATGGAATATTGACCAGTGCACAGACGGCGGATGCACGATGAGCTCAACCGCTTGTCCTGCCAGCCTGCCCAGCTTGGAGTTACACTCTGCCGGGCCATGCCCTCTATCCGCTTGGACCCTGTTCGGCCATGCGCGGGCACACCCTCTCTATGCCTGATCAATAAAACGTTCAGATTATTGGACATGCGCCTATTTTGACTCGATGTGGGTATTGGAGATCTTGCTGGGTCGTGCCGCGGTCAACATCTTGGACCGACTTGGGCATCCATTGAACTCTAACCACGGCGTTGCGATGTTACCAGGAGAGCTACCACGCCTGTACACTTCAATAGGCAACCCTGCCGGCCGAATAATCACAAATTAGACCACCGGAAGCCCCTAGGGAAATGAAAGCGTGACCAGCAGGACAGAAGGGAAAGACAGTAGCAATGACAGCTATAGCAACAGTGGGCAGCAATAAGACAGCTCCGCACATGATGAAACATCTGGATACAACCGTTCATCGAGCTCCGTGCGGATCCTTATTGGATCGCAACTATTGGATTCCTTGGGACCCCATCCATCCATCCGGAGCATTATGTCTCAAGCACACAGATGCACCAACCGCTGGTGCAGCCTCGCTCGCCTCGTCATCTTTGCTCGATCGAGAAGCCGAACAAAACTTCCCGAACGGGCGATTTGAACGGGGGCCACAGTGCAGCAGGACTCTTTACGAGATCGTCCACCGCGAGCAATCTCGTTTCTGGCCGGTACGGGTGGGCTGAGCAGATGTCCATTGCGGACCTAGTTGGACGTTTTTGGCGGAGCACCTGCCGGTCTTGCTTGTACGTTCACCCGAATGAGTCGAGACGACCCGATTCATCATTTTCACGTGGGCCACGACCCCATGCGCGTAGACCCTGACGACTGCGCCCGAGCGCGAGATGGGTACATGATGGCTCTGACCACCCAGAGGCCAGAGGTTGGCCAATTTGATTTAGACTTTGGCAACGACGTGCTTGTGACGATAACCCTATGGCGACTTTGGCAGGTTGAGCCGTGATCACGCATTGAGAGGTACGTTCACCAACGGCATCTCGTCGCTGTCAATCCGGCAGAGTGTTGCATCGCGGCATGCACTTGGCACCCTCCACTGATGCTTTCGTATCGCCTTCTGGGGGAAAGATGTCTGAACGGGGAAGCCGGAGAATAAAGCAGAATGCCAATAAACTGACAGCTCATTGCAGACAGAAATAAAATAACCAAATCCAGAAGCGTCTTCGCGAGTAAGGAAATTGAGCAAATCCCCTCCGAACCACCGCCCGGTCAAGGCCGGACTTCTATTTCCGTCAGGGCCAAGCCAAGCGCTCCCTATACCGGTGCCATGCGATTGAAGTCCGTCGCGGGCGAGCGGGCGGGCAAACCCAAGCATACAATCGCGTCACCCAGGACAAGTCAAGAAGAATGCACACTTTCACTCATCATGCACGTGGGGACACTGAGGACGGACCGTCCAGTCTCTCCGCTGATCCTGGCCAGGTTGGTTCAGGCTCAGAGCGCCATCGTTCGCAGCCGCCACTGAGCAGGATCCATCGCATCTGCCTCCAGATGGCACTCGTGCACAGCATCGTCGCCTGAATCGATAACACGCCCAGGTTAAGGGAAACGCCCCTCCCGCCTTCCTAAACCAAGAAAGAATGGCCCAGAACGAAGCCGCGTTAACATCATCAACATCATCATCATCGCCGCCACCACACACATGCCCTCCTCCTAAAAACAGGGCACGAATCTCATGCCAATATAATATACTTGGAGGCAGCGATCGGCGCCGACACGAACTTCGGATGATGATAAACACCACTACACATGCGCCTGCGGCTGAACGCCCTGCCTTGCTAGACAGATTAACTCACCTATTGTAGTGCCTATCGTAAGAGCCAGCCCACAAAACCTGACAAGCGGCCTCCCGGACGTTGTAGCCCGGGGCACATCTCCTCCCAATCCTCTCGCAGGTGGGGAGTTGAGCAAAGATTGGCCATGGCTTCGAAGATCCTGAGGGTCGAGGGTCGCAATTGGGGGGCCTGCTCGCTCGCTTGCTCCCTTGGTCCCTTGGAAGAGCCGCAATTGCCTATTGTGCAATTCGCGTAGGGGATGGGGGGGAGGCCCGTGTGGTGTGGCTACCCAACTGCCTGCCTTTTTGGGCCCTGTAGTCTACTTCCTGTCTCGCGTGGACAGGTAGGTGGGAGTCGAGTCTTCTCTCGCGGGGCTGGCCGGCTGGTTGGCTGTGCATGCCAGATTGTCTTTCGCTGGGAGGTAACCCTTCATCTACGACCAAACTCTACTCATCGTTGCCCAACCTCGTGTATGGGACGATACTTTTCTCTGAGGGCTTCCCGTTCGTTCCGCGGAGCGAGCGGGCTGTAGGCACCTGCGGGGAGAGTGCTGACCACCACCCACCGTGATCGCATTCATTGCCGCCACCAACTGCCAACAGGAAAGACATCTTCTCAACAACCCCCCAACTGTGGTATCCAACCGTGACAACATCTCCGGGCAGCATCAATGCTACCGCACCGTGCTGCTCAGACCAACCGCCAGCTCACCCAACCCACCTTGGCTGCAGGGTCCGTCCAGCTGGTCAGCCGTGCAGACCGCGCCAGCGAGCGTTGACGCCGTCCCGGGCGTCCGTGCAGTGACGTCTCGCCCGGTGCGACGCTCTAACCTTTTCACAGCGGCCTTGCTACCCTGACGGTTCGCTGGGGCTAGCGAGTTGGGCGTTGAGCAAGCAGCGAGGGGCGAGAGAGGCGAGGCTGAATGATGTTGGTTGTCTCTGCTGGCCTTGTTCTGCTCTATGGCCCTGGTCCTCAGCTGCGACTTACAAGGCATCATAATGACCTGGGTGGCCACCCATGCTGCGCTGAAATGTGTGCGTCAGACATGCAGCATAAGCGAGGTCGTCAGCCTTCAGGCGTGAGACGCGCGGCTGCTGCGTCTCATCGCTTGAGTGCAGTGGTGGCTCTAGGCTTGTACTGTGACGTCGAGCTCGTCTTACATCCAGCCGTAGGGAGGCCTGCGCAAGTCCCATTGGGCAGGGGCGTGCATTTCACGGAAGCAGTGCGGCTGAATCATGTCAAAGAAGGTGGTTGGTGGCCAGAATTGAGCCTGGCAGGTTGGCCCGGGACGACGCTGACCTTGTCGTTGAAGAAAACAAGGTGATTCGTAGGAAACACCCACGCCGTAAAGCCTGGCACGCAAGACATCAAGTATCATGACAGCTCGAATCATGCGGGCACTTCTTCCAACTCCAAGGCCCCCCGCCTCCCCGTCCCAGCCGCTTCAACCCGGGGTTTATCCAGTGTGGAACCTGGAAGCAGATCAGATCAGATCAAGGCTCGGTCGGAGTCGTCATCAAGCCCGCCCATCTCGCACCCTACCGATGACATATGGCCAAGTTTGCACACTCCCAGAAACGCTCACAACCAACGTCTGCCGAAGACAACCCATAACACAACCCGCACCACCCTGCGTTTCAAAACACGCAGGTCAGTAGAAGGTCAATCAGCCGAGGAGAACGACCACGAGGAGACATCCGACGTCTCAATCCCACCTCCTTCTCTTGCCCCCTTTTTCCTTCTTCTGTGTTTCTGTTTCTGTCTCTGTCTCCGGCTCTTGTACTCAAGGATGGCAAACAACGGGACTCCCCGATCCCAGACGACTCCCGGTGGTGTAACCCTTCCGGAACCACGGCACTGCGTCTCCTAGCACAATGGCCGTTGGGTGACACGGCCCCCGGGGCTCTGTCAAAGTTGACAAAGGGCGGACGAACATGTTGGCTCCCAACGGGTCGGTAGTTCACCCACCAACCTGCCAACCCGCAGGAAGCAGTTGGCTAGACAGGTGTCCCACCACCAACTTCCTGGCCGGCGGCCGGTTGCTTGCTGCGTGGGCGGCCGCCGGCACGCAATTTTCCCCTGGTACGCCCACTCTACCCCAGACTCGGCAGGCCAGAACGGCCCTCCGTGGCGTTCCTGTCTGTGCGACGGCACGGTTCATCGGGAGGTCATACAAGAGGTTGGCGCCCGCCCCCCTCTCTTTCTCGAAGGCGGCTTCTTCTGGGCCAGGGAGACACCGCCACCAGGGGTTGGTTTGTCGGATGAACTGAAGCGGGCTATATTCCTCTCGGTCACGCACGGGAGTTCGCATATGCGCCGAGCTGCAGCCGCGTTCCTGTCAGGTTCTCTGCGGCGCCAGGAACATCAAGCGTTCACCACGGGCAGGGGGTGGTCAGATCGATGATGAGATAGATCCTTTTTCTTCTCGGCTGTGGCGGGCCGGCCGGGCCCCAGGAACCACGAGCAAGCATCCGCGAGCCCTCGGTGTCTGTTTCGAGAGCTCCGCGCACCCTTTCTCGCGGGGCACAGTGTTCGAGACCAGGAACGGTTGGCCTGGCGTGTCTCGGGGGCGAGGCTTGCCGTGCCGCTCTGCCTGCCTTCCGGATCAAATGTTGTCAGGCCGGCTGGTTGCCGAGACACCGACGGGTGGAAGCATGTACCGAGCAAGATTGGCACGGCAGCAGTTTCTCGGGTATTGCGTTGCTTGCCTGCTACATTCGGATCCCCAAAGGCAGGATCCACAAGATACCGCGCGGGTAGCAACCAGAAATGTCTTGCGGAATAAATCCACTTGGCTCCTTGCCGCTTTTACTGCTCCCTGAATCGATGATCCGCTTCCTTCCATGCATGTACGTATATGCTGCACGACACAACGGGATCCTTTGGGGGGGCCGAAAAAAGAAGAGAAGGGTTACGCTACTCATTTTGCTCCCAACGAGTAGGATTCTTTTGCATGTGGCAAAGGCTGCCTGAAGTGCAATAGTTCCAAAAATATTATGCTCTGACGGGCTCTGTTTTGTGCCTGCCTCGATCCTTCCTGTGGGATTCCATATTCGCCTCCTGACGTCTTGATTAAGGTAGACATGTGACTGATTGCCTTGAGATGGGATTTTGGCATGTCAATGGTTTCGTTTGACCCGGGCCGGAAACCGATGTGCAGTACGGTGATGAATCGAGGACCTTCATGATAGCGCGTGATGGGCAAGGAAGACAGGCGGAATGAGTCTGAGGCTTCAAGGAGAAAACGGCAAGGCAAAAGATTTGTTGGGCGCTTAAGCAGCCATCGCGTAAGGCAGGATGACCTCTTATACATACTGCACGCAACTGTGTAGCCAGTCTTCAAACGAGAACAGCAATGTTGCGGAAGGGGACAGTTCAGTCACTGGCACACGCATTGTGTTTTGAGGGTCTATTTTCTAATGCGTACACCCGGTATCATTGCCGACGCGCAACACGCGACGGATGCCTCAGTAACGCGGTTGGATATCATTTTCCCGCATCAAGCCCTCTCCTCCGCGGGTCTATGCCTTGGTGGATATACAGTCCTTGGTGCCGCCGTCAAATCTCATACGCTCTACACTTAGTCCTCGTCCCAGTTCTGTTACAGCTTGTTAGTCTCTAGTGCCCAGAGCCATAATGGAGCAGGGGGTTAGTTGCTTACTGGATTGGGTCCTGGGGGCTTGGGGCCACCAGCTTGCCTTGCCACGATGATCTGGTCCACCGACAGGACGGTCCTGGCGGCCTCTGTTGCGAGCTTGATCGCCCAGCTCTTGGTGACCATCAGGTCCAGGATGCCGGCATCTTGGGCGTCCAAGATTCCAGTGTCCTCCTCGTTCTGTTGCGACTGATCAGTGAACTGCACATGATTTTGGGGGTTTGTCGACGAATCATACCTCGATGTCGACACCGGTAGTCCATTCGTCCTTGCGGCTGTGAGCGGCGTATAGCCTGCTCAGCACCTCTGTGGCATCTAGACCGGCGCTCTCCGCAATGCTCCTTGGGACGACCTCAAAGGCCTCTCCGTACTTCTTGATGGCGTACTGTGCCAGGCCCGGTGTCTTCTCGCCGTATGCTTGTAACCTCTCAACCAGCTGGACCTCTGCTGCGCCAGCTCCTGGCACGAGTCTTGCGTCCTTGGTGATGGCCTTGACAACATTCACACCGTCATCCACGGCGCGCTCGATGTCGTCGAGGTGGTTCTGGGTGGCTCCCCGGAGCACCAGGGTTGCTGTCCTCGTGACCTCATCCTCCTGTCTGAACACTGTGACACGGTCGCCGCCAATCTCGAGGGTCTCCACCACATCAATAGAACCCATCTCATCTGGCATTGGTGCACCCAGTCTTGCCAGGGGCGTCGCCCCGACGACTCTGCATATTCTTCGAAGGTCGAACTTGCTAAGAATCTTGATGACCAAGATGCCGTAGCGGTTCAGGTAGTGCATGGCCAACTCTCCAACCGTGGAGCCGGCGATAACCACGCGGAGTCCAACATCGTGGAGCTCCTTGATAGCTGCCTCGAGCTGAGACTCCTCACCCTTAGTGAAGTCAAGCATCTCCTTGGCATTGTGCAGCAGAACGGTACCCTTGGTCTCGGTCTGGCTGATATCGATAGCACACGAGTAGACGCCGACCTTGGCCTTGGTTGCCTTCTTTACTGATCCGTTGGGCTCCTTGGGGAAGACCATGCCCTTGACGACCCGGCTCTGCTCCAAGCTGCCACCCATGATCTTGACCACACGGACGTTGTCAACGCTGAAGTTGGCAGGATTCTTGGGGAGCACGGCCAGAACAGCCTCGGCGACCAGGTCTGCGAGGAAGTCCTCGTTGCCGTTCTGCTTGCTGGCCACGACAGTACGGATCGCCTTGCTGAGCTCCTCCTGCGACGAGAGGTCGGCGGCCTTGTCAACCTCGAGCTCCTCGAGTGTCTCAAGGGCAAACTTCTGGGCCTTCTCGTAGCCGGTAACGATGTCGGAGGTCTTCAGGCCCATGCGGAGGAGGTCCTCGGCCTTCTTCAGCAGCTCACCAGCCAGCACGATGACCAGGTTGGTGGCATCGCCCATCTCAGCATCCTGCTGCTGACTGGCCATGACCAGCAGCTTTGCGGCGGGGTGGACGACGTCGAGTTCGCGGAGGATGGTGGCGGCGTCGGAGGTGAGGATCATCTTCTGCAGGTGGTTGATGACGATCTTGTTGCGGCCGTAGGGGCCCAGGGAGGTCTGGACGGTGGAAGCTATGGCGCGGCAGGCGTCGATGTTCCTGAGCACGGCGCCATCCTCAGAGTCGTAGCTGCAGTGCGACCGCCACGGTCAGTATGCGATGCTGGTTTGAGTGTTTGGGGGAGAGTATCAAGGACGAGACGCGGAAAGGGGCAAGGTGTATGGACGGGCAGGTGGATGGATAGGTGGATTTACTTGTTGTAGCCGCCCTTGAAAAGGCCGGAGTTCGGCGCGTTGGGGATATTCAAAGACATCTTGACGTGTTGGTTCCAGGCTGGGCAAAGACAGACAACACGCTGGGACTCTGAGTTTGGATGGACGTGACGAGAATGCACTCGGTGCCAGCAAGGAGGTGGAGGGGTCTGGGGAGCTCAAGCAAACAAAAATTCGGCCGGCTGCAAGGTGCCAGCGGGACAGGGACGGCATGGTGGGGCGAGCTTGCTACCGCTACACTGGGACCTCCGTTTTCCTACCTCAGCTGCAGAACGGCCGAACGAGTGACAAACGGTCCCCAAAATTTGTATATGAGATGATCAGACTATATATATGGGAATGATGAATCTCAATTCTAGAAGAAAGACAGGCATTTTGACACAGTTCAGTATTTCAATTGAGAATTGGGAGGCAGTTTGAAGTGGACAGGCTGACAAGTTGTCGAAGAGCCCGTCCAGCACCGCTCACACAGACAGGTAGGACACTTGTGGCCCAAGCGCTTCATGGTCTACTTGGCAGCCTTGCGTGCAGTCCAGTGCAGTGCGCAGTGTTGGAATTGAAGGATCCAGGTTCACGGTTGCTTGACTGACTGGCGCGTCTTCCAAGATTTCATTTCTCCTGCCACTAATCATCCTCAATTAATACTTCGAGCTGCCTTACCTTCTCCAATCATCAAGCAACCATCAGCTCTGTTTTGCCCTCATCACCAGGGAGAAGCACGACAAACCCCTACCTCGAGTTCTCGTCGTCGCCCTCGTCCTCTCGCAATGGCTCCCGCAGCGTCCTGTAAGTTCAAGCTCTCCACAATTCTTGTCAGTGCCGGTAGCTTTCGCCCTGCGACTGACTCCATCATCCACCCACCCATCGGTCCATCCCTCCGTCGGCGGCTGACCCCATCGCCCCAAATTCCTCCCATGCCTTGTCGTCCTCGCCGTCTTGATGCGCACAGCCAAACACCCTCAGCCTGTGCTATATTATGGTGTCCAACAAAGCCAAGATGGGTCGTAGAGCTGACAATGCTGATCCCCTAGCTGTGCCTCCGCCCTTGCCTCCCTCGGTGGAGGAGGCCTATCGCCGCAAGTGCCTGCAGCTCAAGCAACGGACCATGGAAGTCGAGGAGGCCAACGATGCCGCACGACTACGCCTTACCAGACTGCAGCGCCAGGTCGAGAAGCTCCGTATCGAGCGCGCCTTCCTCCTCGAGCAGATCGCCAAGCGAACCAGCGCCAACGTCGAGGATTCTGAAGGCAGCCCCAGTCCACCACCAACCGTACGTGACGGCCCTTCACCCTCACCCATACCGTCGTCTCTATCCATACGCCCTGCTGGATCCCGGCGACAAAACCCATCATCATCATCAGCGCGCTTTGGAATTGGTTCATCAGGTGCTGACCTAGACCTGCAACAACAGCCCCAGGAGAAGCCTCTGCGAAGCAAGCGGGGCCACCGAAAGCCCTCCGTCATCGCCAACCTGGACTCCAATGGCCCCCCTCCCACCTTTATCAACCAGGCCATCCAGCCCCCCTCGCCGAGCTCTGACGCCTACTCCCACACAAACCCCGAGGCCAGCCAGAAGGACCCGTCACAGCGCGCTAATGGCGTCGGCAAGCCGCCCAAGAAGCCCAACAGCGCCTTTGACCTCTACTGCCGCGACCAGCGCCCGACCCTGGCCTCAAAGGGCGAGGACGTCAACGTCGATGAGGAGCTCGCCCGCGGTTGGAAGGAGCTTCCCGAAGACCAGCGCGATGAGTACAAGTCTCAGGAGACCAAAGCCGTTTCCAAGTACGAGAAGGAGAAGGATGCTTATGCGAATGACAAGGCAAAAGCCGAGGAGGCAGCAGAGGCCGAGGCCGAGGCCGAGGATGAAGCTGAAGCCGAAGCTGAAGCAGAAGCTGAGGCCGAAGCAGAGGCGGAGGCAGAGGCAGAGGCAGAGGCCGAAGCAGAGGAAACTGCCAAAAAGGCGAAACAGCCCCCAGAATCCCAAGGCGACGGGACGCCTGCTCGAGATGAGGACGTAGAGATGCAGACCGACGACACACCGGCTGCTGAGGACTAGGTTCGCTCCTCAGAGGAATCGGAAGAGGAATGACAGGGGTCATATCCGGCTCACAGGTCATCTCAAAGCAAAGCGTGATGATACAGACAGTGGCTGCGATGCCATTCACCGCAACATCGTCGGTCCCGTTGCTCGAAGCATCTGGACGCCATAGCTGGGGGCCGGGGCATGCAGACGGTCGCATCGCTAATGGTCGTCCCACAAGTCGAACTTTCCATTCAGAGCGAGCATCCACTCCAAGCATGTTAGATTGCTTCGCAAGCCGGCTATGAGTGTAATGCCGTATATGGCAGCGAATTTGCGCGAGACATTCATCAGCGACGTACCGCGTTGGTGCTAGAGGAGGTTCCAGAAAAATCACACTCCATGGGCGGATGAGCTCAGTCGCAAATAGTCGGCCTGTTGCGGCCAGTACTGGAGAGGAGGTGGGAGAGCGGGTGTGTTGGTGAGAATGTGAAGGCAGTATGGGATGACTTTTTCACATTATCAATCTTTGTTTTTGCCAGGTACACCTACGGATCATAGCCTCATGAAGCAGCGGTATGAGTTAATACCTTTGGGCCGTTGAAAGGGGCTCCGGGGGAGAGGGCCCGGGGTTGGTTTGATATTCACTCTTAACAGGGATGGGAGATGGCCGGTGGGAGGACTTCTGCAGTCCATGGGCTCTTCTAAATAATGCAATGTTGTTAAAACGCGAGTACGCCCCCGTGGAAGCCTTGCCACACATGTATCCGTTCAGTTCGCTGTCGTAGGTCATGCTTTTTACGGTATGAAGATATTAGCTAGGGATACCTTGACACGCTGAGCCTTTTTCACGAATACATACATGTGTGTATACTACAGATATACATATATGCAGGTATCTCAACCAAGGAGCTATACACGATGGGGCATCGAAGACCCATATGATTCTCATACGCCACGGTGGGACGAACTTCAAGCATGTGTGGTGCCTGTTTAACCTACCCCATTGCCCAAGACCACAGGACATCCCGATCAACACAGAGAAAAAAGAGGTTTGCGTTTTGTGGGATTCGTTTTTCTCTTTTTCCAAAGCCGTGAAGCCCCTTCCTTCGTTTCTATAACTCCGCTTGCCACATGCGCCTCTGCATTGAGGCCGGGCGCCTGTTTGTTTGCCCGCCTGGCCTTCGTTCCTGTGCTGTTGTCCCGCGCTGCCAGGAGCCGTTGATCCATTGGCGCTGGCGAGCCTTTCGCCTCCACCCCCTCTGACCGAACTTTTTCCTGATTTTTTTTTTCAATGACGTTCTAGCTCATATAGGAGGCGGCTTGGATATCGGCCTCACCGCGACACACATGCTGTTGGCTGATCTCATGGGCATTATCACTCCTCAGCTTTTCATCCGCCGTGGAGACGATGTCGCTGATGGGGCCTTGCGGCTGGGGTGCCCCGGGTTGATGAGAGCTTGGATTCATCGTCTCAGTGAGAAGCCAGTCGCGCCTTCTTCTGAGAGCAACCTCCTCCCTAGTCATTCCGCTGTTGCTGCACTTGTTTTGGATCCAGGATGATATCCTAAAGTATGGGACCCCTTGGCTTCAATGCGCTCTCCTTGAACAACTCTTCACCCTGGATGGGCAGCCTGACGCCGCCCGCCGTCCCCCTGTACGGCCTAGCGCCTTCATGTGGTTTGCCGCTGTGTGGTCTAATCGACCCAATACATATCTACAACAATGTTTATTGCAGCCACCAGGATCTCGGCTGCGATGAGGACGATGACTGAGATGGGTCAGGCGTTAGTGAGTGATGAGGAAGAGACCTAAAGGTATGTTGCAAATGAGCCGGGCACTTACCAATCCACTCCAGCTTCTCACCGTGGCCGTGGCTCAGCTGGTCCTTGAGCACCGCCAGCAGGTCGCCCACGACGTCCATGCGGTCCGTCAGGACCTTGACGCGCTGGTCCATCTCCAGGTACTTGCGCACGGCCTGGTAGACGGGCTCGAGCTGGGGCTCGACCCAGAAGAGCTCCGGGGTGTCGAGGATGGAGCCGCCCAGGTGGATGTTGAGCTTGAGGATGAAGAGCTCGCCGATCTGCATGTGGATCTGCTTCCGGGTCAGGGCGATCTTGCCCGTCAGCGCGATCTCGGTCGGGATGTCCTTGCAGGCGTCGATGGTCGAGTCCATCAGCTCCTCGAACAGTGAGGTCTTGGTGCTCTGCGCCAGGGCGTGCGCGATGGCCAGCTTGACCTTGTAGTTGTTCTTGTCCCTCAGCGCGATGAAGTCGTTGTATATCCGCGCCGAGTACTCTCTGGTATAGTAGAAGTTGAAGTACTCGACCTCGACGTCGTCCGGCGCCAGCTTCTCGAGCTCGAACTTGGCTATCTCCTTAAGAAAGCGCTGTTCTTGTGCCAGGGTCATGCCCCATACTACCGTCACGCCGTACTCAAACAGGAACACCTCGGAGGTGTGAACCTCAATATCAAAGTCGGCAGCCTCAATCATGGCGCTCTCGTCCCCTCTTTCCGCGGCGAAGGGGTCCCGTTGGGTCTCATAGTCCTGGTTCTCCTGCCTTAAGTCGATCAGGTCCTGGGTCAATGGGTATCCTGCTTCCGAGGCCGCGGCGGTGGCGTACTCCCCAGTCGAGTGCCTCCTCTCGTATGGATGTACTGGATTTGAATGTATCGTCTGTTGCTGTAGGCCCACCTCGGCCTGTTTGCTGCTGTAACTAAACGGTGAATATATGCACTCGTCGATCAATTTTGGATTTGCACCCTTCGCCTTGCCCCGGGGGCCCTTGAGAAACCTCATCAGCCCGTCCATGTCGTACTTGTTCGCCGTGCAGTAGGCCGTGACCCTCGGCAGCCGGCTCCTGTCTGCCTTGCCCAGGCGCGCTGCGTCCCGCCGGGCGGTAGGGTCTTTGATGCGCGTGTACTGGGCGTAGACGTCGCGGCCGCTCTCCTCGTCGGGGCCGTCCTCGTCGGGCTCGGGGTTGGGGAGGAGCTTGAGCTTCTGTGCGTTCTTTGTTGACCTCTGAGGGCCGATCTTGGCGCCGGGCATGATCATAGCAGTAGGGCCGCCTGCGCTGTGCCTCCTTCGCAGCTTGGAGTTGAGGGCGCTGAGCACAGGACCTGACGGCCCGACTCCTGCTGCTGCCGCCGCCGAGGAACCTGAGGCCGAGGCGGCATTGTCGCCTGGGGAGCTTCGAGGTCGTGATCCATAGTCTTGGGCTTCGGCCTCGATCGTTCTGGTGACGGGGTTGGGATTGAAGGTGACGCTTCGGCTTGCTTTGGGCCTGGCCTCTGCCACGGGCAGGAGCGGCGAGCTCTCTGTTGTTACTGCGGACATTCTAGGAAATCAAGAAGCACGAGGTCGCTTAATGATGTGCTGCTCTCTGCGAGGGTCCGTCGGAGGACATGGGGGAGAGGGCAGGCTCAGGATGAGGCCCAGCAAGAGGGAAAGATTGGAAGAGAAGAGCGGCTCCAGGCTGTGCTGTGTGTGGTGCAATGACGTCCACGGGCCGCTCAGTAAGGTCGAAATTCAGCAGCAGCGGGAGCCTAATTGAAGTCGACGGCGCCAAACTGTGGAGAAGCTGATCCCTGCTGTCTGCAGGTCTGACGAACGCCTAAAAAGAGACCCCTTGCCCTGAATCACACCCACTAGAGTGAACATTCACATACTGCACTAGAATACCTGGTCGTTTGTTCAACGTTCTCGAAGCGGAACGTTCCAAGATTTTCCCGACGACCGCCGTCGTACTGGTTCCACGTGCCACTCTCAGCGGCGTGCTATGAGCCCCAATGGCTCTGAAGGCAATTGACGGACAGGATAAATCAAAGCCCAGCGATATCTTTGGCCAAGCCATATTCCTGCACCATCCTCAACTGCAAATTAGCTCCGAGTGCGATTCAGCATCAACATGACAGCACGGCAACACAAACACAGACGCACAAAGGATTCTTATACTTGCCGACACCCGATGTCCCGTGAGCGCGTATCACGTATCATTTCTGCCTTCCAAGATGGTTTCTCCATCTCAGTCCACATGGTAAATCGATTGCGTGACCACATAGATCAATAGCACCTGACGCTGCATGACCAGAGATCCAACTGCACAAGGCACAAGGGCAGTGGTATTTTCGTATGTATATATTTATTGATTCTGACGCATGTAAATGTCTTGGCACCCAGTTCATGTTCTCACCACGCAGAGTATATGTGGAGATGTATGATCGAAATGAATCAAGCAGAAAGAAAAGACGGCAGTGGTGGGGGTTTTCTTTGTTGAGGAAAGGGAATAAGATGAACGTCAACCCAGCTTTGCCGTACTCCTTGAACATATAAATAAGAAGGTTTTCTGGGAGACAGTGCCTTCGTTTTGCATCCATCCACGTGCGATGGATAGTTCAAATATTGCCGTTGGTCCTTGACAGCAGCCACTAGCATAGGCTCCTCTCTAGCCATGCTTCAGCTAAATTGTAATGATCGGGCACATTTACAATATGATCTTCATAACAGTTGAACTGAAGTACGGTCTGTGTGGACAAACAGTGTGAACCTCCTAAAACGTGTCACGGAAGTCAACCTCGTCCAATGCCAAGAGGGAACTGGAAGCACAGAGAAACATCTGCTTCAGCCACATCTAGTACTGCAAAGGTTCAACAAAGTACTTTAATACGGATAAGTATACCAGGAAAGGACGCATGGCACTAAAGGTATCGCTGAACCAAAAGACACAACATGCAAGCCGTCACTCGTTTTCAGTCTGTTCCTCTTGTCCCCGCGATGCCCTTGATCTAGGTCAACACCGACTCCGTCTGGATCTTAAATCCGACACCGTCCAGCCTGTCCACGAACCGCTGCCCAAGACATGCTGGGGTGAAGACTCCACCGCCACCGAGGTCAACATCATCCTCTAGCACAGTGAGTGCGGCTTGGGCGAGGAGAACCCCGGTCACTTGGAGAATCGTCAGCCATCAGTCAACAGGAGAACTAAAAAGGGGGTCCACACTCACATTCGTACATGCTGCCGAAGTAAGTAGCCCGGCAGTACGCCTGCTTCCCAACCGGCCTGTCGGTGTCCGGTGCAGCCACGCCGCGGAACTCGATCTCGTCCTTCTTGGCCTGCTCCTTGTCCGGGCCGTCGCCCTGCTTGTACACGAGCCTCCTGACCACCCACCGCAGCGGGGGCAGCACCGCGAGCAGGAACCCGGAGAGCGCGATGCCCCAGTGCACGAGCACGCCCGACAGCCAGTTGCGCGTGCGCATGTGCTCGCTGAAGTCGAAGTTGGGCCCGTACGCCTCGGCTCCCCCCTTGGTCCCTCCGGCCTGCGAGAGGAGGCCCCACGTCCGCCCGATGATCGCCCTGTCCGTGTCCGCGGCGAGGGACGTGGTCAGCCTGCCTAGGTTCGGCACCGTGCGCAGACCTGTCAGCCTCGTCTTGATGGAGGGCTTGGGGCGCGAGGTGGCGGTTGGGTTTGGCACGGGGGAGAGCGCGTATGGCCGGAAGGCGTCGGTGATCTCCTTTAGGGGAAAGGTATCAAAGAAGCCCAGAAGGGAGGCCAGGGTCCCGCCCGAGGGTGCCGAACTGTTGGTGCTGTGAGTCGGAAATGTCTTTGCGCAGACAGGACGGGGTTTTGGAGTATCACTCACTTCAGCTTGTGGCAGGACAAGATCACCTCGCGCGTCTTGGCTGCAAGTTCGGTGCGGTTGTGCTTGGCGAGGGACCAGACGACAAGGTCCGCCGGGGCAGACTCGACGCCGATCTCTGGGAAGAGCATGCTGCCTGTCTGCTTTGCGACCCTCTCGTACTTCTTGATCATGCGAGCCAGAAAGGGCACCTCGCCCGTGACGTCGAAGTAGTGTGTGCCATTCTCGGCACAGGCTTTGAAGGCCTGGGTCAGGTTAGCATCCACACCTGTGCTTTGGGGGTATCACTGCTTCAGCCCACTTACATGCTCTCCATGCTGTCCGTACGGTCCAACAGTTGTGATCAAGACGAACGTCTTCTTGGCCAGCGCGCTGAGGTCATCACCGTTCAAGCCGCACGTCTCAATTTCTACAGTTCAAGTCAGCAATTGGGTACAGATGCTAGCCCAGTGATGCGAGGGTGTATAGAGTGTCCATGAAGGCTGGGAATTACTCACCAGGTTGTCGACGATCCGGGTTCAACAGCTTGAGCTCGTCAGCGAGCTTCTGCAGCTTCTCCCGGGAACGACCAGCAATGGCCCATTTGAGATCCGTGGGCAGGTGCTCGGTAATGTGCTCCGCGGTGTATTTCCCTGTGTAGCCTGCTCGAGTCTGTCAGTCATTCAGGTCTCGAGTGATTTGAGGAAGCATGGTCAACAAACCGGTCGCTCCAAAGACCACCAGGTCGTACGTCCGCCCATGCTGCTTGAATCCCATTTCGAGCACCTGTGGTGTGGCAGCGGAGATGTATCAGGTCAAGTATGTGATGTCTGCCAAGATGCACAGTGTATCTACCTGGGTTTTGGATCGATTTAACTCTGAGAGCGCAACGGATGAATTTGTAGACTAGAATTATTCGATGGCTTTACTTCTAGGAACTTGAGTGTCATAAGAAGGGCGGGATCCTCACTGGATATGTACTGGGGAAAAGTGAGTGATCCTTTGCGAATACGTTTTACAATGTCTCCTGTCCTTTGCTGCAATCGAGTTACACTAGTGATGTCAAGCAAGCTGGGCCAAACTGCCTCGGCTCAGCAGTCTCCCTGTCCTCGCTCCATGTGGGCTGATACTGCACCCGGGTGTGCCGCCAACATGAATCCAGCACATACTGTGGCAGTTCTAGGAAGGCCAAGTAAGCCGAAAAGTACGGAATGGAAAGACGGTCGAATGCTCTCGATTACTGGGAAAGGTGATGTAGGAGCGACAACAGCTCATAGTGAAAGCTTGTCTGCAGCCACGTCCCGGTCAGCAACACCCAGCTGCCAGGGTGGCCGCCAGCCGGGAGCAGCCGGCACGGCAATGACGCCCCCACTAGCGAAAATGCACCCCCGGTCGTTCCTGCCTCAGGCATTTGCAAATTTTCCTAGCTGCCCACAGAACCGACTTGCACTCTCCTAGGAAATTCAGCGACAACAGCCAAAGGAGACCTACGACTTCGTCCTCGGAAGCCACTTCTCGCACCACGTAAAGTCGACTTCAAACCCCAGACAAAATGGCCAAGGTAAGCGGCTTCGATTGAATTAATGTATTTTGGTCTCACACAGCTAACGCGATGTGATTGCAGCGAACCAAGAAGGTCGGAGGTACGTTTCGCGAAATTCCCACGATTCCCTTCTCACACAGCCCAAACGAGCGATGGTCGAGCACGACGCATGAAGCACGCGGCACGCAGTATATAACGGACCGTCGGAAATTACAACGATAGCGATCAATACACCAAGACTGTCGACGACGTGGGCCTGGATCACTGCGGGGAGAATGACGTGCGAGGGGACCAAATTTGAGCCCAGGAAATGGGAAACAACTCACGCTGTCGCCGCCGCTGGATTGCTTTGACGCTCGATCATCGCTCACACGACTGCCTCGCCGGGAATCATTACATGAATACAGAATGAAGGACTGACAAACAACTCGCAGTTACCGGCAAGTACGGCACAAGGTACGGACAGCTCAACCATTCCTCATAGATGCCACCACTCCCGCCCGTCGCCTCCTGCACCAGTCGGCGAGACCCAGGCAGTCCAGCAGAGCGCACCCGAGATCCATGGCCTCCAACCGACTCGCATCCTGCACACCCGGGATATCAAGAAGGAGAGTTGCATGGGTCGAGGGGCTCTGCTGCTACCGCGCGGCACCACAATGAAGTGTGGTTCTCATATTGTGGCAACGGCCAGCTGACAGCAATGCTTAAAGATACGGTGCTTCCCTCCGTAAGTCCGTCAAGAAGATGGAAATCACCCAGCACGCCCGATACGTCTGCACCTTCTGTGGAAAGACCACCGTCAAGCGTCACTCTGTCGGTATCTGGGACTGCAAGTCTTGCAAGCGCACCGTCGCGTAAGTGGAACCCCTCAACCCCCTGGGACGTCGGATCACGTCACTGCCATGGGCATACGTTCGGGCGATGTTAGCTGGAAGATGGGGCTGACATGGATAACAGCGGTGGTGCTTACACTGTCGCCACACCCGCTGCCGCCGCCATGCGATCAACGCTCCGACGTCTGCGCGAGATCGCTGAGGTGTAAGGGCTGGTTTCGCAAGACGACGTAGGACAGGGTGGAAGGTGTTTCATGGCTTTGCTTTTCATCACATTTCCGGGTGTTAGGGAACAAAAGGTCTTCTCTCAGCAAAGGTTATACGAGCATCGACCACGGTTGTGAGGATGGCCTCGACGGAATTTGGAACGAGGCGAGGGATCAGATAATGACAATTGATTCCATCATGAACAACTCTTTCGGAACGCCGAACCCGGAAGTGTGATGGTGGAGGACGGTGCAGCCGATTCTTGGATGTGCAAACGGGTCGACTGGGTCACTGGGGTCGGTCAGTGGTCGGGCAGCGCTGCACAAAGGCGTGTTCCAAGAACGCGATCGGCCTAGCCAAATGAAGCACGCGGAGTTGACGAATTGTCGTTTTCTGTTCCGTGTCTCTTTTTCACCCTCCCGCTTCGATCAGGCGGGATCGCCATAGCCGCGACGCCTCGCTCTGCCTGTCCTGTCTGCCTGGGCCATACCACCCAGAATTTGCAATCGCAGCCACGTCGCTCTAAGCTGTCGGTGCCTGGGACTCCCGGGTGGGCTGTAGACATATCCTCCCCTTCCTACCTAGGAGAAAGCGCACGTCATGTCCCCCCCCTCTCCCCCTTTGTCTAATTATGACCAACCTACCGGAACTGGGTCACGGGGACGGGCATATCACACATTCATCTGCTACTCATTCAAATTCGGTGAGCCTCGAGGGAGTGCGTCATCCCGCCCCACGACCTTGGGCTGTGTGTGCGTGTATGTATGCGTATGTGTGTGAGTGTGGACGTGCGCCCGGGCCCTGGTCCGGACATCCTCGTGATCTTGGGTCTTCACCCGCTGTGAGTTCTGGGACTTGCACAGGGTCCTCCTCTTGCATGGTAGATACGGCACGGCACGGTACGGAACGGTGCTGTTCGCACTCCCGTGGGTAGTGCAGACGTGAATGCCTGAACAGGGCGTAGATAGCTTCTCGTGCCTGGCTTGGTCATGACGAACATTCCAGGTCAGGTTGAGCTGGGGGAGAGGAAGGGTCTTCCACCCCGGGCCCAAGGGTTGAGAAGGGTATTGGTGGTACAGCATTGTAGTCACCCCAATGCGTGTTCAGGGCGATCACTTCACATCATCCACGCTGGAGCCTACAGCATCCTGACCGTGGGCGGACAGCTGTCTTCTGATTCAGCAGAAATTAAGGCATCATGGGCCATGGGTGGGTATATTATTAGCCTTCCGATGTCGTGAGTGATTTGGTTCTACTCGAGCGAGGCCGAGTTTCTCCATTGTTGCAAATCATTATGGTCGACGTTCCCCACCGTCAGAGTTAGAGTTAGACAGACAAGTTGTTGGGCAGGGCCAGGCGGCTCCTTCTCAAAGCAGCTCCGTCATCTCTTCGCGCTGGCGGGCAATGGTGCCCTCAAGGTTCTCTCTATCTCCATCTCTATCTCGCTTTCTGTCCTCCTCCTCTCCCTCTCGTTCTCGGTGTAGGCGAGTGAGACAAGACTTGCGGCACGAACTATCTAATCGACTCCACCACCCTGGTCATACATACTACTGTACATAGACAAGATCGGTCACCAGCTTTGGTCAGGACCCAGCGACCCGGGAACCTTTCCCCAAAAAGAACACGAAGAAGGGACGGAGCATTTAGACCAGAGCCAAGTGAGTTGAGTGAGTACATCCGATCAGGTGGTGTGCTCAGCTTCCCCCCCCCTCCCTGACCCCAAAGAGAACACGCAGAAAGAGCTATCTACCCTGCGTACCCGATCCCGTGGGCAATGCCCATCATCATTGGGCGCTAGAGGCTCCCGAGGCTCTTAGGTAAGTTGGCAGCCCAGAATCCGCCCGCCCCAGGTAGCAGCCGACCTTTCTCCAACTGCGCATATCCCCCTTCCCCCGTCCTTTCCTCTCTCTTTTCCCGCCCCAATCTTGGAAAGTTAGCCTGGAATCCGACCGATCCCACTGACAAGCCCACCCAGAAACCCCAAGGCCCTGCAAGCAAGCAAGCAACGCCCAGCCGCCCGCCCGCCCACTCGACCACCGGCACCCATCAGTGGATAGCTGACAACCGCCTACGACCGACTTACGACTGGCGCCCCTCAAGGAATCAACCCCCCCAATCCTTTTTTCAAAGAACGGTTTTCATGCCTTCTTCAGCCCATCACCTTGTCGGAATCCCTTTCTTGATTCAAAGTTAAAAATACTGTAATGGCAGACCAGTGCATCGTCTGTCTGGAAAACCTGGACAGTGCAGTCCCTCTTCCGCAATTGCAGCGGCAGTTGGAGGATGATGATCATGGCGGCGGCGACCCTGCGGCGGGTGGTGGTGGTGGTGCTGCACCAGCAGCAGCAGCCAAGAGCACCACCACCTCTGACGTCTCCCTGGCAGACCTGCCAGTGGCGGTAGCCGGAGCCACCCTCACTTTGTCTGCGAACGGCAAGGACAAAACACCAGAAACAACAGATCCGACCACCGAAAAAGATGATGCCGATGCCAACGATAACAATATTGCAATCATCCAGGTCTGCGGCCACATCCTGCACGACTCATGCCTCAAGGCGTGGACCGTCAAGGCCAATAGCTGCCCCATTTGCCGCCAGACCTTCCACAACGTCCAGGTCTACGACCAGATTGGAGGTGAGTTGCTCTTCACAACTCCACCCACCCTGAATATATTTGTTCACTTTCGAAAAACAAAAGCTGACATTTTGCATTCGGACAGGAACTCTCTTGAGCTCTTACGAAGTCGAAGACAAGAAACAAGTTGCCGAGTTCGACCCCCTTGCCTGGCTCGACGAGAACCCAGAGGAAGAGGATGAACAAGTCACACCCTGCCCGGTCTGCAACACGGCAGAAAATGAAGAAGTCCTCCTACTTTGTGACGGGTGTGATACGCCATATCACACCCACTGCATCGGCCTGGAAGACGTCCCAGACGGCTCCTGGTTCTGCATGGAGTGTGCTCACCAGCTCGGCCAGGCCATAGAGGAGTCTCTCCCAGCCTTTGCCCGGGCACCTGGCCGCAGAAACCGCCGCACTGGCTTCTTCCCCCGCACCCGCGGCAGCATGCGGAATGAGAGGAACAGAGGCCGTACCGACGGCTGGCTCGGTGCGTGGGGCGAGGTGTCGGGCCACATTCTTGGCGGCTCCGGTATCGACGTCGACTTCCACGAGGCAGACGATGATCTTGCCGAGTACCGAAGATCACAGCAGCTTCGGGACAGGGAGAGGCGCGAGTGGCAGCGCTGGCAGCAACGACTCAGCATAGCGAGCCGACTCGGAGCGCGAGACGTCTTTGCTCGCAACATTCAGGGTGTGGTGGAGCAGCAGGTTGCACCGCCGCAGCCCGCACCAGTGCCTCCGCGCGAGGAGACCCGGGAGGAACGCCTGGCCTGGAGTGCCATGGAGAGGGCTCGAGATGCCACTCCAAATGGTCGGAAGAGGAAGAGTCGATCCACCACGGCATCTCCACAAGAGCCAGCCCCAGAACCTGAACGTCGGCTCAAGCGTCCGCGAACCAGGCGGAATCCACTGCAAACTGAGGCTGGGCCATCGAGGGCAGGTTCAGCGGCTTCCAGCAGCAATAACAACAACACCATCACCACCACCAACAACAACAACAATCAGCGAGAGGTAAACGGAGGTCCTGTGGAGGCTCGCTCCCCACCCGCGACAGAAGGGCAGCCGACTTTTCTTTCATCACTCTTGCGAGAGGTCGAGATGACAGTTCCGAATGACGACGACACAATCCGTGGTCTCTTCGGAGTCCCGCAATCAGTCGACCCATCGTCACCAGTCAGCTCACCGTCAGCATCGGCTCGTAACAGCCCCCGAGCACTATCACTCACGCCCCCACCGCAGCCCCCTCAAAACGGAGCTTTCAGGTCGGCCTCGCGGTCACCTGTCTTGTCCTTGAGCTCGCACATCGAGCCACTGTACCCGCCAGCGAACTACTCACCAACGAGATCGAACGGGGAGAGCAGCGACTCGGACAGTCGACCAAACAACGGGTATCGGAATGGGTCGCCGGAGCTGAGACAGCCTCGCCCGCGACGGCAGCACGAGATCCGGCTGCCCCGCGCGGAGGACACATCGCCGACGCGGCAGCCGCTTCCGCTAGAAGTCAAAGAAAACATCAGCCGAGTTGTGCGCAACGCACTCAAGCCACACTGGAACGTCGACCGCTCCAAGCGCACACTGTCGTCCGACCAATACGCGACCATCAATCGCAAGGTGTCCCACAGAATTTACGAAGAGGTGTTGGACCCATCGGCGGTTGATGACGAGGCCAAGCGGGCGTGGGAGAGGATAGCAACCAAAGAGGTGGCCCGCGCGGTGGCCGAACTCAAGACCTGACTGACGATTACGACTTGGAGGGACAGCATGACGGTGCCTCGGCGAGGGCAGTATGGACGGTACGGCGTTTCACGGACTCGAGCGATCTCTGGAAAGATACCCTGGACACCTTAACGGCACATGGCGTTCCTGTTGATCGGCTTCTGACGGGGCCGCAATTTTCTTGTTTGTGGCAGTCGGGGAAACATCATTTTTGACAGGATTTCATTCTTCTTAGCAACCCAGTCGGCCTTGCGCAGGTCCTGCGAGGACGCGGATGGAGTGCATCGTGTCGCGTCTCGAGGGCTCGCATGTAAATGGGCCATCGCGGATTGGTAGATAAGGTAGTTTCTTGCTTGGATGGACATTGTTCCCATGATTTGACCGGCCGTTTGTGATGCATGCATCCCGATGATACGGTTTCGCGCGCATGTGGCTCGTTGGACGCATTTCTCGGCATTCACGTGTGAGCGCAGCCTCACCTCTAGATTGGTGAAGGCAATCCATTTAAAATCTGCGCGCTGTCTGATTTAGCATAACGTCAGCACTGGTAGCAACAAGAGCCCATCTCGAATCGATAATTGCGATTGAGGTGGGCGCTGGAATCAATGGCGAAGGCTTCTTCGTCGTTTCTGGTTTCTCGTTTCATGCGCTGGGCGACACTTCACGATCGGGGTGCTCCCTCGTAGTAAGCAGCCCCGGGGGCGGGCTCAGTTTCCTGCAGCGCGGCCCCTGTCGGTAATAAGCGATGTTTCTGGAATGTGACAACCATCTATCTAACGGTCCCCAGTGAGGATTTGACGAAAGGTGCCGCTAGCGAAAAAAGGGTTGTTCTGGGGGGTTTACTCTCGGCACGGTATAAATGACAAGACGTCCTGGGAGTGGGAACAGGCCTTGGGATAAGGATTCGTGCCTGGAGAAAGGAAAGAGGGAAGAAGAACAGTAAGAAGGCGGCCGTGGGCAGAGATTTTTGAAGTACACTGCGGAAAGAAGGGGACCCACTGTTACTGAGGCCCGCTGCCCAATCACAGAAGGGAGCTGCACGGCCTGCGAGGTACGTACCTTTTCCTCGGGACGTCGAGAAAAAGTTCAGGTCCCTTCGCACGCTTGGGAAGCTCGTGTGAGGCGCCGCCAAAGGAGCTCCACGGGTCGGATTTGGAGGGTTGTTTCTCGCTCGCACACTTCTCCTGTCCCACGAACAGGCTCACACACACACACCCACACATCATGTCGGCGTCAAGTAGGGGGTCGCGGGCCGCCGTGCCTCTCCTGAGGAGTAAGTGAACAATGTCCCAGCAACCCAGTTTCTCCATGTCTTGTCGACGCCCCGGCAGCTAATACGAAGGTGCCACTTCCAGGAGCGCCTCAGATATGCACGCGATGCGCCCACAGACAAGTCAGCCGGCCAGTAGAATCAAGACGGGCATACTCAGCCTCGCCCACGACGATGCCCGTCGAGACGAACGTCACCACCCCGCCGGCCGACCCCAAGCTCGTGCCGGAGCTCCAGAACAACCACCCGAAGAAGCTGCACAGCCTGCGGGCGGGCGTGATCCTCTCGCGGCCGCCGCTGCTGACGCGCGAGCAGACCCCCTTCGAGCAGTCCTTCTACCTGTACCAGAAGCGCCTCAACGAGCGGCTCGCGACGCCCTTCTCGCGGCAGTTCTACTTCAAGCCGGGCCAGCCCGCGACCATCGACTTCGCCATCAAGTGGGCCGAGCGCGGGCACACCATGGAGCGCGGCATCGGCCGCGTCGCCCGCTCGGGCAAGTGGGCCTGGGACGACGAGCTGCTCGCGGGGGGCCAGGGGGAGAAGCTCGCCGACCCGGCCGCCCTGCGCGAGGCGCTCTACACCGACGCCGAGAGCCGCGTCTCCGAGGACGGCGAGCGCCTCAGCTTCGAGGACCGCCTGCGCGTCGAGAGGCCGTTCCCCCGCCGCACCGAGGCCGACCGCGCCGGCGACGTCAGGAGGCTCGACCGCGCGCTCGACCGGACGCTGTACCTCGTCGTCAGGAAGGATGGCCTGTGGCGCTTCCCGCAGGACGACGTGTGGCCGGACGAGGGCTTGCACGAGGTATGTGGTTGATCATTCTAGGGGCGCGGTATACGCAACCGGGGATGTGTGTCATGCTAACTTTCGTGTCAACTACAGACCGCCGCGCGCGCCCTGGCCGGCTCCGCAGGCGTCAACATGAACACGTGGATGGTGGGGCGAGCACCGGTCGCCCACGAGCACAGGGAGCCCGTTTACACGGGCGGCCGAGAGGGCGAGGCCGAGGAGAGGCGCATCAAGACGTACGGACGGGACGTCTTCTACCTGCGGGCGCGCATCCTGGCCGGCCAGGTCGACCTGGCCGACAACAAGTGGGGCGTTACCGACTTCAAGTGGCTGACAAAGGACGAGCTGGCGGGTGCCATCAGCCAGCAAACCATGCACAGCGTCAAGGACTCCATGCCTGCGCGGTAGCCATGTCGAAATGCGTGGAAAACCGGTGAGAAGAGGGGTGGCTGGAGGGGATGTTAGATGTATGTATGTATGCACAAAAACCCATCAATACCAAGCAACTGTGCAAGCAGCAGGGGGTCTCTGATAGCTGTCTCTCGGCTGCGCATGTGTAATGAAACACCTCCACAAAACGAATTGGGAGCAATCCAGCAGGGCTCCAGTGTGTGGCATCATTCAGAATAGTGTTCATATGCCATGTTCTGGATCTCACTTCTTGAGCACCGCCTTGAAGTCTTCGGGAACAGAAACCAAAGTGGGAACAAGCAGGAATCATACGCTCCTTCGATGGATCTTCAGTGTCTGAGGAGTTGGCACACATGCTGTGACACATAAGGACAGATAGCGTGGGTTCTGGAAAGTATTATTGAATTAGTATTCGTGATATGCGTGTCCATGACTACCAACCAACGCTGATGAAAAATCGCTAATGCAGCCCTCCTTGAACGCAGGGCTCACGGAAGAGAAAAACTAAACCTCGCTATGCTGCCGTCCATCTCAGAGCGCCAACCCCAATGATACAAACAAACCAATACAACGGCCCGGACCTAGCCACAAGAGAGCTCAACGCTCAACAAATCCCAGGCGCCGCAAACTCCTGAATCATACCATGTCGCTACCTGAGCGGCAAAAGCGCCGGCTTCTGGTCATCGCTTTGCGAAAAGGCAGAGAGAAGACAACTCAACTGTGTATCGAACACTCGACCTCCCTTTCAGGCCCCTCGTCCTCAGGCCCCTCGTTGTCAGGCCCCTCACCGTCCTCGTCGGACGTCTTCCTCCCGAGCTCCTCAAGCATCTGCGTGCCGAGCTTCTCGGTCTTGCACTCACCGGCCTCTCCAGGCAGCTGCTCCCCAGCCATCTTCCCGATGTAGAGGATGTGCCCGAACCGCCCGACACGGCTCCTGTTGCCGTACTTGCTCCAAAACTTGCCCTCCCACTCGGGAACCGTGCCGGGCACCACCGCCCTGGCGGGGCTCTCGCCCGAGCTCTTGCGCTGGGGCTTTTGATCGGGTCCGGGCTTGCGCTCAGGAGACTCGTCTGGGGTCGGCGGTGCCGTCGCCGGCGCCGCATGGCGTCCCTCCGGCTGCATGGGTTGATACTTAGCCAGCCCCGTTACAACGTCCTCGTCGCGTTCCTCTAGAAGGTTGTCGGGTCTGGCCGTCCCAGTTCTGAACGGCAGTCCGCTTGAGTCCTTGGAGGACTGTGGCATTGGTTGCAGGGGTGGGGGTAGCGCCGCTTCAACCTCCTCGTCGCGGTCCTCTAGGAGGTTGGCCGGCCGCGGTTTGGCCGTGTTGCCCCTGGATCCCAGTGGGGGACTTGGAACCTTGGGGATGTCTGGCATTGGCGGTAGCGGTGGGGGCGGTGCCGCCTTGAGGAGGGCGAGGCTCGCTCGGCGCTGGTTTAGCTTGGGCGACGAGAACGAGGTGGATCGGGAGCGTAGGGCCTCTCCTTCGCCCAGGTCCTCTGAGGCGATGTACCAGAGGCCCTGTCTGGCCTGGGACAGTTGGTAGGACTTCTTGAGAAAGACGACTGCGGTCATGAAGCCTGTTCGCAGGCGAAGTCAGCGTCTGTTGCGGCGGGAGGGACTTGATTGGGCGTGGCATCACTTACTGTCGTACCCAGCCTGGTGAGGACAGGACGCACGGTAGCTGAAGTAGGGATCAGGGGCAACCACTGGGAACAGCTGGTTTCCCGCGGCGTCGAAGCACTCGCCCAGGCTGTAGTCTGGCGACATCTCATCCCCTCCCCTCGTGAAGAGGTACTTGGTGTCCACGATTCTGGGCAGCCTCTCCCTCGTGAGGGCTCGAAACTCCTGCAGTGACTTAGGCACAGGGGCGACGAAATTGCTGTGGAGGAAGCACAGATCCATCAGGATGTTGTGTCCGACCAACACAGGGCTCCTGTTTCGCAGGCGGCTCTCGTACTCCTTGAGTTCTGCTTTCAGCCGCATGGCCTGGATTGGATTCTGACCGACTATGAGCCCAATATCGACGTTGGCGACGAACGGCTGCCCGCAGATCGCGTCCCATAGGAGACGGGCTCCGATCTGCTTGGACACCGCACGTGTGCGCTCGAGACTCTTATGACCAGACGTTTGCTGGCTGGCATCAAAAATCTCCATGTGTGCGCCTCCATATCGGGCTACTGCCCGGAGGTCTGAGAACTGGTCCTGTAAAAGTTCGTGGACAAGTCGCTTCTGCAGGCTGTTCAGGCGGTGGCCTTGCGAGTTGCGAATTATGACGGGCCCGACATGGGCTCCAGAGCGCCGTTGCATTCTCCAATTTATGATCTTCCACTCGACATCGTTACGGAACTCCGTTGACTTCGTTGAGAGCTCATTGACATCAATGAGCTCCCCGGCTTGCCTCTTCCCGTCGATGAAATCAAATGTCGCCTTCCGATTGAGCTCGCTTGCAGACAGGTACGGAACGCCCCTTTGCAAAATGTGCGCAAGGCTGAAGTGATTGCTCTCCAGGAAATCAAGAGTTATGGTGGATAGCCTGAAGCATCTATCCACAACCCTGACAAGTGATTTGGAAGTGACATCTTCCACAACGACACCCGGGTGGAGAGGGAGATTGAATGTCTTGGTCACGTATGATTTCCTCTCAGGATCCCAGCTGATGCAGGTGAAGCCGAATTGCAAGATGGAGAACAGTTTCGCTGCCTTTCTCGCATCGTCATATTCCTGCTGCAACGTTGGCTTGACTGGGGTTTCCGTGTCTCGAAATTGGTCAACATAGATACCGGACATCTCGAGGTCTACAGCCACATATCGGGCCTCGCTGATTGTCTTGAAGATGTACGGCAGGTTCTGCCAGAAGTTGGTCCGGTCGACTTCCATCTCTGGATGTGTTTTCTAGGGGCTTGGTGGTCCTCCGGGATCGGTTGCTGTGCGGTTGCCGCAGAAAGACGACCCTGAGGGCGGCTGACAGTGTGGAATGTGTACAGGTAAAGCTCTGATATGAATGAACGGTAAAAGAGGATGAGGAGGGTGAAGCAGAGATCTGCAGAAATGGCTTAGGGGGTAGGGAGGCGGCACCCCGAGGTCATCAAGCTGAGTACGGATGTGGTGAGGTGAGAGCGCCGAAAGAAGTCATGCATTAACCGTCCTTAGGATACCAAGTGATGGGAAGGTGGAGCTCCAAACAGTAAATCTTCTGAAAGACGAAAGAAAGACAGAATGATGTCGCCAGTGTCTGCTGTGGCATCACCCGCGTGTTTGTTGCTGTTTCCCTGCCGAGTTTGTCCACTGTCAGGAGGCTGGCTGTCTTGCTCCTGCCCCTGTGCACTCATAGTTCACTTATGGAGACACGGGAGGCACCACAGAGGGCAACATCTGGCACCGTTGGGCACTTGCCTCATAGATCCACCTCAAGAAGTCTGGTATGAATGCTCCTCGTTCCTGGGTACCTCGAGCACAGCATCTTGCTCGTTACCTAGGAGCCACCACATTTTGCTTTTATTTGTCCAAACTAACTGTTCAACCCGTCTGGGAGATAGAGATATGTTTACCTTGAGAAGCCCAACAAGGGAAACCACCATTCAAGGAGAGTCTAGATGAGAGTTCACTTGGTGTGTCCAAGCAGCAAAACAACTGCCCCTACAATACCAGGGGTTCAATGAGATCAAAATGAGTGTTTGCTGGGCCAGCCAGCTGCCAGAATATATTCAGGCCTTGGGGCACTTGACTGAGGACAACCCACTCTTGCCACCTATGCGGACAACAATGCACCGTCAAGGCTTCTAATGGACCTTCAGACTCGGTGAATGCCTCAAGACCTTTGGGACGGATTTATTTGGATTGGATAGAGATCCTCATTTGGCTTTTGAAGTCTGATAATGGAGGAGGCTATGTCATACTTGCTTGCCTTCGACCTCCTAGAAACAGACAAGGAGTCAAATCCACCAGAGCAGTATACTACACGCGCAGAAGCATATGGTAAGGTTTTTGGAAGACAGGATGTGGGCCTCTGGGGACCCATCTCAGCGATGAGGCTCTCAGCTCTGGACACAGTGGGGAGGCGTGCAAAAATAAATTATTGAACGGCAAGGCACAGAGGCCACCTGGTAATGGTGGCAAGCTGGACATCACATTAGCCTCATACTCCAGACTCCAATGACAATTCCGCGCTGAATAGTGCCCGCAATTGTAGACAGGGCTCCCATGTGGCCACACAGCATACAGAGGCCCCTGGAGTCCAGGGGTTTGACAGATTTTGACAGTACCGAGCGAGAGGAGCCGATAAGATTTGAAATATCATTTACACTCGAGCACAGCTTAACTGATGCCCCGTAAATTATAGGGACAGTTCCACAGGAATGGTGCCCTGGTTGAGCACTCGGACAAGTCGGGTTTCTGGGAGTTGCAGTAACGAGAATGCATGCGTCCGTATACTAGTAGAAGATCAATGCTCCACCCTCCATAAATAGACGTCCCGTCATCGTATGGCCCAGGCATATGAAATTGGCTCTCGTCGACGGCAGAGCACAATCTTATCGGCTCGTAATATCGAGCAGGCCCAGATGATGATGGCCGTTTAGGCGCAGGGGGATCTCTATAGACTGGGATCCAGTCTGGGGAAAAGCGAATTGACCAGGGGCTTGGCAGGGGTGGACTGTCCCGATTGCCAGCCTTGGGCCGGCCGTCTCATCAGCGACCCCGGCCACCCCCATCCACTTTTTAGCCGTTTGCCGAGGCTCAATGGCCTGGCTGGGTGACCTCGCGCCCGCAAACACATGCGATCCCCGACTGGAATTTTGTCCGCAGCCCGCTCCACGATGCGCGTCCGACCTCATGCCCACGCCCCGACGCAGCTGTGCTTTTAGATGACTGCCAATCTCTCCCGTGCAAATCCATCAATGCCATCCTGATCACTAAAGCGGCTCCCCTGAAGGCCCAGAAGGTTTCTCCCGACTCGACAATGGCTGCCCCAGCACCGCCAGACGGGGCCTATACCGCGACTCTCAGCCCGACCTCGACCGACGGCTTTGCCTCCCAGTCGCTCCGGTCGTCTATATCCTCCCTTGGCTCCCCAGCTGCCGCCCGTCACGCCGCCTCCTATGTCTCAAAAACATACCGGCAATCATCCACCCTCTTCCTCACGCGAAGGCTGCCCGAGGCCCTCTCCACAATTACGCCTCTAATCACAGTCACGCCACCGTCGCCGTCCCAGCAGCCGGAAGGCAGCAACGGCGCCAACGGCACCACCGAGCCCGCACCAGTCGCCAAGGCCTCGCGGAACACGAGGATAAAGGTCTGGACCCTGTACATCGCCATCCTCAACGCCATCGTGGCTCTCGACCCGGACGAGGGGAAGGAGGCCCTGGGCACGCAGGAGTGGAGGGCGCTGTGCGCCAAGGTGCGGGACGGCGACGTCTGGGAGGAGGTCGTCCACAATGGCTACCATGGCGTCGAGGCCGACGTCGACTCGGACGTCGTCATCAACCTGTGCGTAATTTCTAATTTTATTGAAGTCATCTCCCTTGTTGGCACCAACTGTGAGACTAACATGCCATCCCAGGGCGACTCTCCTCCTGACACACGCGAGGACGCAGACTTTAAACCAGAAGCGCCTGGAGAACTACCTCGCCGCGTCGGCAACCCCCAACCTGGACCTGTCGGGCCACTTCTCACCGACGCAGCAGGCCCCCCCGCGCGGAGTCGGAGCCGGCGTGTCGGGCCCGCCCCCGGTCCGCCCCCGGTCGCAGTCGCGGGCACGCAGCGGGGCCGACACGCCGCGGGACCTGAACGCGCGGGTCAAGATCCTGGAGCTGTACACGCTGCACGTGCTGATCCGCAACAACGAGTGGGAGTACGCGCGCGAGTTCATCGCCGCCTCCTCGGTGCTGGACGAGGAGCGGCGCGAGGCGTTCCTGCAGGCGCTGCAGAGCCTGCAGGAGGACCAGCTCGAGGCCGAGCGGCGGGAGCGCGACGAGAGGCTGCGGCAGGAGGAGCAGCTGCGCCGCGACGTCGAGGAGGCCCGCCGGCTGCGCGCCGAGAACGAGGGCCGCGAGAGGCGCCGGCTCGAGGAGGAGAGGGCCCGCCGCCGCGAGGGGGCCAGCGAGGTCGACTACGGCATCGACGCCGGCGGCGGCGGCGGTGGCAGCAGCAGTGTGGGCGGCTCGTCGGCCGGCAAGGGGGCTGCGAGGCGGGCGCGGGCGCAGACGGCGGGCTCGTCACGGTCGTCGAGGGCGGCGAGGCAGTCCGCGGCTGCCGGTGGTGGCGGGGGCACGTCGCCTAACAAGAGCAAGGCGGTCGCGCCGGCGTCGCTGGGCGCCAGGGCGGCGGTGGTGTTCGCCAACGTGCGCGCCATGATCGAGCGCATGAGCGTGACGCTCCACACGAACCCGATGCTGCTGATGAGGCTTCTGGCCTTCATAATAGGCCTGGTTGTCATGTTTGGGAAGAAGAACATGCGGGAGCGAATCACTCGGATATTAGGGACGAGTTGGAACAAGGTCAAGGCCACGGCTGGCATGGGTGTCAAGGTCAGCTACATATAATACTCGGGGGGTTGCATGATATTGGCGCATGTCGGCCTAGAGAGGCGGGCGTTGGGGGGGGGGGGAACACTGCTCAAGGAGGGGGCTTTGTATGAAATTGCATGAAACATATGACAGCGTAAATTTTGCATCAAATTGGTTGGTATCACACCCCTCATCAATTCCTCTTCGTCTAGCCATCTTTCAATGTCGTTTGATAGTGGATGGTACCAAAATGATCTCTCCTCCCTGCGTAATTTCCACGCAGCCTGCCTCTCGCGCTGCCCATTGCCTCCTCGCATGCCCCGTCTCCCAGCGACCCCAGTCTCGTGAAGACGATGATCTCGAGCAAACACAAATGTAGAAACCCCCCGAAATGCCGGAACGCCCATGCGAAAATATGCAGGAAATCAGCCCAAGCCCGGGCGTCACGGGGGCTAGTACGTCCGATTCGTTTTCTTTTGGTAAAACAACTGTGAATCCAAGCAGTCAGCATACATTCTAAGGTGATAGGCCGCTTGCCACCCGAAGCAGCAGAAAGACGGTGGGAGGGAGACAAGTTTGGGTGGGAACTCACGTCCGTCCTGGAGCTGCCCAGGTTGATGATCTTGGGGCAGCCGTCGCGGTCCTTCTCGAGGCGCGTGCACTCGTGGCAGTAGAAGGCGTCGCTGATGCCCTCGCCGCCGCAGACGACGCACTTGTTCTGGTAGTTGCCGAAGCTGCACTCGTCGCAGATGCGCACCAGCGTCGTGGGCCGCACGTACGAGTCGCAGACGGGGCACTTGCCGTCGCACTTGTCGCAGAGCCGCCCGATGGCGATGCCCGCCTGCTTGCGGCACATGACGAGGTCGGGGTGGTGGCGGGACATGCTGCGCCGGTTGTGGTTGTGGTGGGGATTGGAGAAGTGAGGTGAGGTGAGGAGAGGTGAGTGAGTCGTCGGAGGTGGAGAGGGCGCGTCACAGGTGGGTGGCTCGAGGAGGCGATATATGCAGCAGGGCGCGTGGGTGTTGCTTTATCGGATTGATCATCAGCCTTGCCAGCCTTGCTCGAAATTTCCACTCGAACTTTAGCGCTACTAGCCCTGGAGACCCCCGCCTGCCGAACAAAAACCTAGGTACCCACGGGCCAGCAGGCGCGGGTCCTTGGGCCCACGGCCGCCCGAGTGTGGGGTAGCCGATGCATGGGGAATCCTTGAGCTTGAGCTTCCCGAGTCCTTCTGCGCGTCCGCCTGCAACCGTTTGAGTTGAGGGAGGAAGATCGTCTTGCCGCAGATTGTTCACGGTTCAGCTCAGCATCGTTTTGCGCTTTGCTCTTTGTTTGTCCCACTCGCACCATATCGATCAGCTCTTTTTTGACTTATCGCAAACGGAAAACTGACTTTGCGGTGCTCTACTATCGATATACCCAGCAGTGTGACCTTGTGTCATTGTCTGCGACGACGCAATGTCCACGTCGAGAAGGCAAGCTCTACACCAAGGCATTGAAAAAGACAAGGGTGTGAGATGTCAATTGGCTGACGTGTATACAGCCCCGCTCCCGACACCGATACAGTCATGTCCGAAACGAGGGCATCCGAGACGAACCAACTGAAGCGTAAATCATTTGGTGCCTCGCCTGGCGCCGACTCCGACGGCAACGAAGACACACCCAACAAGCGCCAGAGGATCAGGGACATTCCTGGCAGAAGTCCTGCGCGTCACGGAAATGGAACAATTGGGAATGGAAACGGGGAACGACATCGATCCCCAATCAAGGACGCACTCCTGAAGGAGGAGAGCCGCTCTCCAGATGCTCGCAGGGAGCGGCAGGTCGTCCACATCCCGTCTTCTCCAGAGCAGCGACGGCGGCCTTCTGAGTCGACAAGACATGAAGTCCGCTCCCCAGTGAGCCCGCCTGACCGGCGCGGCTCTGAAACCAGCCGACGAATGTCCTCTTCGCACGGGGCAGAGCGCGATCGGGGCCGGAGGGAGAGCTACTCGCAGGAGGAGAAGAAGCGCGGCAGGCGTCTGTTCGGTGGTCTGCTAAGCACACTAAGTCAAACCACGGCAAATTCTCAGCAGAAGAGACGTCTGGAGATTGAGAAGAAACAGCAGGAAAAAGCCGTCAAGCAAAAGACCGAAGACGACAAGCGCCGAATGGAGAAGCTTGCGAAGCTCGACAAGGTCAGGAAGATCGAGCAGGTCCGGTTCGATGAGCAAGTGGTGAGTGTGATTCGCGCACCAGGCGCTGGCATGACTTTACAGCGGTGACATAGAGGGAAAGCGCATGCTGACGGAGAGAATCAATTAGATGCGCACCCGTCATTCCAACATGCTTGCAATGGCGCATTGCCTACGGACCAGGAGCGAGCCCAAGCTGGTAAGTACCTGATGTCAAGCCCGACTCCAGTTGACGGGCTCGATTACTGATCATACCATACCGTGACTAGTATTACCGCCCCTGGGAACTCACACCGGAGCAAGAGGATGTCATCAAAGACCAGATCCGCGACGCCGAGGACGAGATCGCGAATGAGGTCCGGCAGTTCAGGCGCCGCAAGGAGCAGAGGCTCAGCGACCTGGGCGTCCTGGCCCTGCCTGCGGCCTCAAAAGTTGACAACACCGTTGGTGAGCAAGCCGAAGAACGTTCTAACACCACCGCGCAAGTTGAGTCTACCACCGATGATGCCGCTGCTACTAATCATGACCACCACGGCCACGCGCACGAACACGCACCAGCACACTCCTTCCCCTGCCCCTGCACCGAAGAGTACCCACCACCACGAGGATAAGGATCACGACGAGATGGTCGAGGCGGAGGAGGATACTGTCATCTACTAATCTGCTCAGTCCTTTTTCTTCATTCATCAGCGGGTGTGTGGCCGGACAAGGGGTTACGGAAAATGTAAGATAGTGACCGGGAGCAGCATTGGCCCCGAGCAGCTTTAGACGGGTGCTTTGAGCCTATTGATTAGGACATCAATATTGAGAAGTCTAGTCTCATGGCAGTCTTGAACAGTACAGCGGCTCGACGCATTGAACGAAAAGAGCTCCGGGCGTGTGTATGCTGAGGCAGTGCCGTGCCTGGAAGTGACTGCCCTGCTCCCAACTCCCGGGGGATCCGTCGCAAGCTGTTGTTTTGTGAGCAGCATTGTGGCCCATATGACGACGGGCCAGTCTCATGTCACCGTTTTGTTGAGGGATATAGGCCGATATCGTAAGATGTTGCATAAGCTCTCCCAGTGGTCTCCGCTGATCGTTGGGACGGCCGAGGTTTCTCGGAGGACCCGCCTTGTGGGAGCTACGTCTTGGCTCCGCTGCCTGTCGGTGCCTCGGCCGATGCTTGGAGCTTGGTGCTACCCTTGCTCATCTATCTTATGCGGTGCCGATTATCCCTCAACGCACATGTCTACAGCTGTGTGCTGCTTCAAACTGGAAACGGAGTTCCACTGATTTCTTGGTCTTCAAGTGGGAAAACCACTCGAGTCCACGTCCCGACACTGACTGACGTCAACGTCAAGGAAGCATCCAGGTGCGCCGCTCCGCAGCACCGCCGGGATAAATAAACACGCCTCTGCCTCCGACCTTGGCGGCCGCGGCAGAGCCCCGTGAAGCGAGTCAGGCCCATCTCGACTCCACCGGTCGAACCATCCACCCGGTCTATGTACATAGTACCGTGAACCGCGAGTATATATTCGTGACTGGCTCAGCCACCCCTACAGCACACACCTCTTTTATCCCTCCCGAGAAGACAACACACACCTCTCTCTGCCCACCATGGCCGTCGACAAGCTCAAGCCAAACGACCCAAGGGCCCAGTCCCTGACTGCCAACGTCCGGGGCAAGACATACAAGTACATCCTAGCCAAGCCAGAGGGCGGCACACCCCCACGCGCAACCGCCCTCCTCATCCACGGCTGGCCGGACCTGGGCTTCGGCTGGCGGTACCAGGTGCCCTACCTCACATCGCTGGGCCTGCAGGTGATCGTGCCGGACCAGCTCGGCTACGGCGGGACCGACGCGCCGCAGGACCTCTCCCTCTACAGCCTCAGGAACGTGGCGGACGACATGGCCGAGCTGGTGGCGCAGGTCGCGGGGCCCGGCGAGCGCATCATCCTGGGCGGGCACGACTGGGGCGGGGCGGCCGCGTGGCGCCTCGCCCTGTGGCACCCGGACCTGATCCGCGCCGTCTTCAGCGTGTGCACGCCGTACGTCCCGCCCAGCAGCCAGTACGCGGACCTGCCCACCGTGGTGAAGCTGCTGCCCAACTTCCGCTACCAGGTGCAGCTCGCGGGGCCCGACGTCGAGCGGGAGATCGGGTCGGACCCGGCCAAGATCCGGGGCCTGCTGACGGGGCTGTACGGGGCGCGGGGCCCCAGCGGGGAGGACGTCTTCACGACGGACCACGGCGTGCACTTTGAGAACCTCGGCAAGATGGGCGAGTGCCCGCTGCTGGACGCGGACGAGGTCGACTTCTACGTGGGGCAGTACGCGCGGAACGGCATGCGGGGCCCGCTGAACTGGTACCGCACACGGCGGCACAACTACGAGGAGGAGCTGGCGCTGCTCAACAAGGACGGGGAGGCCCAGCGGCTGGGCATGCCTGCCCTGGTGGTCGTGGCTGAGAAGGATCCTGCGCTGCCGCCGAGGATGTCGCAGGGCATGGAGGCGCACTTTGAGAGTCTGTCGAGGGCTACTGTGGGTGGCACGCACTGGGCGCTGTGGGACTCGACCGAGGACGTGAATGCTGCGATTGGGAGGTTTGTTGAGGAGGTGCTGGGCGGGTCTGTGAAGGCCTCTATTTGATCGTTTCAGTCATAAAGTAAGAGTCTGAAATTATGAACTTTGATGAGAATGGTCAGCAGCAGTCTGTTGGACGTGGGTCTGTATCTGTCCATACAGCTGCTCTGACTAATCTGTGTGTATCTTGTGACACTGTGCTTGTCTTGCGAAACATCCGGACAGCTGTTCACTGAACTTCTGCGTAGGGAATATCGTCTTTGGGGTCGGACTCGACTGAGGGACCACTGTGACAAGCTGTTGATACCCCCCCCCCCCCTTGATCCTGTGCAGATGACGTTTGTATCTTGACGGAACGAAGGTCCGTCTGTCCCTGGGTGTATGCTATCACACTCGAGGCCATGAAACCCTTGCCCGCGCAACCCCCGGGAGGTCAACCGCCCCGGTAGCCCACGTTCACTGTCCTCCCGGTCACGGACCCGAGCGCCTCAAAGGTGCCTCGTGCTTCATGTGCGAATTTGAGTTGCATGGATGCCGTCATGGCTGGGTGTCTGTGGCCCTTACGGCTACCTCACGAGGCTGACACCTTGCAACATTGTCTCGTCTAGGGGCATGCAGTGACTCATTTCATGGAGAACTTCTGTCCGGAGATCTGTGGCGCCTTAGAGGACGTCTTCTTGTTTGGTTTACCACACATGTGGCACACTGTGTCTAACGTCAGCCTGCTTGGTTCAAATCGTTGATGGAGATTGGGAGACTTGGGTGAATGGTGCGTACGATCATCCTTATAAGCACATTTATTGCAGTATGAGTGACCTTGCGATATCTTGGTCTTGCACTTCGTGCAGGAGCTGAGGAGTTGGTCAGCTATCTGGGGTCGTCTGAGCCCAATCCAAAAAGTGGAGCAACTCACCTTGCATACTGAGCATAGGGGTTCTTTGCATTCTTGGAAAGAAGCTTGCTCTGCATGGCCTTGTTGTTACCAAAATGACCCACTAGGCACATTGGGACGAAAGGATAGCTCTGACCTTTCCGATGCCTGTTTGCCCCAGTGTGGCTGACTTTGATGATGAAGAGGCCGGGGATCCGTGGTACATCTCGCTCTTCTTCTTCACGCCTGGCGTGGCAAGGGTTGTCCCCTTGGACAGCTTGAGGCACTTGGAGCAGACCATGGCTTCTTGGCAGGACTTTGAGAATGTGAATCTCGGGCTGATGGAATGATGGCAAAGGTATGTCGATGAGTTTTGTGATGATGGCTGATGGCTGATGGCTGATGTTGAGTCCAGGGAAGCAGATGCTCAAACCGGCAAGGGCCCAAGTTCCTCGGTGCCAGTGATGATTCAGCCGCCCAGAGAAGTGGGTCCAGCGCTGTCAAGAGACCCCTGACCGCCAAGGCCGCATGCAGGAACCTGCATGCTCCGTCCAACCTTCTTTCTCTTTATCAACCAGCATTGTTGAAATGAAATTCTAGCTGGCCCTTTTCACATGCTTCAATGATTAGATTTTTGCAAACTATGTTTTGATCAGATAACGATTAGGTCTCGGAAATGTCTTATCTACCCTTGACCGGGGCAGTGGCTGGCAGTCTGGGGATTCTCCCTCCTGCCACTCAACTTCTCCTTCCACCTGTGCCTCAGCTCTGAACACCAAGCCATGGAGATGAGTGTCCTTGCACATCTGAGGGCTTTGACCGCTTGAAGTCTTCAGGGTCTGATCTAGGGATAATAGAGTGGTAAGTAGTTGTGCTTGTATGCACTTCCACACTTTTGGAATACCCGTGGCAGCATGCACATATTCCCGGGATGGGTCTGCCTGACTTCATGTTGCTCTATTCTATAGACCCAGCCCTATACATCCACCGTCCAGCGTATCCCTATTTCTTAGCTCTCAATTTCTTTTCTAAGGAGCATGACTTAGGCAAAAGCACGTGTTGCTTGTGCGCTTGAGAGTATATGTGTCGTATCTTGAGTCTTTCGTGGCTGCATCGAGATGAATCTTCACAGCACTCAGAAAGCTGGGGTAACCTTTTATTTACTGCTGCGGCCACGGGCCTTGATTCTACAGACAAATGTCAGTCAGAGCCATTATAAAAGTGTGGTTTTGATTTTCAATGGTCGCAAGATTGCGTATCTCAGTCATGTCTGCCCTTACTGTTGAACACACTCGTCGGCCTGCTTTGCCCACCCACCTGTCTGCTCCCCTACCTGCTCCCCTGCCTTACCACCTGCCCGTCAATCCATCATCCACCTGATTGATTACTCACCGATCTGTCAACCAATCTTCCTCCTGTCTGCACGAATTCGATATTGACCATGACAGACACTACCGACATGCGCCCTGAGGAGTGTCCTCGTGGACTCCACCTGGACCAACTTCCTCTCTGCAGCGAGAAACGCGTCCTCTCCAAGCTGCGAAACGCGACTCACGATTTCGCGTTCGCCTTCGACATTGACGGTGTCCTGCTGCGTGGCACTTTGCCAGTCGAAGGCGCCAAACAGACTCTGGAAACCCTTCAGGCCAATTCCATTCCCTTCATCCTCTTGACCAACGGGGGAGGACTCACAGAGTTGGACCACGCCCGGCGGCTTGGTCTCAGGCTTACCATGTCCATCGACGAAGACCAGTTCGTCCAATCCCACACACCTTTCAGAACATTCGTGGAGCAATACAAAGAGGAGTGGATTGTCGTCCTTGGTGGACATGGCTCCCATGTCAAGGACTTGGCCACCATGTATGGATTCAACCCAGAGAAGATCATCACGAGCAGTGATATCGTCAAGCATCACCCTAGCATCCATCCATTCCCCGTGAGTTCTGCTGCCAATACAAGAGGCTCCTTGGCCTCTAGACATGGACTGATATTTGAGATCCCAGGAGATGACTTCGGCCTACCATGACCAGTACGGCAATATCGCGGACGACTTTTCTCATGAGGAGAAGATCGCTGCGATCTTTGTCTTCACTTCTCCAAGAGACTGGGTGAGAACAGGTCTTGTCCATTCAACAACCATACTGGCTCAGTCACTGACTTTGACTTCTCACACACGTAGTGCTTGGACCTCCAGATCTGCATAGATCTCCTCCTCTCTGCCAATGGCCGACTGGGAACCAGATCAACGCTCAATGGTGATGCAAACCTTCCGAACCATGGCTACCAACAAGATGGGCAGCCTCTGCTCTTTTGGTGCAATCCTGATTTGCAGGCAGGTACTTCTGCCTGTCATTGAGACCCTCCACAATCTCTGTGACTGTCAAGTACATACTGTTGTTAACACTCACAATAGTGGTCGACTGCCCATGCGACCCCTCGACTCGCACAGGGCGCATTCCGTGCAGCGCTCGAAGGCATCTGGTCATCCGCGACCAAAGGAAAAGCGGAGCTGCAGTCGTGGACCTGCGGCAAACCAACTACAACCACCTACGATTACGCCGAGCAGATCCTGCAGAAATACCATCAGAAGATCGAGCCCCTTTCCACCAGCCAGATCAAGACTGTCTACATGATTGGTGACAACCCGGAGAGTGACATCTGTGGTGCCATCCGTGCGGACGAGACTTCAAGCCTGGCCTGGCGGAGTGTGCTCGTTGAGACGGGCGTGCACAAGGCTGATATGGTCCCTGCGTACGCGCCAACTGAGACCAAGACCGATGTCTGGGAGGCTGTCCGATGGGCTGTCAGCCACGAGACCAAGGTGGACATCGGAGAGTGCCCGGATACTTGATTGAGTGATCGGACCAGGCTGACTTTTGGTCGTCATTGTTGTCTGGACAAGCGACTGGTGTGGCTTGTGAACCCATTGATTGATGCTTGCGAGAGTGATTACTGGCTGCATGATCCATTGGTTGTTGTTTGAGTGATTCATCGCTGGCTCATGAAGAGCCTTTCCGGAGAAGGCGCATCGGGGAATAAAAGTTTTCCATGTCTTTTCATCTTTATCAAACAGGCCAACAAGGCAGTTGGACCTGTGAAGGAGAACCTTCTCTGAATTTGTGTGGACACAGAAGAGCAAATCCGCTCCAGCTTTGTAGGACTTTAGGAAGCAGCTTTTACTCAACAAATGCTATCAACTTTGATTGATTTGAGAGGTCTGATTCATTCTCAGTGCCGGGACACTTTGGCAGGATTTTAGGAAGATGTCTCTAAGCTCTATGAACAAATGCAGAATTTAAAATTGTCTCAAAGGTTTTAGCCTGTTTTGTACCACAAATAGAGGGAAAACAGCCAAGGCTTGTCCAAGATGCTTAGACGTGAGGATGGTGAACTTGTCTTACAATGGAAAGCTTGAACAGCAAACATGGAGACGGCTCCAGCTGGCCAGTGAATCCATGAGCATTTCTCTTACGGGTGCCTGGTCAGGAACATCGTCAGAGAAGCCTGTCATCCTGACAGGGATAGGGGATTCCAAGAAAACGTCGCTCACGGCTCTCCGTACGGTCATGAAAGAAGCCCGCCGTCTTGGATGCCCAGAGATCGGCCTGGCTGACTGAATCCTTCAGGGTCCCCTCTCACCGTTGGAGAAAGCTCGACCCCACCAACATCATCCATCAAGGTAGATTTGTTCCCCGCGGCGCCAGAAGCGTCCTGATGTGCATGCAGCTAGCCCAGCCTGGAGCGCGAGTGCAACCACACCTCCAGCCTAGTTTTTGCCCTGCCCATCGCACCAGATCGCGTGCGCCCCCGGTCCCATGTGGTTGGGAACCTTGGAAGGTGGGCCGAGGCTGATCCATTCCCTTCTTCCTGATCCTTCTCCGCAGGCACTGCCTGTACTACCACCTACCGCCAATTCCGTCGGGTAAGCAAAACGGCTGGCCTGGCGCGGCAGGCCAGGCCCCAGAGGAAGGAGGAAGAGGCGGAAGAGGAGGAAAAGAAGGAGCAACGCTGTAGGGCCGCTGTGCCGCTTCAGCTGCATTAGCTACGTAAGGATGCAGCTTGTAGCTGCTTATATCAAGTGAGATGTTTTTCTTGTTGGTGCTTGTTGGCTCTGACACACCCTGTCTTAACTTGTCCTACGTCTTCGGCGTCTTACACCTTTCCTTGCTGTCCTCTGCCCAGAGTGACCGTATTCACTTGAACACAAGCAAACACCTGGCCTGCTGGTAAGGGCGTTCCTTTGGAAGGTGTTTGCCTCTTTTCCAGTCCATCCGCCACAGCCGTGTTTTTCTTTTTCCACGGCAACCCCGCCGATGAGATGAAAACCGCAAGATGCCACTCCACTGGCGTCGCCGCCGGCGATCGCTCCTCGGTCTCCGACTGCTCACCACCTCCACCGCCCTCGTCGTCCTCTTCCTCTGGGCGACCCTCCCCTACGACAACGCGCTCCGCTCGTCGGCGCGGTTCAACACCCACCGGCTCGTCTCTTTTCTCAGGGGCCCCCTGAGGAACGAGCGCTGGCTTTACGAGCCGCCCGCCTTCCCCGTGGACTGGTCGCGTGACGTCGGCATCATCTTGAAGACGGGCTACGGGACGCAGGAGAGGGCCCTGGCGTGGGTCGAGGCGCTGCCGGCTGGGATCAGCCCCGAGAATGTCATCATCGCTGGCGACTTCGACGCCGAGCTGGCGACAAGGAGTGGTGCGCGGTCCGGGTTGAAGGTCCATGATGTTATCGCGAGGATCGCGGACGAGAAGCTTGTGGCGTGCGAGGATGCCCGTTGCCCGCGTGCTGAGAAGTACATGAATTTGAAGGCTGCTATTTCCGCCGGCGAGGATGGACTGGCAAAGAATTACTCGAGCTCTTTCGGGTGGGAGTTGGATGCGATGAAGGTACGTGGAGAGACAGTCCCCGAGGGTACCGTGCTTCTGCTGACATTGGTGTAGTTCATACCCAGCCTCGAGTTGGCCTACCGTGCCATGCCGGATAGGAAGTGGTTCATCCTCGTCGATGACGATACGTACCTCATTTACCCGTCGCTCAACTTCATTCTCGGCCACTTCGACCCTTCCATGCCCTACTGTAAGTGGACTCTTGCACTGCGGACGAGGCCTTTCCCACTGACCCCCATAACTCAAACAGACCTCGGCAATGCAGTAGGCGACTACCGCCAACGCTTCGCCCACGGCGGTTCCTCCATCGCCCTCTCCCGTGCAACAATGCAAGCCCTCTTCGCCCCAGGCAACCACCACGCAATCGCGAAGGCACGCCACGCCTCCCTGACCGAGACCTGGGGCGACCGGCTACTGGCCGATGCGCTTCTGCGGCTCGGCGTACCCGTCGACGAGGACGCCAGCCGCTTCTTCAACGGCGAGCAGCCGTGGGCATCGCGCCTGCGCCCTGACCGCCTCTGTGCCCCCGTCGCGACGTTCCACCGCCTCTCGACGGCGGACGAGATGGCGGACGTGGGCCGGGTCTTCCGGGATGCCGTCGACCCCGTGCTCTGGGTCGACCTGTGGGAGATGTTTGCCCACCGCGGCGGCAGACGGCGACAGGACCGGGCGGCGGAAGCTCGTTCTTCCATCAGCCAAACCGCGTCACCCCATGAGTACGGTGAGGTCGTGCCTGGGCGGGCAGGCTGGGATCATGTGGGGGACTTGGACGAGCATACGGAGTCATTTGCGGGTGTCAAGGCTGCACTCGGCTGTTCCCATCTTTGCAGTTCCAGAAAGAAGTGTCTGGCCTGGACCTGGGATGAGGGCAAAGGGCTCTGTCATCTGAGTCCCTGGGTGACCGTTGGCAGGGAGGCATTGGGACTGAGGTCTGGGTTGAACGTGGATCGGTTCCGGGATCTGGCGGACGAGTGTCGTTAGGGATACGGGATACTGATTCTCGAGTTGGGCGGTCCTTCAAGGACGTCGCACGGCGAACAACCCTCTACTGTGGAAATTGTCTGTCAGCCGTGTCGATTCTCCACGTACTTATAAACAACGCTCTCAAGGGCTAAAATTTGATCGAGTTGATACCTTCGCAGTCTTGCTTCCTTTGGCAGACCTTGAACTCAAATCTGGGCCAGCTCTAAGATCTCGTTCTCGCCCAGTAGTCCGCCTACAGCTCCAGCCAAGATCGTGACGCCTCCCGACGAGAAGATCGGCTCGCCGCGACTCCTTTAGATGTTGCTCTTGCACGAAACGGAGCCACTTGGCCATCGCATTGGGAAGTGTTTTCAGAAGTCGCTCCCACCTAGGTACCTTGGTATGTATCATCATATGGTTGCCGCGGCCTTGAAGATTATTTAGCAGAGGTGTCACAAATTAATACTCAGACCACCCGGTTTGACCGTCTCACAATCTCGCATCCAATTGCTGAGAAAACAAAATGAGGGTTGAAAATGCTTCCTCTCCTTTCCACTCCCATGGCGATTGCAGCCCGATTCAGCCTGAGAGCAGGAGCAATCTGGTTCTCCAAGCTCGTGGTACCCAAGCTTCCTGCTGCATGTGCCTTGTCTTTGGTAAGAACAAGATTCCCTGCGTCTCATATACTGGGAGTGAGTTCATAATGCGACTCTCATTTTTGATGGAGCAAATATAGGGGCCGCCCAGGGGGAGGTCTTTCATGTGGACATCAGTCCAGGCATAGCAGCTGGCCTTGTAGGCATCCCAATGCTCGTCATCATGGCTTCGAGCCACTTTTGAAGAGACGAAACGTCTTATCATTTCCAAATGTATCTACCAAGACTATTGGCAAAGGGTCCTTGCCAGAATAACAGGCAGAAATATGGGTCAGCTTACGAGCCGACGCTTTGGTAGGATCAAGCTAAGTTAAAATGGCAATGGCTCTAGAGCTAGAACGATCCTCCAAGGCTTGTCTTCAACAAGCATTGGTGGCAGGGGGACAGTGCTCAATCCTTGCAGGCCAGTAGCGGAGATACCGCGACTCGAGACAAGGGAACACCGCAGATTGATGAATAAGGGAGAGTTTCGGATCCAGAGCGATCAAATCCATCATCCTCAGCCGCAGCTAGGCACCCGCGAATCTTTCCATATAACAAACCACTGCATGAATGAGACCCATCTAACTCATTCTACTATACCGGTAGCTCCCCCCTTCGGCAAACTTGAGAGTATCAGACAGAACCGCCACTACGCACACGTTCAACATGGCTTCAAACAAGGAAGAAGGCACCGCACAGGCCCGCCTCCCAAGCCCGCGCCTGGTCAGCACAACCCACGCCCGGGACGGCACGTCCGTCTTCGCATCAGACGAGACCATCCCGGCCTTCCAGCCCTTCGGGCCCGGCACGAGCGGCTTCCACAACTTCGACCTGCGGCCGACGCTCCCGGCCAACAACAACACCGGCGCGGCGGCCCCGCCGTCCGCCCTCGCCAGCACGTTCCCGCGGTGCGCCCCCGGCGGCGCGTACTTTGGCGTCACGGACGTCCCGCCCAGCTACTCGGCGCCCATGCACCGCACGCTGAGCCTGGACTACGCGGTCGTGCTGTCCGGGGAGATCGTGTGCGTGCTCGACGGCGGGGAGGAGAAGACCATCTCCCGGGGGGAGTTCATCGTCCAGCGGGGCACGAACCACCAGTGGGTCAACCGGTCGCAGACCGAGGTGGCGAGGATCTTGTTTGTCATGGTTGGGGCTGAGAAGGTTGTTCTGGAGGACGGGAGGGGGCTGGAGGAGACTGTGTTCAAGAGGTAAATTGGAGTGATCCTGCTGTGCCTCGCATTAATCATCGTGGAAGGAGGACTGCGGTGAAACGCTTGCGAACTACATGGCCGCATGCCGTCTCGGGATGACGAAAGCTCCCAGGTACAATGCTTTTGTGTAAACTATGACCGCTGATTCTGTGCTAAATTTTGAGGTCCATGTTATCCTGGACCGAACTGCACACAAACATTGGTGAAACAAATGATGGGATTTGATCAGGTGGCTCTGCTATTCGCCCCTTTCCCTGTGATATAATTTCATGAAATGAACATATATGAATTGTATGGTCGTCTGCATGGTTGGCTTGTAACATTGGTGATCACTCGCGATTGCCCATACCGTCTTGTCATATTCACGTGCTTGAAATAGTCGGATGCAAACTACAGTAGCTAACCAACCACTCATTAAATAACCCCGACAGTCGCTGAAAAATGAATCCCATTGCTCGACTTGAAAAATAGCAGCAAGATCCTATCAAGACTAGCTACAGAGGGCGAGACGCGTGAAAAATAAGACCTCAACATATGTGCTTATCACTGTATGAAGGGACTGGATGCATACTGCTTAAGAAGCATATGTGTACAGATTAAAAACGAGACCACCCACACATACCCGCTCAACATATGTGCAGAGATTGTCCTCGATTCCAAACTCTGGGCTTGAGCGGCTCAACCGCCCACTTTTCGTAAACGCAACAAGAAGATCAGAACCCAAGTGAAGGAACATGTTGAAACACATTTCCCATAAAATCAAACCACTCTCTGTAGCCTGACAGCCAGAAGATAAAAATAAATGTGAACCTTTCCCATAGGAGGCCATCCCCCTAGACTACCATTCGCTCTCAAGTGCTGCTACACATAGTCCTTCCTCTGCTTACTCACTACTTCATGTTCCGACCCGGGCCGCTTTCTTTTTTCTTTGGGGCCGTGGCCGCCGAGGTCTTCACTATCTTCAACCTGCTGTCGCGTGTGGTCGTTTGGACTATACTTGGTTGCGGAGACTTATATACCATAGATGCTTATTATCTAGGTACCTTGGATGCAGTGCACGACTTCGTCAGTGACACGGAGAGCAATCAATCCCATTCATTTTCCAATTGACTGTCAATTCAGAGGCTAGGGTGGCGTGCAGTTTGCAATTTATCAATATGCCCTTCTCCACTGGGTGTTTTATACACTTGTGTGAAGTGGGCATAGTGGTCTAAAGAGTGCCTCCTCCATGACGTCAATATCCCAAGCGTCAAGAATTATCTACAGTACCTGCAGCTTGGCTGAGGCTCGACTAGAACCTCTCCTCATCAGTTGCTCCAGTCAGCTTTAACCATGTCCGAAAATACACCTCTCCTTCGGAGAGAACCAGATGGAGGTACCAAAGATGGCCTCCCATGGAGCGAACGATTACAGCACTTCACCTGGGCATGGTTCGAGGTCAACATGTCTACCGGAGCGCTGGCCACATTGATCGGACAGCAGCCATACAATTTCATCGGCATAGGGGTTATTGGGTGGGCACTAGCTATTCTCAATATCGTTCTCTTTGTCCTTTTCTCCGGCATCATCACATATCGATTCAGCACGGTGAGAGGCAGACTACTTCGTAGTCTGCACCATCCCCACGAGAGCTTCTTTTTCGGCGCATACTTCGTCAGCATCGCAATGATCCTGTACTGCGTCGACCTTTACGCGGTCCCGATCACAGGAGGCTGGCTTCTCAAGACCATCGAGGTGCTTTATTGGGTTTATGCTGGCATCGTCATGCTGGTCGCCGTGTTCCAGTACCACATCATCTTTGACCGCGAGAAGCTCCCCGTCGCAGACGCATTGCCCTCATGGATCCTGCCAGTGTACCCGTTCCTGATGCTGGGCGTGCTCGGCAGCGCGCTTCTCAAGAACCAGCCATCGACCTCCGGCCTGCCCATGTTCATCGGGAGCATAGCGTTCCAGGGTCTGGGGTGGACAGTGGCATATTTCATGCTCACCATCTACGTAACTCGCCTCATCAATACCGACCTCCCCGAGGCGTCCAAACGACCGGCGATGTTCGTTGCCGTCGGACCGGCCTCGTACACCGTGAGCACCTTTGTGGCACTCGGTATGCAGGCGCCGAAACACATCCCCGAGGGCTTCCTGGGAATCCACTCCGTCCCCGTCGGGAACGTCTTCAAGGCTGTGGCTGTGGCTGTTGGCGTGTTCATGTGGCTCGTCGCGTTCTGGTTTAGCTCGCTGAGCACTGTCGGAGTTCTAATTTCGATCCAGGAGGCACATTTCACTCTGAACTGGTGGGGATTCATTTTCCCAAATGTTGGCTTGTTCATTGCGCTGCTCCAGCTCGCAGATGCGATGGACCTTAGCAGCGTCAAAGTTGTAGTCACGGCGGCTACAGTGGTACTGTTTGTGCTGTGGGTGTATGTTGCGGTCATGAACATAAGAGCGATCATAAGAAAGGAAGTGCTCTGGCCGGGTCGCGATGAAGACATGGAGGACATCAGCGGTGAGCCAGAAACTGGAGATGGTGAGTGACAGGACCAAAGGTATTTCGCAGAATGAATTTATCACTGTTTTATGACTGAGGCGTGATGAGCGACGAGTGTGCCGAAGTCCTTCACTATTTTTACTTGTCATGTAGCTTGTGCCGACATCGAGCAATGAGCTTACTTTTGATGGTTCTCTCAAATAGGATAGAAGAGCGTGAGAGGCCGATAATAGCCTGAGTGGTCGACGGTCTCTCAGAGAGTCGTATAGTCAAAATATTATTAACAATTTACACGAATAAATAGTAATTTAAAATGATTAAATATATCATCAAAAATGATTATTATTAAAATAAGTATAAAATTCAATTAATTAATGACACGTTTTAAATCCGTTAATATAATTTTTATGTTTTAAAATAAGGTTAAATTACTTTCCTAGAAGATCAAAATGATTAATTAATAACAAAGCTATAAGACTATATACAATTCGCTCTAGCCAAAACCTCTAGCTCCAGCGCAGTGAATCCATTAACCAAATGATCAAGGAAGTGTCTTCGTTTATAGTCAGGAATTTTGTCATACGGCGACTCTTCCGCTCCCTCGAGGGGAAATCTCCGTATCCTGACGAATTCTCGTCGCATCCATTCTGCTTAGCCGCCCTCGGTCTCCATCTCACTTGATCCATGCTAACAAAATAGATACTTGGGTTGATTCGAATCCTGGAGACCAAAGGACGGACTTCGAGAGTATGACGCATTAGACAATTGTGAAATAACTCCTAGTGCTAGGAAGAGCCCGCCTCAAGTTAGGCCTTCTCAGCTACTATTACCGCGTCTGGAAAACCCGCCTTCTTCTTTATATCGCGAATTCTCAAGCCTGCTTTCTCCATTACATATGTCCACCGATCATGCGTCCTCTCTTGGGCTGAGAACTGGCCCATCATAATCAAGTCTTGAGACGTGGCGTTTGCGTGCGGATGTTCAAGGTCGATCACACTCTCGTGTATCAACAACTGCGAGTAGCCCTTCTCCATTGCCTCAACAACGTTTTTCAGAACAGCAATGGCTCGATTGTCGTCAGCATTGTGGATGACAACATGGATGTAGTACGCCCGAGCGCCTTTGATGGGCTGAGGGTCCAGGTAGTTGTACTCGCAGGGCAGAACCTTCTTCTGACCTTCAAGTGCCTTTGCTTCTTTGATAACATGCGGTAGATCCTGCACAACCAGGCTCCCATCAGGGATTTCGGGATGCAACTCCGCAAACTTGAGGGCATCGTGGCCTTTGCCGCCGCCGATATCGACAACGAGAACTCGATCTTTTTTTGGATCCTTGGCAATTGTTTCAGTGGGGAACAGCTCGGTCCACAACCTGTGGTTGTACCGAGAGTGAGATTCCATGAAGTCGCCCATATGCTGGGCCCACTGCGGAAGCAACGGGGCTTGCTTTGCATTGGCCAAGTCGCCTAGACGGGAAGTGACATTTTGGTCGTTGACGAAAAGCTCACATAGTTTCTCATCTTCGGCAAGCATAGACTTGAGCTTCTCAAACACGGCAGCATCACCAAGTGGGGGCTGATAAGATTCGACCCCGGAGCCGTAAAAGTCTTGGAAGCTGCCTGCCTTCGAGTCGGTCGGAGTTTTGAAACTGTTTTTTGCTAGAAACCGTGGAAGATTGCCCATGGGACCGTTGACCCACTCGAAGAAGCCAAGGAAGTGCCCAAAGATGGTCGGGTCTTTCACCAAGTCATCCGCCCAGGAGCCCTTCCATGATCGGTATTTACCACTGGTCTTGATGATCATTCTTTGGCCGGCAAGAGCGTCCAGCATGCGTCCTGTCAAATGTACAGATTTTAGAGTATACGAACGAACGGGTATTTGACATGGGCTCTCACTGCTGACACTCGATTCGAGCCGGACTAGGCGCCTCAGAATACCCTACACTAACAGCACTTCAAAGTCGCTGAGAAGCCAATATAATCCCCTAGTGCGCCCCCTCGTCTCCACCTGACCTCAACTGACACCGTTGTATTGGTAACACGTGTAAAGTCATTCAATCAGTGACAGCAAAGGCAAGGAAACGGCCGGACCGTGCTGCCGAGGAAGGAGTTTAGGTTGCAGCTCGAATAATGCCAAGGCAGGCTATTATCTTTCATCGCTTGACCGAACGCGGGGATTGGTTTTGCGGCACCTGGTGGCTGCTCAGGATCGAAATCCTTAAATGCTGGGGTAATGTAAGAACAGAGCGTTGCTTGTTTACCTAAATGATCCATGGCACTGGCTCGTTGGGCCACAAACATCAACTATCGCCGTTGCTGAACTAGTGATTCAATTCAGAACCGGTCTTATTGTGAAGTAAATGTGCTTATTTATCTTGTAAGGAATGGAATCAAACACTGCAACCTTCAAGTGATGTTGTGAATTCCAGAGCATTCTGCCCAACGCTTAATTACATCCTCAAGTAGGTGCGCATCCTCTCAAAATGGCTACCTTGCGTGCCTGGTCGGAAGACACGAATCCTCCCGTCGGTACGACTTCCCGCCTGCACCGAATTTCCGACCAGAACAGACTTAGAGGAAGGAATTCAGCGACGGAATCCTTCCCGTCTGAGTGCAGTTGCGGGGATCGCAGCCTTTGGCTCTGCTCTAGAACTATATATTGTTGGGCCCACTCAGGAGACGTCGGTTTTAAGCAGACTTGAGTTGCAATGGCAATATGACCCTATTTTCGCTGATGAGTCTCCTGCTTGGGGCTGGTGCCCTTATCGACGCCGCCCCAGCTCCATCTGCCGTCCTCGACGCTGGTGTCATCATCGGTACAACCACGACGTTGCCATCATCAACAGTAAAGGTGAACAAGTTCCTTGGCATTCCTTATGCGCAGCCGCCAGTGGATCAGAGGCGCTTCCTTCCACCGGAGCCCATCGCCACCTTCAGACAAAGTCCACTGAAAGCTACCGCATGGGGAAGCAAATGCTTGGATTATACCAGTAGTGAGTTATCAAACATGTTTTTAATTACTCACTGACCACAACCACTGATTTTGCATTCACTAGATGACGACGGGATCCCTGAGAGCGAGGACTGCTTGTTTGTGAACGTCTACGCCCCAGATCAGGTGGACTGCTCAACCGCCGGGCGGCCGGTCCTGCTCTGGATTCACGGCGGATGGCTGCGGACGGGGACAGCAAGCCATCCCATGTTCGACGGGACCGGATTCGCTTCGGAGCACGGTCTTGTCGTCGTGACATTCAACTACCGGCTCAATGGTACCCCACTGCTTTCTTAGCCGCGTCCTCGCCACGGGGCATTGCTAATCTCGACGTTTAGTGTTCGGCTTTCCAAACTCGCCCCAGCTTTCTCTAGAGGAGCAGAACCTTGGCTTCCTTGACCAGCGCCTTGCTCTAGACTGGGTGCAGTCCAACATCCACGCATTCGGCGGCGACCCTTCCAAGGTCACCATCGCGGGCGAGTCATCTGGCGGGGGCTCGGTCGATCGTCTGGTTACCACCATGCACTCTAATCCACCCTTTCGCGCCGCAGCGTGCTCAAGTGGCCAAGCAACGGTCAGTGCCATCGGAAGGGAGGCCGGGCCACTATCCTGGGCGGCGCTTGCCTCTCTTGTTGGCTGCTCCTCCGGGGACGACGAGATCGCATGTGTACGTGCCACGGATGGCAGAACCATCCGAGACGTGATAGTGGCCAACGGCCTCGACTTCAGCCCCGTCAACGACAATGTCACGCAGATGGAGCTTCCGTATCTGCCAGCTCGCGCGGCGGGGGCCGTCGCAAATGTGCCCCTGTTGATCGGCTCCACGGGACAAGAAGGAACCTATTTGGCCATTCAGTACAGCGTCAACATCTCAGCCGTCACTGAGCCGGAGGTGGTGCAACTTATCGGCTTCATCAGTGGCGGTGATACTCAGATTGCCGAGGCAATCATGCAGGTTGTTCTTCTTATTCAGCAAAGCACTGGCATTCCGCTATTCTATGCTGCCGTTCAGGTCTTTACTGAGCTCATTTACCAATGTGCAAGTCCTACTGATCAAGGCTGTTTAAACAACGTCAGTTTTCGCTAACACTAATCGCTTTGTAGCCCGCTTTTCTCGTCTCCCGCACATCGATACAGAGCGGAATCCCAACCTGGCGGTACTTGTACAACGCATCTTTCCCAAACATGGGTAGAGACGGCTACACCTCTGAAGAGCTTGGAGCAGTGCACGGCTCCGATACGTCGATGATTTGGGGGACGTATCCCAGAGAGGGCGCCACAGACCAACAAAATGAACTAAGTCGATACTTGCAGGAAGCCTGGGCAGGCTTTGTAAAGGATCCCTCTGGGAAAGGTCCAGGGTGGGAGCTGGTTAACCTCGAGGGTGATAATATTGCCTGTGTTGGCTGCAACGGGACCATTGAAGCCATCATGTTAGAATCTGCTGATGCAGATAGTCGATGCACGCTCTATGAGCCGTTTTTCTCGACAGTTAAGACACCGTTTATAAAGGCCTAGTAAGCTCTAGCTTATTAGTTTAATTACAGACAATACAATAAGTACTTGATTGATCAGCTCGAGTTTAGACTCGAGGAACAACCCCTTAGTTACTCCAGCGATTCAGGTTGCCTGCGACATCAACAGCAGCTGCTGGGGGCGCAAGCAATCACGCCAACGAGATCTCTACAAGCTGGCAGCTAATCCCACTCGATTGCGTACCTCTCGTGCTCACGTAGGCCGTGACACCGTCTTCCGCCAATGTCACACTGGTAGGCCCAATCAAGGATACAGTATCGTTTCCAACCCAAACGACAACATCCATTTCTCCTGTGCCGATGGTGACTCTCCCAACGGCATTCGGAATCTGTGCCATGTATGCAATTTCGCCAGACGCGTCCATGACAAAGTCATCCCAATCGTACTCCTCCTCCCCTGGGAACAGGATCGCGACCGTGTCCACTTCGCCGTGCATGACGCCATCATTAGTGACAGCAACACGGGCGAAGAGGTTCTTTGCAGTGTTGGTGAAATATACGTAGCCATTCGAGACTTTCAAGCCATTGATACCGATGGGGACAGTCGCATTCTCGGGCGGGAGAAGCAGGTCTCCCTGGTACGCGATGGCGACGTCTCCATCCGTCGTGTTGACCCGCCACACAGTGCCGACCCTCGAATCCGCTATCAACACAACAGCCGGATTCTGGGGCAGGGAGTCCATGCCGTTTAGCATCACCGCATCAGGCAGGGTGGCGACAACCTCGAGTGCGGGCTCGGACCCGGCACTGAAGTCGCAGGTGTAGACGGTCTCATTCGTGTGTACATGTAGCTCCCCCGGACGCCTCCGATCACTGCGAACTTGTCATTGCCCACACTTGTAACGCCCGTTAACGCGGTCGATGGTGCGAATGATGCAACGAGATCGGCAGTCGGACTTGAAGACGTAGGATCGAGAGTATAGAGCGAAGCGTTGGTGAACGTCGTCATGAGGACTTGGCCATTCGGCCGGAGATGGGTCTTCTCAATATCAACGTATTAACGTAAGGTTCCAGAGCTGGCGCGTAGTAGCTGTTGCCCCTAGGGAGCTCATGGCCAACATCAAGCAAAACGAGGGCATTCTGAGAACAGCCACCCTTCCCGGGTAGTGAGGATCGACGGTAGATGGGGTAGGGTAAGTCGACGCCGAGATTTCTGTTTGGGGAAAACCATTGAAGTCTGTTCTTAAATCGTTTTTCTTTCTTTTTAAATTTACGACCGTCGGAGATACGACTGAGGATGTAGGCCTGTCCTGTTTTGTGGGTCGCGGGCCACGGGCGAGGAAGGAGAGGACATGTAGCCTAGTTAGGTGGACGACTGTCAAGAGAACACTGAGGCCTTTTTCTTCTCAATATACAGTTTCGTCAATCAGCGCCGGTGGCTCAATCTAAAGACCCATGCCAATATGTACGTCAGGAGAATGGCATACCAGGGTCAAACTGCCACCTCGTTAAGGTATGCCAAGCAGTCTCAGGGGTAACTCGTTTTCCCACCCGCGGCGTTCCGCGATAACTCCGAGCCCAGTGCCAGCATTTGGATCAAGGGCTATACGGAGTCCAATTAGATGTGCACGACCCACTGCCTCACATATCTACTTGCTCTCCACAATTCTTAACCATGCTCTTCGCTGGCTAGGTAGACTTGCCGGCGCCGCACCCAGCAGCCTTTTCCAGGTATTTGTCATGTCTCTGTATGACATAGCGTCCTCAGAACTTCATCCGCCTAAAGCTCTCTTTTGTACCTTGTCATCGTAAATGCGATGCTTACGCTGATGGAGACTTCCTGAGAGCATCCGCACAACCCCTGTTCTCAAAATGCTCTGCAGTCTGCTCCGGAGTCAAGCCAGCGCCATTCCGGGTATCGGTTCTGGCGCCTCTACCCAGAAGAAACTCGACGCATGCTATCTCGCCCTTGGCAGCAGCACCGTGTAGGGCCGTCCCCCAATCCTCCTTCAGCGCCCAGTCCGGATTCTCCGCCTCAGGTATCACATCAATGCCGAACACTTCTCCCCCCTCGTCCAGGAGCACACGCAGTGCCTCCACATTACCATTCCACGCGGCCACCAGCACCGCAAGACTACCCATCGCCCCGTGTTTTAGCAGGAGGCTGACGATATCAGCCGGAATACTTGGCCCGGAACACGCGGCCTCGAGTGCAGTCGAGCACACCGGGTCACTCCGGGGTTTGGCATTGGGGTCCGCCCCGTGCTCAAGGAGCCATCGGGGAAGGTCGGGCGTGTCCGCGAAAAGCAGCGAGCACACTAATGCGTCGCCGCGGTGGTCGAGGCTGAAGTTGACTGCCCACCCATGCTGGAGCATGCATTCGAATATTGCGATCTTGTGGCCTCCCTCCAAGGCTGCCTGTGTCTCGTGGAAGCCGCAATAGCACCCGCGATCTAGGAGCAGGTTTGCCGGCCCCACGTGGCCTTGTCGAAGGGCTGCGTTGAGTGCTCGCTGTGGCGGCTCTCGGTCCGGAGACTCCCATTTCCCCAGGAGATTTTGCAGGTCCTCGACTTTGTTTTCACGAGCTGTGAATGTGATGGCTTCCGCAAGCGAGTTGAGTGATCCGTTCAAAGACATGTTGTCACACAGCCCGCGTCACTGATGCGGAGAACGCTGAGAATTGCAGGAGGAATTCAAAAGATGGATGGAATGAAAAGACTCAAATTGGAGGAGTTTGTAGTTGGGCAAAGGGGAGAGGACTGGAAGGCTACGGGCCACTGCGGATGCATGCCGCGGTGTTTCTAAAGATCCACTAAAGTGGGTATCGTAACGCAAGTGTCGTAAAAACTCACGAGAACAGGAAGTGCATGTGGTTTAAAGAAAACGAAGGATAGCGTTCCAGCCTAACGGATTATTTGTAGTACACGAAGAAATTAACATTACAGAGGGGGTAGAATGCGCAACAAGATAGATGAGAGTTGGGGGCTATGTTGGCGGAGGTGACCAAGGCCCCCGAAGACCCGCAGAGGCCGCAAACATATGGGGCCGTAATTGACTTCTGTTAGCATGTATAATACATTCCTGCAACTTACACTGTCTCTTGTCCCACTCGGACAATCATCGTTGTTCCAGGTTAGTAGAGGAACTCGAAGAATGCAAATAGTCTATGGTCTATACTATCGTGCCATAGAGTAACTCCTTCATGTCTGTGAATTTAAATATCTCGGCATGTAGTTTGCTCTATGTAAACCCTAAGTATTAGGGCTAGTGTAGGCTGTGATAGACTATGCTGCAAATCTGGCTGGGCTGTAGCGGTAATTCTGATTGCACTGTCAATGGAATCGCTTGTCGGTAAGAGGAGAGCAGAGGCGCGAGCCGGAAACTACGGTGCTCGTGGTGACGTTTGAGATCAATGTAAGTGCGGTAATTGGCCGGTAAATATTGCAGAAATTCGATGCGTTGTAGGAGTCATTGATATTGATTCGATCTGCGGCCAGGAATGAGCACTTGATTCTCTTCTCGGTCGCACAGCGACGAAACAGAGTGCCCGTGGGCTCAGCTGCCTGAAGTTGTCCGGTCTCTGCGCACGCGGGAAACGCCCACGGGTAAATCAACCAGTTGAACAATACGACGAATACGGGCTTACGCGCCGCGTCAGGTTTCGCACCTATTAATCCAGTCTTGGTTAGTGGATTGGCTGCGCCTCTCCGCAGCTGATGTGAATCCTCCGAGCTATCATGTTGGCTCCCTCAAATCCAACCTCGACAACCCCAAGTCCCGCACATTTAACGCGGCAGTTTCTGATCTTTGTAAATCGTGGAAGCATGCGAGACTGATCCCGCTCCTTCAAGCGGACGAGATCATACACACAAACTTGGCGTACGCAGGCCGCTGTATTCGTTACGATGACTCCCTTCTCAGCCGCAGCATTTGCAGCACAGTGCCAAACCATCCATCACCGTGCACTCTCGGCAGCCACAAGTATTGCTGAGACTGTGGCACAGTGGAGCGCCAGCGACTCCCCTTTCACCCAAGTGTCTATCAACCTCAAAGAGCTCAGTGAAACGGTATTCGAGCTCGGCGATAAGCTGGGCTCCACCAAGCTGGTTTCTCAGAGGCTGCAACACACACTCGCCGATCGACTTGAGAAGTGTGCTCGGGCCGAGGCGATCGTGGAAAAGGGTACCGGTGTTTCTGTAGCTCAACAGCTCCCAGTCGACGCAGGTCTGCTATCAAAATATGAGACGTGGTTGGGCCTCGAGACTTCGGTAATGCAAGGCTTGGTAGAAGCTATCCAGGTGTAAGGAGTGCACGCAGCGACTCTGCTACCATGATGTACGTCTCTAATCGGATATAGGAACACCGCGGATGGCCAAGATCAGCTTCTGAATGGCCATGGATATCGTGAACTGCTGGAGATGGCAGATGCTGCCTTCAGAGTCGTTGTTTCAAGCGAGACAGGCTCTTCCGCCATGGACGATGACGCACCACCGCCTTATGATGAAAATCCGCCCGAACATATTTCAGATGTCAAAAGAGTCGAATCGCCCGCATCGCCCACTACAAGCCCTTCATCTTCCAACAAGGCCCCACAGAGCAAGCTTTCTGAAGTATTCAGGGCTGTAACTGCTCCCTTCCGTTATAAGCCCGAGCCTCTTGTCGTGGCACTTTGCGAAGCATCCTCCAGAGGTGACCTTGCCACGGTCGCGTCGCTCGTCTCGTCCGGGGCGAACATCAACGGACGAAATGAAGAGGGGAAGACATCGCTTGTCCTAGCTATCGAAAACCAACAGCCCATGATGGTCACAAAGCTACTACAGCTCGGAGCGTCGAAGGACGTGAGCGACTCGGCGAAAAAGCTGCCTCCTCTGTTCTGGGCAGCTTCTACTGGGGATATCCCCATGGCGAAGCTTTTGATACAGCATGGATGCAACCCTAATCACAAGAATCTTTACGGATCGTCGTATTTCTTGGAAATCGTCGATAAGGGTGACTTGGGTATGGTGGAGCTCCTGCTGGATCATGGAGCCGAGGTCAATACAACTGACCGGTACGGCCGGGTTGCAATTCAACACGCCTACTCAGGAAATAACCTCGCGATGCTCAAGCTTCTGCAATCCCGCGGTGGTTCAGTCAACGCAACAGATATGACCGGAAACCCCATCATCGTCCTCGCCCTGCGAGAAAACAGGGATGAGATCTTCGACTTCCTGCTTGAGCGCGGCGCGAACGTCAACTCGAAATCCAACACTGGCACATCCCTGATCATGGAAGCGTTCACGAAGAAACGTATCAGCGTCGTCAAGAAATTGCTCGAACGAGGCGCTGACCCGAACGCAAAAGATCTCATGGGAACCAGCATTCTCATGAACACTATCAAAGCCCAGACATTATCCGCAAACGGTCGCGAGGAATTGATCAAGCTCCTCCTTACTTATGGTGCTACACCTAATGAGCGTGACTCATGGGGTAAGACAGCCGTCAGTTTCCTCATAGAAAGAGAGCACACAAGTCTCGTGCCACTCCTCCTCGAAAGGGGCCTCGACCCAAATCAAGAGCTCGGAAACGGGGAGACCCTGCTCACACACGCGATCAATTGTGGCAACGTGGAGCTGACCAAGAAGCTCCTCCGCCACGGTGCGAGGCCGAACGGCGTGGACAAGAAGGGATGCACGCCCTTGGTGCAAGCCTTACAAGCGAGAGACTTTGAAACGGTCAAGCTGCTTGTGGAATCTGGTGCGGACGTGAATAAAATGGGAGCTATCACACCCCTGGACTTGGCAAGATTAGTTGAAAGTAAAGAGACCGCGGAGCTTCTTATCAAGCGCGGTGCAAGGTAGAATAGCCATGCAACATTAAGTTGCGGAATAGGGAAAACGTAAGCAGTTCTTGATATCACCTTATATCCTTAAGCAATTTAACTACTTTCAAAGAGACAAGAGCCCTGGCAGCTATTTATTACGGTAACTCAAGAAATACTAGTAGGCTCAAAGTGTTTCTTACCAGGACACGCTCTTTACCTTTAAATGCGGGTGTAGATATAGCCAGTGTGAATGAAGCTTGGGGGGCAATGGTGAAAGCTTACTCCTCATGTTACCTCACCAAGGGTTCAGACAAGCTCGTTGCACTTGCCGGACTGGCTGGGAACGTCTGTGAGACCCAGAAGGATACATACCTCGCCGGCATGTGGGAAAAAGAGCTTCTGTCTCAACTTTGCTGGAACACATATCCCCAGCATGAAAGGGCGGTGTCCAGAATCAGGGGTTGCTGGATCGCCACGTGGTCTTGGGCCAACCTCGACGGACCCATATCTCCTGATCTGGGCTACGAGCCACGGCCTGGCTATGTGGTGGTAGATTGCGCAGAAGTTGTGGATGTCGACGTGGCCACCAACCACCCCTCAGGATTGTATAACTTTACACTATGCCGACTGTATCTACGAGCCGTCTTCATTCATGGCAGATTGCTGGCACCACGTGGAGAAAACAGTATACACCAGACAGGCCTTACTTTCGAGCCGTTGGATCCAACTCCATTACTGGGCAACGTCGGTACTCCGATTTATACAAGCGTATACTGGGATGAATTTACCGCCAGTCGTCCCTTTCAGTCAAACATTGATGCAGTGGAAGATACTCAGGGCCAGAAAAGGGAGGTATTGCCAGTGCTTTTCGCAGTAATCTCGGCGCAGCTTGGCAATGCTCATCATTCACTACGAGGCCTAGTCCTTAAACCGTTCGTCGACGGTTCCAAAGGCCGCCTGGGCATGTTCGAATTGAGTGTACACCAGGACTCGCAGGCTGTCCAGGAACTCCTATTGACAAGGTCAGGTCTTGCTCAAGATAACGGGAGGTCAGGCGTCGAGGTGCCAAAGGTACGATTTGATGACTCGGACTTGGCGGACTTCATACAGGATATTATGGTCGTCTAGTGGATTCTCTTGATTTCGGATATACTGGAACATAATTTGTTTGTCAGTCAGAGGTGATGCAGCGAAATGATTCTTTTATGTGGCCTAGTCAGAGATTCGGATCCTATATCCTGTGTTACAATCTTCATTTCAGCGACTATCTTTCTCGGGACCATTCCTGTAGACATCTAGACCGCCGTGCCAGGACGATGGTATGAAGGCAGTGGTTCTGCATGCTGCAGCAAGTTGCACTCCTCAATCAAGGCCTGCGGCTCCCTTGCGCATTCCGAACGGACCGAAGCCACATATCCGTTGACAGAAGAACCGTGACTGCTATGAGAGACAGATGGTAGCTTAGCTTCAGAGGTAGACAGCTGGACAGTATCAAATTGAGAAAAGTCAACTGTCAACCTTCCCGAGGGTACGGTGAGGGGAAGACGCTGGGGCATATTCCGCTCGAGCATAGTGCCCTCGAGATCAGCCAGAGTATCCAGCAATCTGTCGCACCAATTGCGCATTGCGCTGGACGTCCTAATAGAAGTCAAGGATCTCATATGATCAGGCGTATGTTGAGTCAAAATAATGGCTCGTTGTCTTTCCAGCTGAATCCTACGTTTCCTCTCTTGCCTCTTTTTACTCCAGAGGGACCGGAAGGACACAAGACAGGCGACGATGAAAGCTAGAGAGATCAGCACGGCTATGGAGACATATATCCCGGCAACATTAGCAGGTTTCAAGGAGAAGAAAATCTACTCACAGACAATAAGCTCGATGAACCACCAAAATACCATCCATGAGGGGTCCAAACCTTTGCGACTAGCGTCCTCCCCGGACTTATAGACGCCTAAGAAGATACTACCCCGGACAATTGTCACGGCTATAGTAAACGCGACCAGCAAAAATATGCTCGACAGAACAAGCTTCTGACACAAGGAGATCTTCGTGTTCCACAATATTGAAATGGGGAACACAATGACTATGATTTTGCTTGGAGTTAGTAAGACTCAATACTTTATATAGCAACTCCCATGCAGAGAGGTGGCTGAGGGTAATAGCTCACTGAGGAAGTCTGAAATAACATCCACAGCAACATTCGCTTTGTAAACGGAGTAAATGTAGCTCATCTTTGACGCCGTCGAGCAATGCGCGTTCACCCACCCCGAATCTTCAAACATACAGTCGTAGGGAAGAATACCAAGTAGCACCGCACCGCAGACGACAATGACCACGACTACGGCCCACCAAAAGGTCGCATAGGCCGTGATTTGGTGACCGAGACGGTAAAAGATTAACATGAAGTTGATTTTGATGGTCCATATCCCCAAGGCGAGCAGGATGATCGCAACACCGTCGATCCGCCACACGACAGTCACGCGGCTCGAATAGTCTGCAGGGGACATGCCAGTGGCTTCCAGGGGCAGCGACGTCAGGTAGATGTCGGCTAGGTAAGTATGAAGAACGGCGCCGGTGGAGATGATGATCGACAGCGCAAGACCCATCAGATAATCCTCGACGAACAGACGTTGGACTGCGAGCTCAGAATTAGCTGCCGAAAATAAAGGAAATAGGTCTCGAATTTGACAGGGGCGGATCGCGATTTTTACTTTATATCACTCCCAGGAAGCCAAAGCTAAGAAACCCGTACGTCTGCCTTCAAAGCCTGGACTGAGACCTGGGTAATCCGGGGGGGGGGGGGTTGGTGCGGGAAAGAAGACAGGTCAATCGAACGCGGCTTACAGCAAATGATTCTGATGGTCAAGCGCAGGGCAAATGTTGTAATACAAAGACCCATGCCGAACCAAATGAGAATCTGGTTGAAAGTCAATAATTAGTAGGGTTTTCACTCGGAGGGCCTCACAATGATGTTGCGATTCGCCATATTGCAACTTGCCTTGAAAGTATGCTCTGATGCCAAGTCATTGATGTTGGCTGACTGAGAGCCCATTGCGACGCCTTTTGGGCAAAATATGAAACGCAAGTGAAGGACTACACCATCTGGCAAGGCAACCAAATAAGTGCAAACAAATTGAGGTAGTAATTTTACTGAAGAAATGGGTGGGACGCCGGAACCGTTCTTAAGGTAACTCCATTAGAGAGCATACATTGGCGTCTTTTCACTCTTCCTCGCTGCTGAGGTCATTCGGCTCTGCTCTTTTCCCCCGCGCAAGGCATCAGCTTTAAGCTAAACCGGATTACGCATATCTCTCACACGGGTCGGGACAGTCACCATGGGGGCCATCGAACATGCAGGTAGCTGTTGTGTAGCACTGAGTCCCTGCCACTGAACGATACTGTCATATCTCCGGTTCTCAGTCCCTCCCACATCTTTTGTCGACGCAAATTGCCCGCAAGTTGTTTCACGTAGGTTCCATAAATTAAGCAGGAACGTTCTTGCGGGAGAGCATGAGAACTCTTCACTGGTCGATTACCGACATAGGCCCGGTGAATGCCTACACAGTGGCCGTAGTGGAATGCTGATTCTGCATATTGTAGCTCATTGTCTTAGACATCACGCTTGTTAAGCCGTGTATCCGTAAGCGAGCAGCGTAAGCGGGCTCAAATTAGACAAGAATGGATATCATTCGTCAGCTAACGCGGTCTACAGCCCGAATGCGGTGTGGATTTGCTATCAGAGTCTTGGAAACTGGTCCCAAGACGCCGCCTCGGGGGTCCAGAAATCTCGCACAGCTCACAGCGCACAGGGTCCGAGATGCATACACTGCCCTACTTAGTGGCTGGGCTGCGCGAGTCCGTCCCGTTCAATGTTGCACATCTGCATCTCAGCCTCAAATCCTTCAACACTCAAGCGCGCCAACAAGCGTTGAGGTTATCGCACTCCGATGGGGAACAGAGATTTTTCCAGGCAGGCCTGAACTATGGCAATCTGAGTATACATACCTAGGCCGTGTGAAAGCTTTGGTAATTTATGAGACGTGTCTACTAACTAGTAAACTTGTGCTTTCTGGCTCCCCGAGGAACGCCTTGACTCGTTTAAGGTGTTCTCACACTTACGGATATATCAGGCTATGGAACAGTTCCAGCAAGTCGAAATGCAGTCAGGAGGAAGAGAAATCAACTCCACCGAGTGGCTGAAAACTACTCAGGGCAAATGCGGCTACATAACACTCTCTTCCCAGTTCGAGATTTGGTAGAAATAGCCCGCTGCATCTGTCTGAATGCATGCTCGATTCGACATCTTAAACGTCGCACAGGCATTGGGACACCATAAAACGAGTCAATGCTGAATTCATGCCAACTCCAATAAGCACCTGTCTATCCGGGGGTGGCGTCCAGAAGTCCTTCAGCCAATTGTGCTCGGATGTTCTTGTATGTCTAGGTTGGTCCACATAATGGGAGAGAAATTGACAAGAGTATTAGCGTATTTTACTGTTGAACACATTTCCCTCATTGCCACGCCCACGATTGGCCAAAACGTCACTGTGAGCCATGTAGCTGCGCTCCATGTTCCATGTAAAAAGACTCTTAGCAGCGAAGAGTGCATCAATTGACTCGAGGGAACGATTTGAGGTCTCGGGATAAACTGGACATGATCAGCATTACACCTTGTGGTAGAGCAGATGACACTTACACAGATAGACAATGGGCACCCACAGAAGGTTGAGACCAGCGAACAGGAAGTATGTCCGATTTTCCAAGACATCGAAGATTGTCGGGTTCACTAGCGTGGTCATACCAACACCAATGGCCCAACCGGTGATTCCAAACCCGTTGCCTTGCGCACGTAAGTCAGACGACCAAACTTCTGTTGGAATAAGAAACGCAACTGTTCCCCATGTGGCCGCATATGACAGGTTGAAAAGGAACAACATGGCTACAGCGGCAGGGGCAAATTGAGTAGCTTTCTCCGGATTGGCACGAGAAGCTTCGTAGAGTGAACCTGCGATTGAGTTCACAGCAAAGAGGCAGAAGGCGCCGCCCATCAAACATGTTCTTCGACCGAGACGGTCAACAATCTGGGCACTGATGATGGTTCCGATAATTCCAATGGTGTTCAGGCCGCCAGCAAGCCCGTTCTGGGTTAATTCGGTATATCCGGCTTGCGATAGGAGCACCGGAGAATATGCCGTCACGGCCGTGATGCCGGTCCACGATGCCATGATTTGCAGGAACAGACACAGCCAGGCGCGCTGTCCAAGATTAAAACCGGGTTTGGGCCCTTTGCCAATCAGGATCTTTATGAACTCCACGGGAGAAGACTTGGTACTCTCTTCCGCAACAGCCTTGATCTCAAGGTACTCTCTTTCAACCTCAGGACCGAATCCCCCACGAACATACTCGATGACCTCGCGAGCGTCGTCGAACCTCCCGACTGATGCTAAATACCGAGGTGTATCCGGCAACATCTTGATTCCGAGAAAGAGAAGCAGGGCGGGGAAGCACTGAAAAGCTAGTTGGAATCGCCATCGAACTTCCGAGTAGCCTCCATCGACGAAGGCAAGGCCGAATGACAGCCAGTAGGCGACGGAGATGCCCAAGTAATTGGCAATGAAAACGTAGCCGAGAAAACCGCCTCTATGGTCTGCTGTGGAAGTTTCGGCGACCATCACCGGTGTTATACCCGTCAAGGCCCCGGTGCCGATGCCTGTGACAACTCGGGCAACAATAATGAAGTTGCTGGATTGCGCTGCGGCTTGGAGAGCGCCTCCGATCAAGGCGAACATGCATCCTATGAAGATACTTAACTAAGTCAGCAAATGTGCTAAGAAGGCGTGTGAGAAGGACAGACAGAGAGGGAGGGAAAGAGTCAAGTGTACAAACCCGTTTACACGGCCAATCCGATCCGCCGCCCAACCCCCAACAAAGCAACCCGCAATGCAGCCCATATAGTACACCGAGACTATGCCTCCCTGATGAAGAGTATCCGTGACAGTGCCGTCGGGGAGCCCAATGCCGACTGTTTCAACATATCTGGGCGAGGCGTTGACACCACCCATAACACCCTGGTCATAGCCTTCGAAGAATATGCTGATGAGGGAGAAGGCTTGTATGGCGAAGTTGAGCTGCTTGGCTGACAGCCGTTTCCACCACGTGGTATAGCCCATGCTGATGGTGATAGGTGATGCTCGCGAGACGTTGGTACGCAAACGATGCGATTGTTAGGCAGCGGATAGGAATGGAATCATGCGCAAGAGAATTATTCTTTGAAGCTTGAGGCAACTATTTAGGTACCAATCTTGGTGAAAGCGACCCAAAAAGTCACCATACTTCTCTTTGCTAGCTTTGCTTTGGTACCAATAAGGAGGAGCTGACCATTCAGGCCTTGATGTTCTCCGACTTTGCCCCGCGATCAACGTCGACATTGCCTGTTTACGGGCTTACTGTCGCGTGTCACCGCATCGGTCTAACGTCTTCGGCTGAAGTTATTATGATTCCGTACAAAAAGATTACAGATCTTTCTGGCTGCTGATCAATAAACTTCCGGGCTCGGCTGCAGCACTATCCCCTCACCCAGGCTGAGTCAGTTGGCAACATCGCTTCTTCCTTCCTATCATCACTTTTTTGACCAAAGACATGGCGAGTGACCATGAGTTCACGAATGAGACGTCGAAGGGCCAGCCGCTTGACATGACTGTCTTGGGGATGAACAGCGGCACATCCATGGTATGTAGATTGTGACTGATAATTTCAGTAGTTTTATCATTTTCTTGACATGTCGACTGTGCATCACTGGCAAGGTCGTGGCGTTTTATATGCAACAGCAGTAGGCTTTGGAATTTCATAGACGGCTGACAATTTCAGGACGGTATCGACTGCGCTCTTTGCCATTTCAGACAAGAAACTCCAGAGTCGCCCATGCACTTCTCCCTTCTGAAGTACGGAGAAATTCCCATGGACCTCAAGATCAAGAAGCGCGTTCTCAACATCATCAAGCACGACAGGACCTCTGCGTCAGAGCTTTCGGAAGTCAACGTCCTCCTAGGAGAGGTGTTCGCAGAGGCGGTAAAGCAGTTCTGCAAAGACAACAAGATCGACATCAAGTCCATCGACGCGATCGGATCCCACGGGCAGACAATCTGGCTTGCCTCGATGCCGGAAAAGGGGGTCCCAAAGTCTGCGCTTACCATGGCCGAGGGCACTATCATCGCCTCACGTACAGGTATCACCACCGTGACTGACTTCCGCGTATCGGATCAGTCCGCCGGGCGCCAGGGCGCCCCCCTCATCGCCTTCTTTGATGCGCTGCTCTTGCATCACCCCGGCAAGCTTCGCGCGTGCCAGAACATTGGCGGCATTGCGAACGTGTGTTTCATTCCACCAGACGGGCCTGGTCGTGCGTACGACTTCGATACTGGCCCCGGAAACGCTCTCATTGATGCGGCCGTGAGGCACTACACTGATGGGGCCATGGAGTGCGACAAGGACGGGGTGATGGGCAAGCGTGGAACTGTGTGCCAAGAGCTTGTGGACAAGTTCATCAGAGACATACCCTACTTCTCGTGGGACCCGCCGAAGACTACCGGCCGCGAGGTTTTCCGCGACACTCTCGCAGACGATCTTATCCGCGATGGAGAGGCCCATGGCCTGTCTGCAGACGATGTCGTGGCCACAGTTACCAGGATCACGTCCCAGGCAATCGTTGACCATTGGCACCGATATGGCCCTGAAGGGAAGAAGGTTGATGAAGTTTTCATGTGTGGTGGAGGGGCTTACAACCCCAACATCACAGATTACATGAAGGAGAAGCTGCCTGGCCTCAAGATGCTCATGCTTGATGATGCTGGTATACCAGGCGGTGCGAAGGAAGCCGTTACGTTTGCTTGGCAGGGGATGGAAGCTTTGGTTGGTAGGAGTATACCGGTTCCGGAGCGAGTGGAGACAAGAAAACCATATATCCTGGGTAAGGTGAACCCGGGGGATAACTATCGGATGGTTATGAGCAAGGGAATGAAGTTTGGAGAGGGTAGGGAATCACTGGGCTGGGTGACAGAGATGATCAATTATGTGGACGGAAAGGTTTTTGACAATAAGTGGTGAGTCTGGATGCACAAGTCGGCATGAATGGCTAGTGGAAAGGCAATTGGTTGCGACATTGGCAGTTGGAGTTCAATATTTCTGAATTACATTTCTGGCTTAATAACTAATCGCAGTTCCTACGCTGCGCACGCGTAGCTGTTAGCTATATCAAATTTCTCTCCCCGCGATACCGTTTACACTAGTAGCCTCTGTTGGCAAGTACGACCCTCGCACTTGGAAGGCTACTTTAGTTATCCCCTCCGGGGCACGTAGCCTCTCAGAACTTAGACAGAACAACACCAATACACGATTGCTTCCCATACGATTATCGTACGTACGAGAGACCTACCAACAGCCTCAGAGAGCATCAATATCTGGGCCATCGATGCATCAACTGTATTCGTAACCGGCGTTGTGACTTTCCACTGGTACGTGGGCCCTACACAAAGCGCCGTCTGCGAATGTAGGGCTCGAGTGCAAAGAATGGCCGGCAAGCGACGGATGGACAACCTGGAAGAGGGCGACGGTGATGCCCTCCTGGACGCAGATGGTGCTGCTGGTGTCCCCGCCCTCAACGACATGCCACTTGCCGCAGTTGAGCGTCGTACCCTGCGCGACCTCGACGCCTCCAGGAAGGGGGGACACTGTTCAGCGTGTACCCGTCCCCAAGCGTTGTAACCCTGGTGGCTGTGGGCGGCGTCTCGTTCTTCGTTCACGTGGCCTCGTATCTCGTTTAGAGTTCGTTTACCGTACTGGATGAGACCCCACGCCCGATCGACGCGACGCTTAGCCGTAGCTCAACACCAACAAGCAGTTGGCGACTCATTATTGGAACGCTCAGCACGGAGACCTCCATCGTCCAATCTGGGATAATCTCCGCTCAAAGATAATGGGGCTTAGTCCACATCCCACGGAGGTTCTTTCCAGACCACAGTCTGCCCCTGGCCTTGTTCAAGACCCCTGTCATCACCACTTTGAAGTTGCCTGAAGCAGGCTCCTGTGTTTCCAGATGGCATGCAGACCCAGATCCACAAAACCAAGTAGAAAAAAAAAAAAAACACAGCCACGGTCTTCGTCTTCGTCAGGTGCCTGGCTCTTGGGAAGATCAACTACGCATACGACGAGCCCGGAACTTGGGAGTGCTGCTTTGATATACGCGGTCTTTACTGAAGGAAATGAGACGTTCGAAATTCATAAATGTCATGTAGGGAAGCTTTCGTGCTCACAATCATCTCCCACAGAACTTGACTACATCCACATCGTTAAAGAGTTCGACACAGCGTCCCTAGAAGCCAAAGACCATGGATTCCACGACGGCCGCGGACCCTGGAGCGGGCTTCAACTTCCAGCTCTACCGATACACGCCCTCACTGGCCGCAGCGGTTGTTGGAGTCGTTGTTTTCGCCAGCCTTACGGTATTGCACACGGGGCTCCTACTTAGAGCCAGGGCTTTCTACTTCACTGCATTCAAGGGAACCGAGCGTACAGAATACAACGGCTCGCCTTTGTTCGTTTAAGTCACGGCCGTAATGTTCTCCACCAGACGTCCTCGCTCGTTTACGCTCGCTCGTTCATGCTCGTTATCCCCAACTCCCTCCCATCCATTCTCGCTCCCGATCCGTCTGGATCGTCTTGCCCTGGAGCTATGAGTTCCCCCCCCCCCCCTACAACACACAACGTCGCCAATAGAGCCACACGGTCATCTCCTAGTCAAGAGACGTGGGCCACACAGGAAGTCAAGGAACGGGTGTTTTAACTGCCGGAAACGCCGAGTCAAGGTTATAATCCCTGCCGAATTTGACCATCCGAACGCCGCTGACACGGCCTTCCAGTGTAGCGAGGAGCGACCGAGCTGTCAATCGTGTGTCAGAAGAGAAATTTCCTGCGAATACACCAAGCAAACCCAGGCCGTCAACCATGGAACGCCTCAAGCGCCCGATGTACTGGATGGAGGCCCTCCAAGTCGGCCATCTCCAGTGGCTGATTCCTTTCCGGACCGCAGGCGCACAGTCCCTCAGACTACTCCCGCATCCACACCGGGCACCATCTCCGGTGCATCGACAGCATCCGTTGCCGCTCTGCCAAACTTTAGCATTAGGGATCTAGAATTACTGCACCACTGGACTATGTCCGCCAGCGTGGATATCTACAAGACGCCTGGCGTAGACTCACTGTGGAAAATAACTCTTCCACAGATCGGCTTCCAGCACCCTTTCGTGGCGCATGCTATTCTCAGCCTCGCTGCCTTGCACATGTCTTACATTGGTGGATCCCAGAACAGGTCTTGCATCATGGAAGCAACGCAGCATCACGAGATAGCCATGGCAGGTTTTCATGAATGTGTCAACAATCTCACTCAAGAGAAGAGCGAGGCTCTGCTTGCGTGGTCAATCCTCAACCTTTTGTACGTCTTCAGCATCTCGAGACAGCTTGCCGACAGCGCGGGGCGGAACTCGCCCCGCCTCCGCAAGGACCGCTTGTTGGGCGTGGAATGGATCCCGATGATGCGCGGCATCGACGCCGTACTGGGGCCGTATTATGACTTCCTGCGCCAGGGCAGGATGAGCACCATCCTTACTCTTGGTAACTGGGGAGAGCTGAACCCCGACGAGTTCACTACCGACCCGGCTGATCTGGAGCTGTGCCGGCTGCGAGACGTCTGGAAAGGCAGCGGCGACTCAGAGGTCTACGAGGGAGCTCTATCAGTGATTAGGAAATGTCGCATGCACACCGTGCAGTTTGAGACGATGGATGCCCAGACGCTTCAGCGATGGGACTGTAATCGTGGGGCCGGTCCAAAGGCCTTTATTCACTTTGCACCTCAACAGTATTTCACGTTGCTACACCAACGACAACCGCCATCATTGGTTCTATTTGCGCACTTCGGCGCCTTTCTTCATGCACTGGATGATTATTGGTTTCTCGAAGGCTGGGGCAAAGATACAGTTGAAGTGGTGGATGAGCTGCTAGGGAGTTATTGGAGACCATGGATTTACTGGCCTCTTCAGTCTGTAGGCCTGGATGAAGCTGCAACCATCTAAATGAGCAACGAGTGCTTCGTTTCAGCGAAAGTAACATCGCAAATAAGTCGCCATAATATCTAAATAAACGTCTCTTCCAATATATATGCTATTTATTTATGCTAGATCTTTTAGACAGGATCATTCTCGGAGTCACATCACTAAGTGTCCTTCAACACCACGTGGTTGGTTGAAAGCAGGCCCTGAATCACTCAAAAGCGGTCCAGATTATGATGCGGCAGAGTATCCAACTTCCAGCCACCATTGCCCCATCCTCCAGACAGTATTGCAGCCATGTCAGCGGGGTGTATCCACGGTACGGAATACAGAGCGGACCATGATCAAGAAACTTCCAAAGTACAACGCCCTCATGTGTTTCCGCCAGGGGATACTGCTGTTGGAGCGGCCGGTGGGTGTTGCGTTGGTGGAACGATGAAAAGCAACTGCAAGAACAATAAAGAATCCGAAATTGATAAGTTGGACGAACAGGCCGACGATGACGACCTTGGCGCCACTTCCAAGAGCTTCCAGGCTTCCCGCGGCCTGCTAACCACCGCCTGGGAAATCAATGTCAGTATTTCCCGCCGAATGTTCGATAAAAAGATGCTTACCTCCTCCCTGAAGAAAGAAAATTGGACATCACCAGTCACGAACAGCTTCGTCATCCATTCCTTTTGAATCATGACATGCCCCTCGCCGTCAACCACGCTGATGATTCTTCCGAGCTCCATGTAGATAGCGGCGGCGAAGAGAGCGGGCGCAACAAGCAACAATAGCCTGTGTGATGTAAGGACCGAGGGTCCAGTCAGGACTTTTATTCCCAGATTTGGCGCGGCCAGCGTAGCCAATTACTTCAACTGCATGAGAATTGAATTAGCACTCCTTGCAAACTATTATGGTTGTATTCCGATGACCAACTGCTAGTGGCCAGGTTCATGCAACTCACGAATGCCTCCAATTGCCAGCGGCAGAAGAAACCAGCACCTCGACTTAAGAAGCCGCCAAAAATGAGGGGCGGCGGCGGCTGAGAAGAGCAAGATAAATATAACCGCTCCAGCAATAGTTGGATCGTAGTGATAGAGCCTGAAGCTGCTGGCAGCGGCCAAGTCAGCTTCTGTGGGGTTGCGTGACATCAGCGTCGTGACGAAGTCTCCCATGGAGTAGAACATGACAAAGGAGGCAAAAGGAAGGTATTTCCGGTAGTATGTATGAAGATGCTTGACGTCAGCGAGTGTATGGGTAAAGGCAACGCAATGAGTATGTGAATTGAAAAGACAGAACAAGAAACTATTCATGAATAGATGAGCGATGGTGAAAGAAGGTCGACTAGATTGTTGAGAATAATTCTTAACTTCAAGCAGACTGCCACCTCAAGTCACTTAACAACTGTTTTATTATTTTGCCTTCTTCCACCCTGTAGGATAATACATTCAACCATGACAAGACTCCACGAAACATTGCCCCGTCACGCGATAGCATGCAAAAGAACAGCCAGCACAACCGCTAAATAAATATCAAATGTTGGCAATATAGCAGAACTTTTGCTATGCTGAAATATAGATAGACTTGCCTAAGCCACACAGCACCAGATGTTTGAAGTCTGTCCACATCCAACCACTCTCTGACAACAGAGCATGTTGGCTGGAATGAGCAGCCCCGCGCCCACAACCCCGATCCTCCTTATTCTGCAGCCTTCTGAGAGTGAGGTCTCCATCTTCTCTCTCCTCTCTGAGCTCCTCGTCAGGTGTCGGCAGTTTAGCGGCTGATTCCATGCTGACCAGGGTCTCATCCAGTATCTGGAGGACAGCTTCCCTGTCCTGCCGCTGTTCCTCCACATGTATTTCGTTACTCCGGTCTCGCGAGTTTGGTTTCACGCCTGATCCCCCATCGCCGTACGGTGTCAGCATTTTTTCGAGTATTTCCCTCAATGATGCCTCCCCCGAAGCAGTACTGAAGTTCAAGATTAACAGTCGGATAATCCTCGTAGCACGAAGGTTATTCGACCATTGTGGGCCTTGAATCAACTGTCCCTCTCTGTTATCCCCGACTGTTACGATCACGCCAAACCGTTTCCCTACGTCTATGTCGTCTAAGTCGTCTTCACGAGAAATCCAGGGCTGCTTGTTCTTGTCCCGGAACGCATCGTTGGAATCTTGCTGATGGGTGTAACACTCAGACCACCATCGAAAGTTGATGCGAGGGTCAGGATGAAGTTGCGAAATAAGCTGGTTCCAACCATAGCGATTTCGCGATTGCGACATGAGACTTCGAATGCAATAATTCAACCACAGTGAGCCTCTTATTTGTGGGGAAACCCCTCGAGGAGGTGGAACGCAGCGTCGAGGGTCGTTGAGGTCAAGATAGCCTGATTGAACCGCATGGGTGAGGTCAAAAGCCAAAGTCATTTGCCCCATTTCATGACCCTTGAATATCACCTCGGAAACGTAGTCTTTTACCGAATCGCTGCGGATCCATGAGGGATAATTGCCATCCAAAGCCCATGTGCCAAACCAGGAATCCTCGGAGCAAATGCTTCTCTGGAATACGGACGGCAACGCCGGTCGGAGTTTTAAGTCGCTCTCTACGCACGATCCAAAGTCTTTATCTGAAGGCAAGGCTCCAGATGCGCGGAAGAAGGCCATGTTAACCTCTCTTAGGGAACTCAGATAAAGAGACCTGACGTTTCCTGTGCTGTCTCTTCCCCCCTCACCAACGAGCCGCAGAAGACCTGAAAAAAGCCCGTTAAATCTACAGAGATGAGTTTGGCTGGGACAAAGGTGCCGAGGGAGTAAGGCACTTCGATATCGCAGCGTAGTGCTGTAAACAGAAATAGTCTTTTACATCATCACACGCCGATACTGTGCCCACCACCGAGAAGACAGCTCTTGCTTCCTGGTGGTATCTTCGCGGGATGCGATTGAATATCTGCTTGAAAAAGTCGTCCAATTCTTCGGCGCGGAATGTATCAACCACCTCCTTCAGAGTCGCGAAGTCTTGACGGTCGGCCAAGAGAAGCAGAAGCTCATTCATGGTGACGACCACCCAGACGAATACGCCTTGGGCATTGTCCACCATTGCTCGGACTAGCTCCTTGCGGTGCTGTTTCTTGAAGCTGATTGATTGGAAATGGGGATTGCTCTTTAGCCTTGTCTTCACCAATTTCTTAATGTCACGAGTCGTATGAAGATGCAGCTGCAGACGTTGTTGAACGGGGAACGTGTTGAGAAACGGATTGTCCTCCCTGCTTGACACGCAGATCTTGATGTTTTGGGGGCTGCATTGGCACCAGCTTTGAACGGTCATCGCAAGCTGTTCATGCGCGTGTGGATGTCCAAATTCATCCATGACGTCAATGAGGAAGAAGATTCGGTAGGACTGGGTGAGGTGCTTCTGAAGCAGCTCCAGTAGTGCAGTCTGGAGTTCAGAGAAACTGAGTCTGAGTTTCGAATCTTCTGTCTGTGTCTTGGTGTTGAACACGGTGAACGTTTCTGGATTCCAGTGCTGGGGGAAGACGGTCTGGATGTATTTTCGTGCACTTGTCAGCAGTTGGTGTAGCAGTGACCGTATGAGCAGCTCTATACATAAATGGTCCTCTGGCTTCCATTCAAAAGCATCAGAAGCAGGTTTCCATGCGTAAAAGCTCGCTTTGAGAAGAGGTTTGTTGTCAAGATGCGCCCACTGATTCAGCCTTTTATGGACATCGGTGCTGCCGTCAATGAACTTCATCATAGTGCTCTTACCACTTCCTGGCTTTCCAGAAATATGGTAGATGCCGTCTGTAGAGTTCAGCCATTCTGTGAAGGGTTTGTATGAGGTAATCCACTGAAAGGTTTTGCCGATATCGCCTTGAATTTGATCCTCTCTTGATTGTGGAAAGTTGATAGCTCTCAGAATCCAGTCTTGATTATCAGCTTGGCGGGCTGAGGTCGAATTCGCTTTTTGATAGTCATCGCAGAGGTCTAGCAAGCTCAATTTTACGCCCTGCGATTGATCGACGAGTGACTGGATGAGTGACTGCATGCTTCCAAGTAGACTTGAATGACGTTGAGATATTTCGTCCAGGCAATCAAAGCGTTGGCGTGAATCGAGCCTAATTTTTGTATGAATGACTGAACTGCAGTAGTTTCGTATTTCAAGGACAATGAGTAGCTCATACCTGGCACAAGCGGCATTGAATGCCGCGATGCATTGTGACCACTGACCACGTAACGACTCGATCTCGTCTCTTGTCCATACCGTGATCACACTAGCCCTTATTACCTCCGCGAGGCTGTATTCTGATGTTTTCGGCACGTTCGTCTTGTGTGTAGCAGATAGTCCCAGGCGTACTCGGAAGCTTGGACGCGATGTCTTGCTATTGGCCTTGCATTTCCCCAGCAGTACTGAAATTCTCTCGCCCAAGTTCTCGCACTGACTGATGCAATTTAGCAAGTTGTTCGAGGCATCATCAGCTGTTGGGGAATTATTATAATTGTTGTTGTTGTTGTTGCCTGCGTGGGATATCCTGGGTTTCAAACCAGCGACCCTCTTTTCGAACTCCTTCACCGATTCTTCCAAGGTCTTGTTGAACTCAGTGGCGTTGGCCTTCTTGAAGTGTAGTTCCACCCCGGTCTCGATAATCTTCCCTGCAAATTGAATGAAACTGAGAATAGCTGATGTGGTGCCGATAATTGTTGCTGGATCCATTTGGGCAGGTTCTTTGGAACTGACAGCCTCTTCACCCGTGTTGCGTGCCGGCCAAAACGTATGTTCGACCTAGTAACGTGGGTGCAGCACCTAGAGGCTGGAGTAGGCTAAGTGAAGGTGGAAGGCAAGAGAACTGAGTTTCGCGCTTCGGGGCGGGGACAGCAGAAAACACATCAGCCAAGAACACTTATGCAGATTGGCAGATAAACGCCCGCCACTGTTGCACAATGAGGAGTGCCGTAGCAGGCGTCCTCCGCGAGGCTTGCATCTACAAGTAAAAGCGACGAACAAACGATGACGGTAAGGCATCCCAGTGAGCCTAAGTCGACCGATATATTAGAAACCTGCAGCTTGCGGAACCACCCTTAGCTGGTCTGCATTGCACAGCCAGCCATCCAGTTCAAAGGTGGGTTGCACAATGGCTTGACTGGTGTCAACATGCAAAACCATCATGATCACTGCTTAAGCCCCGCCATTTCTTTTTATCTCGGCAGGTGACTTTGTCTCACAGCAGGCGTGGCAGAGGCCATGGTGTCACTGATTAGTAAAGATAGTATGGTTGGCCCGCTGTGGTATCCAGAACCCCCACCACCATCACCGCTGCAAGAGAGACTCCAGGAGAGATTTACAGCCTTGTAATAGTAGCGTCTTACGTGAGGCACAAGGAAGCGTAATAATGTGAGGATCAATATTGAGCATTCAAGAAATCCGAAAATTATCTGACGAACACCATAACCCTCTTCCTCCCTGAAGCTAAATCAATTTCCAAGAATATAGGTACGCCATTCCAAGTGGTCTTGGCCTCTCATATTCCCACTAGGCTACGCACGTAGGTGAATAGGGGAGGAATGACCGTCAGGATCACGAAGAAAATTCCAAATAGACTCAAGGAAAGCGAGCTAAGGGCTGCGGCACGCCTGTCCCGCTCTAGAAGTATTGCCGTAGCGATGGCAGACGAGTTTGCCCCTAGAACCACCCCCCCCCCCAGGTCACGAAGTCCTCTGTTGAAGATGCCAGTTAGTGAGAGATTTCAAAAGCTACACAACAAAAGATAGCAGCCTGGTAAACATCCATTTCGTGGTGTGGGTGAAAACCAAGGATGAGAACTTCAGCGCAATTAATTGGACTTACTTTCGGGGATCCTCAGCATGCGCAATATAGTCGGACCAAATATGGGCCCCGATATGCCACTGACAACGGCAATGACCTAGATGGCAGCCGTGTCACCGCCCAGGTTCTCGGTCGACAGCTGTGCCAACGCGAGCGTGACACTTCGCGGTGCAACTGCGAGGCTGATTGTCGCAGATATGCCGAGCGAGGAGCACAGTGGCGGGTACCCAAAAAGAGACGGGATGGTAAGAAACACCACCGGCAGGAAAATGGGCGCAAAGTAGTGACGAAGCTCTCGGCGGTACTGGTACATCGGCATGGCGAGGGAGACGATGCTGGCGTCGAGCAGGCTGGCGAGGATGTCGCCCGCCCTTGGGCGTGGGAGCCCCGAGGCACCGCGTAGATAGTTCAAGTACGAATTACCAGTCTTGTAGAGGTTCAGACACTCGTACAGCGTGAGGCTCCTGGAGACGGAGAACCCCCAGATGAGGAGTATGGTAAAGAGCGCGCAGACGAGGACGGGGTGTGCGACGCGCTTTATCTTGGGCGGCACGGCGTTGGCGGCCTGGAAGCAGAGGATGTTGATGCAGAGGAAGATCGGCATGGTGTAGCCGCTTCCGTAATAGACTGGGAGCCCGATGACCAGGAATAGGGAAAGCCAAGTTAGGTGGTCGATATTCTTGAGAAGCGATAATCTCCATTGTCGTTTCTTTTCAGTGGAAGGGTCATTCTCAGGTGTCATTGCTGAATTTCGCTCTAATTCTGATGGTGCGACGGATCCCGTCATCAGATCTGAAGTTTGGGAGGCATTTTAAGGGTTCTTGGGGGATTCTTGATCAACGTCTGGTGCTTTTCGCGAAGGGGTTGAGTTTCCACTTCTTTCTGTTGGTGATGTTGGGACGGAAGGCTCAGGCGTCGTGGTTTCTGGCTTCTCGATGTTTCCGACAATACCTGGCGCTGGAGACAGAATATTGTCCCCACGAAGCCTGCGACATATCCATTGAACAGCGACGCACGAAAAGCCTGTCACGGCATATTGAGCAACATACCCAACGATGAATACCCCCGCCAAAGCGCCAATTTGCTCCCCGCTGATGAGAGTACTGTTAGGGAGTAGAACAAAGCTTGGCGTGAAGTAGAGGCTCATCGTTCGGAGAGCAAATTCAGTGGGTTTATTGAGTACACTTGACAAGGTACCCATATGGCTGGGAGGCAACAGCCAATCACACACACCACAGGCAGGAAGAACAAGATAAGGAGGCATGCCACGCTGGCTGGAAAGTCGACGGTCCCCAGCCATATGAGCGAGTCCATTCCAACAATGCAGTACAGCAAGAAGACTATACTGATGGGAACGAGTATCCATGGTCGAATGAGGGTGTCCCACCACGGTGACGCCGTGATATTGTGTGCAGGCATATTCGGGTTATCTCTGGGAGATTGTGAAGGGAACCGAAAAGAACAGTGACAGAGAGAATGAAGTTGTCGAAGTATCTCTCTGACTGGACGAAGGATGGTATTGGGGATGGGAGAGAAGAGAAGATGTCCGTGGACGATGACTGTGACAGGAGAGGGGGGTTGAGAGATTTGCGAATAGATCTTAGGAAATCAAGTCCACGTCATCAAGTCCACGTCTTAATGGATGCGACAGAGAATATCATCTTCTTCGGTGATATTCACTCCGTTATGCGCCCACGATCCCATATGCGCTGAAACGGGGCAACCTGAATACCCTCCCTTCCGACGGTGACGCGAAAATCTTCGAGTGTCAACCTCAGTTGGCTGAACTAAAGCCCAGCATGCTGGTTGGTTGCGTCTTACGAGCTTCTTTTTGCTTGGCCGCATCAACCGATGATGAAGAGTCCGACCCTCATCACACCCAGCAAATACTGAGATAGTCGAGATAAACCGGAAATACCAATGTATCCCGCAGCAATTTTGCTCCGCTTGCACGGAGACAGGTGAGTTAAACTGGGGCTTCTGTCACCACACCTACAGGATGCGTCAATGCTTTCCCCATCCCTTGTACACAAAGGTTTTGACCCTCTGCATGTCTTCATCCCTCCCTATGCACAACACGTAAGCTTCCCTTGCTGGCATCCCATTTGTTTGAGACGCTTCCTCGATACCCGATGCGAGAACGGCGTGTTTCTTTTCAGCCGCTCACATATACGAAGAGTGACTCCGTGATGTGGGATCCCGTTATCCTGAGACTGCTCAGGTAAGGAAGATCGACGGACATAGAAGGATCAACGGCGGCGAGGTCCAGAAACCCGGATTAGCAGTGAGGTACAGCCTTTGAAGCCACCAAAATTGCGTCTTCGTGTGGGCAAGGGGAGTCCGAAGGGAAGGAATCCCGTGACTAGGAACAGATAGGACCAATAGATGACACAAGCTTGGCTGTATCTCGTCTCGCTTTGGTACCAGAATACCCGGGGGTGGGCGTTGAAGCCGTTATGGGTTGGAAGATTGATATCACACCTCCCTGCTGTACACGATTTAGATGCTCTCTATATCTTCATCAGCCTTTCCTCTGCCTCCGGCGTTCCCTTGTGGCGCACTTTACACGTGATCCTCGTTACCATTCTTCATATCGATTTTCTCGTATATTGCACCCGACATGGCTGCTGCTGTTCGAACCGTTCACGCCGACCCAGTCTTGGAAAGGCCACTCGTCTCGCCTTTCAATACTTTCACGATGAACCTATTAGGTATGTTGAGACAGGCCAGGCCCAAGTGTCATGAGATGAGCCCAGAACTGAATCACGAGGGCCACATCGCAGCTGGAGGAGTGGCTGGAATCATGGAAGCCCTCTCATGTCACCCACTCGACACGATAAAGTTGCGAATGCAGTTGCTGCGCCATGATCCACGTGTGAGCACAATTCCCTTCATGTTTGGCAATAACTCCGGTTTCTAATCATGGTCCTTAGTTGCAACGCTCAGGCGGATTCATCAGTACTCTGGGACACATCGTGCGGAACGAGGGTCTTGTTGGGCTCTACAGAGGCTTCGATGCTGTCATTCTTGGGATGGGTCCCAAAATGGGCATTCGCTTTACCTCTTTTGAAGGTTACAAGCATCTGGGTGCTTCATTCACCGGGCAGCCAATTCCAAGCAGTTCCGTGGTGTTCCTCTCTGGACTGGCTGCCGGAATCACAGGGGCAGTCTGCGTTGTCAATCCGATGGAGGTCGTCAAAATAAGGCTCCAGGGGCAGCACCGAGGAGGCGGAGGGGCCGTTGCGGGCCTACCCATGTACCACAATGCCTTTGACGCTGCCCGCGGCGTCGTCCGGAACGAGGGCATGTCCGCACTCTGGCGTGGGGTGTCGCTTACAGCCATGCGTCAAGGAACAAACCAGGCAGCCAACTTAACCACTTACTCCTTCCTGAAATAGGCGGCACAGCGATACTGGAGCAAAAAGAGGGACGACAAAGAGCCCCTGCCGACGTATGTGACAGGTGCTATCGGGTTCTTCTCGGGCGCGATGGGGCCGCTCTGCAACGCGCCGATCGACACGATTAAAACGAGGTTGCAGAACGCCGCAGCACACGGGGACAGGCGGATACTGGGGATCGTGACGGGTCTGATAAGGGAGGAGGGTCCTAGGGCCCTGTACAAAGGCTTGATGCCTCGGGTGATGCGGGTGGCACCCGGGCAGGCGGTGACATTCATGGCCTATGAGTTCTTCAAGACACGGCTGGAGAGTTTTAGGATCTAAGGTGGTGCTGCAGTGAGATGGAGCAAATGGAACGGTGGAGCCGTATTAGGTAGTTACTCGGCGATACAGAATGGATCACGACAACATAGATGCAGATGCGATGGGCCTTTTTGCACGAACTTGTCATCTTCAGTTGATACTTGCCCACATTTTCTGAACCACATACATGCACTGATATGTAACTAAAGTCGATCATTCGCAGCAGCATTTGGGATTGACGCCAAGAGCGCGCTCTGACTGGCGCCCACGCACACACACAGTATTTCGTTAAGACGGGTCAGTCATCCTTGCCAGAGTGCACGCGTTCAAACCATAACATCATGTCATCGGCGTCTTGATCGAGATCCCGGTGTATGATTTCAATCAGATAGTGTGATTCCGCTCTGTCTTGAACACGCGAAACATTACAGTGGACACGCGGCTTCAACTTTGGGCGATCAGATACTCGATTTCTTATTACCAGGGGCGCTAGCCAGTTGTCTCAATGTGAATGCATCTTTAACAATGTTGGTAGACCACCAGGTTCTACATATGCAGGCATATTGGCAAGAGTCTTATCTGTACCATCATTACCATTAACCGCTTCTGCCTCTGATATCTGATGCATGCAGGAACCTTGATAATTTTGGTACCGTGTCGAGCGTGTTATGCATGCAACGTCGGGAGTCAGGAACGCCCCCCCACGCGGGACTTATACGAGACAGGAAAACAAGGCGTGAAGAAGTACTGTATGGACCCCGGCTCCTTCACCCCACAGGAACGGCCCGCCTCGGCTGCCGTTCAACGCTCCGCGCGGGTCAATGAGCCGGCCATCCAATGTCATGAAATGTCATGCATTTGTCCGTGCCCGCTAAGACCCACGTGCCGCTGCAGAAGGGTCCAAGCAGATGCCAGTAGAGTATGCAGATATCAGTAGTGTAGAATGTCTATCACAATTTCGTGTTCGACGCTTCAACACCTGGACAACAACTCTATCACCATCATCGATCCTCGAGCCATCCGTCCACAGGCTGTTGTACGTCAGCCGGTGGCCCAGCAAGCAACCCAAAGCACGCCACAAAACCATACATGCATCAGCGAAAGGTGCAACAACACTGGGACGATGACGACGGAGGACTACAGACGCTCCACACGGATGTTGCTCCGTCGGTCCAGGTTGACGTGTTTCCCAGGCCGTGGCGGCGGCTCTTGCTGTCGGGAATGATAGTACACCGAGGTCAGTATCCACGCGGACTGAGTCTCGTCCGTCTGATCATTCTTCGCACCTCCGATCATGCCGGTCGTGATGCACTGCGACGTGCAGCGGGATGTGGATGGAGCTGACGATCTTTTGTTCCACTCCCTTTGCGGGTTGTCTATGCTTCGCCGACACCATTAGAATTATCATACGATGAGGCAATTAATTCCGGGAATTTTACTTATGTGCTTGCGAATGTTCAAGATTGGCGGAAAGATACCTGGATGCGCAAGATATGTTATCAAAATACCAGGTCGGATGTGTGCAACTGCTGACTGGCTGAAGTGAGCCGGTTGCCAGGCACTGAAGACACACGTATATATATTGTATAGCGAGTGAATCGTCCTGGCTGGAAGCAGCGGCATGTCATTGCCTTTCAGAAAATCCAAATCCTCATCTTCTCGATTTCGTTAGCAAAGACTACTATTCGTCTCGTGGACCTTCATTACCCACAGCAGATCTCCCGTTCATCTCCCGATATGGCGCCCTTCGTTGATGAGAATTTCTCCGCCAGCCAAAATGTCTCTGTGGATTTCTCAAAGCTGCAGACGACTGCCGCCAAGGCCGAGAATTTTGGCCTGGAAACATCAGCTCTTCTCAATCTCCATCTCGAAGACATGGCTTTCTCGTCGCAAGTTGCTGAGGTAGAGAAGTGGTGGTCCTCCCCGCGGTTCTCGGGCACTCAACGCCCGTATACTGCAGAACAGATCTGCAGTGCGAGAGGCAGCCTCACTTTCCCTTGTGCCAGTGATACATTGAGCAAGAAGCTATGGTCCATCCTAGGGCCAAGGGCCAAGGTCAGTAGCATCCCACTATAGTTGCAGCTCAGACTAGAGGCTCTATACCGCGTTGACTGTCTAAACAATACAAATGCTCATTCTAGTAACACAGGCTCGAACGACAAGCGCAACATTTGGGTGTATGAATCCTGTACAGGTCACGCAAATGGCAAGCCATCTCGACACTGTCTATGTATCCGGCTGGCAGTGCTCTGCTACCGCGTCGTCTTCTAACGAGCCATCTCCGGACTTGGCTGATTACCCGATGGTATTTTATGGCCTCTGCTCTCCATCAATAAAAAGAAAGAAGGCTGGAAAGTGAACTTCCGCCTTCCTCGACGTCAACAGGACACTGTGCCGAGGAAGGTCGATCACCTCTTCAAAGCCCAGCTATTCCACGACCGCAAGCAGAGGCAGGAGCGGCTGAGCCTCCCTCCTCGAGAGCGTCTAAATCTCCCTCAGGTCGACTATCTCAGACCCATCATCGCTGATGCCGATACCGGTCACGGTGGCCTCACAGCGACGCTGAAGCTCGTCAGAATGTTCATCGAGTCTGGCGCCGCGGGCCTCCATATCGAAGACCAGGCCCCGGGCACCAATAAGTGCGGTCACATGGCCGGCGAGGTGATGGTACCAATGCAGGAGCATATAGACCGTCTGGTCGCCTGTCGGGCCCAGGCGGACATGATGGGTACAGAGCTCGTTATCGTCGCACGCACCGACTCGGAGACTGCGACGCTGATCACGTCCACCATTGATGCGGGGGACCATCCCTTCATACTGGGCGCAACAAACCCGTCGGCCGCGCCATTTATCGACGTGCTGATCGCGGCCCAGAACAAGGAGAGCACAGAACAGGAGCTCTCAGCCCTAGAGAAAAGGTGGATGTCTGAGGCCGGGTTGAAGACCTTCGACGCCGCTTTTGAAGAAGCCGTTGTGGAGAAGGGACTCCCGGAGGGCACCGTCGCCAAGTACTTGGAAGCTGTGAAAGGCAAACTGTCTCTGAGCCAGCGTCGCAAACTTGCACACAAGCTCCTTGACGGAAACGACATCTTCTTTGACTGGGATTCACCCAGGACCCGGGACGGGTGCTACCGCTACCAGGGCGGCATCAAGTGTGCCATGTTCGTGGTACAAACTACAGCCCCTACGCAGGTGGGTTACACTGACTTGCGCCCCACACATCGACTAAGCCATGCTAACCTGCACCGCAAAATGATAATTAGACCTCGTGTGGATGGAATCCAAGATCCTGTCATACGAGCAGGCGGCCGACTTTGCCGAGGGCATCCACGCCGTGTACCCAGGCAAGAAGCTCGCGTACAACTTATCGCCGAGCTTCAACTGGAAGCGGGCGATCCCACAGGCTAACGAGCAGGCTTTCTCCAGGCAAGGAATGCAGGCCTACGTGGAGCAGATACAGGAGCCGGAGCGTGAACACGGTGTCGACGTGCTCACGCACCAGAAGTGGTCAGGTGCGGGCTATATCGACTCCTTGCTTGCCATGGTCTCCGGCGGGATGGTGAGCACGAGGAGTATGGGCGAGGGCGTCACCGAGGTCCAGTTTGCAACGGGCGGGACCAAGGACTAGTCTGATCTGTGTTGTACAACGAAACACACTTTGTGCGTGGGCTGAAATGCTACCCACATTGATAGGGGACTTGGGGTTGATGCTCTCAATTTAGTATCAACTTTGACCAATAAGACCTACATGCTTGATGCTGCGCTCAACGCCAAGCTGTGCATATCCGCAGACAAGGCATCACCCGAGACAAATGTACAGTACCAGCAGAGGGCACTTTTGACATGACACAACAGATGCACCCGAATTTAGCACGCCTGGGATACAATTTTGCCCCAAAGACTCTCCCCCTCCCCTCAAGACTACATCATGCGGAATTTGAGTCGATAAAAGGCCGTGGGTCCGGCTTTGTGCCCGGAAAGGCCATCTCGATCTTACCTAGTTTCTAGAGGCAGTTGAATCCAAGTAGCAGCACATTTCACTATTTCTCTTCAGCCTTTGCCATGGCAGGCTACACAGCACGAAGACTGGTAACAGATGATTTCACTTATTCTGAGACGGATGAAATAGGAGGATCCGAACAACTTGCATGTGACGGGGCCTCGCAGACAATATGCTTCCTGCCTTCGCTACCAGTAACCGCCTCTTCCGACGAAGCTAGCTTAGCATGTGAAGACGAACGTGCTCAAGCAGACGATGCCAGTTCAACGTTCCCGCCGCACGAAGACCCGGTGATTCTAGGAAACAACACTGAAAGTCACCAGCTACTTACAGCCCATATGTCATGCAATCCTGAAACCTCCCATGATAGCGCTCTTCACACCGTCCACAGTGTTGAGTGCCCAGCCGCCGCGTCCGGGCCCCAATGGCGGCCAACGTACCTTCGCCGTCGGGTACTCGTTGCTTTCAGTGCCATCTTTCTACTTATGATTGCCGTTTTGGAGCTAATCAAGGCGTTATCGGCTCGAAACGACGGTATCGCAAAAGGCTTCAACAAAGATCACTACCTCTGGACTTTCGGACCGACGGCCGTCTTGACCTTGACCGCGGCACTTTTTAACCGGGTCGAGTACCAGGCAAAGATCATGGCGCCATGGGAACGCCTATCCAAGCACCCTGCACCTGCTCGAAAGACCTTGCTTCTGGATTACGTGTCCCCCTTACAGCCTGTCGCAATCTACGAATCCCTGAGGAATAAAGACTTTGTTGTAGCAGCAACTGCAACTATCTCAGTCTTGATAAAGCTTCTCATCGTGTTGTCCTCGGGCCTGATCACTTTGTCGCGAGTTGGAGTACACTACGCATCAATGCCAATGGAGGTTCAAAACACCTTTATCGACGATGATGCACCCCTTCGCGAGGGAAGCAGCGTCCCCTATTTTATCTTGCAGGGCTTGATCGAGGGCAACAGCTACCCCCAAGGGATATCCAGCGAATTCGCATTCCAGTCAGTACGGAGCCAGCTCCCAGAAACGGCACAATATGAAGTGGTTGTGGACGGCCTCACAACTTCCTTGGAATGCGAGACTGCTGAGTTGGACGTGACTGATGTTGGGTATAGCACAAAGTACAGCATGGAGAGCATCATGAACCTCACTATAAGGTCTCCTGGCTGTAATGTCAGCCCAGGGCTATTTTATGGCCCTGTACTCTGGTCACAGGATACGCCGATTCAGCTGGCAGTCGGGAGGTTTCAGCCTGTACAGTGCGCCGGCCCAGTACTTGCAGATGACACGAGCTGGCGCGCGCTTATCATGTTCGGGCTCGAAGAGTGGATCGTCAACGAGACTATACCAAACGAGGACCCATCTCCTGATTGTATTGGATCCAACTGCAATGTCACCACCGTCGTGGGTGGCACATTGCTCGAATCAGCACAGCTACTTTGCACCCCTAGATATGAGATCACGAAGGTCAAAGTCGTCCAGAACGGAACCAAAGTCCAAAGCGTAACGACGGCCCACACAAGTTCGGGAGAGTATTCCAATCAGACTTTGGATCACGTCAGGCCGTGGAGCTTCATGAAGGCATACTTCGATTCTTTCGATCGAACCATGACTAGATATCATAAATGGACAGAAGTCAACATCAGCCATGAAAGCTTGTTTTTGGACCCACGCATGTACGGTCTCGTGGAACACCAACTTACGGCTGGAACCGATTTGTCTTCGCTTTACAATCCATATTTCATTCAGTCCCTCGCTATGACACATTACCAGCAAGCCGGTGCCATTATTGCGAAACAACTTTTACTGGAACCCACGTCTCTTAACACGACTGGCTCAGCCATTGTTATGGACGACCGCCTTATCGTGAGAGAATGGGCAGTTCAGTGGATGGTTGGTGTAGTCCTGATTTGCACAGCTCTTTCAATACTCTCAGCCTTCGTCATCCCGCGGCATGGGATACTGCGCCGAAGTCCGAGTACACTTCCAGGAATCGCGGCCCTTGTCGCGCAAAGCCCAGATTTATTGGAGAAGCTGCGATACTCTGGTGATGCCGTCTCCAAGACCTTGCGTCTACAGCTAGAGGGGTCCAGATTCCATTCCGAGGTCATTCACCATTCATCACCTGGCCTGGGTGAGCCCAACCAATCTTTTGTTATCAAGGGCGTCGTTCCGGCCAGCGCAGATGAATGTCGATCTGACTTCTTCCAAAGCGAATCAACTCACCCTCACCCTTGGATACTCCATCCTGCATCGCGACTCGGTCTCGGCCTCATTTTGATAGCCGTGGTAGCGACTCTTGAGGTAACTTTGCACCAGTCTAAAAGTCACGACGGGCTAGGTAATGTGGTCGATGACGCATATATACATTACACATGGACATCAATCCCGACCCTTCTCTTTGGAGGTCTTGCTATGACTTTTTCTTCTATCGACTTCAGCATACGGTCCTTGGCTCCCTATACTAGCTTGAGCAACGTTGCAACCCCTGATGCTTTCAAAGCTCTGCACTTTCTCGACATGTCGGTGCCCTCAGCTATAGTTAGGGAAGCAAAGCTGCGCAATTTTGGTGCCTTAGCGACGACTACGACGTTGCTTATTGCCTCATTCTACACCATCTTTTCCGGATCTTTGTTCCACGGCGTCTCTTTGCCATCCGCGACTCTTGCGCTGCTCCGGGCTAATAACTCGTTTGAACCGACAAGCAGTGAAACTTCATTTGGTATCAATGCGCCCTTGATTCTCTTGGGCAATTTATCATATCCCAGTTTCACGCATGAGGACCTTGCTTTCCCTCAGTTACTGCCGACCATGGCCCTGACGGCCAATGGATTGTCCAACACGTCTCTCCTCTCAATTAATGCGGTAGTGCCCGCGTTGCGATCACATTTGGAGTGTCATTTATATGACAAAAGCACGATTCGTGTTGAAGTTCATCATTGGTACGACTCCTCTGATGCCGCTAACAAGGGGAACACTCTAGATGTTGCTGTCAACGAGGAGGGTTGTCCCGACCGAGGCGACAATTCCTCTTTCAATGCTGAATTTGTTATCCCCTCCAACACCTCATATTTCGGCCTGGGCGCCACATCAGACTCATTTGGCACTACTGGTATCTACGGCATTTACGCTCGATGCCACGACTACCTCTTCGTTTGGGGGAAAATGGACCCTTTGGCTGAGTTCAAAGTGGAGCACATAACAGCGATGCACTGCAATCAGTCGATCGAGGCTGTCGACGTGGAGACTAACTTCATCGGCGCCAACCTCGCTATTGACATGGAGAACCCGCCCCGACCCCTGCCAGGTTCAGAGCGGGACTCAACCGCCGCCCTCGATCCGCACTTTGGTTCCAAAACTTTGTACGCCAACGTACCCAACATCCCGACAGACGAGACACTGGGCAGCTTCTTTGCCCTGCTCACGCAATCTGGATGGGCCATACCAATATCCAAGCTTGGCGGTGGCAGCGACGAAGCTGTCGCTGCCGCCATCAAGTTTCAGCATGGTGTCTTCCTCGCACAGGCACTTAACGAGTGCCGTGTGCCTGCAGCTGAGACAAACGCCACGCTTACCCCTGAACAGGCCCTGGCCGGCCAGAATGATGCTGGACGCACATTCGAGGCGACGGTGGTCGACAAGGGGGGCCGCCAGCGCGTGGTGCAGGATGCCATATCGACTCGCGTCCTCGAGGCGCTGCTGCTTGCGACGCTGGTTCTATTGGGCGTGGGCTGGGTGTGGCTACCAAAAACAAACGTGCTGCCGAAAAGGAGCCCGACGACCATTGCGAGCGTGGTAGCGCTGCTGGCTGGTGGGAACTTGGAGGAGTGGGTGCATGAGATGGATAGCGATGTCACCGGCGCACACAGCGGGCGGGCGACAACGACAAGGTTTTGGATGGGCTGGGGAAATGTGCCAGACGAGGAAGGAATACTGATGGGGAATGAAAACGAGAATGGGATCAGTCGATTCGGGATTTTCGCTGTCAAGGCCGATCATGTCGACGAGAAGTAGTTTGGGAGTCCGCTCAAGTGTTACAAGCGATGAAGTCCGCCCCGACATCAGAAAACGTCGATGCCTTAGGAAGGAGGCTCGGGTAAAATCTGAGACCAACGCGAATAACGAATCTAATGAATTGAGCATAATTACATATAAGCCGGCTCCGTCGATATATAAATTACTAGTAGGTAGTATAAATGAATAGTGCACTAGGGACAATAGTATACCTTTATACCATCCATTTCTTGCTCTGCGAATATCTGTTTTCTTAATTTTTCACTTCTAGGCCTCATTCCAAAAGCTAGATGTGCGACAGATGCAAGGCAGAGTTCAGATAGGACGCCTACTACAAGGGCAAGATGATGCGGTGCAAGATGACTCATCGCGCAACCTTGTCCATCGACGCCTTCAACGGATGCCGTTGATACTTCTCCAAGTATTTCCTGACAGGTGAAGATGGGGGAATCCCTGGCAGGGCGCCTGGGATTGAGTGGCCCCATTACCAGCAAGCCAGGTTCTGTTATCACCAGAGACACCATAATGATTTGCATGAGGAGCCGTGCCCTGATTACCCCATCTGGGCGACGAAACGTGTTGGCCTGCGCGCCTCGGATCCGGGCCCTGGACTGTAGACTGCTCCCGGACCACCTCCATCCTTAGGTTGGGGTGATATGGAGCAGGTGAGGTGTCGGGCTGGGGCTGTGGTTGTGACTGGGCTGAAGGCATCGCTGAGTTGTTAGACCTGTTCTCGACCTGAGGCGTATTTGGTCCTTGATGTTGAAAATTCGGATTCGGAACTCTAAAGGGGGTTCGAGAAATTTCGGCTTGCGGTGGAATCGTTGTGGTGTCACCGGCAGGGTTGCCGCGTGAAGGTTGGCGGTTGAAATCTGCGTACGTGGTGCATCGTGGTGCAACCTGTTTCACAGTGCCAGGCGGTATAGAGTCGGACAGCTCGAGTTTCTTTTTGAGACCATTCTGGGCAATGATTGCCAAATAGTCAGCGCGAGATTCGGATACCTCAGCAGGTTCAGCTGAAAGGTTGGGAACCGAATGATGGGGCTCCACCGTGGCCTCAACCATTGTGTTAGCTTGGTTCACCGGGTCTGGGTTGTTGACGCTCATATCGGTCGATGTGGTGGTCTCTACATCGGCGTCGGGCGCCGAGGTTGTTATGTTTAGCTTATTGGGCGAAGGAACAGCTGCCTCGTCGAAATGTGTTTCGTGCGATTCAGATGCTGGTGTGCTGCTGATTGAGATGATGTCGAAAGAATTCCTGCGTAGGTTGTCATTGCTGTTTCCCGCAGCCCCAGTCCATGTCTCAAGGGTAGGGGGGCGTATAGGTTCACTGCGTTGGTCGACGACTGGCACGAGTCCAGCTTTCACTCGCGTAGTCCACGGCTCGACAATAATGGGTTCAGGTAAATTGCTCTGGTCCACCTCGGGCGTGTGGTGCGTCTCGTCATTTCGCCGGCTGATAGCATCTAAGAAGCATAATTAGTAAACAAGTGAAAGTCGCAAGAAACTGAACACGAACAATCCATACCATTATGCACGTCCATTTCACTAGGTGGATCCGCCTCTGACGAAGTTTGAGCTCGTGCTCTCAGGTACGCCCGAACAGATCGAATGTGAGGAATGTCAGACGCGGCCGTCGACTCAATGTCCAAAACATCCAAGTCTTTTGCTGCCAGCCAGGCGACTTCGCTTTCAGACGGGAACTTCATGCCGTCGTCGAAAAACATGACAGGGAACCAACGCTGTGCTACTTTTGCTCCCCCATCTTCGAAGCCCTCTTCCCACTCAAGCGTACTTGTCGTCGTGTCACAGCGATAGCACGGGGGCAGCTTTTCCAGCAGCCCCAAGCTCTCCAGGGTCTCTGGCACGCCGACGTCCTCCAGGTTCGCGGTTGGTAGTAAGAGTACAGGCCAGCTCCTCTTGGCCTTAACCCAGTAACCGAGATAAATCTGACCCGGTGTTGGACTGACAATGTCTCCTCCGCCTCGGCGACCATGCCTGCTGCCACTGGCTGCTGTGTCATCTGGTGGACGGGGCCCTTCCTTTTCTTGTCTGCGGAATGCACGACGAGCGACGGCATTATTCTTCTCTGCAAGTTCTTTGTTGCAGTCTAAAACAGCAATGCCGAAATTTTCGACAATGTGCGTAGCATCTCTAGGCTGATAACCATGCTCTGAACTGTGGAGATGAGACCCAGCAGTGCGCAAGGGGGTGTCTTTGAAATCTCGAGGGCAGTGCTGGCAACGGATTATATACCACTGGTCAGTGCCTTTGGGGTGCTCGACGATGATGTGTTTTGTCTCGGCGTGACCTTCCTGATAAACCTCGTCGAACCACATGACTGATATCTTCTTGCCGGTTGGAGCAGTCCGTTTGCGCCGTCCATGCGATTCGGGTTCCGTATCAGTTCTAGTACGCTTACGCTAGAAGTTGTCAACAGTATATTCCATGTTTTGCGGCAGTACGCATCCTCACCTTCGACGAGGCACTAGCGTCAGCACGTACAGGTCTCTCGGGAGATGCGGGTGGCGATCTGGCAGGATGTTCGGCAGGACACACAACCTCAGGCTCGGGCTCGGTAGCAGGTGGTGTAGGTTGGTTGGCTGGTGTGGGGTTGCTGCTGGTCGCATCTGATGGATTCTTTGTCAAATTCCGGATGGCACTCTGAATCAAATCCGGGCCGACCGCATGGATGAGGCGGCGGCAAAGATCCTCGATTGCGAGTCGCCGCTGGTGTTCAAAGTCCTTGTTTTTCGCGTCTAGAGTTGCTTGGTGATCTTGGCGGAGCTGATGCAACTCGGCGCTGTGTCGTAGAATATCCTCTCGGAACCTGTCTGCCTCTGCGCAGCTTTGCGCAGAATGATGGCTATTTAGAGCTTGGTCGATGCTGACGTTGACTGCTGCTTGCCTCTCTTCGAACGCCGCCTGGGGGGTCTTCATGCGATGCAGTGCGGAGTAGGTCTGTTCGGCCGAATCTTGGACGGCGTGCACGACGCGCATGGCATAATCAAGGTCAGACATCGTTAGCAGACCGGATGGATAGCCTGGCGTCATCACCATGGGAGAGATACAGGAGGGTAACTAGAGGTCAATCACAATGGTGTAGCGGAAAGCCGTCGCAAGGAGCGACGGGATCTCTGATGAGCGTGACATGGACGAGGGGAAATACACGAGGCCGAGGAAAAGAGGGGCTGGCTCCATGTTGGCTGTTGGTTGTTTTGTGTTGGTTGTTGGTTGTTGGTTCCTGAAATAATAATGGTAATATAGCAGTCCAGCTTACGTATCTGATTGGTGACAATGACTCAACTAAGATTGGGTGTGGAAGATATCTCCGACCATGCCCCCTGCGACGGATAGAAAAGAGCTGCCAGCGAGCCCACCGAAGAAGCGAGTCACCATAAGTGTCTCCATATTCGGTGCGACAGCTGATGGGATGGTCCAGATAATAAAAGCCGACCACGAGACGAGATAGCCGTAACATTCGCTTAACGGCCCAGTGAGCAGAGGTCCGAATGCTATGCCAAGCACAAAAGTGGACAGTCCGAGAGCGCAAATCAATGGCGATGCATTGAAGTCGCGTTGGATCTGATCGTAGGTGGTTTTGTAGATAGAACTTGTACATGTCCTTGAGAAGAATGAGTACCAGCAGAAAGATCCAAATGAGAGACCGTTTCAGATACATACACACAGACCGTTGCCATACACACAATCAGCACCATGGTCCACTTGCGCGTTGTCGACATGCTCCTCGGTGACACGAGATCGTTCTGCCATTCCACCCCACTCGATAGGCATCGTCAAATGCCCTGGCGTGGTTGTCTTCTAACTCGCTTGCAGCACTCTGGAAGCTGGCCTCTCCAAACGAGGCACCCATGGTCTACTTTACCACGACTTATGGGGGCCGCGAGAGAAGTCCATGGGCAACCCATGGTCGACTGCAAATCCCGAGGGGACGTACGTTCAATCTTTGCCATTCCTCATTATCTCGATGGGACTAATCCAGGGCTTAGTGTGATTCTCCGCCTCGCCGAGAACAGCCTTATGCACGGCGAAGTTGCAGCTTTCATCAGGGAACAGGTAGTACCCTTGACACCTATCTATGAGTGATCACTGATGCACATAGATTGACGTTCTGCCCATCAACCATTTGACTTACAATACTGGCCCTCGTGGCTCTCATCGCCTTCGACATGCATTAGCCTCGTTCTGGGCCGAGGAATTTAGACCTGTATTACCTCTTACTATTGATAACGTCTTCATAACCTCTGGGTTAGCCGGCGCTCTTGACGCACTGACGTGGACCATTTGTGATGAAGGGGACGGTGTCCTTATTCCATTACCGCTTTATAACGGATTCAAAGTAGACTTGCTGAATCGTAGCAATGTCCGCGTGGTTGGAATACCTTATCGAGGCATCGAAGGTCACTCGAACTTGAATGATTTATTTGACGCGGATGTGAACTTGAGAGCTACGGAAGCTGCATTCTATAAGGCGTAAAACAATGGTATCCGCATTCGGGCTTTAATTATTTCCCAGTAAGTTCTACTGAAGACTTGCGTGGAATGCCTGAAAACGAACGCTGAGAACATGTGACAACCCTCATAATCCGTTGGGAAGATGCTACGCGCGCGCCTCCCCCCCCCCCGGTTCCCCCATCTTCGCCTCAGTAGCTAATGTCGGTAGTAGCCGCCCGAGACTCTAAGAGCATTTGCCTCATTTTGCGGGAAACACAGACTGCACTTTATCTCCGACGAGATCTATGCGAAATCAGTCTTCTCCAACACAGGAGTCCCGCTTCCAGAGCCATTCGTGTCCACCTTGTCTCTGGACCTCCGCGGTGTTATTGACCCGCAACGGCACCACGTCCTCTACGGCGCAAGCAAGGATTTTTGCGCAAACGGCTTACGGCTAGGTGTTGTGTATACTCAGGACAAGGGTATAATGGGTGCTATGTCAAGTATCAGGTGGGTGTCGCCGTGCTTGTACCTCATGCTCCATCAAACACAACTGATGTTCGGCTGGCTCGAGTATTTTTTCCTGGTCACCTCATCTTCTCCAAGATACCTGGGCCGCCATGTTGGAAGACAAACAATGGCTACATGATTTTATGAGCCAGAAGACGACACTGATGACGGAAAACTACGGTATAATTACTACGTTCTTGCGCAATCATGGTAAAAGTTTCCATGAGCCGTAAGCAATCCCGCAAGCATTAATTGCATAGAGCCTCCTGAGTAGTAGTCTAACAACGTGCAGAAATTCTGGTCTATTCATCTGGATAGATCTACGTCATCTACTCCTACCAAGCTCTTCAAATGACCATTTAGACCTTGATGAGCTCACTGCCTCGTCTCCTGATTCGAAAATGTACGAGGCACAGAGAAACAGGCAAGACTGGACTTAAACGTTTACAATTTGCCATTTATCTCTTCGCACCCCCCACCCCCCCCCATGAAGACTACGGCGCACATAGATAGATTGCTCAATCACGTTTCTCGTCAAGACTTGCGGCGCCACCAAGTTCAAAACCCTTGACAAGTGTATATGGTAAATGCGATCAATGGAAAAGAAGCCGGCTCCATAGCCCCCGAAGAGCTTTGAGACCCTTGGTGCGATCATCAAGGGCCGCTTTAGCGGTTCTTGGTCCTCGAGGAGTGGACTACGGTGAAACCGGAGACCAACACAAATATTATCGAAACTGATGAATTGGGCATATATAAGCCAATCCCACAGATATGATCCATTCTTCAAGCAGGTGAAGGGACAGTCTCTAGAGATGTTGAGTGAAAGACAATCGACTCTTTCAGGTTGAAAATAAGTCGCGTTGTAGTCATTGTCTCCGGCCAGCTGAGACGCGTCTTTCCTTAGTTTCTTGGCTGAGCGACCCGTGGGCCAGGACTTAGTGGGGCCGATCCGTTGCCCAGCCCTGGGAGTCCAAGCCTATCTTCCCCAACAACGGGAGACTGACCCCGCCATTTGAGGCGCATCCATCACAATTCGTAACCTGGACGGTCGTCTACAGGATGCATCCGACTCTCGTGGTTTGATAAGGAAGCATGTCTTCAAAGCCAGCCAAAAGAATCTCGTAAATTAATTTCCCTTCACAATCATCCCTTGAGAAACTCACTGACATAGAGAAATAGATGCAAGAGATGCCAGTACCGAAAGGCATTGAAACCCCACGATACGTGTCGCCGACCTAGCTGACTCGATGCTTTCTGCTCGCAGCTGAAGTGTTCACGCACAGAGCCGTGCCAGAGCTGTGCCGCGGCTAAGCAAGCATGCGAGTACCGTGAAGTCGACCGTAAAAGGCGGCCTGCCACCCATGAATATGTGGCCAGCCTGGAGAACAGGGTCGCATGGCTCGAGTCGTTCATCGGCAGACTCCAAGCGGCGCCGGGTCCAGAGCGCGACGAGATGCTGCAAAGTGTTTCATTTGGGGATCACCTGCCGGTCCCACAGCCATCGACATCGATGGCGAACCCGGGGAACGAGAAGGGCGGCGGCCACAAGCGAGAGAGCAGTGCCAATCTGCAAGTAGACCTCGAAGGGTCGCTCATCTATCACGGCGCGACGAGCATCTATCGTGCACACTCGGGGAGACCAGCGACGGGGAACGCATTTGGCCAGCATTCCGCCTTTTCGAAACACGCCACGGACTCCGACGGCAATTTCGAGTACGTCGCGGAACATTTCGGCATCAGCTTGCATGATGAGCTGGTGCATGATGCCCTGTTGCAGTTTTTCAGGTGGCAGTATCCGCACTTTATGTTCATCTATCGCGAAGCGTTTCTGAGGGACCACTTCTCTGATCGGGTCGGCTGCAAGTACTGGTCTCCGGCCTTACTCCTGGCTGTGTGCGCTCTGGGGACGTTGATGTCACCTGATAAGAGGCATCGGGAGTCGAGTGCACAATTCTTCTCTGCTGCTGAGAGCATTCTCATTGTCTCTGGGCTCACAAAGCCTTCTATAGTCACTGTCCAGGGGTTTCTCTGTCTCGCCTTCTACGAGATCGGACGAGGGAATCTATCCAAAGGATGGGGCTTCTCAGGTAACATCACTTCCACCAAATTACATGATACTATATCACTTACCGTGGAAAAGGTATCGCCTTCCGAATGGCACAGGATCTAGGTTTTCAAAAAGACCCGAAACACTGGGTATCCCATGATTCATCGCTGGCGACTGAAGAAGACATGGAAATCCGCAGGCGCATCTTCTGGGGCTGCTATTCATCGGATAAGTTGATCAGCCTGATCCTTGGGCGGCCTGTGTATCTCTTCTACGACGACGCAGAAGTTGATACCACCAACAGACTTCCGTAAGTCAGGGTCGACTATATCATTTATAAATTGAATGCAGCTAACGATCAAATCTCACCAAGCGACCTTCCTGAGATGGGACCATGGCTGCCGGCTGGATTCGCGGATTACGACGGGTCTTCGGGCGCGGTCAACCCACTGATACCTTGCTTTAAAGAGCAAATTCGCCTCTCCAAAATCATCGAGAAGATGCTCTCCAAACTATTCTCCCCAAAGTCCAACCTGGAAGGCCTTGGCCGTCAGTCGTGTCTCGACACCTTCAACATCGAGCTGTGTGCCTGGCACGAGGCGCTGCCGGAGTGCGCCAAGTGGAATAAATGGGAGCCACCAAGCGCACCGCTCATACCATGCGTGGCCGCTCTTCAGTAAGTCACCTCGGCCTCTGTCATCTCGCCCATGTATAGGACCTCACGATGGAACTGACAAGTCCAAAACAGCCTGCTCTTCCGGAGCGTCCGCATTGCACTCAACTTTGACCACGCCACTTCGGAGAACACAGAGGTAGCTGCAAAAGACAACGCACGCAACGACTGCGTAGCCTCGGCACAAGATATTGCCCACATCGTGCGGAAATATCGCAGCCAATTCGGTCTGGGGCATAGCCCGTTGATGATGATCTACGGAATCATGCAAGCGGCGAGGACCCTGGCGGTGTTTGGTACACCGGAAGAAGCACAGTACTTGTTGTTATCCCTCGACGAGTGCTCTTCTGCTTGGGCTCTAGCTCATCAGGCCAGAGATAGGTTGACACACATTGACATGTAAGGACAGCCCTAGCCAGGTTACCAATTACAGATTTCTTCTACCCCAAAGGATCTGGTGGGTGTCACCAGCGCCCTGTTCAAGTTGAGCGGCAGACAGCATACCAACTGCGACGCTAATGACATCTCGTCCCTTCTCCCGAGTCCCAATGACCATACGTGTTCTATTTCTGTGCTATGAGAGGTAGTTACACAGGCTATGGCAAAGGAAGACCCTGATCAACTCCAGCCCTGAGAACGGTTGCAAGCTTCTTCACGTCCGATGAGTTGTTATAAAAGCCAAACGACACCCTGATGCCCAGACGATAGGGTGTGACGAATATGCCGCTTTCTTTCAACAGGTCCACCCATCTCAGATCATGCAAATCGAGGATGTACAGATGAGGTGCGTGTTCTTTCCTCGTGGCAGGCCCAACAATATTCACCCCTATGGCACTGCACTGTTCCCTCAGGACATCACCAAGCCGATAGAGGTGCTCCTGCACACGCCTCGGGACCATGGAGTCCAGGTAGAGGGTCAAGAACGCCTTCGCAGCAGCTGCACCGACCAGGCTGAGGTTCAAGTGCTCGTACCGCCGCGCCGTCGGGTGGTACACGACCTCCTCGGGAGGGACCAGCAGGTCAGCCCGGACGTTGCTGACGGCGCCGTAGCCAGCAATCGGAGGGGACGGATCGTTCTTCGCGATGAAGTCCGGGTCCACATACAGGACCGAGAACCCCGTCGGGCAGTTGAGGCCCTTGTGGAGGCTGAAGGCTGCCGCCGAGACGCCCAGGGCCCGCACGTCGACCTCGGCGAAGCCGACCTGCTGCGTGAGGTCCGCCAGGACGTGGCTGCCGCGGGGCCTGAACGCCGCGCTGATGCCGGCGACGTCGTTCCACTGCCCGCTGTGGAACATGACGGAGCTGAGGCCGATGGCGCGGGTGCGCTCGTCGACGTACGGCGCGAACGTCTCGGCGGTTGCGGCGGTGACCTTGCCGGTCCGCTGGGCCTCGGGGATGGTGGGCACCTGCCTGACCTCGACGCCGGCCTTGCGCAGGGTCATCCACCCGTACACGTGGTTGGGGTGCTCTGTGTCCAGGACGACCACGTTGTCGCCGGGCTCGACCTTGAGGCTTCGGATGAAGTAGCCCAGGCCCTCTGTGGTGTCGCGGGTGAAGGCTATTGAGGATGGGTCGGCGTTGATATACCGTCCTACGAGCGAACGGGTGTCCTCGACGGCGGTTTGCCACTGGGGCTTGGGGTGGGGGCTGTAGAGTCCTTCAGAGGCATATTTCGTCATGGCAGCGTGGATGACTAGGTTGGAAGGTGGTTGGTAGGAGGCATTGAGGTAGGTGATCTTGTCGTCAGCTACAAGGGGGACGAGGGACCGGAAGGTGGAGAAGTCGGCTTCTGACGGAGGCTGAGTGGTCCCCTGGGTCAGAGCTGGGACGTGGTCGACGCTTTCTTGAATAGCACTTGGCGACATGATACCTGTGTTGAAAAGAAATAAAGACGTGGAGTTAGGTTGGGATGGTCTGACTGAGATCCTGTATATTCTGTGGCGTGGCATTGCTAGCTTTTATTGTTGGACGACAGCTCCTAGATCGGCGCAATGATACTTGCTCCTCGGCCATGCCTTGCCGTACCTGGGTATCGCAGATCTTCCGACATCATGCGATGACACCTGCCAGCATTCTTGCCGTTGGGTATCTACACGAGTATGTAGCTCGTGGAGGCGGAAGTCCGTCTCTAGTGCTACAAGGACCGGCGTTACACTGTGTGTGTGCGCGTGTTGGGATGCTAAGACTGTTTGCAAAAAATGACTGATTCAGGGCATGGAGGCATCACTTGCAGGATTAGAAACCCGCAGTTTGCCCATCAATCACTGAGTCTGAAATTTGTACTCTTAGATAAAATGAAATCATCTGACGTGGTGGTTGCAAGGTTAGCCAAGAGGAGCTTGTGATGTCCTGTACTACGGGACGGACTTTGACCTCCATTAGTGGGTCCAGACTTGATAAGGGACCCCTGTCCCCTGCATTGGCAGGAGTTCACTCTACGCCAGTGTCTTACGAACGAGTTGGTCTCGTGGTCTATCTTTGAGCTCATGGTTTTATTGCTTTCCCAGACTCTGTCTCATCATATTTCTCCAGAACAAACGTTCATTGTTGACTTCTCTACCAAAGTCACTTTTACTACTAAGGTGGGTGAGAAGAGACTTGTTGGAGCTGAAAACACCAAGGAAAAGGTACAACGGATAGCAATATTGAGCATGCCTGTGAAAGTGTAGTCATGGAAGTCAAAAGATAGGTAGTCTTGGTGACTTATTCGCGGTATCTATTTAGCATTTGTCTATGTTTAGGCATTGACTCTATCTAATCACAAACACCCAATACCAGCAAAAGACGCCGTCTTTCTCCCTATCTTATCTAGGATAAAGTATAAGAACTGTTGCCCAGCCTGGAATACAGCACTCTCAAGGAAATTGCTGTCAGCCCCGGATCTTTTCACCTACCTGCTTCTTGGTCATCTCAAGTCGCTCTCAGCTTTTAATAACATACAATGATGAATGACAACATTATCAAGTATGGAAAGTCTACCAACGACATCAATGCGGACCCCTCCACCTTGGAAGCCACAGCTTCCAATGTAGAAGGGACCTGTGTGGAGACAGACCATCTGAAGCGAGAGTTCAAAGAGCGTCATGTATCCATGATAGCCGTTGCTGGCGCCATTGGGACCGGACTCATCATTGGTTCTGGTACAGGTCTTGTCAGAGGCGGACCTGCGAGTCTTCTGATTGCATACTCCATCATTGGTGCCGTGGTCTTCTTCATCATGACAGCAGTGGGGGAGATGGCAACTATACTACCATCAGACAAAGGCTTGGCCGGCTACGCAACTCGAGTTGTTGATCCAGCTTTGGGGTAAGTCGACGAGGATCTATGACGAACAGACTTGGCTGACCCAGTCCAGGTACGCCACAGGCTGGAATTACTTTCTCAAATATGCGATTGTCCTCCCCAACAACCTCACGGCCGCCGGCATCATCATACAGTACTGGCGCCCAGACCTCAATGTTGCCATATTTGTTACAACCTTTACTGTTGCAATTATTGCTGTCAATGTCAGTCACACATATTCCTGGAAGACATCCGGGCCAGCCACGCTAATCGGGACAAGGTTCTTCAGGTATCATTCTTCGGCGAAGCGGAATTCTGGATGTCCACCATCAAACTCCTTGTCATCATCATGCTCATCCTGACCTGTTTCATCATCTCCGTGGGCGGGCAGCCCTCCGGCGAGGTAATCGGCTTCAAATACTGGCACGACCCAGGTGCCTTTGGAGAGTATCTTGTCGACCGGCCGACCGGCCGCTTCCTCGGATTCTGGGCCGCCTCCTCGGATTCTGGGCCGCCTCCTCGGATTCTGGGCCGCCATGGTGCAGGCCTGCTTCGCGTACACGGGAACCGAGGTCGTCGGCGTCGCCTTTGGCGAGGCGCCGAACCCGCGCAAGACGATCCGCGTGGCCGTCCGCCAGCCCCTGTGGCGGATCGTCTTCTTCTATGTCCTCGGCGCGTTGGTGCTTGGCATGTCAGTGCCGTATACCAATGACCTGCTCATCGGCGGGACCAAGAAGAGCACGGGTGCCGCGGCGAGCCCGTTTGTCATTGCGGTGCAGCTTGCTAGTATTCCCGCATTTCCCCATGTTGTTAATGGATGCCTCTTGATCTTCGTCATCAGCGCAGCCAACTCTGACATCTTAGCATAGGTTACAATGCCTTCATCCCCAAGTTTACCGTATCGACTTTCATGACCTCATACATCGGCATTGCTATCTACTTGGTGAATATTATGAGCTACAAGGTGTACGCCAAGACCAAAAGAGTGGAGCTTACCACCATGGACCTCGTCACCAATAGACTTGAAGATGACGGGAGCAGATATCCCAGCACTCTGGAGAAGGCCGCCGCGTGGGTGATGCGTCAATGCAAGAATTGAAGATGAGAGTCACAGATACTGTAAATATTATGAGTAATTCTTAACGAGGACATCACCAGGGCCGTTCAGCTTGCACATCAATTTGACCGTAGCGCCATGGGTATCATGATATTCCCCGGCCTGTCACAGCCAGCAGCATATGTCATCACCATACCAGCCTCGGGCTTAAGCTGCCGTCTTCTCGCCCTTCACGGGCTCAGCTAGACCCTCCGTCGGAATTTCGGCATCAGTGCTCTCAAAAACCTGTCCCTTATTCATACCGAGCTGGCGAGTGTCATAGCCGTTCGCCTCCAGGTAAGCCCGAAAGCGTGCATCTTCGAGCTGGATAGTGTCCTGGCCGATGTGCGGTAGGCAGAATAGTGCGAGGGCAGCGGACAGTACACACAGCGACGAGGAAACCCAGAAAGGGTACTGGGCCGAGGCAACCTCGTCGTCGCCGCCGGCCGCCTGGATGTACGGGAAGACTGAAGGAGAGATTGTGATCAGTAGTGGCACTCCTCCAAGCGGTTGGGACTGGACCTACCCCAGGTGCCGACAAAAGCGCCAATCTTCCCAATCGCTGCGGCGACGCCGTAGTATTTTCCTTTTCACATCATCAGCGCATGATCCGACGGAGGTTTGTTTCCCGGAGGTCCTCTTCATTACCGCGGATGCCAGTAGCGCAGGTCTTTGCCGCGAGCAGGCCGATGTTGTTTCCGGGCCCGAATTCGCCAAGTGCGAGGAAGACCCCGTAGACGACGACAAAGCCGCCGACCATTCCGGGTTGGGCGAGGTTGAAGTAGTCGCCAGCCATAACGAAGCCGATGATAGCCTGTAGGAAGACACCGAGAGCCAGTGCGTACCGCGGGCCCAGCCAGTCAGAGGCAGGGGCGCCAAGCATGGTGCCCGGGATGTAGAATAGGTTGATGACCGTATTCCAGCCGAAAACCGTGGTAAGGGGGGCCGTGTCTCCGTAGAGGGTGGTCAGAATGGTGGACGAGTATATTCCGAAAGAGTAGGCCGAGAACTGAGTACTACGCGTCAAGGTCACAGGCAGGCTAAACACGGCCGGGCGGGACTCACATCGTAGATGAACCAGATCAAGCTGACAACAAAGAGGCGCCAGCCGTACATCTTGAGTGAGAGCAGGTAGGGTGTCTTTGCATAGCGCATGGAGTTTTTAGTGGAGGCTTCGGGCTCTTTCACGAATAGGCGGAGGACGAAGAGAAATATGGGGAAGACCACGCCAATGCCCAAGCTGGTCCGCCAGACGGTGCTGTAATGGCCGTTGCGGCAGGCGGCGGCGACTACATATGGTACAAACGCTGCTCATGGGTTAATTCTCTACTGTCACGGCGATCACGAGGTTTGAGAAGTGGTGGACAAACCGCCAATTACGAATCCCTACTTTACACAGTCAGCGTACTAGAGTCGAGGCATGGAGTTCGAGGCCGGACGCTTTTCCTTACCCAGTCAATCATGGTATTGGTGAACATGATGAACCACAGGTTCCGCGAGCCCGACTTGAGCTCGCCAGTGGACTCGGCTGCGCCGACGCTGCCTGCGGGGTACTCGCCACCGATGCCAATACCGACCTTCAAGATGAGACATGACGTTAATTAACAGACAACATCTCTCAGACACCATAGGAGCATCGCCAGACCAGGGGAGGGGGGACATGTGCTACTCACGAAGAAGTCTTCTCGATTCCTTCACTCCTCCCACCCGTGCCTGCCCCCACCTCCCCACCTCAGCACCTCCATTTTCACTCTCATATTGGCAAACCGAGGCACTGTTGGCATGTGAGGGTTGATATTCATTTCTTATTATTATTTCCATGGAAGCATGGTAGCATAGGTCCAAAAAGTCAATATTGACGCCGTCACTCGCGACGCGTCAGGCGTTCCTGCGTTTCTTATCTACCCTCATCGTTTGGCCGGCGCTGGCACAGGGTAATGGAATTATTGCCGGACCCTAGGGTTGCATGCACGGGCTCACTCCTCAGAACGGTCCTGGGTCCCTACCCAGCGGTTCAGGAGGCTTTGGGGTCGTGTCTTCGTCAACTATTTCATTGGCAAATCGAGTCTATACATCATTCTCTCAGTATGAGACCAACCGAATATGCCGCAGAAGGTCGACTGGCATGAGACGCGTGAGAGGATATTCTGCAAGCGAATGAGCATCTAACAGGCGGGCTTCCGAGTACACATACCCTAAGTGTTCCGGGATGGAGCCGCATAACACCAATTTTGGGCTGAAAGTTCGCCCAGTCTGATAAAAGAAGCGCCATAGCTGAAATATTGGATAGAGCTCAATTTGCTCGGTGGCACTTGTCATTCATATCATTCAAAAGTGTCATTAAACCATTTTAGACTTGGCCATGCTTCTTATGCTATTTACAGTGAGCCCTTGATCGAATCCGCAGCTCTCTCAGCAACAGCGTAGACCGTCGACTGGGTGTTGCCTATGGTATGAAATGGAATGATACTAGAGCCCACAACACGCAAGCCTTCAACGCCGTAGACTTCCAACTGCGGGTCAACCACACCGCCTCTCCCGTGGCAGCAAGGCACACGTACTCATCGGGTGCCAACAGCTCAGCGTCGACTTCTTGATGTATGCCTTCACCTGCTCCATGTCAGTGAGGTCCCCAGGGGCTCCGTAGCTGCGTCGACCGCCTGGTTTGAGGAGGTTGAAGAAAGGCTCCGTCTTTGCGATGTCCCGCCGGGGAAGTATCAAGAAATACCTTCATATGTACCGAACTAACCAGCCCTACTTCTTTCCCGGGCACATATTTCTCATATATAAGCTCAAATCACCTTTTCTAATATATAAGAGAACGGATATTCGCAGAGCAGAAAACGGATGGTAAAGAGGTATATGTAGCCCCTAGTGCACGAACAACACCTACCAGTTCACACACCTATTTCGCCCAAATTACACACCTACTTCATAACACACTTCACACACCCAATTTACACACCCAATTTGCACACCCAATTTATAAACTTAATTTACACGCTTAATTCAGAAGCCCAATTAATATGCTCAACTTATATAGCTATTTAAGCTTGCAAATTGGGAGTTTGATGGGCTCTGATTGGCTGCATTGGAGGGGTGCGGCTTAGGTAAGCAACTTGCTCTGCGCCAGCCGTTTTTTGCTCTGCGAATATCCGTTCTCATATATATCACATAATTATACCATAAGCAAACTAAGGGGATTTTCATTTAAGCTCCTCCGGGACCTAAGAGCTATTCGTTAGGATGAGCAACATGTGGTTTGGGGGAGGAGGGGCTGCTTCGTAGCCCCCCTTTCCGCTCGTGTGAGGCTGTGAGGAAGGAGCATCGCATAAACCCCTTATGGGCATTAATAGGTAATCCTTGGTTCCTTGGCCCTTTAGCACAAACTTAAATAGAACCACAACCAGAAATTAAATATAACTCTTTTATTATAAAACCCTTTAATAACTTAGCTTAAATTATAAGAATTAAATATTAACTAATAACTATTATAAATATAACCTTATTTAATAAAATAATAAAAGCATTATTATAAATTTACCATTAATTTCTTATTACTTACTTTACTTTTATATAATTATCTTAATACTTATTTATTTAAATTATTTAATTATATAGCTTTATAAGATTTTATAATTAAACTTAAATAATTATATATTTAATAGCTTTTATAATTTTATTACTTATTTAAGTTTCTATATATTATAAAGATTTAAAATAATAAGCTTAAATATATTTATTTTTTATAGCCTACTTTTAATAAAAATAATTTAATTTCTTAAGATAAGATTTATTAATTATAAAATTAATTAATAAAGTAAAAAAGCCTTTTTATATTTTTTGCTTATTAATAGGCGTTTTTATTACTTAAATCCCCTTTAATATTTAATCTTTAAGCCGCTTTTTTAATTAACTAAATGCCGCTTTTTAATAATTTATTATATATATTAATTAAAATGCAATTTCTTTAAATATTTAAGCATTATTAAATAATAAGTTTATTAAGTTTATTATTATTTTTAAGAGTTTCCCTTAAAAATATATTGCTTATATTAATATATAATTAAGATTTTAGCTTTTCCTTATATTTAAAAAGGAATAATAAAATAAAATTAAAAGGCTTTAAATTTAATAATAATAATATAGCATTACTTATAACTAAAGATATTGCTAACCTTATTATATAAATAATGGCATAGCTTTATAATTAATAAAATTAAGATTTTATATATTTAATTGCTATAATATTTATAAATATATTAATCCCTTAAGTTTATATTTAAGCTAAGTTTATATAAAATAGCGTTAATAAACATTTTAATATTTAATTAATAAATATTAATTATTTTTGCTTTTATAAATATATTAATTTAAGCATTTAATTTAATAAAAAGATTATAAAATATTTTAATATTTTTTATTTTTTTAAGTATTTAAAATATATTAAATAAATTTATTTTATAAATAATATTTATTAAGTTTAATCTTAATATTTCTTAAAGAATATACTTAAATAGCATTTTTATATTTTAATTAATAATAATTACTAATTACTTAAGATAGTAATAATTTAAGTAATTTATAATAAGTTAAAATTATATTTTGCTAAGTTTCTTTTAAATATTATAGCTAATTTTAAGATAAATTACTTATTTCTTTATTAAGTTATAAAGAAATAAGATATTACTTTATTCTTTTAAATTATTATTATAAATATAAAGACTTATAATATAAAGCTTTTTATATAGCTAATTGCTATGTTTAAATTGCTTGCTTTTAAAATTAAGTTTAAATTTTAAAAACTTAATAAAGTAATAATATTAAAAAGCTTTTTAAATAATGTTTAAAATTATAAAAGTATAATTCTTAACCTAACTTAATAATAATATTTATTTACTTAAAATATTATTTATTTTTATTAGCCTATACTTACTTATAAAGGTAGGTTAAATATTCCTTACGCTTTATAATATTTGCCTTTATAGCCTTAATAATAATAACTATAACAATGCTTTTAAGCATAACTACTTTAAGCTTTTTTATAATATAATTAATTATATATAGCTAATTAAACCTAGAATTAATTTTAACTATTAATTTAATTAGCTAATTAAGGCTAGATTTAGAATGTTAAATATAATTAATCTTAGCTATTATTAAATTAATATACTATATAATATTAATAATAGGATAAATAGTAATAACTTGCTTAATAATAGTTATAGTTAAGAAATTATTAATAATAGCTTGTCTTAAAGAATTATTACTTACTTGCCTTATAAGCCCTATTTACTATTAAATTATATTAATGAAATTAGCCTTATTAAGCTTATTATAGCGAGTTTATAGATTTTATAAAGCAACTTAATATGCCTATATATTAATTATCTTTAATTAAGGAAGTCTTAAATAAAGAGTTTTTTATAAATATAGCCGCTAAGGCTTTTAATTATTCCTTTAAAGAGGCGTTTTTTATTAATAATTATAATAATTATTTAAATATTGCTTTTTTTAATATATTAATATTATTATTATTTATTTATTATTATTGCATTAAGCATTTTTATAATAATAACTTATTAATAAATTATATTTACTTTATTTATTTTAAAAAGCCTTAACTTTAATAAAGATAAATATTAATAGCTTTTATAATTAAGGCGGAAATTATTAGCTTATTAAATAATTAAGGCTTAAATAACGTATTAAAAAATGCCTTAAAGCAGCTAGTAAAAAACTAAAAGGCCTTAGTATTCCATTAAATATTACAAGGGGTGTGGAGGTAATTTAATTGCTAATAAGGGTTAATTTAAAACTTAAGATAGGATTTAGTTTTTACTTTTAAATTTATTTATATTTTTTTATTTAATTATTATTTAAATTATTATTAAATATTTATAGCAATATTAGCTATAATTAAATAATGATAAATAAATAATGATTATAATAAAATTATTCCCTTTTATTAATTTATAAATATGTATTTTCGCTATAATTATATAAACTTAAAATAAAAATTTATAAGTTATATAATTATATATTTATATTATTATAATTCCTAAGAAAATATATTAATTACGGAATTATAGTAATTATTTTATTTATTTATAAAGTCTTTATAATTAAAAACTTAAAGGCTAATATATTTATTAATATAAATATTATAGAATTAAAGGGCTTTAATATTATTAATTTAAAAGAATATATTAATATTAATTTCTATTATATTTAAATTTTTATAAAAATAAGAAATTATAGCCGCTTAATAAAGGCTAGGGTATTTACTATATAATATATTATTATATTACCTAAATTAGCTATTTATTTCTTTATTAAATATTGCTTATATATTAATAATATTTAAGATTTAATATTTATTTTTACATTAACTTAATTTAGCGCTTATGCTTTCTTTATAAATATTTATTTAACTTATATAATTATTAAAAATGAAATAAATAGCTTATTATTATATTTAATAAAAAATTTATAAAATACTTATATTTTTTAAACTTATAATGCTAAATTTATGCCATTAATAAAGATAATAAAGTTATATTTATAGCCTTTTATAAATTTTTAAATTCTTAACGTTTAAAAATAATGCCGTTAAATAACTTTTAAATATATATCTTAATAGGCATTAATGTATTTTTTAACTTAAACCCTATTAATTAAGATAAGTTCTTAAGTTTTCTTAATAAAAATATAAATATCTTTAAAAATAAAGGTTAAGCTAAAGCTTTATAAGATAAATAGCTTAAAGTTTGCTTTAAGCAAAATTAGCAAGATATGATTTTAAAAAAGTGCAAAGTTTACCTTATAACCTTAAAGGATGCTAAGGTTATTAATAAAACTTTAAATAAATTATAAGTTGCTGAAAAAATTAAATAAATAATTTAATTTATTCCCTTTTCTTTCTTTATATTTATTATTTAATAAATAATATTAAATGGTATTTAAAAAGGTTGCATGATAATTAATATTTAAAAATTAAATTATATATTGGTTTTTAATATATACCTTATGAAAAGCTAAAATTAAATGCTTTTAAAGATTATAAATGTAAAATATATTATAATTCTTAATATTATTGCTTTCTTTTATTAATAGTAAATTTATTTTAAATCTTAATAAATATTTATTATTATAATAGCTTATAAATAATTTATATTTAATTATGCTATTATAATATATTATAGCAGCTTAACTTATATA